ACTTGATAGATTTCTCGCTTGTTTGGGTCTCCATAGCAGAACAAGGTGGATCAGGTAGATACAAGGACAAGGGTACTGTGGATTCTCAATCAGAGATAATCAAATGAGTATGGTTGAATCAATCTTGAGCGCCGGGCTCATAACCTGTTGTGCAGCGGTTATTAGGCCTTCATAGATGATTGATTACGGGAGCAGGTATCTACAAGGACTGTGAATTCAGAAGATGTGGCCTTCTTGGCACTCACGTGATCCCCAGGCACAACACGGCTCCTTCCCTCTTGGGAAGGTATTGCCTCATGCAGGGTAACCTTAACTCAACCTCAACCGCGTTCCATCGACATCAGCAAGTTGGCATCACAGAACAAAACGAGCAAATCTCGAACGAAGGCAACATGTCCCAAGAAACATCCGCCCCATCAAATCCACAACCCTCCTCCTTCGACCTCTCCCTCGGCCTAGAAGACATCCACGTCCTCATCACCGGCGGCTGCGGTCTCATCGGCCGCGTTGTAGCCGACGCCTTCCTCGCAGCAGGCTCCATCGTCTCCGTCGTTGACCTCCCCGAAGCAACCTCGCGCATCCCCGTCAACAAGCTAGGAAATCTCCGCCTCTACCCAGCAGACATCAGCCAAGCCGAAAGCATCGACGCAGCATTCACCGAAACCGAAAAGGACTCCGGACCCGTGGAAGTCTGCATCGCTCTAGCATCCATCGATCTATCTTCCCTGCCCCAAACGGAGAGTATCTGCGACGCGGACCCGGCGGTTTGGCAGAATGTGTTCAACGTGAATATCAACGGCACTTTTCTTACAGCTCAGCGTTGGCTGCGTGGAATCCGATCCGCTCTGCAGAACCCTGTCAAAGCGGCGAAGCTGCGAAATGTCAACCTCATCCTTATGGGCTCGCAGTCTGGCACGTTCGGTGTGAGGACCATGGCGGCTTACGCAGCTGGTAAAGCTGCCGTGCAATATGGCTTGCTGCGGAGTCTTGCGAAGGATGTCCCGAAGATCTATCGCAAAGCGAGAGTCAATGCCGTGGCTCCCGGCGCTGTTGACACGAGTCGGTTCAAGGAGGAATGCGAGAGGTATGGCAAGGAGTGGAGGTGGGAGGAGTGTGAAGCTACGGTGGGGATGGCGAAACCGCCGGCTGTGAAGGATGTTGCGAGGACGTTTGTGTTTCTGGCGAGTGAGAGGTTTAGTGGGAGTACGCATGGGCAGGTGCTCAGCGTTGATGGTGGGAAGATTGGATCGGTTGTTTGGAAGCCGGGGGAGGCGGATGAGTGAGAGCTTGGAGAACTTATGATGTAGAGGTATGAGAGCATTGTGACATCAGTGAGCTCAGAGATCGAGTCTGAAGAGCTGGCTTTTGAGGAGATATGGCTGCAATGACCATCCTTGGCAGCGTGATTCGTGCAACTCCACCTTCCGCTGCTCCCAATCGGATGCTCTGTCTATGACCATATAGCTTTCGTCTAATCCGTGTGACTTGCTCACAAGCTTCGCACAACGATCTCCAAGCGCAAAAATCAGAGATCGTAGTCAAAAATCCGCAACATCATTAAAATCCCAAATCTCACAAAAACCCAACTATCAACCCTTCACGAGACATCCTCACACCACACACACCAACAACAACCACCGCCACCGCCACCACCAAAATGCACTTCTCCACCACCCTCACCCTGCTCAGCATCCTCGCCGGCATGACCCTCGCCGCGCCCTTTGTCCACCCATATCCAGACCCAGACGTGGACTTCGAAGTGTCCAACAACGACAACTATGACGCGGTTTGGTATAATGGGATGATTCATACACCAGAGGAGCGGTCTTGAGGTGAGGGTTACGTCTTTTTCAGGAGGGACAGGACTGATGGTTGAGTGATGTAGATGCGGAAGATTTGAGCAGAGAGTTGATCTGGGAGAGATGCTTGTGCCTTCGGTGTTAGATGGAGGATCGGAGGGCTATGGGGGCAGGGTTGGATCTGATCTTGTTAAAGTGTGGCATGAAGATGGATTGGAGTCAGACTGGAAGATTCTCGATGGAAAGACAAGTGGTGGATGAGAGCATCTTGAGCAGACAAAGGCTGTGTTATGTCGGCGTATCGATCCTCACACAAGGCGTACATTTGGGACCGATGGCGCGAGTTGGTAGCGACTTCACCTTATTGTGCAAGGGTAGGAGCGAGTCAACAGATAGTCAAGAAACCTTGCCCAAGACCGCAATCTCACATATCGTCGAATAGATACTCTAGTCCTTTGACAGAAATATTTGAGTTTGTTTCACCATGACCGATCCCATCCAATCCCAAGACTCAACATTCTACTTCGCCTACGGCTCAAACCTCTGGGAACACCAAATGCGACAGCGCTGTCCAACATCGAAAGCCATCGGACTGGCAAAACTCAAAGGATGCCGCTGGTTCATCAGTGAGACGGGGTCTGCGAACATCGAGCAAGACTCAGAAGCGGAGACATTCGGTTTTCTCTACTCCATAAAACCCGCGGACGAAGCAGTTCTGGATAGCAGAGAAGGCGTACCGGATCGACATACGAAAGTGGTCGTTGTTGTGTCCTTCTGGCCGGATGCAACTTCAGAATTTGCAGAGAGGAAGGCACAGCAGGTAGAGGCTCTGGTATATATCGATCGGAAGAACCTCCAAACTGGCCAGCCGAAAAAGGAGTACATCTACCGTATGAATCAAGGTATTCAAGACGCCATAGCGAAAGGTATGCCGCAGGAGTATGTTCAGGATGTAATGAGGAAGTACATTCCAGAGACGTGGGACAAGGACGTCGAAGACGAAGCAAAGAAGAGGGTTCTGGTGTCTGCGGCGTGGGAAGCTCAAGAAAGGAAACAATAGAGCGAGGTTCGGGAAGATGGAGGCCTCGTTATCTGCGTCCAATGTGCAAGTTCCCGAGATGAAATGTCAGCTGTGTTTTGAGGTTCTGGGCTCGCCTGATGCAGAGAGCAGCTATGGTCCCTCCTTCGAGCTCCTCGAGATCGATGGGTTCGATTCACCAGCTCTGAGCTATGAATTTGGTAGATCGTATGGCTCGCTGGTACGTTTCAGCCTCGTTATATTGAGAGCCAAGGGTCAAAGCTTACTCTCTTGATGTTGTGTCGACCGTCTGTCGTCCTCAATGAGCATCCGCAAAGCCTCGTGATACCTCCGCACTTTTCTCTCATATAAATCAGCTTCCGACACAGCCGTTTTCGATGTTTTCGACGGTATTCCAGGAGAGTCATATCATCATTGACTTTGAAAATGAGGTTAGGTATGTGGAGAGGCAAGCAGGATAGAGGCATTGGAGAAGAGATATAAGGGGCGAAAAGAAGCAGTCTCAAAGACCCAATTCGATCAACATACCTTGACATTCGCCCACCAACTCAATCACCCACCTTTTCTTCGCAAGCATGCACTTCACCAAGGCATTCGCTCTCATGAGCGCTCTCTCCACCGTTGCGTTGAGCAACCCGACCCCCGAAAACTAAGATAGCCGCGAAATGCTCTCCACGCGAGACGTCCAGGCTGCCAACGTCGTCTTGATCAAAGACACCATCGCCAAGACCGGATACGACCTCAGCAGCAAGCAAGAGCTCGCCGAAGAAGACGTCGCGAAGCTTTCACCAGACGACGCCCAACTACTCGCGGGCGAGATGAACAAGTGGTCTGTCAACCACAATCGTACCGATCTGCTCGTCCCTGCTTTTTCGACCCAGCAGTTCAGCGGTAAGCAAGACAGCCCAAGCTGGCGATGCCTGGGCATTGAGACTAATCACTTCGTCTTGGATAGCCGCGGCCGCTGCGGTAAAGAAGCAAGTTGCTGCAAAGGCGCAGGCGAATGCGGAGAGGTCCGAGCTCGCGGTGTTCGAGGACGAGGCAGCTGAGGGCGCGGATGCTGGCGCGCTCATCGAAGCGAGAGCGCCTCAATTCTGGCATTTCTACTGGACCCTTGTGGTAACTGCCCGCATTCTCCTCTCGTGGCTATGAGAAGACTTCGATTAGTGCCCACTTGGGATTGGGCTCCACATTTCAATTTACTGTACAATTACATTCCACTTTAATGTCATTCTGAAACCAAATAGTGTGGTACGGTTGAGGTGGAGTCCAGCATCGTTTGTCCCAGGTCTTGGGTGCCGTCCCCGGGAAGTTGCTTCATGAGCTGTCCATTATCGATCCAGCTCTTGAGAGGGGAGATATAGGAAGTATGGCACCGTCGTAGTCCAGTAACGAGATCGCTCCATGCAGTCGATTTGCAGCAAATGGTTCTTTGCGCAATGGTAGAGTGTGCTGGAATTGAGTGCGGATCGGCATCTATCCCAACTCTTTGCAACCTAGTAGCACCTGAGCTGTGAGTTCTAGGCTGTGGGGTTGCCATATATATGATGCTGATGTTACGCCGTCAGTACCTGCAAAAGATGTCAGAAGGAGAATGACGACGAAAGAGGGTGCTGGTTCTCATAAGAGGGCCGAAAGCAAATCCAAAGATCTTCTTGTTCTGAACAACGAGTCTGCTCTCACATCATCTTCGGCCTTGAAATCACTGAGCCTGTCTTGCCGAACATGCATCTCCCCCAAGTCTTACTCTTCGCTTGCGCGGGAACGAGTCTCGCCCTCGCAGCACCAAGAAACGTCCTCAACATCAAACCAGACGATGACTTCGCGTTGGCCCAGAGGAACGCCGAAACGGCCAACATCATGTTGATCCAAGATCAAATCGCGAAGACTGGCTATGACCTCGAGAGCGATGATGAGAAGAATATCACTGCGCGAGAACTTGCCAAGCTCTCGGCAAACGATGCTCAGCTCCTGGCTGCCGAGCTGAACACCTACTCCACGAGAAACAACCAGACTGAGCTGCTCATTCCTGCGTTCAGTGACCAGCAGTTCGCAGGTGAGAGCGAATTGATCAAATCCTTGCGAATTGTGCTGACTGTCCCCGAAACAGCGGCGGCCGCGCAGCTCGTACACGTGAGGTCTGAGAGTCAGATTGAAGAGCGACAAGTCATCGAGGCTCTGTTCAGCGGGTTCATTTTCGCCATCATTGGCTTCATCTCGTCCTGTCATCAGACGCATTGTCTGCACAAGCATCACCACAAGCCTCACCATCCTCCGTCATAGATCATGATGGTGGAAGAAAGGGCTCGCTATCGAAGAAGAGTTTGGAATGTATGATAAGGAGAGGTAGTGAAGCCATTGGTGAAGCTCAGAATAGAAGTCTTTCGCCTCTCGCATTGCTGGTGCTGACGATTTCCCGTATTTAACAAAATGTTGAATTAGATCGGTCCATGCGTGTAACCTCGCCGACGAAGGACAAGGTGCCAACCATATCCCAGCGAGACGAAATGTCCGTATCCAAAATGCTACCTTGAGGTCTTGCGACTGTGATAGTGTCACCGCGAAACAGGTACATTGGTCACAGCGGCTCATTGGCGAAGGGCAGACGTCTTGATGTATCTCTTTTAACAGCGAGCCAGCTATTTGTCCTGTTCCTGCCTCAGACGAAACCGGTTTCGCGAGACGTATCAGGATGATCCCTCACAGTTACGGCCAAGAGTGATGATGTTGCCTCAGCTACCGACGTATCCGGTTCCGGGTGTAGCGGTGTGAGCTGATACGAGTCGTCTTGGCCGTGGCGACTGCATCGTAGCACAAGATGCTGCGGTATTCTGCAGTCCTGCGGCGTGGAAAGTTCTCCTGCTGGCGAGACTGCTGGTTCTGTTACATTACATAGCCCAACGTAAAACGAGAAGAAGTCGGCGGTCGGAGTGGGAGGTCTAGAACTGCCGAGCACTAGCGCATCTCAGGCCCCGCCCGAATCTGGGCACCAATCGGAAGGGGCGATTCTGCACCAACGCTCCACGGCAAGAAATTCAGCGAAAGGCCGACGCGCGAGCAGCAAATCTCACCGTTGACCCTCCTTTCTCATCCAAATATTCTGCTCCAAACCACCCTCTCGCACTCTCCTCGCTGAAGTGAACTGTCTCCTGTCGCTGGCATTCACTCACATAAACCACCGCCTTTGTCCTGCTCGATCAGCGTTCCTGCCAAGTTGCTTGCTTCTTGCCGCATTCGACATCCTTCTCGCGCACCGGACAGCCGGCGATTACAAAGTACAAAGTACATCCTACCACACCCTTCCGCAGAACCGGCAAAGCGACCGCCACCACCACAACCCGACGTCACCTACGACGGGACAAGTCGCGTGCGACACCAGCGCTGCTTGATAATTCCCGTCTGCTGCCTCGCTGTCCGAAGCGTAGCCATCGTTACTGCCATCACATGAGCAAGAGCAGAATTTCGAGACTAAGCCACACGGAAAAACTCTCGAGACCACGCGACAGCTGAACGACACCGCAACAATGTTCCCCGTCGACACCATCCCAGCACAGTACTTCGAAGAGCGAGAGGCCGCAGAGGCAGCCAAGAGGTTGGCAAGACTCCAGCAACAATCTGCCACAGCACAAACATCTCCACGACCGAACAGCCTCAGCACAGTCTTCTCGCAACGACCTGAGATGTCGAGACCGTCGTCATCCAGCGTGCTGGGCAACATCTTCCAAGGCTTTGTACGAGCAACGTCACAACCTCCAAGCGAGAGGTCTTGCGCAAGTGGAACATCTACACCCTGCCAGACCCCGCCAGCTAAGGTCATGACCCAGGCAGATATCGAGGCCGCCATGGCTGCCGAGAGGAAGAAGGATGCGGATATTGTGAGCTTCAGGGCGTGGTAAACGACCTGTCTTCCTATCCTTTTCGATGGACACTTCTGGTTACGATTCTTACGACAAAATACGATTGATCGCGCTTAAGCATGGAGCTATAGGCGTGACACTGAACTTTAGCGTTGTAATGGGGTCATGGTCAGCATAGAAAAGCGAGGTTGATTGAGGGGGAGCAAAATGTTTAGATACCCATGTGTGAGCGGTATCTTCGTGCAATTGATATTGAGCAGGCGATGGCGTAATAGGTGACGAGCAATTGGGACTGCAGCAAGGAATGCTTTCGGTGGGATATTGACAAAGGAATGTTATTCAACTTTCCGCATTCCTCCTTGCATTACCGCAAAAGTAAGCAACTCTCAATGTCTCTTTGTTGTCACTGCTTCCGGACAATGCCAAGGTGTACTGTCTATCGTTCTATCAAGGCCAGCAGTCCCCTGGAGACTGTCTTGCTACATCCCTCTCCGAAGTTGTTCAGGCGTCACGATGAGCAATCCCTCTGCAGGACCTCCACCGCCAACAGGCGCACCACAACCTCCACAGGCGCAGCAGCACGAGAATGAGAAGCTACCCACGCCAACGGCAGGCCCAAAGTCGCCTCAGCAGATTGAACACAATCGAGACCCAACCGAGACGTCCATCTCTGGTCTCACCGATCGATTGCCAGCAGGGCCAGGACCAGAGCCACTCAACATCATCATCCTAGGCGCTTCATTCGGTGGTCTCTCCTGCGCCCATCACTTCCTCGACTACACCCTCCACCGCCTGCGCACCACCTCCACCGCCCCGAACTACCGCCTCATCATCATCTCCCCCTCCACCCACATCTACTGGAACATCGGCGCCCCACGCGCCCTCGTCAAAGGCGGCCTCCTCAAACATGAAGACACCTTCATCGCCATCGAGCCCGGCTTCGCCCGCCACAAAGACCTCGACTGGACCCTCATCCAAGGCAAAGCCCTCAACGTCAACCCAGACGACCGCACCGTCAAGATCGAATGCTTCAACTTCGAAGCCCAGAAGCGCTGCTCCATCCTCCTCCCGCGCCGCAACTCCAAATCCCTCGACGCCAACGCCGGCCCGGGCTCCTCCCTCAACCGCATCCAAACCCTCGACTACCACGCCCTGATCATGTGCACCGGCACCTCCGCCCACAGCGACCTCCTCTCGCTCCACGGCCCGCACCTCGAAACCGCCGACGCCCTCAACCGCTTCCACACCCAAGTCTCGCAAGCCAAATCCATCGTCATCTGCGGCGGCGGCACGTCCGGCGTCGAAGTCGCCGGCCAACTTGCCACCTTCCTCAACCACACCCGCCACTTCCCCTTCCGCCGCCGCATCAAGACCCCCAAACAAATCATCCTCATCACCGGCGGCGACCGCTGCCTCCCCGGCATCGGCAACGCCTCCGTCGGCCTCAAAGCGGAAAAACTCCTCGCCAAACTCGGCGTCGAGGTCAAACACAACGTCCGCGTCCTGCGCGCCCAGGAATGGTTCGACCAAACCGGCGCCACGCGCATCGACCTCTCCGACGACACCCAGCTGATCGCCGACGTCTACGTCGCGTGCACCGGCGTCGCGCCCAACTCCGACTACGCCCCCTCCTACCTTAAAGACGACCGCGGCTACATCCTCACCAACAACGCCACCATGCGGTGCGACCTCGCCGGCGACCGCGTCTACGCCCTCGGGGACGTCGCCTCGTATAGCCAGAACTACGTCCCGGACGTGTACGCCGCCGTCCCCGTCGTGATGCACAATATGCTGAATGATCTGCTCGCGTATGAACTGCACCTCGCGTCGCCGTACGGCGGGAACGAGGATCGGATTGAGCAGTTGGTTGATGAGAGTTATGCGCAGCGTCCGAATGATAGCCAGCTGTGTCCGATTACGAGGTTTGGGGGCGTGGGGATTTTGTTGGGGCTTAAGTTGCCGAAGGTTATGGTGCATTTGCTCAAGGGGCATGATTATCGGGTTTGTAAGGCTAAGGGGGTTGTGGTTGATGGGGGCAATCCTTATGCTGTGCCGGTTACGCCGGGGAAGTATGAGTAGGGGATTTTAATGGGGCTGGGTGGGATCTTTTCTTTGATAGAGAGGTAGTTTTCGGGGATTTTAAAGTAATGTTCACTTTCTACATCGCTCTTTTTCGATCTCGGTAGCAATGTCGACTTTTAGACACAATCTTCCTCGCTGTCGAGGACCTCTGCTCCTCATCGCACCGAACCCCGAACGCCTCGCTAAGATGTCAAAACACTCCCAGTCGTTTTTTTATCCTCATCGAATCACAACCAAGTCCTCGCTATCCTGACTCAACGTATCATCGAACTGCAACCCTTGCGCCCGCTAGACAGCAAGGTCTCGTTCCAACACCGCGTTGATCAAAGTGTGCCTTCCACTCTCGTAGACCTTCGTGCCGATAACCTCTCCCAAAGCCTCCACGAGTCGTTCCTTCAGCGTCTCGCCTTCCGGATGACCGTTCGCTTGGACTGCGCCGACGTAATCTTCCTCCAGAGTATTGAGGGCTCGCATGATGGCTTCGACGACTTTCTCGGCATCGGCTCGCTTGGCGTCGTCTTTGATGCCTTCTGATAAATGGGCGTCGTACGCTTTGAGGTTGGGGAGGATGAGGGATCGGACACCGGCTGAGCCTGCGATCATCGTGAGGCCCAGGACGGCGCCGTAGTGTGAGCCGTATGGCTTGTGGGAGTCGAGGAACTGTTTCAAACACGAGCGTGCTATGCGCGGTTTGAGTGTTGATGAGCTCGAGCCGTATTTTCGTGCAATGCTGGAGAGTAAGCTGCTGGCGTAGTCTCGTAATGAGTAGTGGATGTCTCCGGCGTTGCTTGGTCCCAGATGCTTGCCTACCAAGCATGTGAGTACCGAGGGGATGACAGAGGGGATGTACGGTGCGATGTAGAGGCTCGGATTCTCCAGTAGTGCGGCTATGAGCTGCATGCTTTGTGTGAGGATGAAGAGCGATTTGAGGTGATGCGTGACCCTGTCAGCCACGAATTGGATGAAGTAAGGTATCAGCTGGTGCAGGCCAGGATCTGTCTGTAATGATGCGAACGCCGCAGCCCGGTACTCGTCGTTGGTCTCGTCCATGATGGCGCTGCATATGCGGTCGAAATAGAGTTGAAGCTCCTTGGAAAGCACATGCTTCACGAGCGGCTTGACCTGGACGTTGTCGTTACCGCTGACAGCTGCCAGTGTGTTCGCATTCTGCCCTTTGGTTGCTAGCTCTTGATTCCGCTGGTCTGCTTGTGTCGGATTCTGTGGTATGCTCGGCTGCACGCCTTCCACGGCCAGCCAGTGTGCAGTGAAGCTGATCTCGCGCGGCACTTTGGGAAGCGGCGCATTGATGAGCTTCTCGAAATCAACCTCCTCATCCTCAACGTAGAACAGCGGCTGTCCAGGCCCTATGGAAGCCTCGCCGAACCGCAGCGGTCGCGTAGACTCGTAGCCATACAGAGGTTCTACATCCAGCAGTCGCAATGCTTGTGATATGTCCTGGGTTATAAGGGTCGTCCGTTTCGCATGTCGCATGAACTTGAGCGCCTCTTCCAACACCTGACTTATGCGGTATTCCACGTCTCTTGCCAGATGCTCTGCCACCTCGCGATTCAGCGACGCGATACCGACCGACTCTGCGACGTCGGTCACGTTCTCTGGGTTCCACACCGACATCTTGTCACGTCTTCACGCGCGCCTCCTGCGCTGGATGTGGAGAGGTTGTGTCCAGTTCGAGGTCGTCGTGAGGTCGCTGCGTTCGTCGCGGAGTGCGTTGGTGATAGAGGAGCCAGAGTATGGGTAAGCCAAGGTTTGTACTGTAAGTATCGAAATCGTGAGGTGTTGTATTGCAACTGTGTCTGATGGTCGCAAGTGAACTTGAAGTTGGAGAGGTTGTCGTCTCAGAGATCCACCGCTTGCAAATGAAGATTAGCGTAGTGTCTGAGTCGTCTCAGCCCGTCAATTCACTTCACGTTTTCACACGCGACCGTGTTCAAAGCTATTCATTTTGGTCATTCCTGTTCTACTTGAGCTACATCACAAGCTGGACCAGACTTTCATTTGAATCAAAGCAGGGCGCTCGCACTTGCAACACCTCCCGGACGATGGCAGTCTGCTCTTAAAGATCTTGAAGCATTGGTCGAAGACGGCAAATGGCACCGGCTGATGAGACCATTTCTGATCTCATTTCCTTAAAAAACTACGAAAACGAGAACGTCGTGTCCTCAGCGCTGGTCATGAACGCAGGGAGCACGGAATCCGAAGGTCCTTGTCTCTCTTGAAGATGCAGATGCCGCTTTTGCGCAAGTCTCTTCCAAACCCATAACGGAGTCAGGCTTGTTCGAACTACTAGCCTCGGACACTCATTTGGCTGTGGGCGTACCACGTGTACCAGGATGCCAATTTGAGCATCTGCATCCGGACTACCCAGGCGATAAGACTCTCCGTCGGCCAAATTCCAAGGTTCTGATACATCCTTTGGCCTATGCCCACTCGTATTACGCAAAACTTCTGTCTCAAGGAGTAGGACTCTGCGATGCCAGCAAGACTCCGTTCTTCGGCAGCCTTTGCCATCCACCTGCAGGCAGGATAGTGTGAAGTACGCGAATGTTGCACAAGTGTCAGTGTCGCGCAGCGCTCGTGTCCAGTAGTTAGGACCAGAAGCGTTGAAGACAACGCGGTTCAAAGGCTCTTCCGGTGCACTTGGAATGATGGCCACTGCAAAGGTCACATCCGCAATATCAAAACCGGTGCTCTTCATTGACGAAACGAGTTCGAACGTCAAAGCCCACAAGTACTGGAAGCATGCATGGTCCAACTTGTGCATACGTCGAAGACACTTAGTCAGAACTTTTGTGCCGCTGCTCGAAAGTACACTGACGATATTGTACTTCCTTTTCGGGGTGGACCAGTGTTCTGACGAAGACATTGTGCGCTTGACGTACACTGGTAGGAGCTCGGCAAGCATGTCCCTGATCCGAACCCTTCTTGCCAGTCCGGAGCAGAAGCTGACCTGGAGTCCGAACGGAGCGGCTAGAAAGCTTGCAAAATCCAGGCCTATCCGCAATCGCTCAAGCATTACGTCCTTCAGTGAGACACCTGGAACCTTCTCCAGGACCAGATTGAAAGTTGCCAAACCAAACTGGCCTGCTTGCGCGCCATACTCTAAGCCTTGCTGACGCATACGTGCGGGAGTCGTCCCTAAAGGCCGAGTGTGGATTTGGCACAACTGAATCCAGTACTGCTCGTGCTTTGTACACGATGCATCAACGTGTAAAGCTGCACCGATGCGAATTGGCTAATTCATGGCGAACGATTCTTCGTCAATCGCGCTCGCATGGCTCTCAAGCCTCCTCCAGTGGAAGGTTGTTCCGGATGAAGGATGAATTATACCACCTCGTACTGTCAGTGCCCGGAAACGAGTCTCGCCGTCTTCTGGTTCTCGGATCATTTCCCCGGGACCCCAGGTGTCAAGAAGGTCTTCTGGTTTTGCGAGCAAGTCCAACTGTGGTGAGCTATCTGCGAGTGTTGTGCTAGTTCGAGTGAATATCAAGACTGGAAAACTTGTCATGTCGTCTAGACATGTAAATCGCCGGAGTGCCGCACTTATAGAGCCTTTCGAGGAACCGTATGATGTTGAGCCCAGAAGCTTGATGTTTGCGAGCTTCGCTTCCAAGAAGAAAGACTCGAGCTTGCCGATATGAGCTTGGAGATACGAAACGAGGCCAAGCGACAAGAACTGCACGGCGAGCGCACAGTCATGTAGTACATCGAATACACTAGGCCCTCCTGAATTCGTAACCGGCATGCCAAGATCATCCAGTATCGCCCGGGCGGTGCTTTGGCATCGAGTCAAAGAAGCAGCATAGAGGCCTCTGTTGATCTCCGCCAGAACATGGGAGAACCACACAGCGTCGCTGAAATTGATTGTACGCATGGTGATGACTTCTGAGCGGGGCTTTTGAACGAGCACCGTGAACCTGTTGCAACATGCCTTGGCGTCTTGGACGATGTTCAGTGCAGTACAGACCCGGCGCATAGCAGTAGCCAGGTATCGAGTCAAGACCGAAACGTCCGTTGCAAGGCTCTGGTAGTGAATTACAGCGGTTGAGGAATCTGGGAACTTAGCGAGTGTTTTCCACCAATCCTTCTCCTGGGATGAAGGAATTACACCACCGAGACCACAAAGCGAGGCAGTCTCACGTCGCAAGTTTCGGGCAGCATCCGCAGGACAAGGGTTGACTTCGAGTGGAATCGCGGGTGAATGGCAGCCTCCGTCATGCACACAGCCGGTTACATGAAATTTGATTCTAGGAGAACGATCTTCCAATATCCATGGAGCGAAGACAATCGAGAGCTGGTCATTTCTCTGCTCCAGGAGCAGTTCGGCGACCTCACTCTTGGTGTAGCCCAGCTGTTCCAGCTCAGTCAGCCATTCCCATGACCCTATGGCAATTGTTGCGAAGTCCCGCTCTAGTATCATCTGCAGGAAGCTTAGACTGCCTGTTGCGACAGCTTCGCTCAGGGGATCGCGAGCTCGGTGCAGACTCTGTTCCCTAGAGGGTGTGTCTTTTGCCAATGTCAACGACTGGAAGTTCCCAAGCATAGGGGGTAATCGTGATACAGGTGGTCTTGGTTGGCTTGAGCCCAGTACCCTTGGTTCGAGTCCACGTTCTTGTGTGTGCAATGAGCTCACTGCCTTTTTAATGCGTCTAGTCAACCTGGTATTCTCTTCGAGGCGACGATCGATGGCTTTCGTCTCTTCACGTTCCGCGCCCATCGTGGCCGTGCCCTCCGGAGGTCCTTTAGCTATCAGTGCAAGCCGTTCTTGCCTAAGTTCATCTTGTCTTCGGACCAAGTCCACCCTCAACTGGTTGCCGACTGTGGTAGTTGCCAGCTCACAGCCCTGATCTACCACCTCACGCTGGATTTGGAACCTGACGACCCGAGAGGTCTCGATGCAGGAACTAATGATAGCGAGTGCGGACTCCTTGCTGCTTGGACACCGCTTTATCCTAACACCAGCCATGAGCATGTCATTGCGGTCAATATCCACTTCCCACGGAGCTCTGTCACTGGCAACGTCCTGCTTTTCATCCGCGGATTGGTCCCACTTTGGTGGGATGAGAACCACATCTCTGAGACAGCTCTCGCCACATAGCCTTTTCAGTATTCCGAGGGCCCGTCGTGATTGGTATGCGAATGTGTCGTCTGTGATTGAATAAAGGAACAGGACAGCGTTGACGTATTGTCCCTCTCGGTACGAATCCGCGAGCCAAGACGTGATCAGTGAGATGGCTTCGAAGTCTTGATCCAGGTCTCCAATGCTAGGCATGTCAATGACTTCAATTTTGCGCCTGTCAACAAGGTCAAAGGTCCATTCTTCGACCTGTCTTGCTACTGCAGCTGCCCGTTAGCACCTTCAGTAATTCCAGGGTTGCTCGTGTATTCTAAACATGACGGTGATTTGTCTTCCGTGTTCGAAGAACGGCCTGTGCACAGGCGGATGAATTCGCTTTTGCCACCTCCAGACGCGCCAAAGAGAAGAATACGGCTAGTCTGCGTCCTTCGAAGAGACCCTCGCTCGTTTTCTTCAATTTCTTTCGCTCTCTCCATTCGGCCGGTTTCTTTCGTTCTCTCGACAGCCTGTGTGCAATGTGAGTGGATGTTATAAGTGACAAAATCGAGTTATTCATGATGCCATGTTCTCAGCCTCTCTTGACCATTCACCGGTGGTGACATGCCAAAAGTTCATCACCCTCCGCCATAGCCATGTGCGCAGCTTGCATCTAGGATGCTGCGTCACGTCTCCCAATTGGCTGCACAATAAAAGTTGTACAAAGGTGATCTGAGCATTTGATTTGCGAAGTACGCGAGACCGCATGAGCAGGTGTCCTTTTGTGTGCCTAATGAGTGGTCGATAGCTCAAGGTGGCTTCTGCTGTGTTACTGCTCAGCTGAGTTGGCGTGCAGGGTGGAAAGAAGAGATGTTCGCCCGTCGCTGCCTGCCACGAACACATGGCCACATGATTGTTGCCCCAGATTTGGGACATAGCATTGACGCCTTTGCGACATTGGGTGATTTTCTTAATCTTCGCGGCACGATATCTATCTGCGCGTGAACAAAGTCAGGGGCAAGCCATCTTTCTTGTATTCTCAGCCGCGAGCTGACACAGATTAGCCAGAGCATCATAAACTGCGATGCTGGCTGTTTGTTCACTGCTGTAATACCTACAACACATTGCAGGTGTCGCAGGAGATATGAGTCCGGACGCATCCCTCTTCGTCTATGCTAAATCAAAATGCTATCCCTTAGCAACGAGACTGTATTCTGCTCAGCAATGAGTGAAAGACTCTGTCAGGCCGACCGCTTGATGCCATCAATTCCTAGCAGTCCCCAAGCCATGGACTCACCAACTTCAAAACAACAAAACTCCTATGTCCGAAGCACGAACGGCAGGACAAGCTTGCTCCCGTGGAAGATTGTATTAACCCCAGCGAACTTCTCGTCGGTCCGATCGCCGCCCTCTTGCCTCATGACCCCAAGCAGAGTATCACTATCTCTCGCCCCAATCTCGATCTGAATCTTGTGGCCCTTCTCAAAGATCATGCTGGTGGGTTGGATGGGCACTTTGATATCATACCCCTTGCTGGGGGGCCCACAGGCGCTGGCATGTCGTGCGCGAGGATGAACAGACGGTCGGTCGGTTTCTTACGATCCATGTCGCGATGAGTTAGACGGATATATGCTCTAGTCACAGCAACCGAAGGCTCGGCGTGGTTTCCTTCGAATACGACCAGAGATCCGGCGGGAGCGATATTTGTCAATGTCACGAATATGTCCATATCCTTGGCATTGTCGCCATTTTTAGCTCGAGGTAAGGAAAACCTAGGACTTCGAAGTCTTGTTCAAGAGTATTGCTGGTGAAGAAAGATGACCCTGTCAGTCTTTCGTACTGAGCGACAACGCCTGTGCTCGTAGCGTCCAGCTGACCATCTCCTAGGCCACCATCAGCGTTGAGGAAGTACTCTCTGTACTGTGTCTCTAATGGAGGGAAGTCCTTCTCAGCTCGCCAATACAAAGCTGCCTCTCTTCTGATGGTCAGATCGATCTTGGGCAGATCCTTCAACCCACCAAGTCCGGCTGCAATGTCGTCTCTCAGGAAATGATCCAGGAACCGTCTTTGTCGTGCAACGGCGTCTTTACCGTAGTATGCGTTGATATGATCCCCACACGAGTTTGCAGATACTTCTCGTCCGGCATGCTGGCCGAGCACATATAGCCCAGGATATTGCCAGGTGCATGAGCCTCGCATCGTGAGAGTGCCACGGAGGATTAAGAAGTGCACCAGAGCGGGCTGTGCACGCGCCCAATCACACGCAGCGGCTAGCCTTCGAGAGTGTGGTCGACCGTCTCGCCAGTGACGGTGATGACACCACCTCTAGCCTGAACTTCTGAGACATGATTGGTCAATTGTGCTGCCCCAAAAGGGTCGGCACCTGTCACATCTTAGACCAACTTTCGGGTCTGGCCAAACGAATGCCACATCCGGACCATACAGTGCGATCGATGAAAGTTAAGCCCTCTCTAGCAGGATCTGTCGCCTCGCGAGAGCAAAGCATTTTCCGTGCGCGGAATACGGACAGTGCAAATGAACTTAACCGTTTCATCTTCGTTCCTTTGTGACGTAGTGCCACCCGAGCTGTCGGCGAGATGTTATATATAAAAATGGCAATCAGTTCTGCTGGCCCTGCTTAAACGCAGACCTCCATTCCACTCACAGATCTTCACTTTTTTGACACAGAACCCTGCTTACTTCGCGAGCTCCAATCGCTTGGCAACCCGTCGCGTTACAACATGTTGCTTCGTTATGCTACGACTGCGCTGTTCATGGGAAGCTTCCTTGGAGCGTTATCTACCCCTGTGCCAGACGACGGCGACCCCCTAAATATCGATGCGTGCGGCCTCGCGGGAATTGACGTGGATCCAGATCCACAGGTCACTCTGGATAACCCCTTCACGCTAGCTGTACAGGCAAACGACTGGACAGGGCCTATCAAACCTCTACGACCTCCAACTACCGACCCGTCGTCACCTCCTCTGCTTTATGGGGACTCCAAGGCTAGCCTAATGCTAGTCAACGGGTCCCTAATATCAATGCCGGTTGAATCGAACAACCAGAAATATTTCGCCAGTTTTCTAGCTTCATATGGCATCGCTTTGCTTTGGTTCCAATCGACTTACGACAATGTCCAGAAGCAGAAGGCTGCGCCATTCGAGGCAAAGTACGTATGCAACACCGAAACAAAAGTCTGCCCAGCGGATCCTTGCTTTCAGACCTGATATAGCGAAACGTAAGTTGTATGGGTTAGCAAAAATGGACTGCGCCAGCGCTAATTCTACTAGAATATGGTCTTTCGGTGTACGACAAACCGTTGAAAACGTCCGGGAATCTGGTTGTGAGGCAGCTCAAGAAAGATGGAACATCGAATGGGAGAAAACGCGATTTGATCGTTTTAGTAAGTGCCTTTCTGCCACCCCTTTCCCAGAGCTCGTCTGAAAGCGCTGACTCGTTTCGCAGTCACACTACTGCTGGATCGCTGCGACGCAAAGTCTCGATTTCGAGAGGCAGTTCATCAAGCACGAGGTCGATCCAAAATCGAGCTCGCAAATGCTGACTTCTGCAATAATGGTCGATCCGGCTCCGTTGGGAGCAGCACTCTTAATAGCTGCAGGTCATATTGCGTCAATTCGCGCCAGACCCATGACCAAGAAAGTAGCCAAGGGCATCTATGCAATCCGTGGCCACGTTCTGCGCACTATCAACAAGACGATGCAGAACCACGAGCGTGCTGTGTCCGATCTCATATTAGTCGCTATCCTCATTCTTGCTGGCCACCAGGCGCTACAAGCTTCTATCGAGAGCTATCACGGCCACATGCGAGGTTTGGTACAAATGATTAATATCCGCGGAGGACTTGCGAAGCTCAACGAAACGTCGCCGTATCTCAGAGAGCTCATCATGTGGCATGATGTCAATGTCTCGACTATTGTCGGCTGCTTGCCGTACCGCCGGCTTATGATAGACAGGGCGAACGATCAAGTTGTGGAGGCCAATTCTCGGATGTGGTTGCTGAAGGATGTCTAATGATGTCGTGAACTGCCACTAAGCTACGACATGCTCAATGTTGAACAGGAGAGAACAGACCATGTCCAGCGTATAGTGCCGCCGAAGCATTTACTGTACGGATCACAAAGATAGAAATGCTTTCTCTCTGTAGCAAGCGCCCATGTGGAAAGACACCGCGACGACTTCCTGTCTCTGTCTTGGATCTCCATGTACGACGTTGTAGCTGGCTCTTCACTTCTTGATGGACATTCTCTCCACTGAACCACGATGGGAAAAGTCTGACTCACCGTCCTTCTCTTCTACTCCAGAGCTCGATCACAGCCCAAATGAATGCAGTCCTTCTTGAGCAAGACGAGCTGGTTGCCCCCAGCCTTAATCGGACCTGAGTACTGACAGTAGCCGAGCGCAGTTTGCGAGCGAAGGAGAATTTCGGTCTAGATTTGCTCGCGCATCTTCACCATGGCATATTAGCACTGGGGTCTGGATCTAGTAATGTGTCCCTGAGATGTCTACGACTCTTTCTTGTGGCAGCCTCTTGCCAGACCTATTTCTCATCGGCATGCCATGCTCTAGGTGCGTGACTTGCCCCTACTCAACTCCTACTAATACATGCCCGCGCTAGACATTGCCTGGCGCCCTCACAAGCTCAAAAAGAAGTGTCGCAGTTTAAGGCACTTTGTGAACACCAGTCGAGACTGCACACCATGGGTCTTCGATATGTTGGCTTTCCATCTTTTCTACTACTTTTTTTCATGCTATTAGAACTTTCGCATACCAAAGGCTGCGTTTGTAGGACCGAGAGCTACAATATGGCTTGCTTTTCCAATACAAAAGTTGTTGCGCCAGGAAGCCCCTCCGACCACGGGTAGTCCTTGAAGGACCATGGAGCACGGTCGACGAACAGGTGCATGTGCTGTATCGGACTTGCCTTAGTCGTGAAGTGATACTAAAGCAGAAGAGTTGCTCATTGCAGCCGAAGTGTTCGAACGCATCAACGGCGGGGTTTAGGCGTCGGCTACGTATAGAGATCCAGGAGGCCTTGCAGGCGGTCCGTTGGCGCCAATTCGATACCGCGGATACTCGGTCCAGGAATACTGTGGCAGGCGTTCTGAGGGCAGTTCTGGGCTCAAGGCGAACGTCCATTCTCTACGATTTGCGCCATTGTTTCCAGCTAGTGATATTGGTCAGGAATTCTGCGGAAGAAGCAAAGCTGCTGGGGTTCTGAAAAGACACGGTGTCAACGGCTCCAACATACCGTCACCGTGCGATACCCCATTGCCCGACTGTTGCGAATATTCGTCTCTTGACATATCTTGCGCTCGGTTTTGACATGATTGCTGTAGTGGTTGTAACTGCTGCGATCGCTTTATGTCTTCTTCGTGGTGAGAAGAAACTGGGATACGACGGAAAGAAATCGGGGCCCTTGTTGTCGTCGATGAAGTCCGTGTGGTCGCGGATCCTGCGATTTCACTATCTGGTCAGCTACTGCCGGTCAAACTTGTGGTGTTCGGCGTATACCTGACCTTAAGATTGGCGAAGTCCGGAGCCATGTGGCTTGTGGCTTTCAACCGCCTGTTGATGGTCGGTAGGATTCTTGTGTCGAACGGCGTGCTCCTCTTGGCCTTACGCAAGTTGGTGCGATGCGAATGTCGTGCCGCAGCCGAGCGAACGAGTCTTCGAGATGCTTTGCCTTGGTCTCCGTAAAAGAGAATGCGGTCCATGGTCGTTATCTCACTCTTGGCGTTGCGATTGATCTCAGATCCAGGTGACAGATGTCCCAAAGCTTGCCGTACCGCGTTGCGGAAAAGTGTGCCATATAAGAGAAACATTTCGTAATGAAGGCAAGACTGTGCACTCAACTCATGTTACACCGGTCACCCACCATGGTGTCATGTGCACATGGGCTCTGTTCTGCGTGGCACAGTGCAAAGCTCACGGCACGGACGGCAAAAGTCGTATTGCCGTTCTCGCTTGGAGACATAAACTGCAGACCAAGACAGATCGTCCTAGTGAACCAAATTTGAAGGTGGGAAAAATGGTCGCATATTTCTCAATCCAACGACACGAGGAACAGCGACACTACACGCGAGGCCAGGGGAGCGTCACCTTCCCCTTCCTCACTACTGCACTGCCCATTTTAGGACGGCGCACCTTCCTCATGCTCTCAAGCTTATACACCAGAAGTTGGCTCTGACGCAGGTTTAGGTCAGCGCTCAAGTGGAACCCCAACAGGTAGTCGCGAAAATTCTAGGTCTGCATCACATGCTCGGCTCAAAATCTCCATCATCTATGTGAGTAGTAGCTCATCGGCGATTATAGTCGAGCGTTACGAGGAGCAGGCGAACAAGCTGCCAGGTGATTGACATATCGTCGCGAGCTATCGCACGGCACTTAAGAGAAGGCATTCCACCGCTACACGAGCTCAGAATTCGAGCTGCGCCGGGCTTTGCCCAAGAGCAATTGCATCCAACCCGCTCAAGACCATGGCCCTACCTGCGAGAAGGATGCACGACTCCGGCGAAACTGCCACTCCACGCGCGCAAAGTAGCCCTCAAGACCTTTGGTACACTCGAGTGTACACATTATCGAGCATCGTTGCGCCGAGGTCACCCAGAATATCGCCGTACGACGTCGTAAATTCGACTTTGCCTAGCCGAACAAAGTCGGGAGAGAAAGCCCCTGGCGACATCTGCTGCGTAAGACCGCCCTCGGACGTGAAACTGAACGTTTGTTTCGCCACCTCGGTTCCGTCTGTGCCATAACCTGTCCCGCCGTGAGCGACTATCGGGCCAAGATGTGGGAGAGGTACATACCAGTCGCGGTGATCTCGCAGCTAGCCGGGATCCCGACGTTAGAGTCGGTGTCGGCGTTGCAGCCATAACGGATACTCTCGGCCTGGCCGGGAATGTACAAGTCGAAGTATTCGACGGAAGACGATTCATAGTTGGACGAGATATAGGCCGTGCCTACTTCCAGCGCGGTGCGCACACCATATCCCGCGATGTTCGGCGGCGTGTAGGGCTCGACGCCAGTGATGGTCGTGACATCTCTCTTCAGAGCAGCGTCGCCTCCGAGAAAATTCCCTGTTGCAGATTCAGTTTCGGGTCTTGCAGATACTCTGGGAAGGGCCATACACTCGAGGAGGTTGTACACGCCGATGGCCCCGACGGTCCCCACAAGAGGAACATCGTTCGAGAGGGTCTCGAACTGTGGGACTGTTGTTAGCGCTTCCAGGTATGAACGCTGCGCTGGCCACACTCACATTATTGTTAATAGTGAAGACTTGGTATCGACTGGACTGTGGTAAGGCAGTGGCCAGCCCGGACGCCAGTGCTGTAAGTGCGAGGTAATACGATCGCATTGTCATATTGATGGAATGGGTTGTCGGACAGAACCCTCTGTGGACAAGGAGAACACCACGAGCTGCATATGAAGGCACGACACTTTTATACCCTTCGATCGCGGATCCTGCATCCCGAGCGGGTGAGTCACTACCAAGAAGGAATTGTGTTGTGGCCCGTGAATTGGGTCTTTTCCTCGTTGACGAATTGCAACGATCGTTCTGGGCATCTGATCTCGGAGCCGTTGTCGAGGCGATCGAAAAGAGTAAGCAGACCTTCCCGACTAAGCCGCACGACGTTCATTGTGGAAGCACGGGCAGCTTCCTGTGAGCTGATCTTCATCAAGACGATATACTAGCTGGGATGTAGGAGTGCTTCAGGGTCCTATTCAATGACTCGGAGATGTTATCGCGCCTACCCACACGAATCGGAAATAAGTGTTAGGAATAGACGCTGTTTTGGGGGCGTGCAGTACGCGCGCTACCAACTTCAAGGTTTTCCGTAGGCCGCACGGCTGCGCGGGATCGAAAAGTTCAATCACAGCCCAGCAGTCGTCGGAATAACGGTGCCCGCCGAGCCGTGCTAGCTTTTTCAGGTCAATCTGCACCGCATCACCTAGAATGGGCCTCGCAAGCTACTAATTGGGGGCAGCACCATGGCCATCAAGAATACCTTACTCACTGTCTTGGAAGCCACGCTTGGTTCGCAAACGAAACTGCTCGCGACATATCCAGACCCTCCCTATAGCACGACCTCAGCAACATTAGCCAGCCTCTCCGACGTTAAACTTCAGAAAAAGCTCTTCCCTCTTGCATTTAAATTCAGCTCGTCCGAAGTAGCCTTCTACTCCGTCATGTCTTGGGCTACCCAGCTCCAAATTCAATACGCTCTCCTTCGTCTCCAACCAGCAACCGATACACATGGCCTCAGCAAACGACGCATCGAGTCACACGGTCGGGCACGAAATCTCTGCCAGAGCATGGAATACTGCCACCGGATTGAGATGGGTGCGTTCGGAACTCAACTCGCACTGTTCCCTAGATGGGTTCTGAAGCATGCTCTTCCGGTGGTTTGGGACTGCAAGGGAGATTGTTTGGTGTGAAGGGATCGATCGGATGGAGGACACGGGGTATAAATCTGGGATGGGTATGATGATGTTTCGAGACTTGTTCAGTGATGACGCAGTCTGCCATGATGATTGATGTGTCCAGTAGCCTTAGATTCCAGTCTCTTGAATGGAGCGGGAAAGTCCTTGTTGGAGATGGAATCATGGCAGCGATCAAAGGTACCTCAAGTTCAGGGGTAGGCCCCTTTTCCAGGGTATCGGCGTCTGAGGCACGCATAGTCAAAGCTTCTCGCCGTACTCAAGGCGTCCCTTTATAGTAAATGTCGCTCGTTCTCAGCTCCAATGCAAAATTTTCCTCCCTATTCTGTCGACAAATTGTGAAATGTCATTTAGTGGTCTTGAAATACGACACCAGTTGGTACTGTAGTGGCTAAGTGCTTCCAGATCTAATCAGCACTCGCAGACACTCGAACAAATAAAAAGCAAAAACAAAAGAAGCGTCTCGCAAATGACTGATGAAACTGTACATAGATGCGCACTCTCTAGCTATAGAAATCTCGTCACCCGCAATGACAATCTCACATCGCCACCTACAAGCTGAAAAGTTGTATTTATCGCAGAATCTGCGGCATGTCGATCAGCCTGACACCACCCTTGCACTCGTCATGATGATCAGAACGACCTGCCTTGACCAAACTAGCTTGTCGTGTTTGCAAGCTATGCACTGAAGCCTGCCAAAGTTCACTGGGTGCCCTCCGTCGGCCAGCTGCCAGGCCATGAAATGGCGGGAGTCTGATGAAGGCTGGTAGCTCTCAGTCCAATGGAGCCGAGCCTCTTACGATATCTCCGTATGAGTCGTTCACATAGAGCGCACTGCAGAAGACGCATGTGCCACGGCTCACACCGCAGTCTGTGAGCTTGTCATGTTCATGCTTCTTGGTGCGAAGCTTCTCCAAGTTTTGAACGTCTTGTTCCTCTGTCGTTCCATTCATGACAATCCAAAGCAGCTCGACGCTACATCTGATCCGCTCCTGCATCTCATCCAGCTCCTTTTGGACAACGCTTGCTGAACAACATCGTACAGAGCGCCCAAAGTATCATTCGGCAACAGGATGGCAGTGTGCTTGTATGCCCCAACGATTCCATCGTTCTCACTCGTCCACCCACGTGGTGAGTTGCATCCTGATCTCTTGCGGCTTGAATGATAATTTCAACCGGTGACATCAAGTGTGGTAACAGAAATAGTGCTTTAGTGCAGCTCGAGTGAGCGCTCGCATGCTATTGTGCAACGAGTCGGGGTAAGTATCTGAATCGATACAGTCGCAGCCCAGGTAGCCTTCGTCTTCGTCCTCCTTCCCTGCTCCGACGATGTAGTATTTCATATAAAAACAGATTGTCCGTTCATCGTCTGTCGACTCGAACTCTCTGCTACAAGATATAGCGGGATGGAATTCGTAGTGTCCAAATGTGCCCTTGAGGAAGAGTTCAAGACAATATTCACGTTCTGGAGCATCCCGGCTGTCGTGAGCGAGCAGCATAACTCGTTGTAGCTTGATGGAGCCGTCTATGGCAGCCTTGAAAGTCTTGTTGACTCGTTGCACGACGAAGAGATCCATGATGGCAGTGGTGAAATTCTCGTCGTCATCGGCGTGGCGGTCGTCAAGCATGAGGAGGATATTCTCAAGCACCTCAGGTATCAAGAAGACCTTTTCCGCCATGTTTGAATCATCGCCGCCGTCGGAGGTCGATGTGGTATCTGCGGCAGTGACCATGATGGCGGCGGGGGTGTGGCTTTTCGGCGCCCGTGTGAAGATGTCGCAGTGCGGCTATTTGTCGCATGCAATTATAAGGTGTACTTCGCGTGAAGTGACGGGATGCGATGATGAGGTGTATGTAATCGGCGTGAAGTGGAACAAGCGAGCGATATTGGAAATGCCGTGTTGGCCGTGCCTGCCTCATGCGACATTGTGGCAGGTGCCGCTGAAGCAAGCCACGACCTAGAATTGATATTGGGAAGGAGCAACGACGCACGGACGCCCCTTCACATGCCCCACTGCGTCCATTCACTTCATCTGACTTCCCCCAAGAAACAAATCACTCACCGTAGGGCAGCCAGACGCTATTCACGACCGCTGTGCCAGTCACTGCGGGTTGACATCATATTTCTGGACCAGCTTGCCGGATCCAGGCAAACGATCCCATTGAGGGATCGAAAGGCCATATATAAAAGGAGGCGGCAGTTGGAAAGTGTCCCATCAAGCATCGAGTGATTCGTCTTGAAAGATGGGAAACCGCGCTTCGAAGCTGAAGAGGCGCACGGCGGAAGACCAAAGTTTGTCAGCTGCAAAGGCCAGCGAACAAACATCAACCTCCCTCCCAAGACTGCGAGAGCCAGAGCATAAAACCAAACCCGTCTTCTTGACTCGCTCAGAAATCAACCAAAAGCCCTCAGAATCCTTCCCCGACGCAAGCAAAGGCCGTCTAATCTGGACGACTCTCCTCTCCTCAGGCCTCACAGCCTCAGAAAAACTCACAGCAGGAATCGCAACCTGTCCACCAAGCGTAGGATTCCTCGGGCATCATCGCCACGAGCAAGCCGAGTTGTACTTCATCTTGGAAGGCGAAGGGCTGATGAAAGTCGATGATGTCGAGCGTAGAGTCGAGAGGGGTGGACTGGTCTTCATTCCGGGAAATGCGGAGCATGGCATTTCGAACTTGAGTGGTGAGAAAGACCTTGTGTGGCTGTATTGTTTTCCGACGGATCGGTTTGAGGATGTGGTGTATAAGTTCTCGAATGAGTAGGAGGCGATGGAGCCTGGTGTGACGAGAATATCTGCTTGATTTCCATTAAAGTCATTACTATCTTGTTATAGGTTACTTGCAAAAGATGGCGTGTCGGGTATCGTTGAACAAATGCTTTGCGCTGAATCGTTTCACCACCGAATATTAATGCTCGACAAGATCAAGCCTTCTTGGAATCGTCTCCATTCCCTGCCCCGTTGCCAGGAGCAGAGTCGTCCTTGGCCTTGGCCGGAGCCGCAGTGGTAGCAGGACTTTCATCGAGATCAACAGGCGCCGGTGCTGGAGTGTCTACAACTGGCTTCGCTTCTTCAGGTTGCTTGCCTTTCCCATCAGCAGGCTGGGAAGCCCCAGCACCGGCATCTTTAGCAATATCATCGTCTTTCTTCGCCTCTGGAGCCTTTGTCGCAGGACTTTCATCAGGATCAGCAGCAGCATCGGGTATCGCTGGAGCTGGACCAGTAGCGGCACCAGAAGGACCAGAACCAGCAGGTAAGTTCGGTGGCATAGTTGGTAGAAGCGTTTGACCAGTACGGCTCCTGAGCCCAGCATTGTGCGGATCCTGAGTGATTCCAGTACCATAGAAGTCCGGATCATTCATCGTATTCGTCTTGACAGCCCGATCGTACAGTCTCGTCAACCTCGCCACTTCGCTGCGTACGGTAACCGACTCATCTGTATCAATAGCATCGTAGCCGTGCGCTTTCTGCGAGATGCCTCTCCACATAATAGCCGAATTCTCGATTTCATCCACGACTCTGTCCAGATCATCCCGAAACATGCGCGCCCTCATGGGTTGCCCTCGAGATTTGAGGAATGCGACCAGACCGGCAATGATCGTGTTCAAAGCCCCAAAAGTCGTAATAAGAGCACGGCTCTGATCGCTCGCCCCAAGTCCAGTGAGTGTTGCTCCCAGGACAATCTGCGCGAGGAGCAGTGTATTCGTGAACGCCGAGCTGAAAGCGTGAATCCTGCCCTGGTTCTTGCGATGATGGAGGGCACGATGGTACAGCGTATCTTTCGGAGGATAGAAGTCTTGGTCTGCTGGATGATCGATCGGACGGTTGCCCATCAACAAGCAGAATTGCTTGTACGCATCTGGGAGGCTCTCCTCGTCCTGCGCGCCGTATGAGCCGGGAAATTGGAGCAGTGATGCTCGCTCGTCTGCTTCGCTGGTAGACATGTCTTAGTAAGACCTTATCAGTGCACACTAGAAGCCGTGTCCGTCGTCGATTGATGTTTTGGTCGCTGAAGAAGGGAAGAGAGAGGAAGAGCGCAGATCAATGGCGATGCTCCAATCCTCCATAGCCGTTGGGCACGTGCAGCGCCACATATTTGGTGATAAGAGCACAGACATCTCGGAATCGTCCCTTGAAGCACAATGGGTGCTGTTTCGAGCGTGCCTTGCATCCATGGAGAAGGAGGCCGAGTTACAAGATCGTTCGAGAGCATTGCAAGTCCGTTCTTGTAGGTATTTGTTGGCTGTAGGTGCAAGACACGTCTCTGCTTTCGAGTTTGAGCAAAACACGCTACGAAACTCTGATTTGACAGTGTCCAATGGTTTGCTTGGCAAGGCTGTGAGCTGTACATCGACAATAACGATCACGCCACCAAAGCAGGCATTTCGCATTGGCATGTCGAGGTTCTGTAGAGGAATCTTCAGAGCACGAAGGAAGCATTTGCTGCAATTATGGGATCTATGAAAGCAAGCAGCCCAAGAACAACCGAAAAGATCAATGCGAAGCACAAAGTATGCCCAAACCAAGACACCGAAACCAAATATTACCCCCAGCTGTACTCAACCGAAAATTTCTGACCTCCCTCAGTGGAATGACTGTAATGCCTGCCCATGAAGCTGCTGTTGATGTGGTAAAGACATATGAATGCCGAACTGCGCTCCGTCGTCTCTGTCCGACCCATTCTCCAAACACCATCTCTTCCCGTGAATGTTCTCACGGTATGCTGGAACAGGCCATGACAGCAACAGAATTCCATCAATCTCTGTCCCCATTCTCACACGGGTCGGGCGTGGCTTCCCAGCCTACCGCCCGAAAAGTGGCCTCGTGCAGGTCTTCGTTGCGTAGACCGTGGCCGGACGCAGCAGTCACCCCTCGATACAGCCTTGTCCAATCCTCACCCGTGTACCTGCTTTGATGCATTGGACAAGTACAGAAGACCCAAACGAACAGCTGAAAGCTCAGATCGAAAGCTTCAAAGTACAGGTCTTTCGTATCCAAACCCGCCTCGAAAAGTCGTCGGATCGTCAGAAGTTGCTGGACGGCATGTTGCCAGGTTTGAGTCGTGTAGGTTATGGCGCTGGAACAACGGATGTCAGAGGGGTAGTGTGGGCGGCAGCGAACGCCAAGGTCGGAGTTCGTAGCGATGATGGAATGGAAGTCGCGTTCTAGTGTACGGCGGTCAGGGAGTCCGTGGCGACGATGCTGCGGCGCTGGCATGATGATGGGTGCTGGCATGAGGATTGGTGCTGGCATGATGGTGATAGCTGGGATCTCCGTGACAAGATCGTGGACGGTGCCGCTGATGTAGCTGCCTCGTTTTAGAAGGTGGAAGAATTGTGGCGTTTCGAGGTGAATAGACTCGTGGAAGAGACTTTGAAGAGCTCTGAATGGCACTTGTGAATCAGAATCAAATGCAGCGCTGCCTCCTTTTTATGCCTTCTTGACAGTCCTTCATAGCAAGGCATTGTGAGTTGCCGCATCTGGAAGCTGGCACAGCAGCGACAACTCGGCTCTTCTTGACGTTTGGCGAGACTCCAAGTCGCGTTCCTTGTAGAGGCCATTTCGCTGCCCGCGAATCGCAAGTTGACAGTGTTACGCCGGCATGGTATGGTTGATGCAGCTATCCGTCTCGCCAAGGCAGGTGTCCGGAAGCTTGGCCATTGTGAAATTGGCACTTTGCGGCCATTGTGTGTCGAACATCACTTCTTGGGGGTTTCCTTGGGGTTTTTGATGCCATCCTCCGTCTTTGCGTTGTAAGAGGCGTCGAACGTGGGCTTTTGTCGACAACATATGTTGTAGACTCTACGATGCAGTCTTGCGGAGAGGTTCACCCCTTGCCAGCAGGTGCAGGCTTGTGCGACCAACGCTATGGACTCTGCTTATGCCTGGCTTCAATCTTGGTGGACCTTGCCGCAGCCCCGCCGAACCAATATGCGAGACCATGTCAGTGCAGCTACTTCCGTTTCTACCGCACCAATGCCATCTCGTTCCTGGCGTTCCGTAGCATGCCCAATGCTCATATGAAGCGTCGGGTTGCCCTTCTAGTTCTTAGGAAGAGTCGTGCAACAACATTGCTGTGCCGGAAGACCGTGCCATCGAGACCGCCCATCTGAGATGGCGTCAGGTACTGCTGATGATTGGAGCCAGCGAGGCGCGGACGCAGGCAAGGTGGATTCCTTTGCCGCAAGATACGCGACATCGTCCTCTCAACATTGCTTCACTTGCCGGAGAATACTCCTAACAATCTCATGACAAGTGCTGGATCGGGATGTCTTTCCACGGGTTTGCCAACATGTTTTCTTGCCCCATTTCTTTGAAACTCTTGTGCAAGTCCAGTGGTGGACCTTGGATCCAACTTTAGCCTAACTGTTCCATCAGCCTTGCTTGACATGTCTCGAGATACGACTGAGCGGTGTAGCTAGGACAAGTGGCCGCGGGTCGTGAGAGGATTTCATCGTGAGTCACGATGCAGGGTGGCATTCGACCCTCTCATCGCCGAACATGAGTCCCAGTGGCCAAGCCCCTCTCCTCACTCTGTACACTCAATCCCATCAGCCCCTTGATAGGTAAAACACCTCCACCGACCCTCACTCTTCCGAAACTTCATCAACCCCACGCTCTTCCTCACAACGCCCTTTGGCACACCCCCAACCTCCACATTCAGAAAGACCTCCGCCGTGCCGGCCTTATCATTGACATGCGAATTCACATCCGATAGCTTGATGGAGTAGTCCGGGTTCGCATCTATCACAGTGCGGATGTACTGCACGTAGTCTTCCAGGTTAAGCGGGGCGTGATCCCAGGGTGGCATTGGCGAGGCACTGAAGAATGGGTCGATGCAGTCGAGGTTTGGATCGGAGAGCGAAGGTGTGTCGGTAGATAGCAATCTGCCATTGATTGCCGTCACGAAGGCGCGGGCGATTGTTTCGAGATGGAGTGCTGTGGCTCTGATGTATGGGTTGTCATCTTGGCTGTTCATGATGGAAATGTCGCTTGTGTTTGCCACAATGTTCGCGAAGTCGGATCTGGCTTTAAATTGTGGTGACGGTGTTCGGGCCGAGTATCGTCTCTCGTCAGTGTTAAAAGTTGTTGAGTTGGATTCTGCGCAGGGGGATGAGTAAGTCTGTACGATGAGGCGATGCATCGATGAGCCATTCCTGGAGACATTAATCAGCGTCATATCTCCGTAGCTGTCGACGCTATGAGGTATTGTCCTGGGAAGGACGCCTTGGCGCGTCTGGGCGAAGGGTTCAGCTGAAAAAAGTGGCCGACTCAGAGTCACTGCTGGCGAGCACGCGTCGCGACTCTTCGATCTACCATATGCCATTGTACATGAATTAGCTATTGGACTACTCGAGTACAATATACTTATGCAAGTGCTCTGGTACTGCGCCGAGCAGATTCTTGCTCTCCAACCATTTCCGCGAGAACAACCTGTCGGCGTACCGGTACGCGCCGTCGCAAAGGATGGTCACAATCGTGTTGCCCGGTCCGAGTTTCTGGGCAAGATCCCTCGCCGCTGCGACATTGAGACATGAGCTGGCGCCAAGATACAGACCCTCTTCGTCCAAGCACCTGTACACCATCTCGATACTCTTCTCATCTGCGATGTGAAGTGCGCCGTCTAGCAGAACGATATCTGGCTTCAGGTTGTCGGTGATGCGGCCCTGTCCAATGCCCTCGGTGATAGATGAGCCAGATCGGTCGACGAGCTTTCCGCCGGATGAGACGTAGGTGTAGATGACTGATCCAGGAGGGTCAGCAACATAGCACTTGACCTTGCCGTTGGAGACAGTCTTTAAGTATCGCGTGCAACCGGCGATGGTACCGGCTGTTCCTGAAGCGCAAGTAAAAGCGTCAAGCTTGCCGCCAGTCTGCGCCCAGATCTCTGGTCCGGTGGTTTCGATATGCGCTTGACGATTCGCCGTGTTGTCGAATTGGTTCGTCCAAACTGCATTCTCCAAGCTCTCTGCATGTCTCTTGGCCTGATGGTTGTAGTTCTGCGGGTTCTCAAATGCCACAGCTGGCACGGGGTACACCTCAGCCCCAAGTAGTCTCAGCAGATCGATCTTCCCTTGCGATTGAGTGTTGGGCATGTAGATGACGAGCTTGTAGCCTTTGCTTCTGCACACATGCGCAAGACCAATACCAGTATTTCCAGCAGTTCCCTCAACAACCGTGCCGCCTGGCTTCAGCAAGCCCTTCTCTTCTGCGTCTTTGACCACGTATAGCGCTGCCCTGTCCTTCACGGAGCCACCAGGATTTTGGAACTCTGCTTTTCCGAGGATCTCGCAGCCAGTCTCGTCTGACAGCTTCTTCATCCGAATGAGAGGGGTGTTTCCAATTGCTGAGGGGCTATCAATCAGTCAACCATGATACACTGACAGCATGTTCTTGACGAACCAGAAACAAAGCCATTCTGTGCGATGCGCTGGGCGTTGGAGATCTCAATGCCGTGGGGATTCATGCTGTCGACCGCCGTCGCCGAGAAGGTCGAAGCAGGCCGTATTGATCGAAGTGCTGCAGGCCTCGTCGCCGCCCGCAAAGCTGTTCGCGCAAACATTGTGGTGAGTGGTGGAGGAAGAGGATTGAAGCTCCAACAGATCGGCAAAGTTTCGAGGTCGGATGCGGGGCACGTCATTGGCCGAACCTTAAATCTCGGCTTGTTTACCTTTGTAAACACTGCGTCTTCCAACAACATCTCCTCTTCAGACACTCGACCAACAACAACTAACGACGACACGATGCCTGGACGGACGGCGAGCAGCACAGCGCGTACGAGGCGCACGACATCCACCAAGAATCTCCGCAACAGCTCTCCTGTCACCGAGGTCCCGGACGAAGGCCCCGATTCCTCCCTACGACGCGCTGTTTGCACCGCATTTGCAGACTCCCAGAAGTCCACCGCGGCGCATCGCAAGACGTGCATTGCCCTTCGCAAGCTACAGGAATCATGCTGCTATGAAGTGTCCAGCAGCAAGAAGAAGCAGACGGAGGAGTTTGATGCAGACGACTTCAATCGCGAAGTGATAAGATGCATACTGCGGATCTTGCCAGTCAAGAAAGCAGAGCCTGTGGGAGACAGAGTGGTGCGATTCCTGGGCACATTTTTGAATGAAGCCAGCCAGAAGGACAACGAGATCTTGCAGCAAGATGCGGACGACGATGCTTTACCAGAGACGCCAACAAGCGTGCTCACAACTCAGATCCTGAGCACTCTCCTACCGTTACTGCAGGCGAAGGACAAGACCATTCGATTCCGTGCTACGCAAATCACGAGCCATCTGATCAACAGCTTGGATACATTAGACGATACTATGTTCCAGCAACTACGATTCAGACTACTGAAACGGATCCACGATAAAGAAGCGCCAGTGCGATTACAAGCGGTCTATGGTCTGGGTAGACTGGCGGCGGAGGTAGAGGACGAGGAAGATGAGGACTCTGACTCAGATGATGAAGTTGGAGCTGGTGTTCTAGCAAAGCTGCTCAACATATTGCAGAACGATCCGGCCGCTGAAGTCAGACGCAATCTTCTACTCAATTTGCCGCTCACCAAGGATGTTCTCCCATACTTGCTGGAACGTGCCCGGGACGCAGATTCAACGACTCGACGAGCGCTGTACGGCCATCTTTTACCTGGCCTGGGTGACTTCAGACATCTCAGCTTGACCCATCGCGAGAAGCTTTTACGATGGGGTCTACGAGATCGCGACGAAGCGGTTCGCAAAGCAACGGCCAAGCTGTTCTGCGAGCGTTGGATCGAGGACTGTGCAGCTCTTCCCGCGGCTCAAACATCAGAAGAGGGTGAACAGGACAAAGACGGCAAGAAAGTTCCTGTTGCATCTTTGGACGCTTTGCTCGAACTTCTCGAGCGTATAGACGTGGTAAACAGCGGTATCGATGGTGGGATCGCTCTCGTCGCCATGTACGAGTTCTGGAAAGGCCGCTCCGACTACGTCGATTATGTTTCGTTCCCTGATAACTTCTGGGAGGATCTGTCGCCTGAGTTGGCTTTTGTCGCTCGCACTTTCAACGACTTCTGCCGAACTGCAGGACCTGAGGACTACTTTGGGCCGCGACCTCTTATTGAGATGGCGGAAGAGAAATTGCCTGAAGTTACGAAATTTGGTTTCCTGCTGGAACGAGAAATCAAAAATTTGATCGACGCAGCAATGCTGGCTGCCACAGAAGAGGAGGATGCAGATGTTGAAGAAGACCTTCACCATCGAGAGTTCGTCGTCGAGCAGATGTTGCAGATGGCTTTGACCTTCGACTACAGCGACGAAGTTGGACGACGCAAGATGTATGCTTTGATGCGGAACTCTCTGGCATTGCCCGACTTGCCGGAAGAAGTCACGCGCTTGGCAGTCGAAGTCTTGCGTCTCGTCTGTGGCGAGGACAACAAGGGCGAGCGGGATTTCTGTGGTGTCGTTCTGGAAGCCATCGCCGAAGTTCATGATACTATCATGGGTGAGGACGATGGTACAGATGCTGACAGCACTGAGGATAGCTTCCACTCTGCAACCTCTCAACCAGACGAAGACGATACCATTGTGGTCGCCCAGCGAAAGGCGAAGAGGGCCAAGAAGGAGCTGGACCCACAGGCCGAAGCCGACAAGGCGGTGCGGGAAATCATGGTCAACATGAAGTGCTTGCATATCGCCATGTGCATGTTGCAGAATGTTCAATGCGACATTGAGGAGAACGTTCATTTAGTGACCATGCTGAACACGCTCGTGGTTCCAGCTGTGAGAAGTCAGGAAGCTCCTGTTCGAGAACGTGGCCTGATGTGTCTTGGGCTGTGCTGTTTGTTGGGCAAGGTGAGTTGTATGACTCCGCTTTCCCTGATGTTTACTGACGAGAACAGAATCTTGCACAAGAGAATTTGACCGTCTTCTTGCATTGCTTCGCAAAAGGTGCTCCCGCCTTGCAAGCTACGGCACTCCAGATTATCACAGACATTCTTGTCACTCATCCTACGCTACTATCCGACCCAGCAGCGAGCGACGATTCCGAGTCAGAAGCCAAAGGCACGCAAAAGCTCATCACCAAGGCCTACAAGAAGTCTCTTGGCTCGAATGACGGTAATGTCCAGTCCACGGGCGCCATCGCGCTGTCCAAGGCAATGCTGTCTCGACTCATCACGGACACCGATTTACTTAAGCAGCTGGTCGTCACATACTTCGATCCGGACAGCGCGAACAATCCTCAATTCCGGCAGAGTCTGTCTTACTTCTTGCCCGTCTACTGTCACTCGAACGCCGAAAATGCGATCCGCATGGCAGAAATTACTTGCAGCATCATCAGCCGGCTCCACACGCTTCGCGAGACCTACCTGGAAGACGCCGAGGTCGAAGAAGATGCCGGTAACGGGGACATGGTAAAGATGAACCTGATCGGTCAAATGCTTCTGGACTGGACCGATCCTCGCAAGATTGTTGGCTTCGCAGAGTCTGCCAACGTTGTCGATGCTGCCGCCGGGGCAGCACAAACGCACTACATCGTTGCTGAGAACGTCCTCGAACGTCTGGTCACGAGTCAACCACATAAGGACGAGAAGAAGGTGCTCTTCTCCATGCTGAACAAGCTTCACTTGCCAGCCAATGGAGCAGACCCTGAGCGTGTCAAGACTGTCCTGGAACTGTGTGCTGAAGCCGTCGAGACGAAGGTGTCGCCCACAATCACGGACAAGAACTACTTGACCAAGATTCAGAACAACCTGATCAAGATCATGCACGACTACGCGACTGAGGAGCGTGGTGGAGGCGGTGCTGAAGAGACGGTGCTTGAAACGACAGAGGTCGACGATGAAGGCGAGACGACTGTGCATGTCGTCCATGGAGCAGAGGACGAAGAGGAAGAAGACTTGGATTCAGACGTGACGCAACTACAGCAGGATATGAAGGATGCTACAATCGGCGCCACAACGGTTGGCTTCACGACTGGAATCCCCGATGCTGAAGGCACAAGGATTGAGATGGAAGACTCGGAGATGATGGATGTTGATGACTAGATGGTGAATGGCGGATGGTTGGGCCTTGCGAGGATTTCTTGTTTCGTATTTCGCCACGGCTTGTTTAGAACGGGGTTCCGATTGACGGCGTTCACAGAGTCTAGGAACAGGAGTTGACGAATGATACCAGAATGACTTTCCTCTTACCGAGATTGGTCTCGGGACGTACCAATTTCTTCAATTGTGGCCCCAGTGCTGCTAATATTCATGACCAAAGCCGACCCAAGGCGACATTCTCAACAGCATCGCTTCTTCGCTGCGCCGGTCTTACACAACACCCCGATTCAAAAGGCCATGACCTAGTCCGTTCTCATCCGTAAAGGGTGGCAGCACATACGTACGAGAACTCGCGACAAGCGTAATAACTAGGTAAAAAATTCGGATCGCGGCGTCGATTATTAAACGACCGCGCTTGGCATTTCGCACCGTAAGCAAGTTGACAAACGGGCTCCGACTATGCTATGGACCCGCATACTGGAGTTAGGCCGAGCATTAGGAATCCTATGAAGAATATGCACCGCAAAGTCTAGGATTCAGGGGTCGAGTGTAGTATCGAGTGTACTATAAGTAAATCCCTTTTCGCTGTCTACGATGTGATTGTTCAAAGGCTAAAGAACACTAAAGCAGAAATCGATATGTCCACTACTCCAGAATCTATCTTCCTCACTGGCGCAACAGGATACGTTGGCTCTGCTCTTCTGCCTATCTTCCGCGAGGCCTTCCCACAAACGCCAATCACTGTTCTCGTCCGCCAAGCGACTCAGGGGGAACTCATCACAGCTGCCTATCCGAACACCACGTTCGTTCAAGGCACACATGACTCGACGTCTCTCCTGAAAACCACCGCCGCCACCTCGCACATCGTAGTCCACGCCTCAGACTTCGACCACGCAGGAGCAACACAAGCCCTTCTACCTGGCACAATCGCTCGCCAGCGCGCCGGCACGCAGCCACAAGGCATCTACATCGGGATCTCAGGCGCCGCATCAACAGTAGAGATCAATGGAGAACTCGGCGAACTCTCACCCAAAACCTACTCGGACACCACCAACTGGGACGAAATCCTCGACTTCCCCTCTTCCCGCCCACACGTCGAAATCGAGCGCCAGGTCACGCGTGACAGCGAAGCTGCCGGCGTCCGCGCCGTGGTGCTCGCCCCACCAGAGATCTTGCACTCGGGACTGGGGATTGGGAAGAAAGACAGCCATGCGCATTACCACATCAACCGGGCGCTGGACGCTGGAAAAGGGCAAGTTCTCGGAAAGGGGAAGAATCGAACGAGTTGGATTCATGTGGAGGATTTGGGGGAGGCGGTCGTGTGGTTCATCCATGAGGCTATGAAGGAAGAGATGCGGGTGGAGTTTGGGATGAGAGGGTATTATCTCGCTGAGGCGGGGGAGATGTCGATGTTGGAAAGGGTGGGGGTTTGGGCGGATGAGTTGGTGAGGTTGGGCGCGATTGGGTCGAGGGATGTTGAGGAGGGGAGGGCTGGGGAGGTGGAGTGGGATGAGAAGCAGAGGTTTGTTTTGGGCGGGAATATGAGGGTGAGAGGGGAGAGGTTGAGGGAGTTGGGGTGGAGGCCGAGGATGACGGAGTGGGAGGGGTCGTTTAGGGGCGCTGCGAGACAGGAGGTGGAAAAGTGGAAGGGGCTGAAAAATGTGAGGTAAGTGCCATGCGATGGATTCACCGCCTGTCTCGGGTGCACTTGGTGCTGGCGCGCCTTTTCTCGCGTTCCGTTTAGTTCAACCTCTGCGTCGTCTTGTTGCCGCCGCCATGACAACTAGATTCTTTTCCTCTTCGCCTACCTCCGTCAACTCCACCGAAGTAGTCTCCCAAGTCGGGAATGACGTCAGTCGAGTCGTTCTCGATACTGGTCTTCCCCGTGCCGACTCTGGGGTGAAGGAGGTTCTCCGCCCTTTTGTACCTTATTCTGATACAGCTAAGGGCTTTGGAATGAGGCAGAGCTCTCAAGCCCTCCACCACGCCTCTGGAGCTGTGTTGAAGCAGACGTTGACCTTGATGAACTGTGTTCGCAAGGGCCCATTTGATCGCAGGTCCAGTTTCCATGGATCCCAGCGGTCGTCGGGACGCCTGGCAACAAGATGCGATACGCACTGTACAGCGGCGACTCCAGATCTAGTAGTACAAGACAGGACAGCGTCCAAACAAGAGCGGGCTTCATGACGAGACGCAGGTGCTCTACTTGTATACGACGATATACGAAACCATTTTCGGCGAAGCACAAGGCACAGGATCTTTCTGTAGTCTGTGGTGAAAATGCAAACGCCTGACGACGCCTCTAGCTAACGTAGGCCGGTTGCGTGACCGGCAACCCCTCTTACTCCCGGTGTCTTCATCGGCACGTCGCTCTTCGTGTGCAGTAGCTGTGCGCGCACATCGCGAGGCGCCTTTCGCGTTTCTTTTGAGGTCGAAGGAATTTTTGCATCGTGCGATTGGCAGTCCATGCTGTAGTTAGGATCTTTCTTGGCCACACTCCAGCAAGCAAGAAGACCTCACTTAGCTGCAACGACGTTTGCAGTCACCATGTCTGCTGTTGATGTCAGAGTCTGAAATATACACTGGATCGTCCAGAGATAACATTGGCAATAGCGGAGGCAGTGCCGTTACAGTAGCGTACTTGCCTGCCGCACCGCCAGACTAGAGCGAATGATCTCTCTGGTCTGGATGCTTCGACAAGATTTTGGAAAGAGACGTGAGCTCTTCCCCATCACTTGCCTCGTCGGAGGCAGTTGGATTCTGACAAGCCCGCTTCTTTCCCTATTGATTCATGGCATTCTTGCAACGTCTTTTGGATCTGGTCGCTCCAGACGGCAAGCTCGAAATCAGAGTCTCTGCAGCCCTCTCTCTGAAACGTTTTACATTCTAGGTCCAGGATAGCTTAACCAATCTACTAGAGTATCTGTCAACTGACTGAGTGTCACTTTTGATGCTTGAAACTCTTTGATACGCCTTAGAGAACGCGTTTATTATATCTATGCCTAAAGTAACTCCAAACTCAAGACCCACAGTTACAGTTGAATGTAACCTCCTTTCCCTTCCTCTCCGCTCACCTCGACCTAAGTCACATTTGCCCGACGCAGATACTACAGAGCGTCTCATTTGCTACACACGAAATCTACATTCCACCTGCTACTGCGCTTCAACAGTTGTAATCAACCTCGATCCGAGTTGGTCCTACAAAGATTAAATCAGCGTTATGGAGTAAGTTCGTTATGCACAAGACTCACCTTGGGAGCCGCCAGCATAGAGCCAGACACTGCTCACGGGTCCAAGATTGGTCTTCTGTGTAGCATTGGCGATGAATTCATCAATAGCGTGATCCCAGATTTGCTCGATAGCTGGCGCCGACTCGGGCTTGTCTGCAAACAAACTGTACGTTGCGAACCAGTGCCCGACTTTGGAGCTATCGAATTGACCGCTCTTGCCGAGCTGCTGATTGATAGCATTGAGAAGATCGCTAACGGTCGACGTGGTCTCGCTGCTGAAATCGGGCTCGCACTGGCTATTGCCGACAAATGTGACGCAGCAATATCCTGGAATACCTGCATTACTGCAATCGGATGTCACATCGTACCTGTTTGTAGGGGTTAGTATGAGTGATGCGTGAGCCGCAAAGAGGAAAAGCTGCATAATCGTACCACTGCAAGTTATTGGCATCGGCAGGTGAGCCCTATATCACAGACGTCTGAATTTAGCGTCTAGTAGTCAACGAACTGATTCTAATGTTGATACGTACAGGGTCGCAGTAGCCTGGGAGGCCCGGCACTGTAACGCCATAAGACGCTGGAAAGGCGGCCAGGAGGCCCAGTACTGCAGTAGTGAACGTCGAAGTAGACATTGCAGGTATTAGAGTTATTTCGACGGTGGGTTGTTGCTGTTGTCGTTGAGCGACTTGCGGGAATGAGTAACGCGAAGCTGGTGTTGACGACGTCTCTTATATCCAAGTCGAAGCACTAACAGCCTTGCCGAATTCTCCTGTTCAGCTAAGTGGACACATCGTCGTCATGTAAACGACATAGAGCACAAATCTTCTCGGATCCCGTCCGCGTACTACTGTTAGCCGTTAACAACAAGCGCAGAATATGGATCCTAAGAATCGTTAGTTTTGGCGTCATCCTAAAAGCTGATCAATCGTAGCCTTCCCACTCTAGTACTAAGTCGTAAACATGGTAGCTCCTTCTTGAAGGAAATATACTGTCCTTCGCAACTAAGTTCAATTGACAAGCAGCACAGCGGGCCTTTCTTTTTCCTTTGGGCCTTTCCCCTCCTACGTTCAGTAGATCGCATACTTCGAGTAGATTCAGCCCAGCTCTCAAGCTGGGTACGGTGCTACGAAGCAAAACTGACAACATCTGTGAGTTCAACCTATACTGCGGATAGTCAGCGCCAATTTGATACTTCTGGATCAGAGGATAGTAGTCTATGAGCTATAATGGAGTAAGTATCCACTGGTGTTTTTACGGCTTAGGGCTCAGTGTCGGAACGGACAGTGAGGGCTGAATAGTTGAATCTTGAGTCTATGACAAAGGGGACCGCCAAAGTTTCATGTTCTATCGGGCTGCAAAAAAACACCGCATCGGTCGATCTTATGTCAAAGCGCATGAAGTTACGTGCTGACTAAAACTCTTAGTGCGATCCCACGCACACGTCCCATGGCACCTGGAGGAATATCGGACTGACTCCGATAACTTTCTAAAAGTCTTGCCTTTTGGAATAACTTGCGTTGAGGCGTCTTGCAGGCTCATGCTTACTGTCAGTTGCTCCCTTCTTACTCACATCGATGTAGCTGCCCTACAATGACAAATCTTGCAAAACTCCTTACCGCATCGCCGTCAAAGTTCCCACCACGAATGGTACAAGGGTCTTATGTTCCAAAGCTATGGACAGATTTCGTCACTTCATCGAACACTGACATCGACCGAAGAGGACGTTGCCACACTATGCTGATAGAGGTTCTTGCTCCTAGACGTACTGAAACGACATCGCTTCGCCAGGCATCAACAGGAGCCGGCTCTCCTAATGTCTATCACATAATGTCCGCGTCAGTTTGGGAACCCTCCCAATACATAAGGTCTGACGCTCTGGCTGTTAAAAAAACTACAAGGATGGATGCACATAGTCACCCGTTACATCCGTGGGTGGAGTCCTACCCTAAGTGGTATTATTCCTTCAGGATTTCCGTCCCGGTCCGCATTTCTCCAGCAATACTCGCCATGCGATCATGAGTGGTGGTCTCGAGTAGATAGGTACACGTTTTGCCAGAATTGCAGGAAGGGGCGTGGATCGACGGTAAGTTTGCTTTCTGTCCTTTGTTTGTCAGAAAATAAAGGATCAAGAGAACGATGACTCTCTCGAACTGCTGATGGCCACGCTGCTGACAGTGGTTGATGTCCCTGGTATTGCTGATCGAAGGGGTGTCTGTCGCAGGATAATACGAATCGTGTACCAGCCCTTCTCGGCGAAGAGTTTCGAGATCGTCGGGAGACTGATCGAATGTTCCTATGCCTCTTTATACTCTGCCGGGAATATGGTCACACAGGAATCGCCCCTCAGGCGTCAATGCCATGCCACGCTGCTCGATCTCACCGAAGCGTGCACGATGCTTCCGGTCGTGCCCCTGAGAGTTGGAAAAGGAGACTCGCTCCTATAGCGCAAGAAAGCTTGTCTGACGCAGCAACATAGGATTCTTCCGGGCGGGAGGCCTTCAATGTCCTGCTTGATCTGCATCCCTCGTCGGTCCATCTCTGAGTAAGCTGCTTCTATGTCCAGGACTCGGGGTGTCAGATGGTTGACATGGGGACCACGAAAGCATACTACATCTGCGAACAGTGGATGCGCTTTGTGCAGAGCCTGATAGGTGGCCAGGTCGACGGTCGAAGTCGGATGCCATTTGATCGTCTGTAGTGCTTCCTGGACAGAGTCCTCGGCTTCAAGTTGGCTCAAAATAGGTCTAGATTGGAATGCTTTTATTGTCTCAAGACATCGAGGGGTGAACATCTCTCGCCGAGCCAGGATCTCTTGCGCCTTCGCGAGGACATCATCATCGCCCAAAAGGTTCAGGCGAACGAGTGAAGTAGACATGCGGAACGGGTTGCGTTCGAGACATTCCGTTGTGAGTGGGCGGAAGCAGGTAGCGTGAACGGGAAGGCCAGCAACTGTGAGATCGTAGTAGCCAATAGGTTGCGTCCCCATGACTGGAACCAGTCGCCGCATAGTAGACAACTCCTCGGCTGTCCCTAGCCGGATTGCCCCATGGCACTCAACTTCTACCCGATGGTGAGAATCGCGGGCAAGTTCAATCGAATGTTGGCGATTGATATCAGACACTAGCACGAGAAGATCACCGTACAATGGAACTTCTTTTCGATACATGTCGGACAAGGCTGCGGCAAACATTGTGCGCACATCGTCGGCAGTTGGTGAGTGTGGTGTCGCCATTTTGAATGGTAAGAAGACGGATAAGAACATGAGATAAATCTATTTGATAGTGGTTGGAGAGTCGTCCTCTAATATAGCAAGATCAATGGGAATGCATAGTAAGGTGTACGCTGCAAGGAGTTCAGTCTGCGATGTCGGATCTCCGTAGTGCTCATTCTGGTTCTATCCTCCGTAAAGCCTTGTGAGTAGTAATCAGTAGGCCATTTGTTGTCTGATCCTCGCTTTCGCCCGTAGATGACTACCAATCGTTGAGAATGCGCTGATGACAAGGCAAGTTGAGTACTCGGCCTGCAAAGATGTCGACATAAAACCATTTCTCTTCATTTTGGTCCTGCATATGTCGGGGCTGATCCCGCCAAGCAGTGCGGGTGAGCTTTCAGGACGGATGGCGTAGCAAGGCTGCCGTCATCAACTTTAAAGTGTACCAGCAGCTTGACCAGGTGAGCTCAAGTCACGTAGTTTGGCAGATGCTAGACCTAGTCTGCAGAATTGCGCCGCATAGGTTCAAACATAGAGTGGTTAGGTCGCGGGCCTTCGGCGGTGTCCCTTCACGCTCTACCCGACATAACCGACTTACCCGATGGACCCGACATGGCTGTACCAGCAACTGCGGTGTCAACGTCGCTAACGGTGAGCATCTACATGTGACAAGTTAGTCGCCTTGGCTTGCCTGCTAGTAATCTAGGCTAAGTCAGATTAGGCAGGAGAGGCTTGGCACTCAATCAACGACATGTCGTTCGGCCACCTAGCTCAACTCCCCTGTATGGAGTGATTACTATGGCTTCGTTTACATAATAATGTCAACCCCTAACGCTACTACAAAAGTCGCTGAGGAAAATCCATCTTCCACGTCGAGCATAATCTTCCTGCTTCCAAGCATTGAGAGTGTCTGGAAAGACGTTCATTCCCATTTCAAATAGTGTCGCGTCATGTGAGATCACAACAGATACGTTGCTATCAGCATCGAATGCTTGCATATTGCTTATTGCCTGCCGGGCCTCGGCACGATCATGTACCGCGCTCTCCGCCATTTCGTAGAAAGGAGTCACCGCGCTGTCCCTGCGGTGTAGTTCTACCAGGAACTCTCCGAGACATGTAGTGCTGATGCCTCGAGATTTGGGGAAGGAAATTGCTTTCGGCAGTGGCAGATATTGTGAAGGTCTGAATTCTCCACCATGGTGACAGGCGTCACCGCCCATGAAGACGAATGTCGAATTCTCCTCTGTGGTATCCGGAGCCACTCTTGCTAGCCCACAGACGTGCCCAATAGCGTGTCCAGGAGTATCAAGAAAGTAGAAGCTACCATCTCCAAAGTAGTGTTCGGCGCGGTAACCACCTATAATCAATTGAGAATCAGAATCGAACGAGAGCTCGTGCAAATGACGGCCCTCGTAGTCTGATTCCAGGACAAAAGCATCCGCTCGACTGGGGTATCCAGGCGTGAACGTTTCGACGAAGCCAGGGCCAACCACTAAAGCCGTAGAAGAGGGAAATGCGCTGACATCTCCTATGTGATCGTAGCGCCAGTGGCTCCAGATGATGGCTTCGAATGCTCCTCCAGCAACATCGATTCCGTGGTCCTCTAGAATCTCGTTGACATTTTTATCGACCTCGATGCCAAACGAGTACTGCTCAAGAAGCCCACGAACGGAGGGTGGAAATTTTCTCCAATCCTTCCGAGTACCTAGGTCGAACAGAGGCCTCCGTCCAGTCGGATGTTGAATGAGAAACGAAAATGACGGACATTCCAGGGTATCATGGCCTTTGATGGGGGGCTGCACCATGTGTTTCATGGGCGCGGCCAGCTTTGCTGTACTGTTTATGGCAATCAATTGGTACCCTGTCGTACGCTGCCACAACGAGTCGGAGTCCTTACCTATCGATCACACTGACATTGACGCAATTTCTCCCACAATTAATGCGGAGCACATATTGAGCTACAGTCAAGGTAGACGCAGTAAGAAGTGTTGTGAGGAGCAAGAATATAGACAACATGTTTCAGAAGCTTGCTTAGCTAAGGAGAGATGTTTAGCGATCTTGAAGTCGAGGTTGGGCAGGAGCTCTCGCGGCTGCCCCTGATATATTCCCTGTGCTGGGTGTTGCTGGCACAGCAGACCTAGGGGGAAAGAGAAGGACCAGAGCTCCTCTGCCACCACCTGACAGTACTGCCAGCTTCGATATCACATTCGTGACCTGTCGCCGCTCAACCGCATGGCAGCTTGCCATCGAACTATTCAACTCTACGACCATGCGCCATGCAGATGCAGGAGCTTATTCTGTGTTGTATTGCATCTGTGAGTTAAGGTAGATCATTCCGTTGAACCAAGGTTACACTGCAGCCGATTATGAACTCTTCTCATGTACTATGTATCGGTAGAGTACACTCTGGCTAGCTGGTTTTCGGTCACTGCAATGGGCGGGGCCAGACTCCATTGCCACAATCACAAACGTCTTCATTAGACTCCTCCACCGTAGTGTTGCCCACGTCAGCGCTTGCGAGGAACAGGGTCGCGAATTGCATGTACACGCGAAGTGAACGCAGCTGAGAGTCTCCGTCAGAGTCGCCGTCCAGCACCAGGACAGTGGAGTCCTCAAGCGTCCTCTGATCGATCATGACAAACAGATCTGGCTCGATGTCCGAATCCTGTTCCTGAACGTGCTGTCGGAGGAGATCGCGACATTGTGCGGGAGTCTTTTGCTCGAAAGGGAAGGAGGAGACATGACAGGGAGGCTCAGTGGGGTCCTCGTACTTCAAGTCCAGATGCTCGACGATGACGAGAAGAGGGTCGCCGCCCCCCTCCTCGTTGTAGGCCCGATCTAAGAAGTTGCTAAGAACCTGGTGGGACAATTAAGCACGCCGGACTCGAATTGATCTTGCTCAGACTTACCTCATCTGATACCGGCACAGTACAGCACACGGCAAAATATCTTCGCTTGCGCTGGATTGCGGCCTCGTCCATGGTGCGCTGCAGATCAGGTAATGGCGCATGAATGCTGTATGTGCGGACGTGGCACGGAATATGTATGTATGCTCGAGAGGGTGACGTTACGAACGGAAGTGGGGCAATGACGAAGCTTGCATGTCTCCTTGCGACTACCAGCCTTTCCAGCCGGGTACCGCCAGTTTCTGGGCATCGGACGATCCGACCTGGGGCATCTTCCATCAACTGAAAGCCCCGCTGCGACAGTGCGAGTGCATTGGCAGGTGTCAGCGAGGTGCTTAGGGTTAGTGGAGTGGAGAACAACGCCCACTTGGGCAGGAACGGGCAGAAAAGTCTCGAGGCTGCAGCCTCGCTTCGCTCACAAAAGTGCAATCTGTAGCTGGTGATGGTTATCCGACACGACCGCATCTTACCTGTTCAGGATTGAACGGTCCTTGAATTTCGCAGGTGTGAGGGTGTGCCAAGTAGCTCCTTGAGCAACGAGCTGTACTCGCACGGTTATGGCCGCACGTTCAGCACTGACGCTCGGTAGATGCAGTGTCAGAAAGGTTGATGCCAGTCGACGCTCGCACTGCCCGGCACAACAGAAGACCAGCGAGTTTTTACCTTAAATACCAGCAAGTCGCTACGTTCTTAGCTGTTGGGTCGGGATTGCACTTCCAACTACCTCATCACCAGCTTTGTTCATCCTCGTGCGGTTGTCAAAATGCATATGACTTTGCTGCCTCTACTCGTGGTCACTGTCGTTGGTAGTCCAAGCAAACCACTTTACCAGAGCGGTGTATCGGTCTCGTCCTTGTTCGATCGCCAGGCCGTCTGCAGCTGCGATTTCTCTTCGGGAACGTAAGTGCGCCATGCGGAGTACTAGGCAACATAATAGTGGTCTTAAGGCTTACAACGACAGGTACTGCGACTGCGGTGATAGTAACTCTTTTATTGCAGAGTGTAGCGTCGACGCAGGAGCCTGCCTTGACGGCCTGGGGCCTGGAGACCCTCCACATTACTGCTCCAAGTGTGCCTCCCTTGCTCCTGCTCTCGTCATTTACTGCTCTCTACCGCATCACCCAGACTGAGTCAGGAGGCCCAGACGAGCGGATGAGTACTGGAAATTCGAATGAAAGACAAGAAACGTCTCTCAATCGCCGTTCCATACATCGCCTGTGCCATCGTTGGTCCGGTCAATGTGGAACGTATCGAATTGTTGTCTCTCCGCCTTTTGTAAGTGAATGTACTGCTAATTGCGCTCCAAGCTGCTTAGAGGGTTTGGGAGTGATAGGAATAGCTTTAGGAAAGAGGTTTATCTTTGGGAGGCCTTGTTGTTTGTGAAGCTGAGATGTCGTTCAACTTTTAATGAATATACGCTCGTTACATGTTTCGATATACTGTTTGGTAACAGTGAGATGAACAATACGCCATAAAAGTGCAGAACAACTGCATTCCCGGTTACTGCGATCAGTAAGTGACAGCGCAGCACTCGCAGTAAGTGAAGAATCCGTCGCCTGAGCAGTCATTGCAATTCGTCTTCGTCGACTTGGGGCCGACTTTTCCGTTGACATTCGCCTTACACCCGTCCGTTGATACTCCTTTGCCAAAAGAGCAAGATTCAAAATTGATCAGACCTCCGCCGTAGTGGCCATCCGAGCTATCGACCCCGAATGCCGCCCCGTTATAATCTCCGTTGGTCGAGTAGCATCCACCTATTGTTCTTTTCGTCAGCCTCGACTAGAACGGCCGTAAAGTAATCGATCGATACTTCTACTCACCAGCGCTCGGTGTCAATCCAACCTTCATTTTCCCTCCATTAAAGGAGAGCTGGGTCCCGTCGTCTGCGAAACCAACGAGGAATGGGGGATCGCAGAATGTCGGCGCGGACCCCCCTCCCACTGGGTTAAGCGAGTTGGAGCAGTGGGAGACGGCTTTGAAGACGAGACCGTTGATGGCAGCCGGCGCAGCCAGGGCAAGTGCGAGCTGGGCAATGGATATCATTGTGGAGCGAAGACTGAGTTTGGTAGATGTCTGTTAGATGGTTGAGGCAAATAAGCTGGCAATATATATACTTGGGTCTCGAGCTCCTCTCGCTCGATCTTTAACCCGATCTTTGCAACAGGTATGATCCTTGACACTGTTGTATTGCACACCAACGAGGCTACGGAACACCACTTTTGGTTATAGCCTCTCTTTGCGGAAAGTCGAAGATCGCCAGACGCTGACCTAGCGTCTTATTCGATCTTCAGCTAGTATGAGAGATATGATGATGGTGTAGAGGGACGTCGGTGAAGCACTTGTTTCATACGGATATCGCGTCCTCCTTATGGGAGTTTCTAAGAGCCCGTTCGCCTCTCCTCAAATCGGATTGCGTGCGGCTCTCACTCCGGTACGTTAATTCTTTAGAAGGTACTCTCATTCTAAGATGCGCTACATGTTCTCGCTTCCATCGACTGTATCGATATTCTGGGGATGATGGCATTCATGCGGGTCCGAGATTTGGCAGCCTTGGCAATCTGAGCCCTAGGAATCTTTAGGCCTCCCATAATTACGTGATGGGTCTACGTTAGGCTTTGCAACCGGAAATTGATTGGCTGTAAAGCTGATCATCAATATGGAAAGTGATCTAGCTTCCGGCGCTAAATGCAAGAGCCTTGAATAACATAGGAGGAAGATTGGTGGATTAATCAAGCCTACAATCATCAATCCAGCGGATTAATTGTATACTACACTTACGGAGATCGAGTTGAAGATCACAAACACGAGGTGAGGTCGAAGTCCGTTGATCTTCGGGATGCCACAAAGAGAGGCTACAACCTAATGCGGTAACTGTTATAGCGTCGATGTACCGCTACACGTGTTGGACTGCCATCTCCCCGGCTTGTTACAAGCGACTGCGCTGCTAGTTGCACTCCAAGCTGCTTAGATAGCTTAGAAGTAATGGGGATAAGGATTCTTAGGGCTCGAATTGCCAAGGCTGCCGTATCTCGGACCCGCATGAATGCCATCATCCCTTCGATACGTACGCCCTTTGGTCTACACAAGCCATCGTCACCTCCTGCGGACCTCCAACCTGCCTCCACAATGCCTCCAACATGTCCCAAGGTTAGCCTATTGCAAATACATCATGCAGACTCCTTCAAAGCACCCATACAACAATCAGAACTTCAATACGAATCACATTGGCGTCTCAGTGCCACCCGGAACTCTCGAAGAGGTAGTGGAGTGGTATGGCAAGCATCTCGGCTTCCGTCGCCTGACGAGCTCGAGTCACGAAATGGGTCCAGGTAATTGGATGATTCGCAGTACACTAACACTGAATGAATTGCGGCTCACCCATGTGCAAAGGCGGTAAAATCTACGGTTCTACCCTCCGCAAGGCCAAGGTCGCCTATCTGACCACCGGCAACGGCGTAGGCTTTGAGATCTTCGAATTTATTGACCCTCCCACGAAAGCCGTAGACATGAACGAGTGGAGCCTCGAGGAGCAATACCAGCGCGGCGGCATGTTCCACCTTGCCATCACAGTGCCGGACCCGGATCGAGTATGTAAGGAGTGTTGTGACGATGGAGCCACACAGATCGGAGAGACTATTGAGGAAAGGAACGGCGAGAAGTTGCTCTATCTCCGAGATCCTTGGGGCATGATTGTCGAATTGCTGAGTTGTAGTTGGGAACAGATGAACGCGAATGCATGGTAGAAGGTCAGAACCGGTGGAGTGATCTTGATCTAGTCGGATTAGGCAAGAGACGCTTGGCGTTTGGGTGAATGATATCATTTTGCCACATAATCCAGTTCCCCCGTTCAAGGCCGGCTCTACCTCCCTTTGTCCAAGCCAGTCTTGACCCGCGTGCAAACCTTCTCCGCCCCCGAGCTCATACTTCCTCCGTTCACCATGCTCACTTCTCAACCCAGTGAAATTCTCTATCCCTCCAGACCAGCTCATGCTCCTGTTCGAACTCGATCATCTCCAAATAGACATCGACGAGCTCTCCCAGCGTAGCATCTCCTTTCAGACTCCAGGTGAGGTGTACGAGATCCCAATTTCCGGTGCCGAATGCGTCGTCAGGGATGATACCTACGTCAACTGTCGCCAACGGATCTGCCTGAATGCGTGCGTTCCGCCAAGAACCTTCTTTGAATTTGTCCGACTTCAGCATGTCACATGTCTCGGGGTTGATCTCGTGAACGTAAAGCGCGAAATCGCCGTCAAATTGTGGTTCGCATCCGTGTAGGTGGAGCTGCAGCATGCCGTTCAGGAGGCAGACTTGATCACTCGTTTCCGTCGTCTTGTCCTCCAAGGGTGTCACCATGAGTCGCTGAAGCTTCTTCGAGGACATGATGGTGTCGTGGAATGTCGTGTTGACGCGCTGGACAGCGGCGAGACACATGAGAGGCTGTAGCCCCTCCGCGACCTTCGAATTTCTCTGCTCGTCGATGATCTCCTCTAGAATGTGCTCAAGAAGCTCGGGCAGACCGAAGACCTTCGCAGCGGCAGATTGTTCTGAGTCGTCCATATCGTACCCTATCCCCGTTATTCTTAAGCCTTCCAAGCACCTTGGAGTGCATATAGCAGCGCTGTCTCTTACGAAAAGGCAGAGAGATAGCGGTTCGATACGTACCACCTCGACCTGACCGAGGAGGGTAGATTGAGGTTGCCTGGAATCTGTCCACTGGTGTGTTGTTTTTTAGATGAATGAAGAGCAGCGACAGCTTCGTGAAGAGTTTGTTAAGCTAGATAGCGGATAGAGGCAACTCACACGAGCTCGTGACTGCATATGACAGCGCAGCGAGAATTGCGAGTCACATGCAAGCTCAGTTTCGAGGGAGGAGGTGCGAATCTGATGTTTTCGTTCGTTTGGTGCTTATCCGCACGCTCTGCGGTTTCGCCTACTTCATTCCTCTCACTCCATGAACTCATTACTCTGTAACGCTTGGTCCCATGCTCAAGTCCCATGCTCACGCCCCACGCCAACGTCTATACAGTTCCCGCAATGCTCAACTCCCTGATCTGTCCTAGGACATCTTCCACTCTTGCGTCGAGATCGCCACTGGCGTATTGGTCTCTCGTCTCGGCAGCCAGGTACCTGTTACATGTAAGTTCTGATCTTGCACTGCATTTTAGTGGAAAAACATACTGTTGCACTTGTGCCATCCGGCTGTAGGCCTCTGCACAAAATCGCAATTGAATCTTGACGAGCGCTTCGAATGTGGGATCGAGGTATGGTACGCTATGCACAGTCAGCACGTTCCTGCAAACAAGATATGAACTTTTCTTACCGCAAGTCGATCAGCTGTGGCAGCTCGTCGGTCAACTGAGTGTTGAGTTGATCGTACGCAGCTTTTGCCTGTTTCAATTCGTCAGTCTTTGCTTCGATATATTCTTGCTTGAGCGGTGCCATAATCTCTTCCAGTTCCGAAGGGTGAAAGAGCGCAGTGCGGCCAGCAGTCCGTGATGGAGTTGAAGTGTCGCGACTTCGCTTGCTGCAAGACAAGCTGCTTCTGATGGAGGGTATGTCTGAGCTGCGCTGGCCGGTGAAGGTGAAGCGAGGAGACAAGCTGCCTGGAGTCTTGTTGCCCAGCGCAGTCGTTTGCACGCTGGCACTACGCTTGGGTGTGTCTGGCCGCATACTAACGAATTTGGCGTCGTATGTGCTGTAAGGGGAAGTAGGGGGTATCATGCAACAGCCGCCGCGCGCGCTGAACGTTGCACCAGCGCCGAATAACTGCGAGCTGGGTCTTGGCGATGGCTTTACGCGGGCGCTAGCCTTCCGCTTCGATGGCGAGTCTGGAGGACCTTCTTCGAGGATCTCCTTGAGAGTGAATGTCTTGTTGGCACCGGAAGGCTCGCGATATGAGGACCACGACGCCTTCTTTGATCGAACCGTTGGACTTGGCGAGGATGCAGTTGGCGAGGCCATTTCAGCTGGACTCAATGGAGACAACAGAGGCTTCTCGGCAGACAGATCGGAGCCAGGACCGCTCGCGAAAGCATTGCCCACCAGACTGCCAACACGACCAAGGCGGTCGAGCAGGCTTGACTTCCGCGTCAGGGCCACGCTTTTCAATGCATTGTCTTCATCGGCTTTGATCTTATCCAGGGCGCTTTGGTTCCGCTTGATTCCATTGAGGGCTTTGGGAGGGGAGGGGAACAGGAGATCATCATCGTCCATAGAGGTAGCGACGAGATCATCAATCCTGCTTAGACGAAGAGAATGCTTCTTTACCATTTCAGTCTCCTTCTCCGTGCGCGGGAGCTTGGAGGGATCCTTGTCCGGCTTCTCAGTCAACTTCTTGACTTTGCTGCGCATGGAATCGTAGTCAAGCATCTTGTGGTTTCGCTTCTTGATACCTGCATGATGTTAGTCCAAGTCGTGGGGGTACATTGTGGGGATAGACTCACATTCGTTGATATCAGGAAAGTAGGCGCAGAAGCGATTGATGGGCTCCAGAACGGTCGTCCTGTAGACATACTGAATGAGCTCAACCGCTCCGTCAAAGTCATTCTCTTCTTCCCTTGTGTATTTCCTCTTGTTGCCAGCCTGCCAATTGAGCTCGGCTTCAATCTCCTCGAGCACGTCCTCTTGGTACATGCCCGTCTCATTGTTGAAGGGAACCATTCCTTGCAATTCGGGGTCTTGGGTGACACACCTGTAAGGCCCATCAAGCGCCTTGACGGTCTCTGCGTCGAGATCCTCAACGGCTTGCTTGTAACTTCTGCTGACTCCGTCTTTTGCACCGCTCTCCCCGTAGAATGCGTCGATTGTCTCGGCGATTCGCATCTGAGAGGCAGTCATAGCTCGCAGGCTGTCGAGATAGCCCTTGGCTTCTTTCTGTAATCGGAGCGAGGCAGATTCGAGCGTTCGGTATCGGCGTTCTTCGACTTCATATTCGCGGTCCGATGTCTTCTCGACATGACCAGTCTTCATCATGACCTGCGTCGTAGCACGGCCAACCTTGACGCTGTCAGTATTGTCCACGCGATCTCCATTACCACCACCAGTCTTACATTCTTCTTGAAGCCGGACCACGACATTGCGGCGGTTTCGGGAGGTGTTGTTCAGACTTGAGACTAGGTTGACGGGGTGATTGATGGTGTGATATATTGCAACTGCTGCAGCAGTCGGTACAAGCGGTGGATGTGAGGTTGCAGGTGGTGGAGGGAAGTTGAATGCGTTCGCTGTTTGCCTGCGACTCTGGACAGAGACGCGGAGGCGCAGCCGGGGGTGACGTACGATTAAACGGGAGTAGCCGTCGTTTCCATGGAATATTGATTAAGGCTGCCCAGGCACAAATTCCAGCCCGAACGTCACCTCGTCGTCTTGACAGTCAACACCTCATCTACACGCCGCCAACATGCCGATCGCCATAGGTCTGGAGGGCTCTGCCAACAAGCTGGGTGTTGGAGTTATCCAGCATTCAGTCAGGCCGCAATCACCACACGATTCCGCGCATTCAGACGATGAAGCATCATTCACTTCCAAAAATTCGAAGTCTCCACCAGTTCAGATTCTCTCGAACCTCAGGCACACCTTCCATGCACCACCAGGAGCAGGCTTCCTACCCAAAGACACTTCAGCGCATCACAGAAGATGGGCCGTGCGCTTGGTCAAGCAAGCCATGAAGCAGGCCAATGTGAAGGTGGAGGACATAGATTGCATTTGCTTCACACAAGGGCCTGGAATGGGTGGTCCACTGTCTTCGGTCGCAATCGCTGCACGAATGTTGAGCCAGCTGTGGGACAAGCCGCTTATTGGGGTGAATCACTGCGTTGGGCATATCGAGATGGGAAGGGCAATCACAGGGGCAGATAACCCGGTTGTGTTATACGTGAGCGGAGGAAATACACAAGTCATTGCATATTCGGCACAAAGATACCGAATATTTGGTGAAGCGCTAGATATCGCGATTGGGAACTGTCTGGACAGATTCGCACGAGTTCTGGGAATCCCCAACGATCCAGCTCCGGGCTACAACATCGAACAACTGGCAAAGACTGGGAAGGTATTACTGGAGCTGCCATATGCCGTGAAGGGTATGGATGTGAGCTTCTCTGGTATCTTGGCAAGAGTTGAAGAAATGGCTGCGAAGCTCGGTCCAAACTGGACTGATCCAGAGTCTGGAGAACAAATCACGAAAGGCGATCTCTGTTTCACCTTGCAGGAGACGGTATTTGCTATGCTCGTTGAGATTACTGAACGTGCTATGGCACATGTGGGGAGCGCTCAGGTTCTTATCGTCGGCGGGGTTGGTTGCAACATTCGACTGCAGGACATGATGGGTCTCATGGCTAGCGAGCGTGGCGGCAGTGTTTTTGCCACGGATGAACGGTTCTGCATCGACAACGGCATCATGATCGCTCAAGCCGGGCTGATGGCTCACCAAATGGGTTTCAGGACGAAGCTGGAAGAGAGCCAGTGTACTCAACGCTTCCGAACTGACGAAGTCCTCGTCAACTGGAGAGACTGAGCCTGAGTCTGAACGTGACCAAGTGACGAGCAATGTGAGAAGATGACACGAGACAAGTGGAAACCGTGTCACGAGACGAATCAAGTATCATGTGCCCACGCTTGCACTCGCACTTGCCGCAAGCAAGACCGAAAGTGCCCGCGTGACCTGAGCGCCTACTACTTCAATTTGGGTGTCGTCGTTCTCCACGTTTGACACAACAACCAGTCGCCCAGATTCTGTCATGATTGCGATCGTCCTCTCCAATCACAAACGCAACCTGCGCAGCTGCGCACGGCATGGAATATGCCTACATTGCCTGATGGCGACGGGTACGCGATATCACCCAGAGCGGGAGACTATCAGACACGCTAATTCAGTGCACAGTTGCAGAGCAAGACTCAGTGCCCTCCTGGCGACGCACACTGCCGACCTACCTCCGGCCCCATCACTGCGCATTGCGGTCACGAGACTCATCCAGACAACATCTCGCACAGCTTCTCACAATCACCTGCACATCAGCCGCGCAATGAACCACGGCAACTCTGTTTTACGCTCGCTCCGTTCGCTCCTGTCGATCAGTCCGTCGAGAGAGTTAGCAAGGCCGTCGCTGTCGCTGTTGTTGCGTGAGTGTGAGGGCGTGGCTTCCGTGGCAAGATAGCTGTGTCAATGTTCGACATCACTGGCATTGGTGGCGATGCTCTTGGTTTGTTCAAGCGAACATATCGACGATCGTTGCGATACTCCCAGCTTGCTTGACCTGGTCAACCACTGCTACACTGTGGGCTACGCCAATTCCAACAGCAACGGCTCACCGACCGCGAGCATCCAGGGCTCACTCACTCACCATGGTCTCCAAGCCGACTGCCATCACGACCAACGACAAGGGCGAGGCCACACAAATGGCATCCTCCGCTCAGACACCTTTCGCTCAGACGAACACCGATTACGTCTCCGCTGCAGCTACGTCCAACAACAGCACGGACGAAGAACTCCGCCGGGCCCTTCTCAGCGCGCTCGCCAATTCTCCATCCTCGCACGCCTTCGTCATCGTCGATGCAGTATGCTGACGCTACCACGAATGCGACCCCTCTCCCAGCCCAACAGACAAACTACATTCTCTGTACGAGAGCCACCACTGTCCGGGTGGCAGTGCGTTATGCTGAGCTCTCCGCTCATGTTCGAGCGTTTTGTGTCAGCTCAGTTATACCATGTTTGGAGAACATGGTCGGTGTCGAGCCAGGTGCGGTCCTCGCAAGCATGCCCAGCGCCGAGGACGCTGCGAAGAAGTCGACGAACGCGCTCTCACCCACTTCGCGCTCATCGCCGACCCAGATGCAGATCTGGTCTACATCGAGCCTTCAAATTTCCGAACCTCCTACGCAGAAGATAACGACTTCTTGACGACGGAACCCACTCTGGGCAATACGACTGGCTGCACCAGCCTCACTCACTCGGACTCTGCTCTTGGTATCGACTGGACTTGCGTAAGGGCCTGTCATCTGTACTCGTGTGGCTGGAGAGTTCCTGCTCGTTGTCGTCTCGAAAGCGAGTCTCGAGGTCTTGGGGCGAGCGTGCGTATGGGAGCCACCATCGTCCGGGCGGCGGTGCGTCATGCTGAGCTCCTCGTTGCAAGTACATGTAGCCAATCCAAAGCGATCATGCCCAAAAATCACGTCTTGTCAAACTCTTCAAAAGCATGCACAGTGCCATAGAATACAGTCACCTTCGCGGGAATAAATGGCAGGGGAGATATTTTGGAACGAGAAGTGCGCGTTGTGCACGGGCCATGCTGTGAAATCGCATGTGACATTCAAGCTAGCAGGGGGCTGCAGAGAACTACGAGAAGACGCAATGCAATCTGAACCGCTAAACGTACATCTGAAACACAAAGCGATCTCCTGAAAAGGCAGGTACGGCTATCGAAGGCATTCCCCTCCAGCCGTATACGCAAATGTTCACTTCATCACCACAAAGGCACCTCCAATAGCAAAATCCATGTGCAAACAACAAACATCCCAAACACATAATTCCCGGAATAGTATGCATCTGAATTCCCCCAAACTTTGTCTCGTGCCCACGGCAAGCAGCGGGTTCACCGGGAACGCGTCTGACAATAGGACCCAAACGCCCTAACAATAAGAAGGCATGTGCATTCAGCAGACAATATAAGTGAAGCAGATGTCAATAGGCGGCCGCCTTCCAGGGAGCCAATGAGGAGGCGGCATCCCGTGAGTGAAGGAGATCGAGTCCCCTACCTACTTAAGACGTCTGCTTCCCTTTGACTTCCTTCCTTCTTTCTCCCTCATACAAACACCCGAGACACTTTGGCACCCAAGACCTTCCACCCACACCCAGCAACTTCGATCAACACCCATCCATCAGCTCTCTCCCACTTCGATACATCACCCTATCCTACCCAAGGTACACACCTCCCTCCCCGCCCATCCCGACACCCCAAGCTGACCTCACAGTCTACCACAGCAACAATGTCCACTCCCCCACCAACCACCCCCGGCAAGGACACCGTCAAGCCCGCCTTCTCCGAGAAAGACATGCGCCTCCTCGCGGCCGCCATGCTCTCCCTCAAGACGGGCCTCCCCGAGCTCGACTACGTCAAGTTCCAGGCCAACGGCGAGTTCAACACCATGAAGACGGCGCAGAACACCTGGGGCGTGCTCAAGAAGAAGATCATGAGCATGAACCCGGAGGCGGCTGAGGCGGCGGTTGGTGAGTCATTCCCAGTCTTTCCTGTTTCGACTTATTTTGTGGATTGTGTTGTGTTGACTGAAGATGACATAAAAGCCACCCCGAAGTCCAAGGCGACTCCCAAGAAGCGCACGAAGAAGGAGGCCGAGGCCGAGGACGGCGACGAGGGTGCCGGCGCCGACGACGAAGAGGCCTCCGCGAAGAAGAAGCCGAAGACCCCACGCAAGAAGAAGGCCGACGCCGCCGCCGACGAGGAGGGCGCTGGCGACGACTCACCAGCCCTAGCCAAGAAGGCTCCCAAGACCCCGCGCAAGAAGGCCACTCCGGCTAAGAAGAGCGAAGAGACGGTCAAGGAGGAGGCCAAGTCTGACGATGGCGATGGCGAGGCTTCTTCTTCTTCCGCTGCTGCTGTTGGTGGTGCCGAGGAGGCCAAGAAGGAGGTTGCTGCTGAGGAGCCGAAGACTCCTGAGCCGGCTCCGGCTGCTGAGGACGTCAAGATGGAAGGTTCTGGTGATGAGTAGGCGTTTTCGCCCACTTCACTTCACTCTGGCCTTCTTTCCTCTCTTACGACTTCTCTTACGACAGTGACGACGGGCTGGTGTTTGTGTTTTTCTTTTTGGGTTTTACTTGGGCTGCAATGGGTGCACTTTGAGGGCGGATGGTTTTGGCTATTTCTTTCTTCGGGCGGGCATTTTCTTCTGCCTGGCTATCATCATCAGCCGTGCGACCCTTGCCCTGCATATGACTTACCACGACACGAAAGAGCCGGCGCGCTCGACGAGCCATTTTGGCTTTTTTCATCACATCAGACAGTGAATGAAAGACATTCATGAAATGATTCAGTACACCTGGTTTCAATCGTTCCTGTTGTTCATATTTCGGTATGGGTGCACGTTGCAGTAGGTTGCTGGTGCTGACAACCAAGGGCTCGCACTTCGTCTTCCAACCCACGCAGATCCTCGAGACTCACTCAACCTTCATCCTCCTCCTCCTTGATCTCAGCTCCCACATCCACGTCCAAATCCATCGCATCATCCTCGGCCTTCACCTCTGCATCCTCCTCATCCTTATCCTTATCACCTTTGCCCTTCCCAACCTCCTCCGGCCCGGGGAAATGCAGATGCTTCCAATCCTCAATCTCCTCAATCACGCTCCTGAGCCGGTCTCGAACACTCTCCACTGCATATGTGCCCAGAAGCAGTCTGAGGGGTGGGTATCGACAATGACCCAATTGCCAGACCAGCTCAGCCGACTTCACGGCGCTTGTGGGTTGTCTGTCGGTCAACCACTGTACGATCCGTCTCGCATGCGATGCTGGAGCGGTGGGCGTATCGTATGGCGGAGATGGAGACTTGACGAGGAAGTGACCATACTTTCGGATCTTGACGCCATTGTCCATCGCTTTGTCGTCCAGACCTGTTGGCTCGTCGATGCGCATATGGCCGGGCTCAACAAGGGTGGCTTTGATCCCGAATGAATCGATCTCGTATAGCATACTCTCGATCAGGCCTTCGGTGGCATACTTTGTCGCGCAGTATGGGCCGAGTCCAGGAACGCCTAGAGCCCCAGACGTGGAAGAGAAGATTACGTATCGTCCTGCGGCTTCGTCGTCTTTTCGAGTCAAGGATTGCTTCCGGAAATACGGTAGCGACAGCTGGATGATGTTCAGAGTGCCCATGAAATTTGTCTCGAATTGGGAGCGCAAATCGCAACTGTCCTGGTCTTCGCAGGCGCCGATGACTCCATATCCAGTGCAGCTGTCCAAGATCGTTAGCTTTCTTAGTCCATACACATGTCGGAATCATCCTGGATCTTACGGCTTACTTCACAATAACATCGATCCTCTCCCACCGCTCCACACACCTCCTAATCACATCCTCCACCGTATCCCTCACCCTCACATCACATAGTAACCCAAAACACCTCTCGTGCCAGCCCTGCATCTGCACCATAGAGTTCTCCCCAGTCCTCCCCACCGCAGCAACATTATCCCCATGGCTCAACGCAGCCTTGACCAGACTCCTCCCCGCATGTCCCGTCGCGCCAAAGATCAACCATACTTTCTGCGTGGGCGGGTTCGTCTCGCTGGGAGGATCGGTCGTGGAGGGCAGGTGGAGTTTGGGATTCACTGTGTAGGGTGAGCGGGTGGACATTTGTTGAGTAAAAGGGGATGGGGGGCGTACGAGAAGCTACATCGTGGGAACTCTCTCGATCCATAGGCGCATAGCGGGATTCGTTGACATTGGTTTGGTACCCTTTTCCGCAATACTCACGGCGGGCGTCCAACGAGAGGTGAGGTCAGCTTGAGGCGGAGGGGAGTCCGTTCCAATGGATTGTGGAGAGGATCGACGTCATGAGTTGATTGAGGGTTTAATCAATTTCGTTAATCAAAACAAATACTCGAACGTCGAATGCACGAAAGACAGTGGCTTTGACGGTCATGTCCAAGGCGAAGCAGCAGGCGTATCAGTGTTCGTATCGTCAACAGAACCTCAAGAACCACATCTAATCCCTTCCCAGCCGCCCAACAAGGCCAATCCTCCTGGTCCTTCGCCAGCGGCTTCATCTTCGGCCAGCTCCTCCTCGCCCTCATTCTCTTCACCTTCATCAAGTTCTTCATCTTCGGCGAGACACCCTCCGCGGACTCTCGCGCGACCTCACGAGCCGCGTCGCGCCGACAACGAACCCTCTCCCACACCCGACAACGCACACTATCTACCGCGTTACGGCCGCGACCGAGCTTTGCTGTGCTGAAACCGCGGAACGATGGGGGACTGACGGTGCAGAAGATCTTAGAAAAGACGTATTATAATGTGAGGGGCCACCAGCCGGAGAGTCTGGATTGGTTCAATGTCCTCATCGCGCAGACGATTGCGCAGTTGAGAGCTGATGCGCAGGAGGATGAGGCAGTTTTGGGGTCTTTGACACAATTGCTTAATGGCCCTAGCAAGCCGGACTTTATCGACGATATACGGGTCACGGAGATCAGTCTTGGGGATGAGTTCCCCATCTTCTCGAATTGCAGGGTTATTCCTGTCGATGAGAATGGGTCGCCGTTGAAGGAGTTGACGGGGCAGAGAGGGGAGAGGTTGCAGGCGAGGATGGATGTGGACTTGAGTGATGTGGTTACGTTGGGGATTGAGACGAAGCTGGTGCTGAACTATCCGAAACCTTTTGTGATGGTTCTGCCTGTAGCGTTGGCAGTGTCCGTGGTGCGGTTCTCAGGGACGTTGAGTTTGAGCTTTTCACCGTCAAATCAGCCGAATCCGTATCCCGAGAATGGAGAGGACGCTGAGGGGACGCCGCCTGGACAGCCGAATAAGAATGAAGGGCATCCTTTGAACCCGACTGGGCAGAGTCCGACGACACTGACATTCACGTTCTTGGACGACTACCGGCTGGATCTGAGCGTACATTCATTAATTGGATCGAGAGCACGACTGCAGGATGTACCGAAAATTGCACAGCTGGTGGAAGGCAGAATACATCAATGGTTCGACGATCGATGTGTGGAGCCGAGATTTCAGCAGATCGTGCTTCCATCGCTCTGGCCTAGAAAGAAGAACACACGAGGAGGGGAGGAAGAAGCAGTGGCTGATGAGGTCGACCCGGAACCTATCAAGCCACTGAACACGAAAACCGCCAGTATCAACACTAGCATCCCACCCGGAGAGCTATCACAACCGAATAAAGGTTTGAACGCTGGTTCTGCGGAGACTACGGCCGAACAACGGACGAGAGACTGGGCAGCACAGCACTCAGGGCCAACAGTCGGCAAGCGTAGGGACGATGGAGACAAGAGGAAAGAAGATCTTAGCGAGATCGAAATCGCTGGCCAGGAGATGCGAGAGGCTGACGAGAGAGATCGGAGGAAGAAGCTTAACAAGGTTCGTTCTGACCTCGATCGTGATGGCAGCAGTTTGAGGATGCGGACAGGGAGGGATGTGAGCCATGAAGGGAGTGCGCAAGGGGTGAAGGCGATGTCTTGATTCTTTTTAAATCGATTAGCGAGGCGTTGGTGGATGTATCCACTCCAATTAAATGTACATTGAGGAGTGAATGCTCGAAGATGAATTTGCGGTCGGCACCCACCCCCTCCGCCCCATGTCTTGGCGACGCTAGTGGACTTTTTCGTCTTGAAGCTCATCTGCAATTCGAGCTTTTGCTCCCAGCACCAAGCAATCCGTCGCCGACTGCTATCAATCCTTATACCCCATAAGGACTCAGTGCGTGGCATTCCTATCGCTGGCAGCGGTAGTATCAATTCCACAGCTGGGACATTCACCCCCCTCTAATCTCCCCTTCCTTCCACTTGCACGTTCCGCGCCATGGACGAGGACAAGCAAATTATCAAGCCAGAGGCCTCTGCGCCGGCCGTCAACACCAGCGACTGGCCTCTGTTGCTGAAGAACTGGGATCAGCGTGCGTATACTTCATCTCGTGTACTCGGCAGAACTGATACATTATTATAGTCCACGTTCGCACCGGCCACTTTACCCCCATCCCCGCTGGCTGCTCGCCCCTTCGTCGCGACCTCAAGTCGTACGTCTCTTCCGGTGTGATCAACCTCGACAAGCCCTCGAACCCCTCCTCCCACGAAGTCGTCGCCTGGCTCAAGCGCATTCTCCGCGTCGAACGCACCGGTCACTCTGGAACCCTCGATCCCAAGGTCACGGGATGTCTGATTGTCTGCATCGACCGTGCGACGAGACTGGTCAAGAGTCAGCAGGGTGCCGGAAAGGAGTACGTGTGTGTGCTGCGACTACATGACAAGCTCCCCGGTGGTGAGGCCCAGCTCGCGCGTGCCCTCGAGACGTTGACGGGTGCGCTGTTCCAGCGACCACCGCTCATTTCGGCCGTCAAGCGACAACTGCGTATCCGAACGATCCACGAGAGCAAGTTGCTGGAGTTTGACAATGATCGGCAATTGGCGGTCTTCTGGGTTTCCTGCGAAGCTGGCACGTACATCCGAACGCTGTGTGTGCATCTGGGTCTGCTGTTGGGCGTTGGTGGTCACATGCAAGAGCTGCGACGTGTGAGATCGGGAGCTATGGACGAGCAGAAGGATATGGTTACGCTGCACGACTGCCTCGACGCGCAGTGGCTCTACGACAACCAGCGTGACGAGTCGTACCTCCGCACGGTCATCCAGCCGCTCGAGACGCTTCTGACTTCCTACAAGCGTATCGTCGTCAAGGACAGCGCAGTTAATGCTGTGTGCTACGGCGCCAAGCTCATGATTCCTGGTCTCCTCCGCTACGAAGCCGGCATCGACGTCCACGAGGAAGTCGTCCTCATCACCACCAAGGGAGAAGCCATCGCTATTGCCATTGCTCAAATGTCGACTGTCGAACTTTCATCTTGCGATCACGGTGTTGTAGCCAAGGTCAAGCGTTGCATCATGGAGCGTGATCTCTACCCACGACGATGGGGCATGGGCCCAGTCGCCGTCGAGAAGAAGAAGATGAAGGACAGCGGCAAGCTTGACAAGTTCGGTCGTCCCAACGAGGCTACCCCTTCGCAGTGGAAGCAGGAGTACCGCGACTTCAACGACAACGAATACGTGAACGGCAATGCCCAAATCAAGACCGAGCAGCAAGCCATTGAGGGTGCCCCCGTAAAGGAAGGCATCCCAGGCAAGGGCAAGGAGACGACGGACAAGGCAGACGTCGAGATGGCCGATGCAGTCAACCCAGCGACCGCCGAGAGCGCCAAGAAGGAGAAGAAAGACAAGAAGCGAAAGCACGACGACGAGACGCCCGAGGAACGTGCCGAGCGCAAGGCCAAGAAGAAGGCGAAGAAGGAAGCCAAGAAGAAGCGCGAGTCGGCCGTCACTAACGATAGCGACGATAGTGATTGAGCTGGGACCGTGCGGGGATTCTGTCTTTCATCAACTTCCACTGTTTAGCGATGCGCTCATGTTTGGGAAAACGGTGTTCATGGAAGGGACATGGCTTGGAGTTTTTTCTAACCTGGCGGGATGATTCGATTGCGCGAACCAAAAAGCTAAGCGCTACTGTGAGATACTACTTTGTGTACAGTACGTACGTCTTCGATGCGAGACGTTGAGGTGCATGGTGGAGTTATGGAGACTTGCTCGACACCGGGGCGAGTCCTGTTCTTCGCCACGACTGTACTTCTCTGCAATGAAATGAAAAGAGTTCAAAAACATTCATTCATGATCATATCAATCTCTCACCACTCACGCATAAGGATGATAGTTATGCCCAGCCCCCAAACTAGGCGGCAAATCCTCCTCCATCCTTCCCCAGTCCCCCTCCTCATCTCCCAACACTAACTCCAAAACCCCCCCTCCCGTGAAAAACTCATGCGTGACCCAACTTCGATTATACACCTCCCCATCCAACCGCGCACTCTGCACATAAATCCTGCTTGCGTCGCCCGTTTTGAAATTCACGTTCTTGATCGTGGCGGTCTTACCAGTCTCCGGGTGCGTGTAGCTGACGGACTCGAAGTAGGGCGGGATGATGAGGTAGACGTTCTGGCCGGCGACGGGGAAGAGGCCGGACATGGCGAAGGCCAAGAAGGAGCCGGAGGCGCGGAGTCGTCGTTGCCGGGGAGGCCGTTGATGGAGGCGTTGAAGTGCGAGGGGATGTACGTCCTCAGACGCTTCGAGGAGAGCCCGGGGCGGCCGGCGTAGTGGTATTGGAAACAGGTCAGTTCGCTGGGTTCGTTGCCAATGTCGAGGAGGCCGGAGTCGTGCAGGTAGTCGAGACGTTTTATGAAAGCGGCGGGACCGCCGAGGGTGCTGATGAGCGTGGCTTGGTCTTGGGGCACGTAGAATTGGTATTCCCAGATGGAGGATTCGAAGGTTTCGGTCGGGTTGGAGGAGTAGGAGCAGAAGATGGTGTCGAGGGGCGAGCAGGCGAAGGGGGATTGGTAGGACCAGGTGCCGTTGAGGTTGCGGGGTTGGAAGAAGCCCGTGAAGTTGCCCGTCGAGGTGCCGTTGGGGTAGAAGGAGGTTTGGTTGGGTTTGTAGAGGTTGAGCCAGTTGGCGCTGCGGGTGAGGTATTTTTCGTAGTCGGTGGGGTGGTTGAGGCCGTGCGCCATTTCGGCGATGCAGAAGTCGTTGTAGGCGTATTCGAGGGAGCGGGAGACGCTGTGGAAGGCTGGGCCGAAGCCTAGGTAGTCGTAGTCGTTGACGGGGATGTAGCCGAGTCGTTTCCAGGATTGTAGGCCGCCGCGGCCGTTGACGCCCCAGTCGAAGGGCTCGTTTTCGGCGTCGTTGACGACCGCGCGGTAGGCTTGGTTCCAGTCGATGCCGGAGAGGTTCTTGACGTAGGCGTCTCCGATGACGACGTCTGCGTTGGAACCACCTTGTGAGAAGCCTTTGCAGAACTGCATGCGGCAGTCGGGGAGCCAGCCGAGGTGAGTGTAGGTATCGATCAAGCTACGGACCATTTGTGCCAAGGCATCTGGTTGGGAGATTGTGAGGAAGGGGAAGGTTGTGCGGAAGGAATCCCAGATGCAGTAGAAGGAGTCGAAGTATGGTTCTGAACTTTGCCAGAGCGGGTTCTCGCCAGAGTAGTTCTGCGGCGAGATCATGGTCCTGTAGATACCGGTGAAGAATGTCTTCTGCATGGCATCAGAGACGCCGCCTGGTTGAACGACTACGCCGTCTAGTCTTTGCTTCCACGCCGTCTCTGCATCGGCCTTGACCTTGTTAAAATTCCAGTGTGGGATCTCTTGCTCTGCGTTTTGGCATGCCTGGTCAGTGCTCAGGAAGCTCACGCCCATGCGAGCTTGGACTGTCCCATTCGAGGGTTTACGGAATCGAACGAAGCCGCCTGCTTGGATGTAGAACAGGCTGTAGCCGCGGTTGACGAATAAATGCTTTTGATCGGTTCCTGCGCGCTCGTTCACCCAGATACCAGAATCCCGAATGGAAGCGCCCTTGAAGTCTGCACAGAAGTATGACTGGTACGAGCCCACTCCGAAACTGGGCAAGAATGTGCCATTGCCCTTGATTCTGCCTGTGTTTGGGTCCACACTGACGGTTGCATTCTGTCGGCTGTCTTGCAGATCCGTCAAGTCCAAGAGGAATAACGGGCTTGATACGTTGCGGCCAAAGTGGAAGTTGTACAAAGCAGTGTGTTCTGTCACAGTCATTTCAGCATCGACGCCATTCGTAAGGCCGAGCGAGAAGTATCCGGGGTGAGCTTTGATCGAGCCATTGCGGTAGTTGACGGCTCTGCCGTACTTTGTGCCAAATGTGCAGCCATTGATAGAGTCACCACCGCATTCGGGCTGCACGGAGATGGGGAAGTTACCCATTGATGGCTGTCCGCCGGTCCCAGAATCGTGCAGTGCTGAAAACCCCGTTACGTTAGAGTAGTCGTACGACCAGCCCGCGGTGTTTTGGCCTGACACATCGGCCACTGCTTTTGCCATTCCGAATGGTAGAGAAGCTCCTGCGAATACATTGCCTCCATTGTATGATCCGATGAGCGGATCCACGTACTGAAAATTGTGATTTCCTGTGTTGTTCTGAGCGAGACAAGAGCCCAGCAGGGCCAGCAGCACCAGGCGTCGGTCGTGAAGCATTTTGTGTATACTTCTGGAATCAATGAAACGGTGAGAGAGAGTGAGAGGAAAGATAGCAAAGACAAGAGGATTTGATACTATACCCTGTACGGTGCAACATAGCACCCTCGCCTTCCGTCTTGGTCATGGTTTGGGCGATCGTCCCGATGGAGAGCATGACGATGAGGGGTTCTTGCTGCGACGGAGAGTTGCATCCTTCGCCCATTGACCCACCGCAAGAAACGCGAACACTAGACGTTTGCGAGGAAGATGGATGCACGATCAGGGTGAGTGATAGAAAAGACGATCGAAATGGGCGGCAAGGTGAGGTCGAGATTAGGTGCAGGGAGCTAGAAAGCTTCGCGCGCCACCATGTCGCGTCCCCTTGCTCGCTCCCACTTCCAACCTGGCATCCTGCGCAGGGAAGACGTCAACTCAGTGTCTCGTCGATAGCGACAGTCGTCGACCGCTCCCTCCAAGATGCCGCCGCAAAGCAGAGGCACGCCGCTCAAACCACCGCCCGTCCCCGCCGGCTTCCAGTCCAAATCCACCCCGAACCTCCCGACCCTGCGATCGTTGAATACGGATCGCACTCCAGCAAACGTAACGGCGAATGCCACGCCAGCCACGTTGCACCCCGATAGCGCCATCACCATCTCCCCAGACATCTCCGGCGACAATATAACCTCGCCATCTGAGCCTGCTTCGATCGAAGACTTCTCGCTGGACGGCACCCACGAACGGCCCTCGCTATCACCAGGCTCATCAGACGAGGAGGACTCGGGCGAGGAAGAAGACGGACACGTTCCCAATCTACCGCCTCGTCCCATATACCATCACCACTCACGAAGTCATACCTATCTCGGTCCGTCGGCATTTGCGCCGCCATTTTACAACAGACCACCCACGCCTCTTCCTCCATCACCATCTTTGACTTCCTTGCTACGGCCCAACTTCAGCTCGCAAAACAGCAGGCCGACTACACCAGATCCATCGAGTGATGAGGGAACACCGCACATGCGAGGAGATGCTACAGGTACACAGACACCCAATTCTGCCGCGGCGTCTACGTTGACCAGCACCTTTCGCTCTGCGAAGCCCATTCCACGAGCCAGCCCCAAAGTGCCGACCTATGAATACTACGGATTCACACTATATCTGACTAGCAGTCTGGCCTTCATCGTGTACCTCCTGTGGTCATTCCTACCTTCGCCATTCCTCCACCAGCTTGGAATCTACTATTATCCAAACCGATGGTGGGCACTGGCAATTCCAGCGTGGACCGTGATGTTTGTGATATACATATACGTCGCTTTAGCGTCGTACAACGTCGGCTACCTCACACTGCCTCTCAAGAACGTGGAATGCTTGGTCGACGAAGCTGCAAATGTTGCTGTGGTTGATGCGAGTGGTAAAATCGTTCGTCAGGAGCCGTCGAGTTGGCTCAGCCAGACTGCGGGTGCTGCAAAGGCCAAGGGCAGTGTTGGGAAAAAGGGGGGCAAAGGCAAGAATGGAGGACATAGCAGGCAGTCCAGCCTGACGAAAGTGCAGACTCATACCGAGCTGGATTGGAAGAGTCTCTGGAATGAGGGAACCGACGCGGTGATGGATATACCGGTTGGCGGTGTCTGTCAGATACTGTATGGTGGATATGACGATGACGATGATACCCTGTACGAAAACGAATGATGATAAATACATAATGTACATTGTATGCGAAGCAAGATGTGCCTACAAACTTCACCTTAACTTCGGTCATAGCATCTCGAGCTGCACTTACTGTTCTCAACTGCGCCTCTCGATTCCTAAAGCACCACTACAAGGATTAAGCACTGCCCTGCGTTGAAGTCGTCAAATTGGCAGAAAGTGGAAGCGCAGCAATAAGGCCGCTACGGTATACGACAGACGCAGACTAGACATAAAAGCCGCACCTCCAACTCCGCAGAAGCCAATGCCTCGCCTCCCAGGCCTCCCATCAAGCATGCAAAGTCTCATCCGACGGTCACTGGCCGCAAATAGACTCCTCAGGCAAAGAGTCACATCACGCCGGTATGCGACCAAGCCGCCGCCAGAGACCACACCCACTGCACCACCGCAATCGACTTCTCGGATCACCCGCCTCGAGAACCGCCTCCCACGCTTCCTCCGCCGATACGTCGCACCCCTCCGCACCGCACCCCTCTCCCATATAACCGCCTTCCTCATTCTCCACGAACTCACCGCCATCGTGCCGCTCTTCGGCCTCGCAGCCATCTTCCACTATACCAACTGGCTGCCCCCATACATCTCCGAGGGGAAATGGGTTAGCGAAGGGACAGAGAAGTTCGGACGGTGGATGAAGAAGAAGGGATGGATGAGCGAGGATGAAGGCAAGGGACGGTGGTGGGGACGGGGAGAGACGGGCGTGAGGGTTGTCGTGGAGTTGGCTACTGCGTATGCGGTTACGAAGGCGTTGTTGCCGATTCGGTTGGTGGGGAGTGTGTGGGCGACGCCCTGGTTTGCGAGGTGGACTGTGTTGCCCGTGTCGAGGAGGGTTGGGGCGTTGTTTGGGAAGAAGAAGGTGGATGCTGCTGCGACTGGGGCTGTTGGGGGTGGGGCGGTGCCGAAGGGGAAGTGAATCCTACAACACATGGGTTCATGGTCTTAATGGGGAATTGCCTCGCTGGACAAGACGCTCAGGAGGAGTACCTCTAGGAACTACGTGCTAGGTGCGGTGAAACATTTGAGCGGTCAGTGCACCGCCGCCTCGGGCAGTCCTACTGGTAACTCAGGACGGTACGCTGCATGTACGCTGGTCTACCAGGACCTTTCGGCCGCTCTCAAGAAGATAAGAGCGACGCAAGAATGCCCTACGCCAACTTTTCCGTTGGGGTTGCCTCCAGAAACTCCTTTGGTCGGCGGATATGGTTCTGCTTGTCGCGGACTGGATCATATACGGCGTTGTCTAAGGAGGACTTCTTCTCGGACGACCTTTCGAGCGGTGGTAAGAAATGCCAGCTTAAGCCGACCCGGTGTCTCTCTATGGCGGGCAGTCTAGCCTAGCCTGTAGAGGCGTTCAACAGCTGCAAGGCAGCAGCAAATGTAGAATTGGAATTCGGGTGCCTGGAGAACTCAGCACATTTACTGCTTACGGTCTCGATGCTACCGATCCATTGCCGTCGTTACGCACCTGGCTGCGTACAGTGGGTCGCGCGGTGATTGGAGTTGGCGTCTCATAGCTGGAGACGCCTTGAATCTGGGCCTATATCATTCGGCATTGAGTGTCAGGGTGAATCGTCCGCTATGGAATACACCCGTCACTGATCTAGCACTTGAAGGACTTTTTCCAATGGTGTCTGATTCAGACAATGGAAGCCTTTGTGATTGGAGACCATACGTGTCGACTGGGCAAATACTCAGACTGCGTTCCCCCCGCCTCGAGAAGCGAAGTTGCAACCCTAGATGTCGTTACGATTACGAACTCATGGAGGATTGTTAGAATGATTTTCTGGCTAGACCCCAAACGGCTCATTCTCGCACAGCTACTCAAAGGAGTCGAATTCGTGTGCCGCCGCTACGTAGTACCCATCTACTGACGAACATTATCTCGAGCCACCTCCTGACAGGCAGCAGTCTTCTATCACGACTTAATGGATGGCAGTACTTCATCTCGCTTGGCGCTATGGTTGAGCTCCATCTCACCAAACATCCTATCCATTTTTACAAGCTATGTGGAGAGACCTGTTAATCTCTGCGCACTTGTACGTTGCAACCGCGTCCGCAATTGTTGTTCCAAGGAGCCATGTCGTCCATGAGGAACGTAGCCAGACTGCCGGACGATGGGTCAAGAGAGATCGTGTGACCACCGATGCTACGCTCTCAGTACGCATTGGACTTGCTCAGAGCAATCTTGAGCAAGGCCATGACTTTTTGATGGACGTCTCCGATCCTAGTTCTCCGAACTACGGCAGACACTGGACATCCGAAGAAGTCATCGATATGTTCCGGCCAAGTGATGAGACAAGTAAGTGGTATTCCCCTTTGCCATTGAGCAGAGAATCAAACTTGATCACGGGTTGTCCGTGGTCAGGGAGTCCATGCGATGTCCTAATGTTCACAGTCGAGACCGTCTCCCAATGGCTGCAAGATGGGGGTATTTTCAACGAATCAATCACCCAATCCGACAACAAAGGCTGGCTCGCCTTCCCGGCCACTGCAAAACAGATTGAAAGGCTGCTCTACACCGAGTACCATGAATACGAAGACCTCAAAACAGGTGGCGTTCAAGCGGCGTGCGACCGCTATCATGTGCCTGCGTACATTGGACAGCACATCGACTACATAACCCCAGGGATCAAGCTGATGGCACCCAGCGACATCGTCACGGAAGAAACGTCGCGGGATTTGCAGAAGCGTTATGGGCCGGAAAGTGACGTCCAGCCGTTACGCCCGAGACGTAGACACTGGAGACCTCACTGGCCTCACTGGCAGCCGCGCCCCAGCTCAAAGGATGATTTGAGGCACTGTGATGTCGAGATCACGCCAGCTTGTATAGCCGCGCTGTACGAAATCTCACCGAATGTTGGCGAGGTGCACGAAAGCAACTCGCTGGGCATTTACGAGGCGGGGCTTAACTACTGGGACCAGCTGGATCTGGATTTATTCTTCACAAACTTTACACGGATTCCTAACGGCACGCACCCGATCGATGAAAACATCGACGGCGGTGTAGCTAGGACAACTAACATTTCGGCGGCGGGAGTAGAAGGCACGCTTGACCTCGAGTCCGCTTATCCAATCGTCTACCCGCAGACTATCACCGTATTCAACGTCGATGACCTGGTCTATCAGTCCAACCCATACGTTTCGCTCGCTAGCGGCAACACTTTTCTCGACGCTATCGATGGGTCGTACTGCACTTACAGCGCGTACGGAGAGACTGGAGATGCGCCCGGTTTCGACCCGACCTATCCAGACCCCGCCCCTGGCGGCTACAAAGGCCGTCTGCAGTGCGGTGTTTACAAGCCTACAAACGTCATCTCTATCTCGTACAGCGGATACGAAGTGGACGTGCCGATTGCGTACCAGAAGCGCCAATGTAACGAGTATCTGAAGCTAGGCTTGCAAGGTGTCTCGTTCTTGATAGCCTCCGGCGACTCTGGCATTGGTAACTACCCTAGCCCGTACGGCTACGATGGACCAACTGGCTGTCTTGGACCCAACAACAACATCTTCAATCCAGGCTTTCCTATTAACTGTCCGTATGCGACGGCGGTTGGCGCGACCAAGGTCTACCCTGGCCATACCGTGTTCGAGCCTGAAAGCGCCGCTTATGATCCGGCTCTTTCAGACATGCAAACAAACTTCAGCTCGGGAGGGGGTACAGTTTCTTGCCTAATCTCCTGTTCATAAAGCCTCTTTACTGACCGCAGATATTACAGGATTCTCGAACGTCTACCCCATCCCCTCGTACCAGAAGAATGCTGTTGCATCCTACTTCGCGCATCATGACCCAGGCCTTCCGTACTACAGCTCCATCGCTACCGATGCCCTTCTTCCCGTTCTGCCTAACGTGACGGCACTAGCGGGTAATACGGGCGGCATATACAACCGCATCGGTCGCGGATTTCCAGATGTGGCCGCCAATGGCGACAACATTGCTACATATACAGGGGGCTCCTTTGGACTGCAAGGTGGCACTTCAGCTAGCACTCCCATCTTCGCTGCTATCGTGACCCGTATCAATGAGGTACGTTTCAATGTCGCGTCCTTTGGTTTCTCTTTGGACTGACAGAACATCTCCAGGAACGTCTCCGTGTTGGCAAGCGTCCTGTCGGCTTCCTGAACCCCGCCCTCTATGCAAATCCGTGGGTCCTGAACGATATCACCAATGGTACCAACAAGGCATGTCTAGGCCAGGGCTTTGAGGCTGTTCAAGGTTGGGATCCTGTTACTGGTCTTGGAACACCTTCGTTTCCGCGAATGTTGGAGCTGTTCTTGAGTTTGCCATGAGCATTGAACAGTATGTATGCGCGGCTGTGGGACTAGTAGTGTTGATCTAGCCTTACCGCCATGAACATCATTGGCCCGGAGGAAATACGTCCCGAAGGATGCACAAAGCCCTGTCTGCCGCGTGCTTGATTCGTCCACCTTTTGCTGATTCGCCCCCAAATCTTCAATCTTGTTTCATGGGTCGTGGAGTGGAAAGAAACATAGAGTTCAGTCTACCATGCGGCTGAATGTTATGAGGGAAGTTGGAACAGCTCATGTGAATCCTTCGGCAGTGGTACCTGCCAAGCTGGAGCCCGAGCACCCGAGGGATATATAGCTCTATATCTATCTATATATCGACAGCTGAGAGTCATACCAAGTCTGCAACCAACAATCCTCGCAACGGTCTTCTGATCCTACCAACGGGCGGCTTCAAGGATGCTGCAACCATGAAGTCGAAGCCCAGTCTGAGTGACGTTGAATTCCAGCCATCGAGCGGAGCTGGCAATGCTCGCCCAACACGGCGACGACAGGAACATTATGGAAATATATCGTCAAGCGCATCGATCGTTCAAGGATCGTCCGATGAACCACGACACTCCAGACCACGACGTTCCCTACGGCATCAGCGCCATGCCCTGGCCGGCGAGGCTGACAAGGCATGGAGTCACAAGAGTGCCGATAGTTCTTCCGAGTCACCACCCGCACACTCGCAAACTACGACAATCTCAGCAGGGAATGAAAACACCTCGAATTTGCTACTCTGGGCATTGGCGAAGAGCACGACCGCTGACAGCGTCGCCGTGGCCATGATCAAAGGCAGCCACAGCGCCAACGAACCCCAGAATCAAGAAAAGACGACTCGCAGCAACTCAACCGTCCCCAAACCCCGAATCAGCATTTTCCACAGCCCCAGTGCGAACAAGTTGCAGCTAAAAGCCACTTTCCACAGCATCTTCTACCCGAAACAACTACTCACCTCCTTCGTTCCCATCCTCTTCCTCCTGCTCAACGTTCAACCAAGCTCCGATGTTCAGCTTGCAGAGCATGCATTACATCTGGCTCAACTTGGCACGACCTCGAAAGACGAAAGAGCGGTCCGTGAAGCACTGCGAGTCTACCAGGCCACGGTCATTCAGCTTCGTCGACGACTCTCTCAGCCAAACGCCGTATTGAACGACCAGGTCTTCGCCGTGGTCCACCTATTACGGATCTGCGAGACATACTCAGCCATCTCACACGATGAATCCGGACGGAGGCGACACCACGAAGGAATCGGACAACTACTCGTTGCGAAAGGACCGAAACCTTTTAACCACGTCAAGTCTTTACCCTTACGCATCAGCCTGGAAATCTACCAGCAGTCGCAACTTTGGGAGTTGCTGGCTGCACGTCGAAAAGGCCACACGAGCACTCCGGAATGGACCGACCTTACGCGTGACGACAAGTGCAAATGGAGGCTACCGCAGTTGACGAGCTTTGTGTTGCAGTTGCCGGAGATATTGCAGAGGGCGGATGATTTGATTACAGGGAAGGAGGATGCTGCGGAAGGGGATGTTCTGGATTCTCTGAGCGAGATTAAGGGCTTTGAGGGCGGCCTACGGCGGTGGATGAGTCGGTGGTACGTCGAGAATCCTGGAGTGCCGTACCGGAAGGTCAAGATGGAGACATGCCCATGGATGAAGCCCTTGACAGATCGAAAAGCTCCGCCCGTCTTCGCGTCCGCGTACGAATTCGCAGGCACAGCCACCGCAAAAGCCCATCAATTATTCTGGATGGCGCTGTTGGCTTCCTCAGAGGCGACCAAAGACCTCGCGGATCTGCTGCCCGATCCCTTGCCACCGCACAGCACATACGAAGAGCAGGAAAGTCGGCTCTTGGACGAGATCAACGAATCCGCGGACAATCTCTGCATGACGGCCGTGTACATGTCGCAACCCGACAACGGCGTCGACAGCTGGATTGACGCCTGCCACTGTCTGCAGTTCGCCTCGCTTTGGTACGAGAAGAGTGGCTTGTCAGACAAGAGAGTCTGGTGCAAGAATATGATCGAAGCTATCGAGAGTCGCGGTATTCGAGCCCCCGTCCTCATAAGGCGCAGAAAGCTACCCAAGTGAACGAACACACGTTCTTCTCAAAACCACATCTCATGGAGCTATGGCGTGGCCGTGACCACTTACGGCCGCCTCAGTCGGATTTCTGCTCAACGAATCTGCGCGAAGGTCTTGTTGTGATTAAAAAGAGGCCTCAAGCGACGGCTGAGCTGCATGGATCGAATAAGGTCTATCGAATCAAGTATCTATGGACGAGATCTACAATCGCTGCTGCTCCCCTCTAACGCTGTCGATGTTCCACGGCTTATGAAGCGAAACGGAAGTCTAAGCGCTTATTTCCCTGATCTTTCGTGGTACTGAGATATTCCTCCTTCTCTTCCGCTGTCATGGCGTTCCAGATTGCGTCTCGGCGTCTGTTCAAGAATGGTCAGTACATCTGGACTGCGACTGAGAACGTTTGGTACTTACTTGTTGATAGTCACGTAGAAGATCTTCAACCCGATAAACATCAAGATATTGTAAACGGTGATAGCAATCAACGCCGCGTTGCCCTTGCGGTACAGCGGCTTGTCACCGTCTCGGTAGATTTGCGATGAGATGATGTTCGACATCTGCACGCTCATGTTATAGATCGCCGATGCGACAGTCCTCGTCCGAACAGTTCCGGCATTGCGACTGGTAATGGCGACCAGGATGGCGTGGATATATGGGTAGCCAACGAGGAGCGTCGCGATAGCCCATCTCGCCCAATGCGAGCTGTCAGCGGGGAGAACCTCTAGAGCAATGAGCAGAGGGAGTGTCCACAGTCCGTTGACGACGCCAAGCAGGAAACGCTGGTTGATCTTCTCCGAGAGCCAAGTCCAGAACAGCAGCTGGATGATGAAGAGAACGGAGGACGGGATGGTGAGCAGATTGGTGGTGAAGGTCCCGAAACCCAAGGCTTTGAGGTTGAGTGTTAGGTAGCTTGTTGGTGGTGTCTGCATCAACAATCAGTATTATTTCGTCAGGATTTCATGCTACGTTTTCCTCTCAAAGTGAGACCTCTATTTCCAGTCAGGGGGGCAGGTTCCGTTCCATGACGGTCGGTACCATGAGTTTCCCTTTGAGCGCAGCAGACAAGTAAGGAAAGACTTACGTTCGGGATGGTCCACGAAAGTCCGATTAGATATAACGGCCACATGTGCCAGTCCTTCAAAGCATCCCCAAGCGTGGTCAGGTTCAGACCTTGACGGTTGTGCTAGTGGCGAACAAGTCAGTCACAGATATTGCAGATCAAGATCAAAATACTTACCATGTCACCCTTCGAAGGGTCATCTCTCAAGATACGGTTAGCGATGATCTTTTCTTCCTCCACGCTGAACCAGCCCTTCCTCCCTCGGAACCAAGAGGCAGTCTTGTAAGGACTGGGTGGCAGATAGAACGCAGCGACAATGCCGATCACTCCAGTGAGCAGGCCCTCGAGGGCGAAGAGCCACTGCCACCCAGCGAGACCGTTGTAACCGCGAAGTCGTAAAATTCCGTAGGCCAAGAAAGCGGAAATGATCGAAGTCGATTGATAAGCAACCCAGAAGAAGCTCAAACGTTTGGGAAGTTCCTTGCTGGTGTAGTAGTAGCTGAGGTAGAGGATCGTATCGGGTATGAAGCCTCCTTCTATCATTCCAAGAAGCCATCGGCAGATGAAGAATGATGTTCGACCGTTGAGGAACGCTTGCATGGATGCCACTAACGACCAGGAAACCATCTGGACTGGGATCCATCGATCAGGTCCAAGTCTCTTCGAAATCATTTGCGATGGCACTAGAGACGCGATCAGCATGACGTTGGGTAGGAGAGAATGAGCGGGTAATCGAACATTCAGCGAACAGAAAAGAACAGTAGAAGATCGTCTGCCCGTTGTTGTAGCTGTTTTGGGCAAACGGTCAGCATGGCTTCGAGTAATAAGATAAGGGGGTTGTCGAACTCATTAGTGTTCATGTGAAGGTCTTTAAGCATATTATCGGACAAGGCTGTGACATATTAGCTTGTGCCTTGGAATGCGTCGTCTGTCGCGAGGACGTCACGAACCCTGTGAGATGTTTCCACGATCCAATTGCAAAGCGAAGAACATCAGACATGCGAAGGTACAGATCTTCCAGTCGAGCTGCAAGAACTTAGTATTCGCTTAAGTATAATAGCAGCGAGACTGCAGCTGACCTTCCTGATGAGCTTCCTCTCCTCCGCTGGCTCCCAGGTGAAGTCTGGATCGTAGCGGTGTAGACCCTCCCATCCATCGCTCGGTCTGTAGTAGACGTCAAGTCCCTTCGAAGCGAATGTGGTGCTGTCGCCATGAGGGTTCTGTCCTTGGTCGAGCGTTTGAGTTGGGCTTCTCAGCACATTGGCGGCCTCGAAGCCTTTGGAGATAGCCTCAGTGACCGAGGATCTTCGTCTGTGCTGGTCTGGTACAGCATCCAGTCCTGCGTGAGGCTCCTTCTGCTCCATTGCAACAAGTTCGTAGGCGAAATCCTGGGAGTGGAAGAGAGATCGCCAGGCTTTGGAGACGGGCCCCAAGAACTTATAAGTGTCCAGGGCCTGCATTTTTCCCATCGGCGAGCTGCTCCGGCATGCGTCAAGACTTGCCAATGGTGCTTATTGGCTCTCAAGAAAAGCCTCGACTCGCCTTGACCCCACGAGGTGCCACGCAGCGGCCACGAACACACGATGCCAAGAGCCAGATAACGTTCATGTCCCCGATGGGTGGGACGTCGTGGCCAATGGCAGCGGCTAAAGGTGGAAAAATTGCGTCGACATTCTGCGCGATAGCCAGGATAACGAGGGCCGGGAGCACGCAAGTGTCTTCTGGAAGCTCGTGAGTGCGTGGTTTGGGCGGCCGATATGTCGTAGCTGCACCCCTCGCAGGTGGATTGCGTGCTTGCGCGAACTTATCGCGACAACAAAATCCCGCCCACGATGCGACCATCGTCCTCACCCAAACGCCACTCCGCGCCCGGGTCCGAGTCGAGTCCGAAGAGAGCATTATTGTTGTGCATGTCGTCTGGATGGGATATCAACTTGATGGCCATGTCGTTTGATCGAAAAGCCATTGAAGCTCGGCCTAACGTTTCACTCGACTGCACAGCAGCGATGAGTGCGATTCGTGCGCCCACCGCAACAAACAGCTGAAAAGTCCAAGAGCTCTCTCCAGATCGATGGAACAGGATCCAATGTGTTCACTAGGACATGTTCGCCAGATATCTTCCTGTTTGAGCATACCGGCGAGGAGTCTCGACCCTCCATTCGAGTCGATAATCAGCCTTACAGAGAGTCCAGTCCCGCGGACTGGGACGATTCCATTCGCCAATAAGGAAATGTCGTCCATCTGATTACTCACAGAACCGACTCGCATGTCGTGCTTAGAGGATGATGTCTCGATGCGAGCTCGTCCGTCTTGGAGAAGCTGGAGCTCTAACGCAATGTCCAGCATTGATGCTATCATTCAGGCACGTCGCCCAGAAATAGGGTGTGACTTATAGGCACTCCCTCCCAGCATCGTGTTCGGTGTTGTGATATCTCCTGTCTGCAATGGCTCCGTCAGCAATCTCGACCGAAGAGGTCGCTCGTGTCGCTACGCTTCCAATCAATGGGAAGAACTCAACATCCCCAGCCCGCGCTCCGTTGCAGAGCTCTGGCTCCCTGGATGCATTCGAGTCTTTCGATGTAACCAATGTTATTGGGAGAGAGTTCCCAACTTTGCAGGTCAGCGAGATCCTCAAAGATGATAACAAGATCCGCGACCTGGCAATCCTCGGTTCGAACCATTGATGTCGGTATCCGTTCTTTGACTGAGTGCCTCCGCAGTTTCTCAAAGAGGAGTTGTCTTCTTCCGCAACCAGGACCTTAACATCGAAGATCAGAAGGTGCTGGGGCAGAAGCTCGGCGAGTTGACCGGCAAGCCAGAGACGTCCAAGGTATGAATCTTCCTCCCGATTACTCAGAAGCAATACTGACGGGAGATGTAGCTCCATCGACATGCTCTCCTCAACTCCAAGCGAGGCCTCACCGTAGACGAGAACGGCAAAGTCGATGACGAAGTGTCAATCATATCCTCCGAGCAGAACAGGAAGTATTATAAGGGGCGATACGATGCTGGGTCGAAATATCTTGCCAGTGATGGATGGCACGCCGAGTAGGTGGTTGGAAAACTGCTGGCCGTCTAAGATCCAAGACTGATCTGATAACAGCATCACCTTCGAACGCATTCCGTCCGATTATGCAATCTTGAAGATCACACAGCCGTCTGACGACGCCGGAGGAGATACCCTTTGGGCGTCCGGTTATGAAGCATACGATCGCTTGTCGCCAGCCATTCAGAAACTTGCAGAGAGCCTGACCGCCACACACTACCAGCCAACCTTCAATGAAGCCGCCAAGCAACACGGCCTCGAGCTCATTGACAGCAATCGCGGCGCTCCAGAGAACAGCGGCCTCGACTTCACCGCTTCGCACCCCGTCGTTCGAACGAACCCAGTCACTGGTTGGAAGTCGCTGTTCGCCGCTGGTGGCCAAGTCAAGCATGGCTGGATCGACGATGTCACTCCGCACGAGAGCGAGATCCTGAAGGAGTATTTCCTGGATGTGATTGCGAAGAATCATGATCTTCAGGTCCGTTTCCGTTGGAACATTAACGATCTAGCAATTTGGGATAATAGGAGCGTCTTCCACACTGCTACCAAGTAAGTGAATTCGTGCTCAGTATAGAGGGACATGCTAATGGTGTATAGTGATTACTTCGGCTCGCGCCAGGGCAACCGAGTAGTGTCGCTGGGCGAGAAGCCATATTACGACCCTAATTCAGTGTCTAGGAGGGAGTCGTTGTTCAAAGCTGGTCTTTAGATAGAACCAACCAAGGCGTGTAAGGACAGAGAATGGGTGGCAGAGGGATGTTGTGAAGCAAAAGTATGAGGTGAGGTGGAGAGAGAATGACTCTTAACGTCGGTGTTCCCGAAGGAGGGAACGGTGTCGTAGTCTCAGAGTCCAGACCAGACCTACTACTCCAATTAGAACATACCTGCTACCTCAATCATGTTAGTCTGGGTGAGTGAGGTGAGATGCGAATCCGAATGCGAGCTAGCGCAGCCTCGCGTCGCTTATTGCCTGAGGCAGCAACTAGGATCGCGCGCGCTGTCCAACCTGCATGCGCAAACCTTGGGGCAATGAGAATCCATTGTTAAATTCGGGAGATGTCAGGCGCACGTACCAATACTTGCTATACCAAATGGAGAAGGTCATAACTACATGCTCCAGCTGCTTTCCACCCTTTTGTTGCAGTTCGACGTCACAGAGCTTGAGGGTCTTGTCCTTTTAGTTAGAATCCTACAAAATGGTATACTAACTATGAGCGATAGGACGAGAAACAGTGGCGAAGGCTATGCTCCAAAGGAACCCGTTTAGTTGTATTTGGTCGGGGACAGCGACACCAAGATCTAACATGGACTTGTTCTCTGAAGCAGGCTCGACACCAGATCACATCGAGCTTATATAACAATCCCCTATCGTACAATCCAATCAAGGATTCCCACTCCCCTGAAAATGCCCCTCACCCTCCCCCAAACTCTCCCCCACAGCCTTCCCCCCAACCTCCAAAGCCTGAATATCCTGCAGCACAAACACAATCCGACACCACTCAGTCTCACTCGCGTTCCTCCACGAATGCAACGTCGCCCTCTGCACCGCGATATCGCCCTCCTCCAATAACGTCGACGTCCCATCATCCAAATCTAAGAACACTTTCCCCTTGAGCACGATCCCATAGTCGAGACTCTTCGTCTGGTGCATCATGCGTGCGTTGTGAGGCGCCAAGTCGACGAGGCGGCAGACGGTTCCGTGGGGCTGCACGAGGTTTGTTTGGGAGGCGGCTAGGAACTCTTCGGAGCGTGCAATGTCTACTTCGTTGGTCAAGTCCGCGGGGAAGCGGTCGGTGGAGTAGAGGTTGTGGATTACGCCGCCGAGGGTCGGGTATTCGATTGCTCTGGCTTTGCGGGAGCTGTGGAGAATTGCTGTCCCGGACTCGTTGTGGGTGGTTATGTTGACTGACGGGGCTCCGAAGGGGGAGGGGAGGGATCCTGTGGGAGGTGCCATGGTTGGGTGTTGCGAGATAGAGCAACTTGGATGAATGAGAGAGTCTTGGAGTGTTGTTGTATATATACGACTTGGAAGGTAGAGTTGGATTTAGAGAAAAGAGGGCCGTATTGGGAGTGATGCACACGGGAAAGCACTGATACACCCATTTGTACGTGATCGTCCTCCTACAAGTCGCTGTCAGCCGGAGGGTCGGGGAAGAGTAACAGCCTTCGAGATGCGGGGATTTCAGTTGGTTCTCGCATTAGTTGACAGAGATGCGAGACGCTCCGGGCCTCGCGTAAGCTTATAGCCTGAAAGGAGTTGTTATTGCAAGAGTAGAAAAGGCAATGAGGATGATGACGGCAGACTCGGACTGCTCGATACTCAGCGGACATTAAAGCCGGACTACTCATGATTTTCGTAAAGTTAGGCAGTGATGGCACAGGCTACAGCCAGCTAACTAACACAGCACAGAAATTCCACCCCACAGGCACACCAATCATATGCACATCAGTCCCACTATGCTTGCTGATTCTTCTCGATCGCCACTTTCAAAACCTCGAGCATTGCATTCATAGCCTTCTCGATCTCATCAACGGGAGCCAATCTAGCTCTCTCGTGAATCTCAGCTGTGGACTTACGAAGTCGAGAGCGAACTGCCGGCCAGTCGACAGATTGCAACTTCCCCCCAGACTTGACGACACGGCCGTTGATGAAGACTGTGTCAATGTCTGATGCGTTTGCGTATAGAACAAGTGTTGCGACGGGGTCGTGGGCTGGGACTAGACGCGGGGAGTCGCAGCGGGTTAGGAGGATATCTGCTCTTTTCCCGGGCGTGATGCTTCCGACGATGTCCCCGAGACCGATGGCATCTGCACCGCCTTGGGTTGCGAGCTTGAGGGCCTCTTCGCATTTTCTGGCAATCTTCATCGGAGGTCCAGGTGCCTTGTCATGCTGCAAGTGTCGATGCGCTTGCAACAACAGCCGCATTTGATGGAACATGTCGCCAGGAGCGGAGCAGCATACATCAACTCCAAGCCCAACTTTACAACCGCAATCTACTGCTTTGAACCCGACCGGAGCCCCCATGCCCATCTGCAATTCGGTGTCAGGTGTGCTGGAGAGCCCAACGCTACGAGAGGAGATCGCGCTCAACTCATCGTCTTCCAGCGTTGAGCCATGGCTGAAAAGTAGATCGGGGCCAAGCAAGCCTTTGCTTTCGAGACTGCGAACAGTGCGCAGTCCCACGTCCCACATTCCCAATGCAATGTGTGCAGTGATCACCGCAGCGCCTAGTTCCCGAGCTAATTCGATCTGAGATACGATTGTCTCTATCGGTACCATTTCAGGCTCTGATGTTGCAAAGCCAAATCGAACGAGTTGATTGGCATCGTTATCGGTGAAATGCTCTTGACGTACTCGACGAGCATCTTCATATCTCCAATCAGGGGTGTCATTCTCTCGACCGCTGTCAAGAGTAGATCCGGTCCATGCAGGATTTCCGTAAGCGCCATAGCAAAAGGTGGCTCGCATATTCGAATCTCTCCAGGCATTTATGACTTTATCGGCATGCTCAGGCGAATTCATGATGTGCGAGTGGTCTATAATTGAAGTGATGCCAGAGTCGATGCATTCTATTCCGGCGCAGTAGTTTCCTGCCAATGTGAGCTGTGGTGAACAACGACAGTGTAAGGGATCAGATACCAAGATACGCATCCTCAGCGGTATAGCAAGAACCAAAGACGTTGCGAAGCACTTTCACGTAGTCAGATAGGACGAAGTCGGCGGCGATTGTGCGTGTTTGCGTCTGCCATGCATGCCGATGGGTATCCACGAAGCCAGGAGACACTATCATGTCAGTCCCATCGATCACCACCTGTTCTGCAGACACCGGTAGTCCTTGCGCCACAGCAGCAATGAACTCTCCATCGATAGCAACATCGCAGTTGTTGACGACACCGATCTTGGGGTCCACCGAGACGACTGTAGCGTTTTGAATCAAGTATTTCGTAGCCATGTTGAATCACACAAGTGAATGCACCTTTCGCTCTTGTAGGAGACTTGCCTTTCTCAGGAGCGCTGTAGTCCTTTATAGGAGAATGACTTGAAGCTCCTACCGTATCAGTCGTACCATGCCCGCACAGTCAGCTTCTGGGCTGCATTTGCCGGTTCGGACAATGCGGCCAAGCCTTGGAGCGGGGTTTGTTGGACAGAGGCGCTGTATGTTGATCGCGAGATATAACCACGACCCTGAAGTAAAGTCATGCAGAGTGTCTTGCATGCGTCAGAAGGAATTAGGGTTAAAGGAGTGCATTTGGGATGCGTCAGCGGCCAAGCCGGTAAGCTTCACAGCCTTGCCGGCGAACGAGGTCTGCTCACGTAATGCAATGGTTTGCATCACATAATACTTTCACAGGTACAGGCAACTGAGGCCATTACTGGCAGCGGCGTTTCCGTAATGAGGTGCGTTTGAAACCGACCTGTGAGCCGTATTGAGGGGAGCACGGAGCAGAGACTGCTGGCCGTCGACTGGCTCTGGTTGAGTCTACGATCTCGTCCATAATTGATGCGACCCTTCCTCTGCTCATGTCCTCGGTGTTCGATTCTATCAGACGATGTCTTGATGACTGTATGTTGTCCTGGAAGAAAAGGTTACAACATTCTAAGAGGGGCTGAGGTTGCAGGCCGTTATTCAATTTAGCGCCGGGAAGAGTACGGTCCGTGCCGAAACGCTTACTTGATCCTGAGCTCGAAGCTCTTCGCCTGCAGTGGTCAGGACGGCTCCTCTGGATTGACATTCTTGACACGGCCACACCATTCAATGCCTCCTCGCATACCCCTGACCACACGGTCTGTACGAATAATCCACAAAGATTCCTATGTCTGTCCATCATGTCTGCTGAAGGACGCCGGGCGTGCAGAGCAGCCGACGCCCATTAGGAGATTCACATCGGAGAGGAGAGTACGGGACAGGACAAGGCCAGACCGAAACGAGGGACCCAAGGCTAGAGTTACTCATCGATATGCCTCGAATGGTGCCCTGGCTTCGTCGACCGCCGTAAACGCGCCATCGACTGTGCCCTTTGAACTACGCGACCTACACCAACATCTACAGCTACTTCAAGACAAAGCCAGCGTTTACGTCGACCTATCGCGCCTTCAACTCGCTCTTCGAAGTCTGGAGAGTGAAGATCCAATCATCAGAATTGCTTTCCTTGGTCTGGGGTCGAATGGAGTCCAGTCGGCTCGAAGGCTGGCAAGGTTATTGCTCAGTGATGAGCTCGGAGAAGAGGCTGCGTGGGAACAAGAGTTGTTAGATCCAAGAGATGGCCGAAGCGTGCTTTTGAGGTATGGAGGGGAATCTGAGGAAAGTGGAGTACAGCCTGCCAATTCGCCTTTGGTGAAAGAGATGCGGATACCTTCAGCACGACTAAAAGGATGGAACGTTGAGATTCTGATTACTGGCTTCAATGCCAGCGGCTACAACACCTCAGACTCCGCGGAAAGTACGACAGAACTCGAGGAGAGCATTCTTGTACCACCGATTACAATGCCTAATTCGAACGGTGGTAGAGTGGGTTTCGTGCGGTATCCCGTCCATAAGGCACTGATCGTGTCGGAAGGCGTAACTGGTGCGGTGGAGCTTGGAAAACTACCTGCGGCACTCGCCGACGACAGACTAATCAGTGCGGCATTGAATCTCCCTCTTCGCGGCAAAGCAAGCGAAGATGGCACGTCCCTGAAAGCGATTTCTATCGATATCGTCGAACCCGCACTGCAAGCGCTTCGCAAAGACTATCGAGCAAACGGGGCAATCTACAGCTCCCAATGGCAGCAAAGCAATGTAGCCAGTGTTGCCAGCTGGCTGTCCAAGGCGTCGCGGCCAAGCAGTGAAGGGCATAGCCTGAAGCCAGCCGTCGAAGCCCTCCTCAATTCCGAGCTGGCACGTAGCACGAACCTCGTCTCCACGACGGAGGCAAAGGCCCGATCTTCCTCTGACGCCGTCCCGGAATCCAAGCGAACTACCCTTCAGAGCGCCATCTCGTCCTGGTCTGAGGAAGCCCACCGAGATCTGCAGCTCAACCTCAACAATGCTCTTACATCGCCTGCATGGCGCCGGACGTCGTGGTGGCGACTATTCTGGCGCATCGACGAAGTATCTATGTCAGCAAGCGACGTGCTCCGACGTGGGTGGCTGGTGGATGCAGAACAGAGTTTGGCGTTCATAAGCGGACGCATTCTGGAGGCTGGTCTCGCCAGCGAAGAAGATCTGAAGAAAGACTCAGTCAGTAACATCGAGGACGCCAAGCTCCTTCCTGGTGTCTCGAGGGAGGAATTCGATGAGTACAAGGCAGCGAATGCTCCGAGCGCCGCACCACAGAAGATTGAGAGTCTTGCGAATCTGACAGAGTTCCCCGTCAAAGTCGCTCGCATGAAAGAGGAAAGTGGACTTGATGTCTTCTTCGACCCGCCCTGGCCTCAGACCATACACTTGGCGCGCGAACAGATGCTGCACCAACTTGTCCCGTCGATGCATCTCAAGGCGCAAGCATTGCTTCTGACGTCCCTCTCCACGATTGGTGGATCGGCTGCGTTGGCAGGATGGTTATGGGTAGCGTCTGGTGGTGTAGCCTTCTACGAAGCTGGTGCCATCGCAGCCTTGGGACTTGTTTGGGCTCTGAGACGTTTACAGACGAAGTGGAGCTTGGAAAGGCAGAAGTTTTCCGAGACTGCAAGGGAAGACGCAAGAGGAGTGCTCGCAGAGGTCGAAGGCAAATTGAGGCGGCTGGTCACCGAGGGCGGTAGAGTGGCGATCCGAACAGAGGATGAGAAGGAGTGGATAGAGGCACGTCAAGCGATAGGAGCCTGCCAGGAAGCACTGAAAGAGGCTGCAAGCCATGGCAGCGATGGGAAGTAAGACTGCAAAAGATGACTGAGGGTTGAAGCTACTCTTTGATGGCTACCATCAGTCCCTCACCACCAACAAAATGGCGCCAGAAACCAGATCGAAATGAAGACGATACGACTAGCCCAGCGCTAAATTCTCATGCAAACGTTTACAAGCCCAGCATCAAGTTCCTCATCGCATCAGCGCCGCGCCCAGTAGCAAAACCAGACCGAATCGTACCTGCTCGTAAGGCTGTAATCTCCCATCTGCCGCACCAGTCGATACCCCAGGTCCAGCCGACGTGCTGCTAGCAGCTCCACCAGCAGACAGTTGCGTACTCCCAGGTGCACTCGTCCCCATCGTCGACATCACAGTTAGATTAGTCGCACTCGTCGCTCCCACCCCAGCACCAGCCTCCCTCACCACAAATGCCACCGTATCCTGTATCTGATCGTTCTCGCTGATATCTCTCCGAAAATCCTGCAGACTGAGCTTCGCCCCGGCGCCGTATACGATGCCCCACCAGATGCGGTAGGGCTGTTCGGTGTTGTATGCGCCTGTGGTTAGTTCTGTGGCACGTCAACGTCAATCAACGGAAACCGCTTGGAGTGGAGACTATCTTGCTTTTGGGGATTCAATGTACTGACTGACCTGAATACCCAATACACGTCCCACCCGCAAGGCTCTCGCACTCGGCGAGAATGAAGCGCGCCCAGCTGGAGGCGTTGTATTGGTTATAGGGTTTGTAGAGTGTCTCGATGACGGAGCCGCCGCCGGCGTCGGGGCTGGGTTTCCAGTTTAGTGGGGTGGGGAGGGAGAGGGAGGTGTAGGGGGCTGTGCTGTTGGGGAGGGATAAGGCTTTGGAGGTGGAGATGAGGCTACAGTAGAGGGTAGCCCATATCAGTTTGGTCAGCAACATTGTTGGGGGTTCGGGAGATGCGCATGGTCTGCAAGTGGCTCCTTTGATTTTATAGCTTAGGGAGCAGGCTTTATTGTTCGTGTCGATGTGTACCTTTGTACATCCGCATTCGCGTGGTTCCGTATCAGCCCACAGCAGCCACGCTGAATGGAATCTATCGCTCATTCGCTGTTGCCTTGGCAGCAGTACGGGAAGGGCGTTTTTGAACCTCTTGATAAACGAAGGTCTACCCTATGGTGTTACGAAAGCTTTGTATTCTCGGCAACGACCACGGAATGCGCTCTGTTCTCAAAATCTCAACACTCCATACGCTCTTCAGCCACTACGCGACTGCTGGAGAAGCCCCTTTCGCTGTCGAGGGATTACAGGAAGCGTAACCCTCGACCTGGCCGATGGTCCACGATGGACACCCCAGACGGGACCACCCACCGCAGGGATACGCGCAAAAATATCAACATCCGCTCCTGCGAGCGCCAAACGAATACAATAAGCCGCAGGGACGAGGATCGACAACGGATTCAGGGCAAATGTGACCTCGACCAACTCTCCAGGTACCAAAGGCATGGCGTCTTTGCGGAGGAAGCTATGCTGAGGACCAATCGCTGCTTCAGGCGAGGGTTCATTTGAGACTCGACGATGAATGCCTCGAAGGTGTCCTTCGGTCAGGTAGATGACTTTGCCATCGGGGGCGACGAGTTCCAGATATGCGATGAATGCCCCGTCGGTCTCGGTTGATGTCAAGGACATGGTCACGACGGGATGGCCTGTGATCTCGACGTCTTGGGAAAGCGGTGGGCTTGTATAGCGTAAGAGACGCTTGTCGACTTCTGCTCGATCGTGGTAAAAAACCGGGCCGCCGTCCTGACCAGTGTGCCAGCGAGTTGTCTTGCCGCTGCCGACGCCGAAGTCGACGGCATAGGTATCTACACCATCCGCAGTGAGGTCTCTCACCAGGCGGCTATCAGGACCGAAATGCCACTCTTCGTACTTCGTCTCCGGCAGCGGCCATGTTCTAGTCGTCTTCCATCGTTGTTCGCCACGAGTAAAGTAATCGATCCGCTTCCCCATATCTCTCATCTCGCCATCAAGACCCTGTTGGATGAACATATATACCATTGCTTGCTGGGTGAGGTAAGGCATGATCTTGTCGTTTTCAGGGCAAAGGGGATCAAGGGTGCTTCTGCCTCCATGACCCCAGGGTCCGATAACGACCTGGACTCGATCTCTCAGAGTCAAGAATCGACGTATTGCCCCGTTTGCTGTGCATGTGTCCATCCATGAGGCCCAAGTCTGACATGGCATCTCTGCCTCGTTGACACGCTCCATGTGGGCAGCAATACCAAAGTCTGTCATGGACGTACCGTGCCAAGACGACGGCCGATCGTCACGATACGTGACTTCCTGAAGACCCTCCCACACTGAAGGGACCGGTCGATGCTCTTCCAAGGCGTCTCGAAGCATCTGCCCGCCTTCAGACTCATCTACAAGTCGAACTCCCGGCAACAGTTGTCCTTGGGCATTCCTTTTGAGGTTGAGATCGAGATTCTTGACTCTCATCCCCCATGTGCGTCCCATGAAAGCATTCGGAAGCCCTCCCGGAAAGTACACGTCGGTGTAAGGATCGTAATCAGCATACCGCGGTACAATCACCTTGAGCGCCGGGTGCTTTCGCTCGGCCATCCAATCTGCAGTGTTGGCGCTGTATGAAGTCACGGTGCCTGCAATCCTACCGTCAGACCAGGATTGAGCGACAATCCAATCCATGATCGGCGTGAAGTCCAGTGTTTCCAAGCGGGACCTGTGATAGGGCCATTGTCCAAATGAGGCTCCTGTGCCCCGTACATCACCGTGGATGGCGACGAAACCTCGTTCGGCGAAATAGGTCTGCCAGGGGTAGAGGTCTTCGCCGATCTTGTTCCGCCAGTATCGTGTCATCATGAGGACCGTTGGGAAGGTTGTTCCAGAGGGTGCTTCAGGGAATAGGATGTCTAGCGCGATCTTTGTGCCATCGGTTGCAGGAACGTAGACGCCCTGCAGTGGACCAAGTGCATGCGTAGGAGGAGCAGGTGATGTGCAATGAGACACTTCATTGTCATGGTGGAGGGAGTCGGCCATGTCCAGGTAGAAGCAGTGCGAGTAGAGACGCGAAGACATCTCAAGGTGCCGTGGGCATGTGATCTTGTAATAAGAGCTCGTGGGCGTAAGCTACAGCTAGCGTGACAGCCAAATCCGTTCGTCGGCAGGTGAAGCCGAATTTAGAGTTTGCTAGCGTGACCTGGGGGTTGAGTGGTCGAGTCTGATCAACTGGTCTCCAATCAGCCTGGCAACGGCAAGCTTGTCACATTGTGTAGAAGGCCTCGAGAGCTCCCGCAAGCACGCGAAGGGTGCCATTCTTCGGGGGTGATCGTCCTAAAGGTGAATTCACGTTAGGCTCCATGTGAAGTTGGCCATCATCTCGAGAATGCAGTCCCAGTCACTGCCGCTTCCCTGGCGATATTCTGCTTCTTTTGCGGGTGCTTTCTTGTACTTGCGAGTCGACACAACCGGCTCATCTACGTGGATATCGCGGTGTCGCCAGATCTTCAAAATCATCATGCGTACAGGAGCAACATTCTTCACTTGTTGTTAGTCTTTGAACGGTATGGTTTATAAATTCCTTGCATCTGGACTCACCCAGAACCTGCGGTCTTTCTCGATCTGTTCGAATAAATTCAACACCCGAAGTCTCAAGAAATCGTCATTGGCACTGGATCCAGCCATGAATATTGGCCATAGTCGGTTCGCCACGGTTCTCGTCAGGCCTGGATTGTCTTCAAGAAGGGACAGTATCTGGCTGGTCAAATGCAGTACCTCCGATTGCGAGAAGAGAGGACTCAAAGAAGTCGTTCGTACAGCGATACGTGCTCTTATAGAGGCGACTTTGTGATGGAGATAGAGCAAGCAGGCCAGTCTATACGCTTCGGCACTTGCTGAGAGCTGGACTGTAGTTGAGAATAGAAGATTTGGCGGGACGTCTTGGCGAAGCCCTTCAAGCGATGTCTTGATGTCAGCAGCGATTCGATGATGATCTGCGACTAGTTTGCTGTTCGAAGGATACTCAAGGTCTGTGATCTGGTTGATGAGGAGCAGTAAACCGCTAGTCAAACCAGTGTAGGTATTGATCTGGAAATGGTCCGTTGGACCCATCCATTGGAGTAAAGTGAGTGTCATCTTGGATGGATTTCCAGACAATGGCAGGATATTGGTGTCTGAATCCGAATGTCGATTTGTGTCGCTTTCCTGCGAGACGTTGTAGGGGTCTGTCGATGCATGAGATTCAATGTTCTGCTCGGTGTATCTATTCATTGCCTGCTCCAAGTGTTCAAGGTCAAGCACGGTCCTGTCCACCACGAAGTGGAAAAGCAAGTAGTCGACAAGAAACGATGGTAAGCTGAAAGCCTTTTCACGGCAAGCAAGCATGTGCATGAGCCCGGTGAGATGATTGGCCCATGTTCGGTGGTTGTTACGAGAGATCTAGATGCGTCTCAGCAAGCACAGAGGCTTCAGTATCAGAAGGATTCCACACCTCAAACCAGCATAACAGAATAGAAGCCGCACAGGCCTCGAGAAGAGAGGTGTGAGACATGTGCAAGTCGTCAATGGTGGTGATCAGACCTCTCAAGGCGCTTGAGTGGTATGAGAGAGTTGTCTGTTGATAGGAAGGCTCGCGTAGACTCATGACCTTTGCTGAGACGGCTTGTAGAGCATGCAAAACTGGAGGGGATTCCAATGCCAATGGAATCAGAACACCTCTGAATGGATTACCCCCTGGACTGTCCTCGATGGTTGCGGTACTGCAGATAACGAGATCGTAGAAGCTCATCAGCGTCTCATTATACTTTGATCCTTGGCTTAACTGTGGAGATCGAGGGATCGAATACGGCTCGGCCTTCTCGACCACCTCAGGCACGCGTTGTTGGAGTGTGGTGGCTGCACATTCTTCGATAGCGTCTGCACGCCCTTCGATATCTGCAGCACTAGTGTTCAAGAAATGAGTGCAATTTTGGCCAGTGGAAAACAACGACTTCCTTGCACGAAGTTTCAGTCCATAACTGTTGTGAGATGGGTGAGTTGGTCCACGGCCATGGCTAAGTCCCTTCGCGTGGGAGTCTTCAGGCCAAATCAGCTGTAGACCATAGTCGCATGTCTTGTTCTTGCAGTAACAACGGGTACAGATCGGTCGTTGCTCTGCAAGGCTATGGTTAGAAACTGTTATTCTAGACGGAACATATATCATCGCACCATCACACTTTACATGACTTCGTCGACATGCCGAGCAACCTTCACGGCTGCGGTGATGCATTTTTCGGTGTGGCGATAGCCAATTGCTCTTCTGCTGTTTTCATGAGATGTCGAGATCGAGAATGCAGCCCATCTCCGGTATGCATGCGACCAACAGAGGTTGGCATGATGGCTAGAAGGGGTGAATGAGTAAGAAGTGCTCACCAAAATGAATTGGGACGGGAAGCAGGTGCAGCCGGTTTTAGAGTTCGGCAAGACAGAACGCTTGGACCGCGAGGCTGACTAACCGGGAGTCGCCCGAAACGGCACCTTTCTTCTGCCATCAACCTTCATCCCGATCCAGCCTCACGTTCATGCGGTATACGTAGAATATCTTTGGCAATGCTCTGGTAGCATGCGAATCTGTATCCTCCCCTTGTCATTTGGAAGAAATGCCGCAGCTCGGATGAAAAGACTGTCCAACGACCGCACAAGATAGGCAGCCACGTATGTACCGGGCATTTGGGACCTCAAACTTAAATCATACTCGTCAATATGGATGTTGCAGATGGGACCACTCCCAATAGGACGAGGTATAGGGCCATCAAAGCCCACCGCAAGTCTCGCGCCGGCTGCTTTACATGCAAGGGAAGAAGGATCAAAGTACGTCCTGTTCTCCCACTAAGAGGATGCACTCTGTTTGGCTCTGACACATGATGCAGTGCTGCGAGACTAGGCCAAGATGCGTGAATTGCAGTCGCGGAAATCTGCATTGCGTATATCCAGAGACACGGCCAACAACGATATCGGTACAGCCAGGTGGCGTCCAGTATCAGTCGCGGGGCTTCAGCTTGAAGGACATGCGTTTCTTCCACGACTTCATGACGGCCAGCTACCCACATCTGCCCCTGGAATGCGATCATGCGTGGACGAATGATATTCCTCTTCTTGCACAGCAAGTCAGACACTCATCTTCTCAAGCACGGCTGAGCCGCGAACTGACTGTCTGTTAGCACGAGTTCCTGATGCACGCCATTCTAGCTCTTGGTGCAGCTCATCTTCATAGAAACACGGACCTTGAACTAAAAGGGACCGTGGAACAACATAGAGCGATGGCGTTATGCGGCCTTGTCGAGCCGCAGTCTGACCTCTGCACACACGGCACAGGCAGAGAAGGTCGCCTCAACGCCCAACTAGCCACCGCATACGCTTTGAACTTTACGGCCTCGTACATGGGTGACACTATGAGTTCTTTTCTCACATTTGTGAGAGGATGTGCTTCACTAAGTAGAGAGATTATCTTTTCCGGGTATTCGTCGCCATTCTTCCCCCAAGACGGACACACCATGTTGCCAGAACACCATACCCAAATCATGACCCGGCGTCTCCAAGGTGCTCGGCTAGCTCCTTTCCCTGACAACGACGAAATTCAGAAAGCGAAGCGGTCTCTTTCCTATGCAGCTCGTGTATGCACTTTCACCCCTGTCGAGGTGGAGATGCTGGTTGAGTTGCAGAATGTTCTTGACAAAAACACCGAGCCGATCAAAGGTCAGTCACCGGAAACACATGTATGAGGTCAAGGAACTCTAACCTGTTGCTTAGCATACTCTAGCCACGTAAAGATCTGGAGCATCCTCGCGACCATGGACGGAGATGCTTTCGCACGTTTCACTGATATGACACACCTCAGCAGCGTCATGCTGCAATCCCATTTCCTCGCCCTCGACGAATTGCTCTGGCCACTGTCCAACTTTGAACTCCCGAAGGGAAGGCCGCAACATGCTGTTTCTGGCATCAAGTCGATCTGTGCTCTGCCGTCGTATGCTGGACCGGAACAGCGTCTGGCTTCGCAATTAATCGAGTGGCCGATTTCGTTTCTGAACAGGAATAGTGAGACATCGGCAGCTAGCATGGGCATTGCAAGTGGCCATAATACGCTTGTTAATGCAAAGAACACTCCCGGCGGTCATGAATTGTGAGGCTGGTAATACCCAAACTCCCGAGGTCACAACAAGGACAAAGCGACCGCGAAATGCGAAGGCGAGCCCCAAAAGTCCGACTCCAAAGGCCGCTCCCCACCAAGAACATTTACCAGAGTTCTCTCCAAAAAGTACCTACCTCCCCCTCACCTTCGTAAACCCCCAACTAACCACCCCAAGCACCCCCGGCGCCATCAACGCACCCACAATCTCCCTCCTCCCTATCCCCACTCCTCTCTCCCTCGCCACAACAGCCCCACACGCCAACGCCCCAAACCAGAAATAGAAGTTCTGCCCGAGAGCCTTCCAACCCAGCGTGAGGTACGCCCAACCCAAGAAGACGTTCAAGCTACCCAAAGGCTCGAGACGGAGGGCGCGGTGGAGGGCGGTGGCGAGGAGGAAGAAGGCGGCGAAGGAGTGGATGACGAGGAAGAGGAGCAGGTTGTCGAAGGAGAAGGTGGAGCGGAGGGAGGTGCAGATCCGGCGGAAGAGCGTCGGTGGTGCGGGGGATTGTGTGGGTGGGAGGGGTTGTTCCGGGGCTTGGATGTAGATCTGCTCGTAGCCGCCGTACAGCACCGCCATCCGGGCTAAGCGGGTTTCTGGCTGGCAGCGTTCGAGGCGCGTGCTGTTCGTTCGGTGGAAAGTTTCGGTGGCTGGGTCGGGAGCGAGTTTGATGGCTATGAGACGGTCGTGCTCGTCTTTGCAGTTTAGACGGAGGAGGAAGGGGCGAGTGGTCTGATTCCACAACCCGTTGAACGTGGACTGCCGCATCCAGCGCGTGACGAGCCCCGTGACGGAGCGGGCTGGGTTGAAGAATTCGATGCCGCGGTTGGTGACGGTGTACGGAGGGCGGTTGTTGTGGAAGTTGGTCTTTTCAATGCGGCCGCTGTGTTGGAACTGGGAAGGCAGCGAGGCGATCATGCCTCGAGGCTGGACATCATTGGGATCGTTTGCATCGCGAGTGGCCTGCCAGGCGAAGATCGATTCGCGTCGGATTTCGCGATGATGGCTTCTTGCAGACGACGGAAAGCGCCCCATCCTTCGCCGTACAGAAGTGGGAGGCTGACGTCGAAGAGGCCGAGCATGCAATACGCCATGTCCTCCTTCTTCTCCGTTCGACGCCCCGAGACCCAGCTCATCCTGTGCGCAACGCTCGCTTGATCCGTACTTTTCTCCTTCGTCAGATAGCACTCATCAATGTTAGTGACGCCGCTGATCTGCGCAGCGAGACTCTCCCTTGTGCCCAGAAATCTCGTCTGACCCTCTTCCAACTGGTAAAACCGCACCTCCTTCGGCGCCAGCAACTCCTGCAACGTCCACCCGCGCGTGAACCATCTGCACTGGCTCAACGCCCCTCCTGCATCGTCCAGGAGGGCGAAGCACACCTCCGCTTTCTCATACCACGAGTACATGGAGTTGATCGCCTCCTGCAGCTCGGCGCTGCTGTCTTTGTTGATGCAACAGGTGTCGACCCAGACATACTGCAGCCCGTTCTCCACCGCAAGCTTGCAACACTCGCGGATCTTGTGAAAGCCTGGCCTGGTAGCGCGGACGGCAGGGTCGGAGAAGTCCTGGAAAGTGACCTCTTGCTGGCTGGGTCTGAGCCATGTGTGCGAGAGGATGGCGTAGGCTTTTTCGTCGGGCGTGGCGACGTATTCGAGCTCTAATTTCTCGGCGTGGATGAGACGCATGATGGTTGTGAAGGATGGCTCGCGTTTCGAAAGATGGGATGAGAGTGATCATGTTTATATGTTTTCTCATCGCAAGGCTGAGGGACCGTCATCTGAGGGGTTCATGCTGAAGGAGGGCGAGTGGTGTGAGCAAATGGCTGCTTAGCCAAGGCTGAGGGCGTTCTTGGCTCCTGTGCGACAGAAAGAAGACGTGGAACTGATGGCGCTGGAGGTACAGTATTGGTTGACGTGCGGGCTACCAGGAAATGCAGCAGTTGTGCCATGGCACGGATTGGGGTGGCATTCATGCAGTCTGCAAAATGAGCTCCAGGGTTGCGGTGATCAGGAGATTGATGGATGATCAGGTGCTGTTGTTGCCAGTCGTTTGGTGGCCTTCGTCTTCTCCCTGTCCGGCGAAGAAAGCCATGCCCTTCGCCAGCAATCCACCCAGAGCATCGACAATCCTCTCCTCATTATCCTCCAGCACCGTCAAGATATAAAACTTCCTCGGCACGATCCCGTCCTTCATCATATCTTGAAACACCCTTCCAGACATCTTACTCCACTCACCATACTTTCTAACCTCCTCACCCCCAGGCAACGTCATCAAACTGTCATACGTGTGATAAACCATCAACGGCCACCGACTAGCAAGATACAAAGGCCCAAAGATCATCTCCGCGAAAACGGCGAGGAGTCGTGCTCGAATCCACCCGCCGTTGTTCGCCCACTCTTTGAATTTGCCCATCCAGGGGTATCGCCCTTCGAAGAACGTCCGCGACATGTCGTAGTAGATCTTGTCGAGGGAGAAGTGTGTCCAGGCGAAGGCTAGGACGTCGTTGGTTAGGAGAGGTTGGATGTTTCGTATGACGATGCCGTTGAGGGGCAGGCCGGTCCAGGAGAGGTCGTCGCAAATCATCGATTGGGGCGGGGAGAAGAGGTGTAGGACTTCTTTGGTGATGAGGCTCACTGTGGCGCTCATCTCGTCGAGACCGAGTGCGTACCGGAGAGCCCAGCAGAAGGTTGTGATCTTTTTCAATGATGCAGCTGAAGAGATATTGTCAGGTTCGGCGGAGTGTTCTTCGAAGATCTCGACTAGGCCTTCGACCAAGGCTCGTAGGTAGACTTCGGAGAGAGGCATATCGTAGTAGGGTTTGAGCTTCGCTTGGCAGATTCCCACAAGACCAAAGATCTTGTCGCGCGGGTCGGTGCACTTTTGGCCGGCGAATTGGATGATGGCTTCGTAGAGGGGGATGCATGTGTTGAAGTGGCCTACCAGTCGCTGTTGGTGGTGTTTTCGCCAGAGTAGTTCACTCATCATGGTTAATTTGTGGGCCCCTACTAAAGTCAGTACATGTCGGTAAACGGTAGACGTCGACGTACCCATCTTGAGTGGACCATTGTCTCGAGCAGGCTGATACGCCCTGTGAGGCGGTAATTGTGCCTTGTCATAAAGCCCATGGATTTCAGGACGTTGTTCTTCCACAACGATCTGAAGATCCACCCAGTCGAAGGCCACTTTCCTACACCGAAACGTCAGGTTCCTAGCGAGGAGAATCTCTTGAACAGGCCACAGACGGGTCCAGTAGTCATCCTCCAGAAAGATGTGCCATACCGTCGTCTCTTGAACAGCCTTGAACCTTTCGGCGTACCTCTCTCGAGCGTACTTTTCCATGGATTCTTTCATCATCGCAATGGCTCCAGCAGGTAGGTGCTTTAGTTCAGGATCGTCATCCAGATCATCGGTCATCTTCTTGAGAGCTTTTCGCATTTCGGCGGGTGAGGATCGGATCGTCATCTCCTCGCCGTCGATAGTCGGTCTTTTGCTCTCGCATCGAAGCCATGCTACTACCTCGGTTGCGCTGGTATAGATTTGACGCATCAAGGCGACTTGGTGACTTCGCTCACGGACGTCGTGCTGATTGATGCAAATGGCGTCGATGAAGAGCCAACTAGGGTTGCCTTCGTGTTTCATAGTCTTCAAGAAGTCGTGGAGGTTGCCGCGGACATGAAAGGTACTTTCGTTGAGGGTTAGCATATGCTTCGGGTCGTCAGCGGTCCAGCGGTATGACAAGGCAAGGTAGTCCGGTGCTTCGTCCAGACTGAATGTTGCAAGCTGGCACTTGATGTCACGTTGTTGATCCTCGATGATGCGAAGGAGACGGATACTGTCTGCACCGTCGACTAACGCAGGGTATTGAAAGGACTTATTGCATTGAAGAAATTCTGCTTTGCATGTCCCACAGCGATTGGATCCCTTCGTAGGTAAGAGTATCGCCGCTCTCCATCCACCAAGCCAAGCGACACACGAGAGAAGGGTGCGATAGATTGTCCATACCGACTCGAAAGTCCAGCCCAAAACAATCCAGGTATGGTATTGTACGAAGCCAAATGCTAGGAACCCGCCGAGAGCGCATTGAGCAAGATACTTGAGCAGGACCCGGGGTATGTACCGCAACATGGTTCCCATGTAGTTAAGGAGCACGGAGAATTGTTTGAGTACAACATCGTGAGTGGCGTTCAGCTCGACTATGGTGTTCAATGAAGTTGGTGCTCAGCCGCGAGACGATCTGCAAAGATGCCGCTACTGCAGACTTGCCTAGATCGAAGCAAGCTTGCCTTAGAACTGAGTGTTAGCTATAAGGGAAATGGATGGGTATTGACTCAGGCAGAAAGTGAGTGGGGAAAGCTTGTTGAAAGATACGAAAGTCGTCGTTGCGGTCGAGCGTGGGACCGTAGTTGTACGATTGTACGCGTAGAAGGATTCTGATACTCTACCTGAGCTCGACCTGGCTCAGTACAGCTTCTCCTGGCGAAGTGCTCGCTTGGAAAGCAAGGCAAGCGGCGGATGGCAACTTGTAGCTCTCGAAGCTGATACTGCGCGACATCCTGAGGCTGGCATGGAGTAGCTGTGTCGCATCAAAGAGGCACAGGCGGCGTTCCTTGTCCACAGCATTTCCCGCCGGTCAGTTTCTGCCGTCTCAGGCCAAGTCATGTCGCTAAGTCTTGGATGCTTGCTCGTTCCATCCAATACGTCCAGCGGTTATGCAGTCATGTGATGGCCCGTCACTGGCGACAACATATCCAGCATTTGCTCATTGCTCGTATGAAATTCGCGCACAAGCAAACGATGAGGATGAGATCATGAGCGTTTGCTGGAGTGGGCGCGCCGTCTCTTTTGTACGGCGGCCGTTCAGATAGGCGGTTTCAGAGGGAGTCTAATCAAAGTTTGGTTAAAAGAGTCAAGTAAAAGTGCAGGTGGAATTGAGTTGCGGCCCCTAGTCCAATGTGAAACACCTTTCTCCGCATGCATGGACCCCCTGAACGCGACGTTGGAGGATGGCGTCTGTGCTGGACAAGGGACGGGCACCGACCAGCTGCGGTCATTCACTACTACATCTACCACCACCTCATGTGTCACCACCGCCCGACAATACCTGTTTGCTGCACTGCACTCGGCCTGGTCACTTCGACCACAAACAACACACCTGCCATCACCCATCACCGACTTACCATATCCGCTCATTCCAACAACACTCGCTACACCATTGACAGCTGAATACTCCCCTCCACAATGGGGCTGTTGAAACACTTCCGCTCCAAGTCCCGCCTCAAGGACACCAGCCCGCAACCAACCAGCAGCCAACCTCCAATGCCATCGATGCCGCAACACGTTCGCTACGGACCCGATTACACGCAACGACTCCCCGACAAGGTCCTCGCCAACATCTTCTCCTACGTCTGTCCCCACACCCTTGACTTCACATACGAAACATGTGAAGACTCTCAGATAGGCGACGGCTGCATGCTCTGTGACCTACGAGATCTCTCAAAATGTGCCCAAGCCTGCAGGAAGTGGTATGCTGTGGCACAGGGATTACTGTACACCAGCGTGCGGATAGATGCTGTGCATTACTGCGAGCTGGAGGACATCTTGGCGGAGAGGCGCAAGAAGGGCGGCAAGCACTTCCGGAGCAAGAGCGCGGTCGAACCGGTCGAGATTCCAAATATAAGACTGCAATTGCTGTGTCGGACAGTGAGGGAGCAGCGGAACTTGGCCGCGCAGACCTTGTTCCTGAAGATACCATACATGACGAGAGAGACTGCAAAAGGAGACCTTGCACGGACGGTGTCGGCGCTGCCAAACCTGAGATATGTTGATCTACCGGATGGCTTCTACTCAGGGGACCCGAGCTGCTTGGCTTTGAGGCAGGAGCTGCAAGCCAGATGCCCGGATATCAGGAAGATGACATACCGCAGCGGCTCTGAAGACGCGCTTGAATTGCTGGCACATCGACACTGGCAGGCGATTCAGATACTGGACTTGGTCAATCTCTCGGTTGAACCGGCTACTCTTCGGATAGTCCTGGCCAGCTTACCAACCCTGCACCAACTGACATTGTCCGATATGACCTGGATTGACGACACGATATTCCAGCCTGCGACTGGCAACATTCCAGACTTCCCGCCCCTTCAACTGCTCAAGCTTAAAGACACACCTAATGTTACGGCTCAAGGACTCAACATCTGGCTACAATCTCCACACGTGCGCGAGATGCTTTTCTCCCTGACCTTGGAGTATACCGGCGTTACGGTGCAAGACCTACATACCGTGCTTTGGGAAGCTAGCAACATCCAGCACTTGGCGATTGTAGAGACTGTGTCCAAGTCACTTACCCTCACTGCACAGCAAATACCGGCTCTGTCGTCGATATCGCTCAAAACATTGCACTTCGAAATCTCCAGCAGCGACGATGTGCATGGACTGCAGAAGCCGGCAGAGTCCTACTATTCCTACTTGGCGTCATCGCTGCACCAAAATGCTTTGCCAGGCCTTTCGACGTTGTATGTACGGGACCAGACCTTCCCCGAGTTGCTTCTCATGCCGCCAATTACTGCGCCATTCGCCAATGGATCTGATCGCGCATCGTTGAAGAGCAAGCCGAGCAACATCAGCGCTCAGTCAGGATCACTGCGTGGTGCCCCAGTCAACGGCCGCGGCTTCAGCCAAACTCTTGAAGTCTTCTCCAAGGGCATTGACGAGCTCGAGTGGGTGTTCACATCGATTGCTCCCGCTGCTGGAGGTCCAGGGAACAGAAACAGCATGATGACAGGCGGACGGCCTCTCAGCGCATACAGCGCTTCGCGAGGACTAGGACCCCAGTGGGCCCAAGGCGGGTTCGGTGGCGAAGCTCGCAAGTCTGTGATTGTTGGCAACGGGTTTGGTGGATTCTTGGCTGTGCCGCAGGAAGAAGTGCCTCGACCGATGACTTCGGATGGATCTAGTGGGGGTACTCGATGGGGCAGTTTCGCGAGCGGTAATAGCAATGGATCGGAGCAGAGTAGGGCCAGTTGGCTCAAGCCTCCGCCAAGTCTGGGTGGCAGCAGTGGTCATGGACACGAACGGCGAGGCAGTCGACACGATCTGTGGCGTTGAGGGATTATGGGGATGAGAATAATGGAAGCCGGACTTCCATACGAGAGAGAGCAACAAGCGCGGCGGAGGTTTCAAGCTGTACAACACACGACGGAATGGGAATATCAGGTGAGGAGCATTTGGGCGAAACGATGCGATTTCTTTTGTAATGGCTTATGGACGAGAAAGAGATACCCGCCTTACCGACCGACTTCACACTGGCACGCAGCGTGGGGATAGAAAAGGCCGCTGTAATCTATCACGCACGGAGTATGCTTTGAAGACTATGACTTTTACTAGGTAGTGTCAAATGAGCATTGACTGCGAAATTGATTGATCTGTTTAATCAATTGTCAAGTGCGTTGTTTGGTAGAGCTGCAATGAGTGAGGCTGGGACTGGGCCGGCTGCGTCAGTCGCCAAGCAAGCTGCCAGGATTGACCTGGAAGCTGTCGAGCTCTCTCTCCTTGGGACGAGGTGTTTGCACGCATCATTTATGCTTGCATTGAGGAATCCACCACACTTGCATGCTAGGTCTGCGTCCTCGTCCTGTCTTGCGAGCCCGTCCGTCCCTGCTTGATCTCATCCACCGAAGCTCTCACCAACCCGAGCAGCAGCAGCCGCCCGCTAAACGTCCCGCCGAACTCGACCACCAAAACACCACCGACTTCTCCTCCTCAAGCACCACCGCCTCCACCCACGCCCGCCCTTTCACGCCGCCCGAAATCCACATAGCACTTCCGGATAGCCCAGAGCTTCTGAAGTCGCCACTGTCCGCCTACACCACCGCGGCGAGCACCGACGAAGAAGAGGAAGACGCTGGTCCGCAACTTCTAGCTCAGGCAGAAGAGCCATTGCAAGAAACAGCTACATCACCAGCCTCCGACACCACCGCCACAATGCCGGCCAGCGATCAAGATGAGCGGCAGGAAGGCTCCATCTTCTCCGTCTCCGGGCCCGTCATCGTCGCCCAGAACATGACTGGATGCGCCATGTACGAGCTGTGCAAGGTCAGCTACGACCAGCTCGTCGGCGAGGTCATCCGTATCGACGGCGACAAGGCCACCATCCAGGTCTACGAGGAGACTGCCGGTGTCACAGTCGGTGACCCCGTCGTGCGCACTGGCAAGCCCTTGTCCGTCGAGCTGGGACCCGGTCTGATGGAGACCATCTACGACGGTATCCAGCGCCCGTTGAAGGACATCCACGACAAGTCGCAGAGCATCTACATCCCCAGAGGCATTGATGTGCCGGCTCTGGACCGCACGAAGAAGTGGGAGTACACGCCTAACGACAAGGTCAAGGTCGGCGACCACATCACCGGTGGCGACATTTTCGGCGCCGTCAAGGAGAATACCCTGCTTTCCGACCACAAGATCATGCTTCCACCAAGAGCACGGGGCACGATCAAGTGGATTGCTCCCAAGGGCAACTACACTGTAGAGGAGAAGCTGTTGGAGGTGGAATTCGAGGGCAAGAAGAGCGAGTACAACATGATTCAGAACTGGCCGGTCCGTGTGCCTAGACCTTCGACGGATAAGCTGAGCTCTGGCGACCCGTTCATTGTTGGACAGCGTGTGTTGGATGCGCTTTTCCCCGCCGTTCAGGGTGGTACTGTCTGTATCCCCGGAGCTTTTGGTTGTGGAAAGACGGTCATCAGTCAGTCTGTGTCCAAGTTCTCGAACAGTGATTTGATTGTTTACGTTGGATGCGGTGAGTATCTGTCGATAGTTTGATTGGGGCTGCGCTGATTTTCACAGGTGAGCGAGGCAACGAGATGGCTGAAGTCTTGATGGACTTCCCCGAGGTAGGCTTTCGAGACAAGTGATCTAGGCCTTGTACTGATCGTGATTTTCTAGCTCACCATCGACTTCGAAGGCCGCAAGGAGCCCATCATGAAGCGTACTTGCCTGATCGCCAACACTTCGAACATGCCTGTCGCCGCCCGTGAGGCTTCCATCTACACCGGGTGAGTACTTCCTTCCTTTTGCTCTCCTCACCTTCCCTTCGAAAATCGTTCCTTCCCCATATCATGTGGAGCTCCTCCCCTCTCTGTTCTGGACGCGTCCGCACGCGAAGATGGGAGCCTGGACGCCCCATCTTCTGATCTGGGATTGTACTGCTGTCGAGTGGGATCCTTACTCTGGTTGTCTTGCATCCTCGAAGTACACCTCCAGCGATTGAGAACAGACTGAACCAGACCCACAGCCTGCTGCTACTTGTCGTCGTGCACATCAACTTCAGAGACCTCGATTCAAGATGCCGAACGTACTGTCGAAGATGTCGCTGGACTTGGATCTGGAGCTGGACCTTGACTCCGAGATGGACCTCGACTTGGGCGAGCTGGGCTCCGACGTGGACGAACTCAGACCAGCACTCAAGAGAATTCTAGATACGATGCACAAAGCCGTTAACGTCGACGCTCCGTCGTGGTACATCAATCCAGACTTCAAGACCGTGTTGGGTGACCAACGCAAATTCGATGACTTGGTCGATGCATGCGACCTGCAGCTGCCATCTGAAGTCGAAGCGCTGCTGAACTCTCCTGAGCCGCCGACTATTGAGACCTTGCTTGCTCTTCCAGCACCTCCTCGTACCTCGTGGGGCGTATATGCTGTGATCATGACGAAGCCAGGCGAGAGGCCTCGACTCTACATAGGATCTGGCACCAGCGAAGTCGTCGGGGTTTCGGGACGGGCTAGAACCTACAGACCTGGATCCAGTGGACCTTTTGCTGCGCACATCCTTACAGCATTGAGAAATGGCTTCTCGTTCGCCCATGTCGGCATACTTTGCTCCATGGATATGCCTTCACCTGGACTGGCTCCCAGAGCAAGAGCCTTCGTCCTAGCTGCTGAAGCCACCTTCACTCTGCTCCTCCACGCCGCCTTTGGGAAGAAGATGGATGTTAAGCTCGCCCATCTTCTGCTCTGGGATCGTACTGCCGTGGAGTGGGATCCTCTATGCAGTCATCTACCATTTACCGAAGCGATCTCTGGCAACCTTTACCAGACCGAAGAAGAGCTAGAGCTTGCTGCTGCTGCTCGTCGTGCTCGTCGCGCAGAGAACGTTCGAAGATGGGTAGCAAGGCAGAAGGCTGAAGATCTCGATGGGTTCCTGGCTCAAGGTCGTCAGACGAAGAACGACTGGAATGAGAAGAACCGCGATCGATACAACCAGACCGCAGCGAAGACCAGAAATAAGGCCAAAGAACTCAAGCGATTCTTCTGTGAAGACTGCCAAAAACCGCTGGCCTCCGACTCCGCTCTGACGAAGCACTTCGCTACTCAAGAACACAAGGATACCGTTGCTGGTATCGAGAAGCCTCCAATGCAGAAAGGCTCAATCGCTCGCGCTGCCGTCTCAGCCAAAGCGATCGCCAACGGAGACCACCCTTGCCACGTTTGCACCAAGGCGTACCCCAATGACTGGAGCCTTCAGAGGCATCTGAAGACTGCGCTTCACAAGAAGAAGGCCGCAAAAGCCAAGCGGTCTTGACTCTGGGATCCATTCGAACCACAGGACCTCTCGCCGTTGGAATCGGTGCCGCCTATTTCATTTGTTGGACCTCACCACCATTTCGCCTGCACAATTTCACCAACGACTATATTGCATTTACTGACATTTGGAAGCATCACCGTGGCCGAATATTTCAGAGATCAGGGGAAGAACGTCGCCATGATGGCTGACTCCACTTCGCGCTGGGCTGAGGCTCTTCGTGAGATTTCTGGTCGTCTGGGAGAGATGCCGGCAGACCAAGGTTTCCCAGCCTACCTGGGAGCCAAGCTGGCCTCTTTCTACGAACGTGCCGGCAAGGTCATTGCCCTTGGATCCCCCGACCGAAAGGGCAGTGTCAGCATCGTCGGCGCTGTCTCTCCACCAGGTGGTGACTTCTCTGACCCCGTCACATCCTCCACGCTCAGCATCGTCCAAGTCTTCTGGGGTCTCGACAAGAAGCTCGCCCAACGCAAGCACTTCCCCTCGATCAACACGTCCCTCTCCTACTCGAAATACACCAACATCCTCGCCAAATACTACGCCGAAAACAACCCCGAATACCCCGGCTACCGCGACCGCATCCGAGAACTCCTCTCGCAATCCGAAGAACTCGACCAAGTCGTCCAACTGGTCGGCAAGTCCGCCCTCGGCGACGCCGACAAAATCACCCTCGACGTGGCCGCGCTCATCAAGGACGACTTCCTCCAACAAAACGGCTACTCGGACTACGACCAGTTCTGCCCGCTGTGGAAGACGTCGTGGATGATGAAGGCCATGATGACGTTCCACGACGAGTCGCAAAAGGCGATTGCGCAGGGCCAGCAGTGGAGCAAAGTGCGCGACGCGACGAGCGATATCCAGAATGAGCTGCGGAGTATGAAGTTTGAGGTTCCCACTGAGGGCGAGGAGGCGATTGGGAAGAAGTATGAGGCGTTGATGCAGAAGATGAATGAGAAGTTTGCGAGTGTTGTTGATGGGTAAAGTAGAGTGGAAAGGAAGGGGGAGGGGGGTTTGTGTAGAATAGGCTTTTTGTGGGTACGGCAGTTTGATAGAATGGCACTTTTGAAATGGCTTTGCAAGTGACATTGAACGTCTATTCTCGGTGTTCTGCCCAAAGTGGAACGAACATTCATCCCCAGAACTCCTAAGCCCTCTAAGCAGCTTAGAGTGCGATTAGCAGCGCAGTCGCTTGTGAAAAGTTGGAGAGAGACGGCCGTTCGGGTCGTTCTACTTTGACCGGACCGAGGAGAGTGCCTACATGTACTCACTACATGTAGCTGCACACTATCGAACCAGCTTGCGGCCTCGATGGTTGTCTCGATTCACACAAGTAATCAAGGCACCGAGAACGGCACCTGTACTCTCCTTGTTGGTCCGGTCGGTCAAAGTGGAACATCTATCCCCAGAACTCCTAAGCCCTCTAAGTAGCTTGGAGAGCAATTAGCAGCGTAGTTGGTTGTGAAAAGTCGGAGAGAGAGATGACACTTCTATTACGGTCGGTATAGAATGTCCCACTTTTGAGCGGAACGGAACACCGCGCAGGGTAAAGAGTGCGGTCGTGATGGACAGTAGGGAAGTTTTGCAAGTTAAGATGCTCCCACTAATCGCTTTACTACCTCTGTGCCCTTGATGATACGAGGGCGAAAATGACTGCGCTCAACAAAAACCACTGACTGGGATATCAAGACTACCTTACAACAGTTCTCGAACCACCCTCGATCTCTCAACACCGGAGCACCGTGCGTGCCATGCCAGTCGCTCTCTTAACTCTTGTGCTCTCGCTCGCCCGCTCTTGCATGTCTATGCTGCTCTCATTTCCTCACGCGCACTCTAACTCGCTCATCCATCATCGGTCGAAACCTTGAAGTTGAGGTACTGGCGACGTTTACTGCACCTGGCTGACAATCTCACTGGCCTTGCTGAGCGACTCGACCATGGACTGGCATTCTTTCCGCCGCCGGATCGTGTAGTCGCTCTCCTTGAGCAGGTCGTCGAGTTCCTGCGTGCGGTACATTTGCTCGAGGAGTTCGCGTTGCATTTCGTCTTTGGAGTGTCTAGACATCAATCATTAGCATCGTCACTGATTTGGGGTTCTGCATGTCATGGTACTCACTCCACAAGGTTCAACATGATAGCTTTGGGCACCATATCGATCATCGTCCTCCGGACAATGTTGAAGTAGGACGTGATGAGGAGCTTGATAACCTCGACTTCTTGCGTCTCCTTCTCGCTGAGCGTGCCGCTGGCTTTGAGCGTTGGTGGTGGAGCTTCCATGGCTGCCATCTTCTTCTTGTTCTTGCTGGCGAAGAACGATCCAAAGAAACCCGAGCCGTCCGCGCCGTTCAGATCCAGACTAGGGCTTGCTGATCGCGGAGGCTGGGCTGCTGCTGGTAGAGGTTTGCCGGTCTTGGGGTCGACTTGGACAGGCTTGGATGCGTTGTGCTTCTCGTTGACGATGGCCATGGCGCGGTGGCCGTTGAGGAAGTCTGGGTGGCCTGTGTTGACGTAGCAGGCTTCCATGGCGACGAGATCTTTGACGAGCTTGTTGGTGGGGTCCATGGACTTCTTGAAGAAGGAGATGACTACTGCATGTAGCTTCTCCTTAAGTGCTGGATATCTTCGGAAGAGTGGCTTGTTAACCAGTTGTCCTAATATCCGCACCAATTCGTCGTAGATCAAGCTAACACACTTGAGTGATGGATCCTCGAGACGCTTGATTTGCTGCTTGACAATGAGCTCGAATGCGGTGGTGCCGACGAAGAGCGCGGGCGAAGATCCAGATGAGTTGTAGAGAATTGTTCGGATATCGATGTCCTTAACTTGGTCGAATGGATCCACGGCCTTGACACCGTTGCTGTAAAGTTCGTGGTATACAAACGCGATACGGGCACCACCAGAAAGTTCGACTGAGGATAGCTCTGCGTTGTGACCTTCCAGTACTGTACGGTATTCGTTCGAGAACTCGGTAATGATGTTGAGAATAATGTTGGCTGGGTTGCCGAGCATGCTGTCGCCTAGTTGCTGAAGCTCAGCCGAGTATTTCTGCAGCGAAGCTTGAATGCGGGCTTTGATGTCTGGCAGGGTCTGTTTGATGTGCATCATGAGGATGAGGTTGAGCTTTCGCGCGAGGTATGGTGTTCCGCAGTAGGAAGCCTTGTTTCGGTAGGCTTTGTGGTTCTCGAAGAAGTTCTTCTCGTTCTCGAGGGCATATGAGATGGCCTTCTTCGTCTCAATGTCTCGTTGTCCTCGGTTGACCACAGGAACGTAGCCTAATCGGAGAGGGATGATGCGGCCTGCCAGAATGTCCACCACATCTGTGCCCTCATCCATCAAATCCACCTTCGTGAGCACACCGATTGTTCTTTGACCTTCTGGGTCCACTTCTCTTGCAAGCTTCAAACCGTCCGAGTTGGCCAAGTCAGTGTTCGCTGCAGTCACGGCAAGAATGATGGCGTTCGGCTTGGAGATCTGCTTGAGCACCATCTCCCTGATCTGCCTCTCGATATCCCTGGGCTGATCACCCACGGGCACTTTGGTTAGACCAGGCAAATCAACGAGCGTCAAGGTAAGCACGTTTGGCGAGTAGATGCGCAGGTTGATGGGTGCTGGCGAAATGCCCGCATTCCGCCCAGTCTTGCTCTCGGTCTCTTTCACAATCTCATCTCGGATCTTGCTGAAGTCGTGGAACTTCTGCCCAGGAATGTGCAAGAACTCTCCCCACTCATCTGTATTGGCCTCCTTGTCTGTTGTCCCCTCGACCTTCTCGCCATTGGGTACGCCATTCTCTTGCGTCTTTGGTGATGCCGCTCGGTTGATGAGTTGTAGGATCAGCGGTCTCCTCGTGACAATACCGGTGCCTCGTGGTAAGCTAGAGGTTGTTAGTATGCCAGGTACCCTCAAATATGTGAACGCCGCTCTTACAAGTCTCGCCCAACAATGTTCTCCAACACCGAACTCTTTCCGCTAGATTGCGATCCAACGACGGCAATTTGGGGCAAATCGATGGGGTTTTGAACCTGTTGTATGGGCAATCAGCACGTTTCCTTGGGCTGTTTCGGTGGCTTGCGGGACACGTACGCCAACTGTGGTGAAGACATCCTGGAGTTTGTTGACGAGAGTGATGAGTCCAGGGTCGTTCACGTTTATCCTATCCACGATCAGCCTTCCTCCCCATTATACAGGTATTAGTTGAAGCGGCTCACGCGTTGGGATTCGTCTGCGCCATGGCAGGCGGTGTTCAGGAGGGTTGCGGTATGCGGTTTGGGTGCGCGGAGGACGTGGATGGTCGTGGTCGAACAGGTCTGATCAGTCTTTTGTAGAAGGTTCGCAGGAGATTGTGGCGGAGTGGGTTGGTGGCGGGAGTGGTTTATCTTGCAGCCTTCAGTTGTATACCGCCCGCCATCAAGTGACGACGCTGCCACAAGCTCGCTGGTTCCGCCAAGCCAAGCTCCACGGCACGGCCCGACTCTCGAACCGCAACTCAAAAGGGTTCCCACTTCACCTCCTCGTCTTCCGCGTCCGACAAGCACTCCAGCAACTCATAGCAAATTGTTGGAAATCAGCAGCAATGCTCGCAAGTCGACATATTTGCGACCTGCTTCCAACGAACACAGTTCACGCATTGAAGCCTCAGAAGGCTGTGCGCACCGGTAAGATCACGAGCGAATGCTCATGACTGCGAATCTGCGTGAAACAATGCGAAGAAACTTGGCGAAACCAAATGCTGTAACTACTCCTAGGCCAACACTACATCGACTATCAATCTTATTCGCCTAACACAGCTCTCGGGCACTGAACACAGCAAGATTCTCTTTGACTGATGTTCCAAGTCGGCCAGGTGCTCAAGGGTCGGGTGGGCTCTTACAAGCTGACGCGCAAGCTGCAAGACTCGGTATGGCTCGGCGTGTAAGTCAATATTCGAGATATGATTTCCATCGACAGATAGCCAATGGATGCTAACGCGACGAAGTAATCAGCAGATCGAGCAAAACGTCATCGTGAAGTGGGTGGACCATTTCCGCACGGGCTACGAGCGTACTGCGCTTCTTCGTTTCCAGGATCGGACTCCACATATCCGGCCTTTATTGGATGAAGTGCAATTGGAGAACGGAAGCAAATGGCCGGCACTTGTTCTCAAATGGCTCGAGGATGACACTCTTCGCACTTCGGCTCGCGGGCCTGTGACCAGGTCTGAGTCGAAGCGTGTGGGAGCCGGGGTTTTGAAGGCGCTGCAGGTGATTCACGACGATGGCTATGTGCATACCGGTCAGCATTGCGCTTGCATGGATTGGAGCTCAGTCTAACATATCAAGCGCAGATGTCAAACCAGATAACATCCTGGTCAACTTCGATCCTTTAAGCAAGGAGATCACCGATGTTCAACTAGCCGACCTCGGCTCTACCGTGCAAGAAGACTCCAAGCATGCCAAAGATGGCGACATGATTGGCACCGCCCTGTTTCGAAGCACAGAAGCAATTCTTGAGATGCAGTGGGCCAGACCTACCGACGTGTGGTCATTCGGGGCGACGGTACGACCGGCTTTTGCGCAAGAGGTATTGAGTGAAGAGTCGTCACTAACTCTTGGCAGATGATCAGTCTCATATACGGAGGCAATTTCAACCTTCTTCGACCAGACGTTCCGGTCGACCATGATGAGTACGATCTCAAGATTCTGATGAAGCAAAACCAGTTCTTTGGCCCGCCTCCCATCAAGTACACAGAGATTGCGGACGAGGATCGGCTCGAGGTCTTGACATATGTCGTCGAGAACACCAAGGACAATCCTCTACCCTTTCGCAACATCACCACAAGGGAAGTGTCGGAAGAAGACAAGAAGTTCTTGCTGAAGATCATGAAAATCGATCCAAGGGATAGACCGACCGTTGGAGAACTGCTAGAAGATGAGTGGTTCAATTCTACCTGAACATAATGAGTTGCACATCACACTCTCTCACTACTGAGGCTCGACACAACACGCACAAATTTCCTTTGGTCGGCCTGGACTTTCATACTCTGCTGGAGAAAGACTTCGATTAAGCAACTCGTCGCAAATGTAGCAAGTAAGCACTCCGCTCCCATACGCCAGTATTCAACATCATTTCGCTCATAGCAAGGTCCAGCCTTGCAGGATGTCATAAAGCAATCAAGTCATCAACACTCTCGCCTCCCCAATTCCCACGTCTCACTTCTCCGTGTAGAAGTATGCACTCTGTCCATTTTCCGGGATTTCGTTGTCTGGAGCAACCTGTGGCATCAGGATGGCGCTGAAATGCACTTTCGGATCCTCCTCGCTGGAATGCTCTATGTCCCTGGATCTGATCAGCTAATGTCACTCAACCGGATAGTTTCACATACCTCAGAATTGCCTCCTTCGTGCCTGGGGTTATCTTGTCGGGGTTCTTCTCAATAACGGCGATGAATCGCGGCCCTTGGGTTTGGATCATCTCGGTTGGTCGGAACCACTTATCTGTTCGAGTGGCGACTGATACAGCTACATCTTGGCCGTTCCTCTTGACGGTGCCCACTCTGGCTTTGGTCAGGATCTTGGTGAACTTGGTGGTTGACATCGTGGTCTATTGTACCGGCTGCTAGTTTCTCGTCTCTGGGTCTCTGAGTCTCTGGTCTCTAGCTCGCGGTGTGTGGTGTGTGTTGTGGAAATGTATGTTGCTGTCGATCAAGCCTTGCTAATAAGTGCAGGGCGAGCAAGAAGACAATAGTGCACACTGCTACTATTGACCAGCGTGCAGCCTTGCATGTGGTCTTCACGAGCAGCAAACACTTGCCGCTGCACGCGGTTCTTCGACAGCAGGTCTGGCAAAGCATGCTTCCCATATTCAAGTACGAGTTCGAGGAATGGCAATGTACCATTACGGGGCTTCTTCAGCAGCAATCTTGTTCTCCTTCTTCCAATTGGACCCGAGAAGCGTATGCCATGGTATGTATATGACTGCGGACTATCAAGGTAGAACGCACGATAATGACAGGGTGCTTGTGGTATGAAGCATCGAGAAACAAGCCCAGGGGCCTGGGCTGTCGTTCCCATCTCTCTTGTGCAGTGAGTCTATCCTAGCCCATACAGAACGCAGACCTGTGGACGATTATGAAGATTTGCAACTCAGGCACGTTCATTAACGGACAGTGAATCGAGAGGTAGGTATTGGAGTTCCGCCCCTGTGCCAGCTATGCAGTGCGCTAATCAATGCGCAGGAAGGCCTACGTAGAAACAAAAGCCTCATTCTCGAGATGTGAAGCATGACTTGACTTGCGCCATTCAAGTATGAAGATCGATACCATCCGCATCAACTCAATGAAGAAGAACACCTCTCTCCGACGTTTGCTCACTGACTAGGCCACGTATATATCCATCGAGCGTCGACTCGGACACCTGCGCTGAGAGATAAAATCGAATCGATTACGATCTGACAAGAGTGCGAAATGTCCCCAGGGACATATCCGCTCAGAAGTTCCAGACACTCCACAACGCCGGACACTCGAAGCATTCCACAAGCCGAAGGAACCCGCTATCCAACCCTCAACAACCAAGTCTCCCTCTCTCGATCCTTCGCATAAGCCTCATCCCCGGCCAGTTCAACCTCCTTCGCCGGCGAAAACCCACTCCTTGTCAAACACCTCACACTCCGCTCGTTCCCCCGATCGACCTTCGCAAAAAGCACCTGCCCGCGATACGTCCCCAAATACCACCGACAAAACGCCTTGACCGCCTCGGTCGCACACCCCTTCCCCCAGTAGTCGGGATGTAACGAGAAACCGATCTCGCGCGGGCGGAAGGTGCCTATTAGGCCGATGAGAGTTTTGTGTGGGGAAAGGGTTATGGCGTGGATGATGACGGGTTGGGAGGAGTGGCTCCATTCCGCCATCATGTTGACGAGGACGAGGAGGTCGTCGAGCATTTGTTCGGATTGTTGGAAGGATTTGGTGGGGCCTTGTTTTCTTGAAGCCAATGTTAGCACATGCGATGTTGTGGGTTGAGAGAGGTGGTGGACTTACGTTCATTTGGTTACTTCATAGTTGGATTGAAGTTTGTGGAAAGCGTCGAGGTCGTCTTCGGTTACGGGGCGGAGGAGGAGGCGTTCTGATCCGATTTCCATGATGAAAGTTTGCCCGTGAAGTAGCGATGTAGGATCGGCTGCTGCTCGTGCGATCGTTCGTTCCTTCTTTCCGTACAAGTCGACGACGTCGCTTTAGAACAATCGAGACCTATTTCCAAAAGGGCCACTCGCCTTATATACGATCAACACCACGCCCCACGCACCGCCTATCTCATCCACGTGCCGCACACAATTCCCACGCATCAGTTTCAAGTTTTTTCCTCATCAATTCGTTGGCTCCTACTCGCGGCTCAATGCATGCACCAAAGATATCTCCACTTCACATCCACCAGCGACGTGGTCTCGGGCGATGCGAGATGCAAGCGAGATATTCAAGATCTCGCCGCACCCCATGAAGCTGGAAATGCAGGATCCCGGGTTGATGCCTGCACGATGACGCGGAATTCTTCGTGACGTGAATGGTCGATTAATCAAAACCACGTCGCTGGCCTTGTCTTGTTTTGGCAGTTGCATGGAATGTGTGGTGGAGATCGTGCATGTCGCGATGGAGGGCATCCTTGTCTCGGCAGATACGCAAGATGCAAGCCGGCCGCTTGTGCGTGGCCCCGGCAATGCAACTCCCCGATTAGGAAGAAGTCAAGATGGGCCACGTGAGGTGACAGTTTCGCGAGGTTTTAGATGATGTTTTGGTCTGGGACTAGGGTTGGGAGCGTGGGTGGGTTACGTGACGTGAGATTTGATCCGGTCGTCATTCCTTGGATACGAGTCTGCTGGAGCTGGAGCGAATGTATTCGATCGACTTGTGGGTTTCGATACAGATCTCGAACAATTTAAGGCACATCGACGCATGAGATCGATATCTCTGTTTCCAGTTCTGCCGAGAATAGATGCCAGCACCTTGAGATACACATCTGCAACAGCGGCCTAAAGAGCCACCTCGTAAATCTCGTATGTCTTGTCGTCACTAATCATCTCGAAGGCACATGTATGTACAAGTACCATATCTGACAAGATTCAGTCCCTTGGCACAACGAAGCATGCAGTTACTGCAACGGTGAGATCTACGAGGCGCTAGAAGACCATGGGCTCGACAAGGTGAAGCTATTGGGATGACTTAATGTAACAGTGGTTTCTGATTGTCTAAGCTGCTCGAACTAACTACGCAGTGGGTTTATTCCCACCTCTCAACCCCACTATCCTCCCCATCCCCTCGATACCTCTTCCAATACAACTGACTCGTCGGGATGGCGGAGAGATCGCTCCGCTCGATGTACTGCTCGCGATCCGATACGGTGCCGTCGTATTGAGGGATGTCGCTCCAGACGTTGCGGCCTTCTTCCATGACTTCTTGCATGCGCTCGTTGGAGCTCATGGATGCTGCTGAGGCGTGGTGGATGGAGCTTGGGCGTGCACTGCTTTGGGCGGATGGAGTGCGGTGAGAGGTGCGGTGGCTTCGATGGTTGCTGCTGTGATGGCTGGACTTGTGGCGGGAATTGACGGAGGAATGCGGTGATTGAGTCGAGTCTGCTGCGTGAGCCTCGCTCTGAGCCGATGCCGAACGGTCGTTGCTGTGTCGACTGTGCCGGTGGCTGCTATGTCCGTCACTGTGCCGTGTGGTGTGACCACTCTCCCCAGTGTCGTGGGAAGACGCTTTCGAGTCGTCCGATACGGTCTTGCTCTGGTATGATGATGAGCGTCGACCCGTATGGTGACTGCTACGATGGCTCTTGTGACTCTCACTCTCATGGCGCTTTGGTTTCCGAGATCTAGCAGTCCCAAGAGAGAGCCTGCCCCAGCCGACTGACTGCGGTTGACTTCGAACAGACTCTGACCGCTTGTCACTGTGATGGCTGTGCTTGTGACTGCTGTGTCGACTGCTTCTGTGGCTACCACTCTGCCTTCTACTCTGTCGACTACTGCGGTGTAGATTGTGATCGCTATCGTGCTGGCTGCTTGGTCGACTGCTGTCCCGACTCCCACCCTCGCCAGTCAGTCCAGATCCATCATGAGCTTGCTTCGATCCGGAGTGTTCGTGCGACCATTCAGAGAGCGTCTGCACCCGGCTGTGTTGTCTACTTTGCTCGCTCCGCTCTGACGCATGCTGTTCTTCCCATGTCCCTCCCCAGGTGCTTTTGTGAGCTAGGTCGTGGACATACGTATCCTCCTGGGTTGGTGGACGCTCATCAGACAACAACCCACCACTGCTCCGCTCACTGTCCATGCTCGGTACACGATAGCTGGCAGGGCCACTCACAGAAGCCTCAGCTTCATCTTCGCGAATGCTCTCCTCGAAGCGATGCCCGTCAGAAGAATGCGCTCCCCAACCCGCAAATCTATGCCTACTCTGAGCACGTCTCGCATTGATGGTTAGATGGCTTTCTGTCGGGGAGATGTTTCGACGCATCCCTTCTTCCTGCAATGCTTGCCATTGCTCATAGGTCATGGTTGCGCCGTGTGGGTACGCCTGACTGGGAAGGACGATCTTCGATTGAGGCGGAGATGCCATCTCGGTGGGCGAGCGGCTCAGAGGGTGAGGTGAGATCCAGCCCTTGCCGGCGAAGACTGTCGGTCGTACTTCTTCACGATCTCTCTCATAATGGCTCGTGCTGTGCGAACGCCCGGCAGATTCGGTCGAGCGAACGGCAGAGGTATGCTCTTCGATCTCTTCCCATGTTCCGTTGCCTTTCTCTGAGTCCTGTCCAGATTGAGGAGGCCCTGACTCACTTTGACCCTGCTCATGAGCATTCCATGCGTGGCTTGATACCTCTCGTGACCGAAGACTGGTTTGACGACTGCGAGCTAGGGCTTCAACACCATCTGGATCCTTCCAGCCTTTCCCGATCTCCTCGAAGGTGCCGGCAGTAGATCGCCGCTCTCTCTCTGAACTCCGCTGAGACCACGCTTGACTAGCGCCTCGAGTCTCATGAAAAGAGAACGGTTTGGAATGGGTTGACACTGCCGATTTCCCAGATCTTAGCACTTCCGGGGGAGCTTCAGCCCAACCTTCTCCAACTTCCTCGAAAGTCAGCTGTGAACGAACTCTTGAGCCGTGCTTGGAGGAGCTTTGTCGAGAGGCAACCTCATCTAGGCCGCCCTGCGTCCAAGGGTCCATGTCATTCGCCACAGTTGGTACCACTGTTCTCCTGCTCGACGCCTTCGATCTAGTGTTGGCCGGCTCTTCTTCTTGCCACAATTGATCTTGGTGCTCACCGTTTCCGACAGGCGTCTGTGAGTGATGTGATACTCGAGAATGTCTCGAATGCCTCGAATGTCGACCTTTCGATCGGTGGCCCTTTGAACTTCTGTCCGAAGCATGCCTCATTTCAGTCTTCGAAGAATGGTGCCTAGAAACGACCTCATCTTCTTCTGGTACATCCCAAGCATGATCGAATCCTTCAAAGACATTCCCTGACCGAGCCTTGGAGCTGTGTTTCGACGATGCGATCCTCAAGGCGACCCTGACTACATCCTCACCTACCACACCTTGTCCGATCTCTTCCCAGCTGACAAAGGTGGCAGGCTTATCGACTTCTGTAGACCAGGGCTCTGCTGTTGGGAAAGACTCATGGGGTACTGATCTTGTTGACTGGGGCTTTGAGGAGATCTTGCCACGCTTGCTCGATCTTGAGGATGTCACTGACTCGACGGTAGGCTGAAGGTGGACTGTACCTGCTCTTGAAGGTGAGCGTGGTTCGGGCGCTTTCTGCTCCCACGACTGGCACCGACCTTCGCCTACTTCGATAAAGTCGTCCAGGTGTGCCGCGCCGTCTCGGTTTGAGCTCGTCTCGTTGTTCTCTGCCAAAAGACCACCCGACATGAGCGCCTCTGCTGTTTCTGCACCCGAATTTGCTTTTGAGTTCTCAGCTTGCTTCTGCTTCTTCTTTTCCTTCTTGCTTGGCTTGTTTGCCGGCTGTTCCTGTCCTTGGCTCGGGCCTTGGTTTCCCTTGCGCTTTGACTTTTCCTTCCGTGTTGCCTTCTGTGTCTCTGGTTCAGGTCGCACTTCTGAAGATGCCTTGACGTCGTCATCCTGCGCTGAACCCTCATGTTCTTCTTGCAAAACATCGGAGACTGGCGAGTCTGCTGCAGCTGGCGCCACACTCGCAGGAGCTTTCTTCTTGTCTTTCTTCTCTGCTCCTACTTTCTTGTCTGTTGTCTCCTTTTTCGTCTTATTCTGGGGACGCGTTTTGCTCTTCTCCTTTCCCACTCGCTCACCGCCCTTCGCGCTGGGGTGATAGCTCTTTGGTACATAGAAGCCCTTCAGAGCTGGCTCTTCGTCTGCAGAATTCCTTATATCGCCGTAACCTTGCTGTGCAGCTCTTTCCCTCTCTGCAACTCGCCGCTTTTGCTCCATCGTCGCTTGAAACAGCTTGCGAAGAAGCGCGCCATCGATTGGCTTGACTCGGCGGCCCTCTCTCGGAGCTACGCCATTGAGGCCTGCTGGCAGTGATCGAGGCACATCTTGATGAGTGGGCTGCTCCTGCCTGTGTGGCGTGGCTTCGTAAAGGACATCTCGAGGTTTTGCTGAAGGCGGTCCCCAGACTGTCGGGCAGCGGTCGTCGATGTAGGATTGGGTGTCATCCATCGCGATAGTTTTCTGGTGCCAGATTCGAGAAGTTCAAGTCATGCTTTGGTTGGATTCGGTGTGGTGAATTTGACTTCAGCAAGAAAGCGAGTCGCTCTTGCAAGTCGCTGGCGCTGCTCACGGCTGTCGTCATGCGGGCTTTGGTGTTGAGGTGTTGAAGAGAGGAACCAGTCGAGGTTCAGATGTTTCGGTGGTCAGTGGTCGGCGGTGCGCTGTTCGTCACTGTGTTGAAGTCAGGTCCTGGAAGTCGCAGCTGCCGCGAGACATGGAGTGGTGGAAGAGAGCAGAAACGACTTCGGCGGCGGAACATGAAGATGGTGAAGATGCTTCTGGAAGTGGGTCTGCCATCCGCTTGTGGTTTTACATGTGACAGAGGTGCCGCCGCAGCAATACTGGTGGTCTTGCTGGCGGTTCATTCACACTTACTTCAGGGTATCATAACATCATATCATAGCTATACACAAGACGTCCAGTCTCACTGTTCATAGCTTCGCCTTCTCACGTTGCTTCTCCTGCTCCCACTGCCTCTTGATCCACCAACTCCTCACATAGCTCCAGCCTCCGCTCATCGCTGCCAGCGGTGGACAGAGCAACAGCAACCATGCCCACCACTGCGGACTGCCCGCCTTCACCTTTGTCATGACCTGATCAATCTGCCTCTTCAAATCGCCCTTATCCCCATCGTTCCAAACAACCACGCCGGCTTTGTCGCCTCTTCTCAAACACCTCTCGGCTTTGTCCCTCACGTCCCATTGTGCCGCAACACGGTTCTTCGCATCTTCCTCCGTCAAGAACGAGTCTCTCGCCATAAGCCGCTGCATCTGCACCTTCGGGTCATGCACCGCAACGACCAGTATAGTCCCGCAGAGCGGCTCCCAGCCAGACTCGAACAGCAACGGAACATCTAATACCACCGCCCAGCTGCCTCGAAGGTATGCGAACAGCATCTGCCTGTACATCTCCTTCCTCACCTCCGGATGCACAATCTTATTCAACGCCTTGCGATCCTCATCTCTTCCCTCGCCAAACACCCTCCGACCCAGCGCCGGGCGGTTCAGCGGCCTGCCCTTGCCATTATGTCCACGCTCGCCGCCATTCTCTACTGTAGGCTCAAGGAGAAGATCTGGCGTTGAAGGCCCGAAAGTCTCTACGATCTTCTTGTATCCTTGCGTTCCTGGCTCGACGACTTGCCGCGAGATCTTGTCGGCGTCTACGATCGGGAGGTTGTAGGGCGGAGCTTGGAGGATTTGGGAGACGGTGGATTTGCCGGTTGCGATGCTGCCCGTCAGGCCGAGGAGGAGCATGGTGGGCGGATGGGGGTGATCAGGGAGAGAAGTACGTATGTATCGAGCTCGAGGTGATGTCGATGTTGGGTACGGTGGAGACGCTGTTAGCGTATACCAAGGTTGGGAAGGATTGCGACGGTGGCCGGTCCGTTGGAAATTGATTGGGCGTGAAAGTAACGGCGTGGCATCCCTGTCCTGAACGTCACCTCTTGATTCTCTGCGATATAAAGGGCCGTCTTTGATATATTTCACGTTTTTCCAAGATACCAGGTGTGAATTTTGATGGTATGGGATGCTCGGGTGATGCTGCTGGTCGAACGTGAGCGGAGAAGTAGATGGAAGAAGTGCGCGACCCTTGATAGACGGCGACAGTACAAAGTGTCTTGGATAGTATTTACCTTGTCGAGGGCGGAAGCAATTATTTCGACTGTATGGTATGCTGGATGATATGAGGAGTACGATCTGTCTGCTGGATTATACGAGGAATACGAGCTGCTTGCGGGTTGATACGACGGATACGAAGTTGATGAGGATGACCAGCGAAAACGCGACATGCGACATGCGACGAACGTGAAGACGGCGACGACGTTCATGAGAATGGCCAGCGAAAGAACGCGACATGCGACGTGCGACGAACGTGAAGACAGCGGCAAGACGTGAAGATGAACAAACAACATTGAATACGCAAACTATTTGAATGAACCATTGATATGCTCGAAGTCTTCAGAGCCCAGACCGAAGTCGGGGAGCTGATGGCCTCCTCTTGCTCTCAGCATAGCCATGCCTGAGACTCTAGCCCCCTGGGCTCTATCTACCTATATACGGACAAGAAGCGATGGGTGACGGGGACATGGTGCAGCACTTTTATAGCCTTGGAAAGGCGTAAACCCGAGACATGCCGAAGCAATGGCAGTGTGCCTCATCTCGCAGGCTCGGTGCCTCGAGGCCGACACACGCACTCTGGGTGACTGCCTGACATGTTAAGGGAACAAGGGGGAAGGGGGCTGGGGGTGCAGGTGGTGCTGGCAGGGGCGCGAGGGGAGTTGGTGCGATGGGAGTTGGTGGCGCTGCCCGCTGCTGTTGTGGAAAGAAAGGAAGGAGGAAGTTGGAGGGGAATTTGCGGCGATTATATAGCTGGCGTCGGGGCAGTATGTGATCCGTGCGCTGGCCAGGATGACTCTTACGCGCGGTATGGAGGCCGCGGGCGTTCTGGAAACTTCTGCCAGGGACGGCAGCGAGGTGAGGTAGGTGAGGTCATCGGGAGTCGGGTGGTGGAGGGAGGTAGTGGAGGGTGACGTGGCTTTTTTGCAGCGACCGGATTAGGAAGGCACGAGATGAATTCCAACGATGTCTACTCCTGTCCTGGCACAACAGTCGCATACTCTGGTTTTGAACGAGAGAAATAGTAGTACCAGACTCAGAACAGTGTGCTCTGGCTCCGTAGCATATTTTTTGGTGGATTAGAGTGGTGTTGTGGTTGAGCTCTGGCGTTCCTGAGCAACCACGCGGAGGAGAGCAAGTCTTGGCGACCTGTTGGGGACTACGACATCACGAGTATTCAAAAGAGACGTATTGGAGAGATAGCATACACGATATTCAAGTAGGTTTTGAAGAAATCCATGATTACCATTCGATTGGCTCGACGCGACTTGCGATACTACTCAGCAAGCTTGGCACTTACCCAATACCATGGTTCCCATTTTCCGTGTCGCACTCTCGTCAAAATCTCCTTCTCACCTTCAAAATGTTCCATTTCTTCTCTCTCGCCCTCTCTCTCTCTGCCTCTCTCTCCACCCAGATTATTACTTTCCGACATCGCATCCACCTCAACCCTCTCGAAAACGACGCGCGAATCCCACCTCGACCGCCCAATCGCTGTGGCCTGGTGTTGAACATCAGCCACGGGGACCAGCAAAGGTACGAAAACTCAGAAGAAATACCCTTCCACCGAGCGCAAGCCAAGCTCTGCGACGCATCAAGCCGTGAAAGCGTCCTTTGTGTACGACGCCTTGCGTCTTTTTGCGAATGTCCTCGAAATGGCGAAAGACGCAGCGATTGGGAGATGGGAGTTGTGGTTTTGGTGTCATTGAAAGGGATGGAGATGAGTGAGATGATGGTGGCCAGTCCAGATGGAAGCCATGCAAGTGCCAACCAGCTGGCGATTGACTCACGGGGGCTTGCAAGGCTCCATCAAAACCTATGGTCGCCATTCATCTTGCGATGACTGCGCTGACAGTTTCAACTTCGCGGACACGCTCGACCTGCGTTGTATCACCGACCATTGTGGAGAGAGATCTGCGGTTCAAAAAACAATCTCAACCACGAAGCGAAGACGTACAAGCTTGACAAATCACCAGGTCCGGGCGCGCACAAGAGTCGGCGGCAGTTTGTGCAATCAGCCGCCTTAACGACGGAGCTTGGATGTCTTCAACATGCTTCGCGCCTGCTTGCCAATATGCTCCGTCGGGCACGCGGTAGGCGCGGTGGTTGGTCGATACAAGGCAGGCTCGAGTTGAGAAGGTGGAACATCATGGCAACGGCGGACGAGGTTGGATACACGGCGGAGATCAGTGATGAGAAGAAGGCGATGCGAGCCATCCAATGAGAGCTGGTCTCTTCAGCATCTGCCGAATAATTCTGAGGTCTTCAAGTGTATCAGCTGGGTCTGGAACGCAACTTCTCCCGCCCCCAGCCTCAAGCACCTCCTGGCCTCTCCAAACCGCCTTTTCGTGCCCTCGATTTCTGTGGATGAAGCCCCTGGCCGTGCTCCTAAAAATGAAAGGCCTACATCGATGTCGGCATTGTGGCAACCAGCAACCCACACCAACATCACTTCGAAGTCGTAACAAGCCGGTGTTCATCACCATCCCAATCACCTACCTTGAGTCTGTTTGCACATGCGCCCCGGCGCGCGGCAGACCAGCGATCGATGGGCACGATGACGGGCTGGAGAGACTGGAAGTGCAGAGAAACATAAAGGGAAAGAGACCGGTGACGAAAACAAAAAGCAGCAAGCACCATCCGACGAGAGTTGGTATTGCAAGATCTGCGAACAGATTCGGAGGTCTCCGTGTACATGAACTGGGCACATTTAAGCCAACCATCTCGCTCTCTCCTCCGACCACCCTCGAACCATCCACCTCCCGCCGTCGGTGGTTCTGCTGACCAAATCTGGGACTCTTTCCTGTGAAGAAAAAAGGGTTCAGCCGAAGCTGAGTGGGGGACACGATCATCAGTGTGGAGGTGTCATCAACGCCGAAGCTCAGTAAACCGTGAAAGTGATACAATGATATCAGTGTGCTTCCCCACCTTCTGTCTGTTTGCAAATGCGTCCTTCGGGATGCGCGGCAGACCAGGCGATCGGCGGCGTGGTGGTGTGTGGGAGGGACGGGAGGCGTCTTGTGGGAGAGAGGAGGCTCGATCGTTCGATGTCGTCGGCCGGTGATGACAAGAAGGCTGAAGGCGGATGTTGGGAGACTGGTGTCCGTCATGGCCAAGGAGCTGAGGCCGGTGACGGAGTTGAATCGAGCCTGAGGTTGGTGCAAGATGTGGGATGGAGTGTTCGATGGGTGTTGCTCATGAGAACCGAGAAAGAGTTGGGAAAGGAAGGGTAGGACACGCTGGTAGGACGTGAGCGAGGATGGCGAGGATGAGGATAGAAGTCTGAAGTGGAAGATGAGGAGCGCGGAGTTTTGTACTTGGGATGGGAGAGGCGCAGCACACATTGTTTACTTGCAAGAGCGGCGAGGACGATGGCTCTTCAAGTCTTGGAAAGAGAGAGTCGATTATGGAGGTAAGTCGCCACCCTCAAGCAAGAAGGACTGAACACCTTGAAAGCAGGCACACCGAGACGATGTTCGAACCAGGGAGACGAGTTGAAGAAGACCTGCGAACCACATGAGAAGATACTTCTGCTGAGATGGTGCATGGGCGCATCACCAGGTAGTGAGCCTGTGCGCAAGAAGTCTACCAGGACATCATGAACTGTTTGTCAAGAGAGGACCTGCAAGGCAAATCAACGGACACAACAGGTAAGTAGTGACCACTCGAACCCTACGTAGAAGGAAAGCATACTGCACAAGCTGACGAGTTCATGATACACGGCAACGGCGGCCGACTTGAACGATGCAAGGAGGAGTATCTCGACCACACCGCTCATGGGCAGGCTCGAACGACTACGTCTGTCAGACACGACAACAACACGGACATCTGTGTTCCAGAATTAGGGTCTGCAGAGGACTGCATCGCAACAAGACGACATGAAGGCATCGTCAGCCGATTGTGATGCTCATCCACGAAGAGCACCTGCCATCGTAGAGACTGGATCTGCGAATCAAAATGTCTCGGGCAAGTACCTCCTTTGATTTGCGGAGGACGTCTACGCTGAACCGCAGTATGTGGACGCTGATGCGATATTGCAGTCGCTGGGGTATGGAGGGATCGCCGAACTTCCGCAGTAGTTATGGGACGATGCTGGTGAGGGTGTTGGTGCTTGAGGACACGACCGAAGAACTCAAGGCTGTGTATCAGATTCAGGTTCAGAATGCCTGGAAGCTGCAGACTCTCACTCGTAGTGAGGAAGTCAACGCTCGCAATCAAACGTCGGAGTTGACAAGTCTGGCACCCAATGGAGCTTTCTTCCGCATCGCATCTCCCGCCAAAAGGTCTCTCTCGTCACCCGCCTCATCTCACAGATCCAGAACCCCATCTACGCAGACCGCTACCGCGCCGCAAGTATCCTCTCCAGCGCTGGCCTCTATGCCGTAACATACACTTAACCTCCAAAGCTCAACCTCACCCAAGACAGCGCCCTCGCCAATACGACCCTCCAAATCATCACTTCCCAACCCGAAACGCTCATCAACCTACGCGACACCTAGCTCCAGCAAGCTCTGAGCTACGCAGGCGTATACGAAACACACTACGCCTCCACCTCCGCCATCATCCTCGCGGGCTACCAGCAACAAACGCCCATCCAAACTCTATACCTCTATATCCCCGGCAGCGGTTTCAGCACCACGCACGTCACCCTCGAGGCCAATCGAACTCTCCTCTTGACACTCAGTGACAAGCCGCAGCTGAAGAAGACACGGGTCTTGGATCCTGTGGGTGTATGATACAAAGGAGAAGTTGATTCCGAATGGGCTGGGGAGGTTCCAGGTGGGCCCGTGCTGTTTTTTTGCTGGGCTGATTTGCGTTGGCAGATCGGTTCTATTTCCCGGAGAGTAGCATGACAGATGACTCGTGAGTCTATCCCAAGGCGGAAACCACCGTGGCCCTGTGAGAAAATCTTCATGTTAGCGAGGCGAAGGAAAGACCTGGCAGAACACAACTTCAGCTGTGCACCCGGCTCCTTTTTCTTCCAAGATACGGCGAGATCCTGCAAGCGACTACGACGACATCCATCAGCCATGAACAGTGCAGCCATTGCCACTTTTTTCCTTACTAAATGTTATAGTTGCGCTCGACGACTTTTCCAACGCCTCGTCGGCAAGGCTTAACGCCGACTTGCCGAACTGAGTAAGCCCTGCCGATTTTACGGAGCTGTGCTTCAATAACCACCGCCAAGAAAAGGAGAGATGTTCATCCGAATGCCTATATCTGGTCAATGTCTGGAGCTCGAACAGGTGGTTGCAGGTGATCGGAACGATATGCTGCCGTTCCCTGAAGCAAGGCTGCGTTGATTGTCACGCTTGATTGTGGCTGCAAGGCGTCCGCATTCGACTCCTCTACACAAAGGACGCTCTATAAGCAGAGCAAAGACATTGTGCGCGGATTGATAAGCCCCGTTCGTCTCAATAGCGATATATTGCAGCATCACCAATGGCAATGCCTCAATCTCGCCGCATCCACCATGTCCCTCCAATCCCTCCAATCCCTCCTCCTCGCCACCTTTCACCTCCTCACAGCAAACTACTTCCTCCTCCCATCCCCTCCACCCCTCCCCACCAACCCCATGAAGCACATCATCATCATCGGCGGCTCCTTCGCCGGCATCAGCACCGCCCACCGCATCCTCAAACAAGCCTCCAAAACCACCGCCGCGCCCTTCAAAATCACCCTCGTCTCACGTGACACGCACTTTTACTGGAACATCGCGGCGCCGCGCGCGGTGATGCCGGGACAATTTGAGGATGAGAAGCTGTTCCTGCCGATTGCGGAGGGGTTCAAGGGGTATCCGGCTGTGAGGGTGGAGGTTGTTGTTGGGGAAGCAGTGGGGGTGGATGTTGAGGGGAAGGAGCTGGAGGTTTGTGTTGATGGTGCTGGGGTTGGGGAAAAGAGGATGCTGCGGTATGATTTTTTGATAGTGGGGACGGGGTCGAGTTCGAGGGAGGGGATGCCGTTTAAGTCTTTGGGGTCGACGGAGGGTACGCGGGAGGCTTTGCGTGGCCTGCAGGAGCGTGTGAAGGGTGCTGAGACAATTGTTGTGCTTGGGGCGGGGCCGACGGGCGTGGAGATTGCCGGTGAACTGAGTGGGGAGTATGGTGCTGCGAAGAAGATTTATCTTGTGAGTTGTTTGGGACATAAAGTATGATCGTCGCTAAACCCACATGATATAGTTCTCCAGGGCGGCTGCCGTACTCGAAGGCCGACCAGCCAGCGTATCCCAAACGGCACTGAAGCAGCTCCAAAAACTCAACGTAGACGTCAGGGTTTCCACGAGCATCGAGACCATCACCGACCTCCCCGACGGCCGGCAGGAACTCACCACGTCCAAGGGGGAGAAAGTCGTCGCCGACCTCTGTATCCCCACATACGGCGTCCAACCCAACTCATCCTACGTCCCCGCGCAGTTCCTCGACGCCAACGGCTTCATCAAAGTGGACGAGTACCTCGCCGTCAGAAACGCAGACGGCGTCTTCGCTATAGGTGACGTCTCCGACGCCGAGCCCCCTCAGTTCTGGTTCGTCGATAAGCAGTCCCTCCACATGGCGAAGAACATGGTCCTTACCTTGAGCGGGAAGACGCCCGTTCCTTATAAAGTCTCAACAACAGGTAAGCGTTGACGGTTTTTGGCCCGAATGTGTTTGATGCTGACGAATGAGTCTGTTAGGCATGATGGGTGTGCAAATCGGGAAAAAGGGTGGGACGGGGCATTTTGGGAGTTTCAAGTTGCCTGGATGGCTTGTGGCGATGTTGAGGAAGTCGCTGTTTGTGGAAAATTTGGCGAGGACGGTTGATGGGTCGATGCTTTGAAAGCTATGCGGTGCGTAATGGGTTAGAATTCGGTTTGCCTTGGCTAGCCACCGTAATGGTCGGTGTCTATCCGTCTTTGTCGAATCTCTTCATACATTTCCAGAGCCTGACTTCCATCTCATCCGAGAGGAAGAGTAGCGAATGATTGCATGCATCGTAGACCGCGTGTTTCCAGTGGCTTATCTCGAGAGGCAGTGTGATTGGAGGGACCTTCAGAATATGCCCATCGATAACTGAGATGACGATGGACGTTTTGGGAGGCATCAAGTCACATCTGAGAGTGATAAAGGGCTTTTGGTCCGACTACCTCCTAGGACTTTCGTAGAAGGTCCCGTCGCATCTCTCCTAGAATTTCTTGCCCTACAGGGATCTTGGGTCTTTCGCGGCAACGCCTCCAAGCGCCCTCAAAGATTAGCCAACGAGTTATTGCTGTTCGTATGCGCTTCGTATGTCGAGCAGCACGCTTTTGAGCAGGTGAGGTCGCATCCGGCATATGCAAAAGAAGGTAGGTATGCATCCGCCTCAGCGGAAAAGATCTCCGATCTACTGATCGCCACGTCTTCCTCTTTCGCCATCCGCCAGCGGGGTAGCGAAATGTGGCTTGGTGAAAAAGAACAGCTGGCTCGTCCAAGAGTGCAGCTTTGAGTGTTGCTACTGCACGTCCAAAGTGCGACCTATGCCAGACCGAGGCATGAGCTGCGCAGTCGAGGGTGACGTAAGAACAAGGTTTGTCTGGAAGAGGAAAATAGCGGGGCTAGTGGTGTCTTTCTGTCCAATCGGAAGGGTGTCATTTGTCGCCAGGCACATAGCCGTGTTTGCCGATTTCTGAATGCTGGAAGTGAGTGCTGCGATGCTTTTTGCGGGTTGTCGAGAGCAGAATCGACAGACGAATGGGAGCAGCATTGATTACACGCCATTTGCTTTCATTCCAATTTATACCGACGCTAAGGCACGCTTCCCCACACCCGACTTGGATGCAGAGTGGTCGAGGCCGGATGTGCTGCGGTTGGCATAAAAGTAAGCTGAGGGCCACATTCGTCTGCTTTTGTTTCGCTCCCTGTCCCTTTCGCCCACCACCCATTGTCTCTCCTCACCACTGCCACCGAACACCACGACACCACCCTCAGCCATGGAGACTCTCCTCCGCCAGTCGCGGGCCATGTGTCCGTTCCTGAACAAGACGTCGCCCGCCACCCTGCGCTCCATGTCCACCAGCACCACCATGCAGCACGCTGCTCCCGGTGGCGGTGCCATGAGCAACCTCCAGATCATCGCCCGCCGCTGCCCCGTCATGGGAAAGGCTTTGTCCGTCCAGAGCGCCCGCAATGGCAACTCCGCCCTCGCCGGTGCTTTTGGTGGCTGCCGCGCCTACCACGCCAAAGTCCCACGAGCCAACTTGCACACAACCCGACCCAACGAGGCCCAAGCTGTCGATGTCCACCAGATTCGCCGCGACCATCCTCCCTATAGCCCACCGAATGCGAGATCTGCTGCGACTCCCACGCCGAACAGAGAAACCCTCTCCACCCCGCCACCCCCACCGCAGGCTGCTCGGTTTGATTACGAGGGGTTCTACCAGAATGAGTTGGACAAGAAGCACAAGGACAAATCTTACCGCTACTTCAACAACATCAACCGTTTGGCGCAGGAGTTCCCCAAGGCACACATGGCGACCAAGGAAGAGCGTGTGGATGTTTGGTGCTCGAATGACTACCTTGGAATGGGTCGCAACCCACAGGTTTTGAAAAAGATGCACGAGACGTTGGATATGTACGGTTCTGGCGCTGGTGGCACACGTAACATTTCTGGACACAATCAGCACGCCATGGCATTGGAAGGCACTCTGGCCCAACTCCACGCCAAGGAGTCTGCCCTTGTCTTCTCCTCATGCTACGTTGCCAACGATGCTACACTGGCGACTCTTGGAAGCAAGTTTCCCAACTGTGTGATTCTGAGCGACAGCATGAACCATGCATCCATGATTCAGGGCATCCGCCATTCCGGAGCGAAGAAGCTGGTGTTCAAGCACAACGATACAGCCGACTTGGAGAGCAAGCTGGCTTCGCTTCCCGCAGATGTGCCCAAGATAATTGCTTTTGAGAGCGTGTACAGCATGTGCGGCAGCATTGGACCGATTGAAGAGATTTGCGATTTGGCCGAGAAGTATGGAGCGATCACTTTCCTCGATGAAGTCCATGCTGTTGGAATGTACGGGCCAAACGGCGCTGGAGTTGCTGAGCATCTCGACTACGACGTATACGCGAGCGGCACGAACACCAAGGGCACCGTCCAGGACCGTGTTGACATCATCACTGGCACTCTGGGCAAGGCTTACGGATGCGTTGGTGGATACATTGCGGGCTCCGCAAAGATGGTGGATACTGTCCGATCATTGGCTCCAGGTTTCATCTTCACAACTTCCCTCCCACCAGCGACCATGGCAGGTGCCAAGACTGCCATTGAGTACCAGATGGCTTACCAGGGCGACCGCCGTCTGCAACAGCTCCACACTCGGGCAGTCAAGTCTGCACTTGAGGAGCGCGATATTCCGGTCATGCCAAACCCTTCGCACATCATTCCAGTTCTCGTTGGCAATGCCGAGCTTGCCAAGAAGGCATCTGATCTCCTTCTCGAGAAGCATCAAATCTACGTCCAGGCCATCAACTATCCCACCGTTCCAGTCGGCCAGGAGCGTCTCCGCATTACCCCAACCCCAGGCCACGTCAAGGAGTTCCGCGAGCATCTCGTAGGCGCACTCGTGAGTGTCTGGGATGAGCTTAGTCTCAAGCGCACCTCTGAGTGGGCTGCCGAGGGTGGCTTTATTGGTGTTGGAGAGAAGAACGCGCCTGCTGTCGAGCCTATGTGGACTGATGAGCAGCTCGGCCTCAAGGACATCGCCCGTGAGATGAAGCAGGAGGGTGCCCACGGTGTCCTTGAGCGTGTTCTCGATTTCGAGAGACGCCAAGCTCAGGCCGTCGCCGCGGCTGCTTAGATGCAGCAAGAGAGATAGAACTGCAAACACGCGTTGATATTACGATGATTTTGGACGAGATGCTTTGAAGTGTGGATGATGGTTTATAGTCGAGAGAGTTACGACTCACCAGAATACGATCTTTTGATCCTTCTTTTGCTCCGGGTCTGGCTGCGTGCCCACCCGTTGAGCTTGCAACCAATTTTTCTGTCCCGATTTCTTTGCTCTTCTCATCGACATCGTCTGTCGGCGTTTGATTCACCTCGACATTATTTTTTGCCTTCTCATTGGTCGGTAGGCGACGAGCTTAAACCAGGCGTCCTATCTCCACTTCACCTCGCCGAGTATCGCTGTGGCTAGTCACCACGGCCAACTCTAGAGGATCCTGTAGTCATTGAGAACTCCCTCGTAAGTGTCAAACTTCCTCACTCCTCCCATTTCACCTTCCATTCGTCCATTCTCCACTATGTCCACCGCAACGACTCCCGACACTCTCTTCCTCAACGCCACCGTAATCGACGGCTCAGGCACCACTCCTCGTTACATAGCCAGCGTGCTCGTTCACGATGGACTCATCCACTCCATCCGCAAAGGCCAAGACACCTACTCGCCCCAAGAAATCGAAGACTTCCGCAAGAGCAACACCAAGATCATCGACTGCGACTCCGGAAAATGGACACTCACCCCAGGCTTCATCGACATGCACGCCCACTCCGACCTTTCCCTCCTCCACACCCCGGCGCACTTGGCGAAAATCACGCAAGGCGTCACGACGGAAGTCATAGGCCAGGATGGGATCTCCTACGCCCCCGTCGACGACGCAGCGATGGCGAGGATCCGGCAGCAGATCGCCGGGTGGAATGGCAATCCCGATGACGAAGGATTCTTTGAGAGGTGGCGGAGCGTGAAGGAGTATCTAGACGTGCTGGATCGGGAGAAGACGGCGACGAACGTGGCGTTTCTGGTCCCGCAGGGGAATTTGAGGATTCTGGTCAAAGGGTGGGATTCGAGTCCCGCGACGGAGGACGAGATTGGGAAGATGAAAGTTTTGCTTGCCAAGGCCATGGAGGATGGTGCGGTGGGGATGTCGAGCGGGTTGACGTACGTGCCCGGGATGTTTGCCACGGATGAGGAGTTGGGCCAGTTGTGTGAGGTTGTGAGGGAGTATGGAGGGTATTATTGTCCGCATACGAGGAGTTATGGCAAGGGGGCTTTGCAGGCGTATCGGGAGATGGTTGATCTGGCGAGGAAGACGGGGGTGAAGTTGCATTTGACGCACGCGACGATGAACTATGAGGAGAATGCGGGGCGAGCGGGAGAGTTGATTGCGATGATTGATGAGGCCATTCAGGAGGGCGTGAACATTAGTCTCGACACGTATCCCTACCTTCCCGGCTCGACGACGTTGGCGAGTACCTTGCCATCCTGGGCAGCGAGCGCGGCAGATCCAGTCGCCGTGCTCAACAACCCAGACCTCATAGCAAAGATCAAACACGAAGCGCTCGTCGACGGCACAGACGGCTGCCACGGCTGCACGCTCCACTGGGACATCCTCGAAATCGGCGGCGTGCGCAACAAAGCCCTCATCTCGCACTACGTCGGCAAAACCATCGCCCAAATCGCCACGGAACAGAACCAAGACCCCTTCGACACCTACATCCAGATCCTGAAAGACGACTCCTTCGACAGCACCATCCTCTCCCACTCCGGCCACGAAGGCAACGTCCGCCAGATCATGCGTCATCCGCGCCACACCGGCGGCTCCGACGGCATCCTCACCAGCACGAAACCGCACCCGCGAGGCTGGGGCACGTTCCCGCGCTACCTGGGCCACTACGCCCGCGACTTGCCCCGCGGCACGAGCAGGAACATCTACCACGCAACATGCACATCCTCTTTCGACACCGTCCCGCCGGAGACGATCTTCGCCGGAGGTCTGGAAGAAGCCGTCGCGCACCTGACGTCTCGACCGGCTTCGATCATCCGCGCGGAGGATCGGGGGCTGGTGCGGGAGGGTTTCCGGGCGGATTTGTGTGTTTTTGATAAGGACGAGGTGAGGGATGAGGCTACGTATGCGGATCCTCAGCGGGCGGCGAGGGGCGTTGGGTGGGTTTTGGTTAATGGGGTTGTGGTGGTGGAGAGCGGGGTGCCGAATGAGGGGAGGGCGGGGCGGACGGTTAGGTTGAGGAGGGAGGGGAGGGAGTGGGTTGTTAGGTGAGGATGCTCAAGTGGATGGGAAACGGGCATAGAAACATAGGCGGTGGCGTTGATTGGGGCTTTCAACAAGAATGTGACGACTATGGAGAAAGCGGACGAGTGAATCATAAGGCAGAGATGGACATCACTCCTGGTGATGATAAGCACGATTCCAAGAGAACTCCCTCATTTCTAGCTATGAGGACAGAGATGGTCAACCCTATGACTTCGACATCCCCCTCGACCTCTCCGCCGCAACCATAATAGCATCCGTAAACGCCGACCTCACCCCCCTCTTCTCGAGCTCGAAGAACGCCCGTATCGAACAACCCCCCGGCGACGCAATCCTCTCCCTCAACGCGCTCGGGTGATTGCCCGCCGGCACCAACTTCAACATCCCAATCGCACTATCCACAACGAACTCCTGGGCTTCAGGTCGTTTGATCCCCTCCGCCACGGCAGCGTCGAGAAGCCCGTCGATGGCCAGCAAGAGCAAAGAACCCGCACATCCTACCAGCACGGCGGAAATATCGAATGTGCTCTCCGCGACGAACTGCACCCGGCCGACCTGCTCGAAAATCCACGTCGCGATATGCAGATTCCGCTCCGTGAGCGTGGAAAAATCGGCCGTACAAAGCGACACAGCTTCGCGGATCGTAGCGGCCATATTGGGCATCACGCGGACGACTTGCAATGGACTGCTTCCGTCGTCTTGTGACCCTGCTAGACGTTTGATTTCCGCAGTTGTGATGCCTGCCATGATGCTTATGATTAGTTTGCCGCGCATCGATTCGCGGAGTCCTGGGGCGGAGAAGACGGCTTCTCGTTTTATGGGTTTGATGGCGAGGATCACGACGTCGGCGGTTTGGATGGCCTGGACGTTTTGTTGGGAGGGGAGGATTTCGACTTTTGGGGTAGAGGTATTGCTGTTGAGTTCATCTTGGAGCCGTTCCTGAGAGGCGTGAGTGCCGACTGTGGCGCTGAGTGTCTCGAGGCCAAAGGAGTTGTCGAGGGGGGAGAGGATTCCTTTGGCGACGGCGGTGCCGAGGGTGCCTGATGGTTTGTGTTAGTCGTGGGGTGTTACTTCGAGTTATGGTGACATTTGGCGGGTTACCGCAGCCGATTACGGCTACTTTGACACCTGTTGAGTTCGTCATGTTGAGGAGCGATGCAAGTTGCAGGCAAACTTGCTTGTGATGAAGAAGACGAAACGGGATCTTTCGAAGAGCGAGGACAGCCCGGAAGATGAAGATTGATTGATGCGACCGCTGGGTTCTCAGGTGATAGGTACGACAGTGACGTCCTTGGTTCCCGAGAGATAGAGATTGGATGCAATCGGGACAGCCTTGAACGGGCAGCTCACCGGCCCGAGAGTCGTGGGCCGAGAAATTAATGAGGTACGCCATTGCAAAGATCTACCCGGACGACTCGGACCGGTTGGCAAGATGAATTTGCAGCTACAGATTCCACTGTCAGCCGCCATGGCAATCGAATAGTCATTGATACAGGGACTGTAGCTTGTACGAGCACCAGGCCCCGGCGAACACAATCATTTGGGGGCACACTACGGCTTGTTTACAACTGGAGATTCTTAAAATCAAACGAGACCATTATTGTTTCCGTACGATCCATTTGCCAAAAGTACTACGGCAGATGGCAATCACTCAAAGTGCTACTCCCCGACACGAACGAATCCTTGACACACCGAATGCTCGAAAACCTGAGCAGCACATTCGCGGAGTTGGCTTTATCGTTCGTCCCGCTCGATCTCGCTCCGCCGAACGTATGCGCCCCAATGACGGCTCCGGTGCATTTGTCGTTGATGCAGAACATGCCGACGGAATCTCTCAGAAGCAAGTCCGCAGTCTGCACTGCCTCTCTGTCTCTGGCGAAAATGGATCCTGCGAGGCCGTATTCTGAGAGGGTATCGATTTGCTTGCAGACGTTTTCGAATCCTTCTGGGAACGAGTCGTCGTATGTCTGTATGGAGAAGAGGGGCCCGAAGAGCTCTTTTGTTATCAAGTCCGATTGCAGGTTTTCCTGGCTGTGTTTGATTTCGAAGATGGCGGGTTGGACGAAGAAGCCTTTCGCATCGTCGATCTTGCCGCCGAAGAGGAGAGCGTGGCCTTCCTGCTGAGCGCTGGCGACGGCCGAGCGGAATCTTTCAAGCGCGGCTTTCGACACGATCGGTCCGAGCGGGTGGTGTAGCTGCTTGACATTGTCGCCATGTGTGAATTTCGCTGGTTCTCTGAGGATCGCTTTTTTCAAATATCCACGAGTCCACATCGATTGTGGCACGAAGAGCAAAGACATGGCGCTGCACTTTTGCCCCTGGAATTCGAACGCTGAGCGAACGGCCGCCGAAGCAATCCAGTCAACATCTTCAGCACACGAGTTATGCACGAGATGGAAGTTCTTCCCACCACTCTCGCCGACTATACGTGGAAACGTTTTGTAAACATGCGAGTTCGTCCCAATTCGAGCCCACAGACTTCGAAGCACAGCAGAAGACCCCGTGTAGTGCAACCCAGAGAAATCTCGACTCGCCAGCGCAGGCTCCACGACAGTAGCCGGATCCGATACCGGCAGGAACTGAACCATCCCCGGCGGCAGTTCAGCCTCTTCCATAACCAGGTAAAGGATATAATTCGCCAACGCAGCCATCGGCGAAGGCTTCCACAACACAACATTCCCAAGCAGCGCCGGGGTAAACGCAATATGCGCGCCCAGAGCCGTGAAATTGAACGGTGAGATTGCGAGCACGAAGCCCTCCAGAGGTCGATAGTCGAGCTTGTTATACGCTGCATCAGATTGCTTTTGCGGTTGCTGTTGGTACATCTGATCGCAGAAGTAGACGTGGAAGTTCAGCGTGTCGATCACTTCGGCGACGCAGTCGCCTTCGGCTTGTCCGCAGGTTTTGCCTTGGCCGAGCATCGTCGCGGCCATGAGTTGCCATCTATACTTGGTTTCGACGAGTTTCGCGGCGCGCTTGTAGATCGCTGCGCGGTGGTGGAAGGGCGTGTTGGCCCATTTCTGGCGAGCGGCGAGAGCGCCAGGGATGGCTTTGGACGCGATTGTTTCTTGGTCGACTTCGTGGTAGGTGGCTACTGGAGGACCGGCGTGGTTCCAGGGGTTGGTTTGGGAGGATTGGGGACCTTGGAAGAATCTTTTGCCGTTGATTATGGAGGGGATTTGAATGGAGCTGCTTTCGAGTTCGGAGAGAGTGGATTTCAGGAGCTCTCGTTCTTGCGAGACGGGGGCGTAAGAGTGCTGCGCAATGTGGTTAGTCACCGACGTCGAGTGTCATCAAGACTGCTGTGGCAGCTACTTACCCCTTCAAAATTCTCTGGTTCGGGGATCCTCATCTTGGCGGTCTTTTGAGAAGACTATACGCTCACACTGGACTGGCGAAAACGAGGAGGTATTCCAATTCCTCAAAAGATGGCTGGAAACATGACAAAGACGCAACTTGCTATTTGATTTTAGATCGTCCTTGTCGTTGCTTTGCCCTACAACCAAGTGGGATAATGATATCGGACTTGGAGGCCGACGGGGCACGTCGGACCGAGAAAAGGGACGTGGCTATCGGCCCGAGATGATAAGGCTGCAGTGAGCGTCACATCACATGCTACTTGTGCCGCCCACGCTTACGTTGGTTTTCCAGCTAGGCTTCTTATAGGAATCAAATTGGATCGACAGAGAAGCATTGTCGGGAACGACTTATCTGGCAAGTTGGCAAGAAGTGTTCGTGATGCGTGCGGGAAACATTTGCTACCTGTAGGGAATTGGATACTGTTGCGAAGGAAACACTGCTCTATAACTGTCCTATGTCTGGTGCATGTAGTTGTGCTATGACCAAAAAGCCAAACGTCGTCGTATCTCACGACCCAGGCGGACCCTCTCAGCGTAAGCGCCGCCTCTGCCCTCCAGCACCGACTTGTTCTCCGTAGCCCTCCTCGCCAAGAACGGAAGGCATTCATCGAGCGTACCATAGCTCATAGACTGTATTCGCACCAAGCTACGTCAGTCATCTCTAGCCGTGCGCTGTGAAATGATTCTTGCAACGACTCACCTTCACAACGAGCGGCATGCCGTCGTCACTAGTTATTGTTCCAGTGATCTTGTTGGTCAGATCGTCTTTCATTCCTGGGACAGAAAATTTAGAATGCACAATGCCTCGATGATAACGCACATGAACACTTACCGTAGAGCTGAGCAAAGGCGACACTTCCAGCGGCTTCCTTGGAAAGTTTCAATCGTCCGTCAAGGTCTGTTCCTTGAATCAACCCCTTTTGTTTGAGTGCATCGATACCCTCGCCAATGCTTTGTGAATTGTGTGTAGCGAACACAGCACTGATGTTTGATGATCCAGTTGCCTCAATCTGCTCCGCCACAGCTGAGAGTGCCGTTTCCATACCACCATTGAAGCTCGCATCAGTCTCGGCTTTCGAGGGCCAAACCGGGTTCTCTAAACCAACCTTCTCGCTTCGACTTCTCTCGGTCGCAATGTATGCGCCTCTGACCTGTTTAAAGAGCAAGCGGTAGCCTTTCTCGTCTGCTCGCCGGATCTGTTGTTCAATGAGCTGAGGATGGCGACGGAGATATGCTTGGAAAGAGGTGATGATCGTAGCTGGACCATTCGTGGTCGAGTTGTAGGTCTGCATCAGCTCGTCTGTCAGTGCGTCGATGGCTGGTTGGTACCAAGATTGCTCTGCATCAATGACGATTCGCACTTTATTGTCTCGGGCTTTGCTGGAGATGGCTTCCATGGTGGCACGGAGAGTTAGGAGTTGCTCACGATCCGATTCAGTGACGCCTTGCCCGTTGATAGCGGCGTCCCAGTCGCCATCGTGTGGTAGACCGGGATATGGCACGTCTCTGTCCAGGCCTTTCTCTCTTCTGCCCTGCAAGATGGCATCTGAAGCGTGTTGAAGTGCAATTGGATGCGTGAGAAGGCCGGTAAGCTTGATTCTTCCCCAACAACGCGTACCAATATCGCTTGAGACAGATCCCGTGCTGTCAGTCTGGCATTGGCGAGCCATTTTGCCTTGAGCGTCAATAGACTCCAAGACGCAGCGTGTCTGCTCCAAGACCAGCTCAGGATCTTTGCTCGAGCCGTCCAGCTTGGCTTCAATGTTGTATCCGAGCAAAGTGCCCACTTCGTGCTCTCGCAGATCTCTCATTCTGGGAATGCATTGGTCAACGTCTTCGCCGCCCAGAAACTGATTGACAAATGTATATCGAATGAAGACATGAGCGATATACGAGACCAGCGGGATTTTTGAGACAACTCCATACATTGGCTCGCTAATGTCGACCCATGTTGGTGAGGAACAGAAGGCGAACGCACTACACATACAAAATTTAGTATTGAAGTAGCTTCAGGGGGCCTCGTAAGATGTAGTCAACTCACATCCAGCCAGAGACGAGTTTACTCATTGGCACGTTCGACACCCTCGCCAAGTCTCTCGGGTCCTGATCTTCTGTAGGGGAGTCATTCTGCCGAGTAATGAGCACTGCTGCCGTCACAAGTCCACCACCGACTGCGAATGCAGCAGCTCTCTGCCTGAGACTCGTGCTTGCCAGGATCCAGTTCTGGCGTGCGTCCAGGACTTTGTCTCGCTTGTGCTCGATGTCCATCTTGCTCGGGCTGTAGCACGCCGTAGACAAGGCGTAGAGGTGAAGACAAGACTTTGTCGCGCAACTGTTGGGGGGGCATCTCGAAAGAAGTGGCATAGCCGTCAGTGACGTGATGATGGAAAGCAATAGAATGCTGTGTTTCAGTATTTTCAACACGCACAGCGTTACGAGAGCAGCTGAATGTTGAATACGAGTCAGAGGTCACGGAAAGACCTTGCACCTGAGATTGATGCTGGATTGTGATATCAGCCCGCCCTGCAGAATGCTGCCACATCCGATCGGAGCAAGTGCACGCATAGCAGACGCTCGGAAGCCTGTGCAGTCAAACAGGGCCGAGAGCGAACCTATGGTATCATCCTCAACGGGCCGAGACAGGCCCCCAAGTTGCGGCTACCAGAATCGCTATCTCCATACACTTTCATTCTGAAGAATGAAAGGAAAGCCGCGAGGAGCATACAGGATCAAGATAAGTAGCCAGCCAAGGCTACGGGCAGTTGAAAAGTCATATGATAGCCCCCTGAGACGATGCATCTTCGAGTCACTTTCGAACCATTTTTCAACAACCCCTTTTTAGCTTGGCACAATGAAAACTCCCTTCGAAAAGCAGGATGCTTCACACGACAATGTCGAACGAGCCTCTGTCCATGGCGGCGAATCCGTAACGATATCTCGCCAGTTTCACCAACAAGATGTTTTCACCGCTCCTCGTCGAGGAGATGTCAACTTCCGTGGTGTCTCCTGGCCAGCAGCAACGGTGCTGGTCGCAAAGTTTCAGATTGGTCTAGGAGCGCTGAGTATTCCCAGCACATGTAAGCATATTGAGAGCAAAGAGATTATGTCAGAAGCGATCGGCTGACATCTATCGATAGTTCACGTTCTGGGGTTCTTTCCGGGCATCCTCAGCTTCGTGATCCTGGCCCTCATCACCACGGGTGCTGGATTTGTCTGTGGCAACGCCAGACAATACTACCCACGACTCCATAGCATCGCGGACGCTTCAGACCTCCTATTTGGCCCGATTACGAGGGAGGTTGTTGGCTGCGTGTACTACCTTTATCTCGCCCTAACTACAGGAGCGGGTTTGCTCACCACTTCAGTGGCTCTCAACGCTCTATCAGAGCACGGAACCTGCTCGGTTGTCTTCGTTGCGGTCATTTCTGTGGCTTGCTTCATCCTGGGTACCGGCTTTCGCACCCTGGAACGAGTCGCTTGGATCAGCTGGGCTGGCGTGACTTGCATCTTTGTCGCCCTGTGTGTGACAACAATCGCATGCCTGGCACAAAATCGACCTGCAGCAGCTTTACCGGCTCCGGCACCTCTCGACATGGACGTGTGGGCGTTTCCAGAGGACACGACATTCACCCAGGCAATGATAGCAGTCTCTAACCAGCTGTTTGCAGTCGGTGCTTCAGAGTCTTCTTCTCAGTGGCTGCGGAGATGAGAGAGCCTCAGAAATTTACCCGTGCTCTCGTCATAGGGCAGAGCTTTATTGTCTTGACCAACATTGCCGTTGGTAGCATCGTGTACGCAAAAGTTGGCCAATATCTTGCCAGCCCTGCTCTAGGATCAGCAGGACCATTGATCAAGAAGGTCTCATATGGGATCGCGCTCCCCGGCCTCTTGGTCACAGCCATCATCTACAGCCATATTGCCGGGAAGTACTGCCTTGTGCGGATCTTGCGAGGGACACGCCATTTGCAGTCTAACACAGTGACGCACTGGGCTGTTTGGATTGGAGCAATGCCGGTGACCGTTGTGTTCGGTTTCATCATCGTCAATCTGGTGCCTTTCTCCGGCGACTTCTTGAGCTTGGTTGGTGCTCTGGTCAACCCGATCTTCACCAACGTCGTGCCTGGATTCATGATCTTGTTCTTCATCGCCAAGCGACCTTCCAAAGTGGTTAATGGACAGGAGCCAAACCCATTGCCCAATATAGATATGCTGACCGAAAGGCACTGGGCCTTGCAAAGTCTTCAAAAGGCCAGACAAGACGGGCCGTGGCTTTTGCTCTGGCTGCTGGCCGTTTTCATGATCGCTACAGGAGTTTTCATCATGGTGGCTGGCACATATGCGACCGTTCTCTCGATCAAGCAATCGTACGATGACGGGTCCATTGGTGGAGTATTCTCGTGCGCAGACAACTCAAATACTTGAGGCTGTGAAAGCTCGTGAAAGAGGTTGCGAGTCTCAAGTGAAACGAGGGGTCGTGTACAGTATTCTCATACTCGCAAGTCAAAGCAGCATCTCATTCTGAAGTTTCAGTTGATCTCAACAGTCACGCACGACCTAGAGCCAGGTGTCCAATGCAGTGTCTGTTCCCGTGGTATTAAAACCGGTGAAGTACCCTGGGTCCAGCAGATTAGCCAGACTTTGTATGTTCAGCTGTTGGCCAAAGTCGGAGAAGTCGTCACCCATGCCATGATTGTTACCTTCCATGCCAACACCAACGCCGTCGTCGATGGAGCCGAACCCACTTGCTAAGACCCGAGCCGCAGATTCCGCGGCGAATTGGTCTGGCATCGGCATGGGTTCTTCATTGACTGGACCAGCACCACCGGACGCAGTAAGCGGCCCCGTCGTTTCTTCTTCAATGATGTTCTGCCTCGCTCTGAGGCTGACAGCTCCAGACGAGGCAGGAGTCAAGATCGAAGTGAGAGATTCAAGATAGGCCAAGTGGAGAGCCATAGTATCTTGGGGAGATTGCACGGCCTGCTCAAAGTGGCGTGCAATATCGAAAACAAGCTTTATGGCTGTTTGCTGGAAAGATTGTCCCAAGAGGCCTTTGCACGGAAGACATAACAAAAGGCACAGGAACAACGCAGCATGGGGTCCGAGCAAGACCACGGAGTCAGGGGCTCTGCGAAGGTCGTCAGTGGGAAAGCATAATAGCTGCCTTAAAGTGCCGAGAGCCCCTTCAATGCTGCCTCTTAGTCCGATGAAGTCGGTGGACAAGAGTTCAGACATCGAGGTTGTATCAAGGCTCAAACTGGTAGCCAGAGTCGATGCCGAGGTCGTTTCTTTTGTCAAGCCACTGTGCGATCCAGTTGAGGATTTTGCAACGGCCGCACCCAATGCTTGTCGGAGTATGGCAGAGGCAATGTTCAATCGCACGCTACTCTCCCACAAGCTGCGGAGCAGGTCGAAGTGTTTCGTACCTGGATCCATCAGGCCTGGCTCCAGCTCCACGTTGCCATCACGGCTTGATGGAGATGGCAGTTCACCAGGACTCTGTTCGAGGAAGGCGATACACTCGAGTTTCCATCGTGCTAGTTCACTCTCGAGCAGATCGCCCAAGCAAGAGAGCATTTGTGGTGAAGCCTTGCGGACAAGGACTAACAACCGAGCCTGTAGACGACGCAGTTCTGCATTGCAACAGGACATGAAGTCCAATGGAATGGCATGAGGCATCCTACTCCACGAGTGCCAGTCACCGACAAAGCTCACGCCGTCCTCATCGCCGCTTGTCAGGGAAGCACGGCGCACGAAGAAGAGATTCTGTTGTTTGTCTTGACGGTAGAGACCAAGCCAGGTACGTCGGCGACGGGCGAGATAGCTTTCGTCAGTGCCTTTCCCCTGGAGGTCGAGGTCTTGAAGAACACGGAAGGCGTAGCCGCAATGAAGGTAGGAAATGTCGTCTTCTGGCTCTTTCCAACATGCAAGCAGGTAGAACGCTTGCATCGTTTCAATTGCACGACTTCCTTCCGCCATGGCACGAATAGCGAGATTCCGGCTCAAGCTACAGAGGCGACTCTGGAGGAAGACGTCGGGAGTGTTTACTACATGATTATGGCGGACCTGAGCAAACTTGCTGGCGCAGAACAAGATTGTGGTGAAGAGCAGTGAACTCCGTTTACGTACACTGTCATGGCTGTCTGTTGACGGATCCAGGATATACTCCCATTTGGCATTCATGTCGAGGAGGAAGAATGCGTATAAAGCTTTCGAGATAGCCAGAGTGAGAATCCCTCCGGCAATGGGGTCTAAGATTGTATGGCCTAGAGTCATTGACGAGACGTAGCTAGGCATACAGACAGCTTGATCAGAAGACGGATCTTGTCGGGGAATCGAGGTCTCCAGAGGCCTTAGGATAGAAGACAGCTTTAGGGACGCCTCTCCGACTTGAGTGGTAGCGCTGACAGTTTGTGGCTGGCCTTGCTGGCGCTCATCGCCAGTTAGCGACGGTGTATCGCCCGAGGTCACGAAGTTGAAAGGAGAGCCTCTCTGGCCCTTGAGCGCCGTCAAGGCAGCGACGATTCGTGCGCGAACCTCGTCGCTGATAGGTGCTGACGCAAACCCTTCGAGTCGGTTGTCATGGGCAGTCTGGCGGCCCTGATGCTGATGCTGTCGTCGCACCCCAGCGGCAGAGGAGAAAGTCGATCGAGCGGGCCGAGAGCGATGCTTGGTGCGCGTAGGAGTTTGAAAAGCACACTCGATGCCTTGATCAATGCACCGGTCACAGCGCTCGGTATCCCGAGACTGTATGCATCGTACTTTAGCGGCCCGACGCTTGACACAGGCTCTGCAGACGCACGACATGTAAGTAACGCTTTAGGATCATTTGAATCGAGCACATACATTGGGGCACGATGTAGACCCGAAGGCTGAGCACTAGATGGAGCCATTTCATTACATGGAAGATGTGCAGCCGAAGGTGAGGTTGTAAGTGGGAGATATGGTGACATTGCGTCCTACCCCTCCTGTTCATCGGCCCGAGAAGGCTGCGAGATAACATTCGGAACTGGACACCGACGACATTTGGGCCCCTTCTCAGTTTCATACACAATACTAAAGTTGCCAAATTTCTTGCATTTGTATTTTGTCTTGCTCCTAAAATCAAGAGACCCTTTGATCTACAATTATATTAATTCGTCGACTCACGAAACCGGAAGCCAGACGACACTATGCCAGGCCGACTCGAAGGACAGGTCGCTCTGATCTCAGGACATTCGCAAGGGTTCGGGCGAGGGATCTTGGAGACGTTCGTGAGAGAAGGTGCAAAGGTGGTGGGTGTAGATTTGCAAGCGCAGCCTGGCCCCGTCTCAGGCTACGGCGAAGATCAGGCACACCAGATTCAAGGCAATGTTGCCGAAGCATCGACTTGGCAGAATGCTGTAAGTAATGCGACACTATCCTTCCACCAAATATAAGCGAGACTGACAGGACATCGATAAACTATTAGCTTGATACAACTGTCGCTTGTTTTGGACGGCCTCCTTCCATCATAGTCCATAACGCTGGTTGGTCTTATCCCAACAAGTCAGGCCTCGAAGTCACGGAGAGCGAGTTCAGCCGCCTTTTCGACATCAATGTAAAGAGCATATTTCTAGCCTCGAAGATACTCATTCCCGAAATGAAGAAGAACAGCCCCGGGTCCACGGTCGTTATATCCAGCGAGAATGCCCTTCGTCCTGGTGCAACTCAAACATGGTACAACGCCACCAAGGCTGGCGTCTCATCTGCAACTAAATCAATGGCTCTGGAATTTGCGCGCGATCAATTGCGCTTCAATACGATCTGCCCGACCTCAGGGAATACACCCCTGCTGAACAAGTTTGCTGGTATCGCTGATGGCCCAGTTCCGGCCGAGATCATTAGGGCCAAGTGCGACCCTATACCAATTGGTCGTCTTGTTGAGCCTTCTGATGTTGCTAACGTGGCTTTGTTCCTCGCTGAGCCCGCGAGTTCGATCATAAGCGGCATTGAAGTACTTGTAGATGGTGCTCGCTGCGTTTGAGACTCGCCAATGAACAGTTGGATGAAGTATGGAGGAGGCGTCAAGAGACCATGGGGAGCTTCAAATTAGCATGAAATATGAGCAGTAGTATCGTTCCATGCGACATTGGAAGTCGCTCGGCTGGAATACTGAAAGAACGACGAGATATAGAGTCCACAAGCAACGAATTTGCTTTGACCGCTAAAGACTGTTTTCACGTGTATCTTGCGGTCTAAGGAAAATGAGAATCTCTTCGCTGGGTCTAGATATTAATCGAGCAGCCTCTCTCCTTCGATGCCCCGGATCCCACAGATTCTCCCCATTGCATCCCGCTGAGTCGTGATCGCATCCAGAAACTATCTCTCGCGTTTTCGGACATGGCAAGGCTTCTATGGGTCTAATTGATGTATAACAATTACTCTCTGATATATCTACAAGCGAGTGACAGGACTGTTCTTAGAAGACATCGGAGGCAACGCGTACCGTAATCGTGAGCGATGATTGCAATTCGATGGCAGCCTTCCAATTGCTTCTTCCGAATCAATCATCGAAACTAACGCGCTCAAACAAAGCTTTCCCCAATCAACCAGCTAACATCGTTGTTGTAGCTGTTCGTCGTGTCCTCCGGATAGGGCCCTCCGTTCGCAGCGATCCAGCATTCGGCATCAAAGTGCCTGATGCTTCTCGTCGGGAAATTCCACGACCTGATCAAATTCCCCGTCATGTTCAAACCGGCCTCCGGGCAGAACGTAGCATCTTCGTGCATCTGCTTGGTGCCGTCGTCGGGATCGATACGGAGCCTGTACGTTGTTGTATTGTGGCGGATGTACGAGCCAGCGACATCTTTCGATTCGAACGCAACGCACATGCTGTTGCCCAGTCCGGTCTGAACGGTGAAGCTTGCTTGGCCTTTGAGAGTCGACGAGCTGTTGTTCGTGACCGGAATAGTGTTGACCAAGGGGCCACTGCCATCACCACCGCTAAAGTTTATTGCTTCCATTGCTCCATTGCTGACATTTCCCATATCGATGTTGTCCGACTCTGCATTGCCATAGTCAAAACAACAATGGGAGTTGTAGTGCGTCCCGTCGAATACCGCGTACATGCCTTCAGGCTGGTCGTCTTTGGCGACGATAGTGGTGTTGTCAATTCGGTAGCCTGAGTTTGGCTGAATGAATACACCGTATGCTTTCTGGCCATTGACTGTGATTGGAGCGCCCGCTGCAAGGACAAGATCGTCGAGGCCACCAGGATTTGGTCCTAGTCATCCAATGTCAGCAAGTGGGCGTACCAGCAAGACGATTCTCCGGCATACCTTTAGCAGCAGACCCAGGTGGTGCCTGTGTCAGATTGTTCCCGTTGCTAGTCTGATCATAGATGATCGAGATGACACAGGTAGTGTTTGCGCAAAACGAATCCTGGGCGGATGCATTGGCTATCCCACCCGCCTGCAGAGGATAGATCGGAAGAGTCTGGTTATCTGAACCTCGTTTGATTTGATAGAGTGGGTCGTTGTAGCTGTCAAAGAGAGCTCGTACAGGGCTGTGAGCAGCAGCAACACAAGGTGTGCCCCTGTTTCATAGATATCACAGGGGCCGGCAATGGCAAGAGGAAGGAAAACTACAATGCCAGCCTGGGCAAGGAGGTTCGAGTGGAAGAGCATCGTGAGAGTCGATTGCGATTTTGGCCTGTCAAGATTCTCTTCGCAACTCCAGTCTGGTTTATTATATTATATGACCGGAGCCTGAAGGTTTTGCTTTACGAGGAAATATTGGCAAACTGCTGTAGGTTCTCACGCATGCATCCCTCATCATGCAAGTACTCAAAGTGGATCCAGGATCTATCAGACAGGGCAGGACTGTTCAGTGGCTATTGCCTAGTCGAGAAACGTCAGTGCGTGGTCACACCTCGGTCGCTGATGTGTCGGTGGCCATCATGAGTCCTTTCCGCGATGGCGCTCGCGAACCGAGCGGCTTTCGTCCTTGTTTCATGCCGGCCCCGTGGAATGGGTACAGGCCTCCACATTCCTGTGCTAAGTGTAGCCAATACTGCCACTTTAACTGGCCAAATCAAGAGCATGATCATCCCAAGGAAGAGTGTTCCAACGCCATGCATGCATACGATGACCGAGCTGGCCGTTCCCTACCTTCGTATATAGACCGTTAAATAGATCTGAAGTCGACAGAGTTCTGACATCTTCCTCAGAGCTGCCACCTCGATTTCCAGATTTGTGCACTTAACACGACCGAGCACTGGCCGAAGCTGGAGCATGTTGCGCCGTGGTTCGGGTCCTGTGATCCTGTGACAAGATCAGCGCTCGTTCAACTCGCTTTACTTGCTCCGTTGAATGTCGAAGATGACTTTTGAAAAGTCAGCGGTGGAATTCAGTAAGCCTCCGAGAAAAGGTATACTAAAAGGAGGGCTTCTTCAATTCATCTCTCCTCCCGCATCCAATCTGCTCGTAAACTCGTTTAGACAATAATTGCATATCTTCAACACCTGTCATCCTTCTGAACACATGCTCAAAGTGTCGTCCGAAGTCGCCTTACACGACCTGCGTACTGATTACGACATCTCCAAGTCGGGTCTCCGTCGGGTCTCCTCGAGGCTCGCCATTTGAGTCTTTTGGTGTTGTGCCGCACACGCCGACTACGAGTAGTAGCTTGACGTTATCGAAGCTGCGCTTGAGGTCCCTAGAAGCATTCGCTGCCGAAATCGTACCAACATTATGGTGGATGATGGCGACTGGTTTGCCGCAAAACAATCCAAAGGTATAAACCCAACAGCCTCGCGAGGCTGATCATCGCTGCGCGAGGCATAGGCCAAACATTTCGTACGTCGAAAATGCTTCAGTTGTGGCATTTGTGCTGCCGTAGAGCATTACATAAGCTCCCCTAGATGTACTCTCGTACCCATAGCCGTGGCAAAGTAATGTTCGGCTAAGCAACACCATGGACCGTGGGCAAACGTAGCGACTTGCGATAGCCAAGCATCGTAGAGGACTTCCTGCATGTCCGCGACTTGCAGCTGCAACACATAAGTGTATACCTTGCCATTGAGACGTTTGCGTTCCTGCCTTGTCTTCTTCACCATCACAGTCTCGTCTATTTTGTTATCTCGCATACACCCCGTCTACCAACCCCAGATCCAAACTTGACAATGGCTCCATCGATCGTTGCCTCAAATGGTGCCTCCAATAATGAACATGTCCTCGTGACCGAGCCTTCGAAAAGCCATGCGAAGGATGTCTACAGCTCTGGCACCCTGAAGGGCGAAGACAACAACAATCAACGTCTCGGCGGGATGGGTCGAGCCAAGGATGGCCGCCAGCTCAAAGTCCGCTCGTATCCAAAGTTCGATTCTCTCGAGGAGGAGCGGCTGTACCGGAAGCAACATCTCGCCGCTGCGTACCGTGTGTTCGCCAACTGTGTCTACGATGAGGGTGTTGCAGGACATATCAGCGTGCGAGACCCGATCTTGACCGATCACTTCTGGTTGAATCCATTGAGGTTCGCGCACCCTCGGTCCACTATGGTATGCTTGATGAGCCCATGCTAAGATATCTCACAGCAAGCACTTCTCCGAGATCTGCGTCAGCGACTTGATCTTGGTCGACGAGGACGGTCAAGTCGTCGTCGGGGATGAGCCGATTAATGTGGCAGCCTTTGCTATCCATTCCGAAATTCACAAGGCACGTCCCGATGTCCACGCAGCGTGCCACGCACACTCCATATATGGGAAGGCTTTCTTGGTGTTTGGACGAAAGCTTGATATAATGACACAAGATAGCACGCGTTTTTGGAAGAGCCACTCGGTCTATCCGCAGTTTGGCGGCGTCGTCTTCGATCGGGAAGAAGGGAAGAGAATCGCGCAGCATCTTGGAGATGGCAAAGCCATTATCCTGCAGAACCATGGGCTTCTGACTGTCGGAGAGACGGTTGACGCTGCTGCGTTCTACTTCATCTCCATGGATAAGGCATGGTAAGTGGCGTTCTCTACAAGCCACATGCAGCGACTCACCGACTAACTCATTCTCAAGCCAGGTACAGCTCCTGGTCGAGGCCGCCGAGCAGCGCAGCGGGCACAAGAAGACGATCGTCTCGGACGAGGAGGCCGAATACTCGTACGCCCAAACCGGCTCGCAGGCAAAGGGCTGGCTGCACTTCCAGCCATACTACGACCAAATTCTTGCGAAAACCAAGAGAAGTTTTCTCAGGTAAGCCTTAGACAGATCAGACAGAAAGTCCCATCAGTCGAGGGTTTGCTCGTCACTCCATACTCCGAACGAAAAACGACGGCGCTCTGAATCATCCTTAATGCAGCCGGCGCTCGCTAGACTATGTGCTAAGTTGTTCGAGTGGTCAAAGGAAGTAACGGACAAGTAAAACAGCCATCCACGTGAGCAACATCAAATATCAATAAAGCGTCATGTATTTGTCAAGTGTGCATGTAGAAGATGTATCATCACGGCGACGGATAGATGCCTAAGGCAGTACACAGCGCTATGGGTCCGTGCCCGTGCGGCTAAGCATCAACTTCATCTTTCGAGCAGCCTGAATAGTCCTTCGTTATCAACTCTTCTCCCTACGCTCTTACTATTACTCTCTGCTGCGGTATGTCTCTCTCTGCACTCACTCCATTGGCTTATCGTCCCAGAAGCAAAGACACCTCACCTCAATGCTTTGTCGAGTTGGGCCATAGTCCTCCTTGGCTGCGAAAGCAGTGTGAGGCGTCCGCCTCGCCATGCCTGGCTCCGAGTCGTACTGCTTGATGAGCAAGGCCTCATTGGGAGTCATATTCGACGCGAAGTACCACTTATGCGACGAGTTGGACCTCACTTCCCAAGCTTCCGAGCGTGCTTTGGCAGCAAATGAATAGCCGCTTTTGGCATTTCTGAGCTTTTCGCTGAGGTTGGCGTACACGGCGGACAGATCATTCTCATCCACCGTGCGAGCGTCGCAGCACGCAAGGTTATCACGGGTCACCACGTTGTTCAGCGGACGCCAGAGGTTGATGATTGCCCATCGCTTCTGTTTAAGCTTGTCTGCATTAAGCTCGGGGTGGTCTTCCAATTTGCTGTCTCGGACCATTTCTGCGCCGAAGTACGACTGGTCGACGTGTACTATATTAATATTGAGTCAAAAAGAAATGCATAAGGAGAAAAACAGGCAGAATTTGCTCACCAGAGCGGTTGTAAGAAGGCTGTGTGACGGGTTCGTCGCCGTCGAGGTCCTTCTCGTCTTCAAGGACTTGTTCGTACTTTTGTCGACGGACAATATGGACCACGGGTAAGACTATACTTGCACCAGTGCTTGAGCAGCTCGTCAGCAAGAGATCGATCCTGGATGGGTCTTTTTTTCGACTTACGCCTTCTTCATGTGAGCGATCACGTCCTGGTAGTATTGTCCCTTGAACTCGGCATTTTCTTCAACATCTGTCACCGATGTCTCGAAGGGACCGACTTGAAAACCCTGCCTGTCCACAGAGAAGTCGGCCTCGCGACCCCGGATGTTCTCGATCGTGACCCTTTGATGGTCGTGCGGTCGCCGCTTATCCTTGACGGTGCCAGGACACCATGCTGGTGCTCCCTCGATGGTAGCCGACAGTTGCGGAGAGGGTTTGGGGCGGTAAGACTGCGGCTGGCATGTTGCTGTTGTCAGGCTGAGGACGATTGAAGTGGAGCTGATTACAGTCCTCAAAAGTCTCCAAATGTGTTTGTCTATCTACTCAGAGATCCGGAATCTAATAAGTCCAAAAGTGAGGATGAACATTAAACTTTCGAACGCCGGCGATGTGACCGATCTGCAGCGCTGACGCGCAATAACCGCGGATAGGGAACAGCTTCATCTCCACTTACACAATAGCCGGGGATGAGTACAGTCTTGAGAGGGGCAGCCATTCTTCATTTCGTATGGACCATGACCAGCCCGTACAGTGCAGTGTAGGCAGTGCTGTTCGTGGATCGTTCGCTCACATATGAGTCTCCTTTCGCCGCCAACCATCTCTACTCTTGCCGCGGCTATTTAGCTCTCTTCTATATCCTCCCCATCTCCCATAACGATCCCTATCGTGGCCGATGCAGCTGCAAGAGGCGTGCTCGAATCGATGGATCGCGCAGAGGATAAGACAAGTTTTCGCAGCGAACATCACGAATAATTAAACGCGTCGTCTTACATGCCTATTCTACATCCTCATCATCCCAGAACAAGAAAGATCTCACTTCGATACTCGTCCGAGCGACGCCCTCGTCTTTCTGGTCCTTCGGTGGAAAACTCGAGTGCACAGCGCACCTCGCACGGCCATCCTTCTTTGAATCGAATATCTTAAAGACCCATGCGTCCTCTGGCGTCATGCCAGAGGCGTAGTACCACTGCTGATTCGGATTGTGTGCCAGATTCGCCACTTCATATCGTGCAGTCTCGCCGTTGGATGAGTACTCAAACTTCTGCTTGTGCTTGATATTCCTCGAGACGTTGCCGTATTCGCCCGCCCCGGGTGGTGGGAGGTTCGCAACAACAGTTCGCAGATCGTTCTCGTCGAGGGATTCATAGTCGCAGAAAGCGAGCGGATCTCGTTGAACCGGGTTTATGATGGGCTGCCATACCTATTGAGGGTAGAAAAGTTAGCACATGCTTTGTCGAGCGGTAACTGCTCCTCGTAATGGAGACTGAACATCGTGCGGCCAGTCACGACATTTGTTGCCATAGACAGTTAGGCATCGATGAACAGCCATCCATCCTTCGTTCTAGACATACGTTCATAATTGCCCACCGTTTCTTTGTCCGGCGATCAGCTTCTTCTTCGCCGAGATTCAGGTAGAGGAATTGCTCGGCGCCACGATAGGACTGGTCGACATGTACGAATCGTGCCGGGTTGTTCTTGGTCACGAAGTCTTTGTCTTCCTTGTCTTTTGCGTCCGTCTGGGCTTCGTCGAAGCGATGTCTCCGGCACATGTGAGAGACAATCTGGACCTCGGATGCGCCAGTCATTTTCTTCATCAACCTCTGGCACTCGGGATAGTACACATCTTTGATCTGCTCCTCGTCCAGGAAGTCCTTGTCCATGGCAGTAGGGTGCTGAACGAGCTGGAAGCCATTCTTGTCGAGTAAGAACTTGTCCTGGACCTTCCTTAGATCCTTAATGTTCATGTCGTGTGGTACATGCTTTCTCTTCTCGAAGGCTGTGCCTGGATACGTCTGGATGATGCCTCCATCTTTGACTTCCAAGTAATAGTAGAGTGTCGTGTCCTCTGCTGGCAAGGTACTAAACGGTTAAGAGACTGCAGCGGCCGCCATGATTGTCTTATCGTCTCAGTCTTCCTGCGACTACGTTGGCGTCTCGAGAAGGTGACGTGGTCCAAGCTTAAGTAAGTGAATGACCAGAGCTCGTCAAGCCGATCCTTCGGAGTACTTGAATGCACCGGGAGGGGTAATAAGTTATAACCGTGGTAATCAGTATAACCGTGGCAATCAGATTTGCCACTTCCGATAGAGCGAAGCCAGCCAGATGTAATATGGCTTCAGCCTCCTCGCGCTTAAGCGACCCTCCGTGAGCACTAGGCGTGAACGACGACCACGTGGAAGAGACAAGGTGGTAGGAGGCGCTTCGAAATCAAGCTAGACTCGCTGAACACAGTGACATCTGCCGACATGGAGTTCGCGAAGGCGTTTAGGCCTAGTTTTCGATCATCCTGTCAATCCTTTGGCACCGCGCGGCAATAGGATTCACTTCAAGACTCGTCGGCTGAACCATTATAATCGATCTTACTAGCCTAGACCTCGATCCAGCTTCGTGGTTTGAAGCAGGGGTTGATTTTGGTCTTCGCCGCTTTGGCCTCGTCTGAGATTGCCGAGACGTTTTCTTCGTAGCCGCTTGGTTTACCGGCGGATATACGAGTGCCATGTGCAAGTGCTCTGTGCTGCATGGTCATGCGTGCCGATAAGCTATTCAGTGATGGTGTAGATTCTGCGATTCAATACTCGAAGCTGCGGACCAGATGAAGCACCTGAATAGAGATGTATAAAGCTTTGTTGGCGTTTGTTCGAGTGTTGGGGACTTGCGTCCGCATTTTCTGCAAATTTGGAAGTCTCCCCCGAAAAGAGCGCATTCAGGGGTACTCAGTGGTACTTGTTCTTCTCAGCTTGGACGTCGTTTTCCAAGTACACCTCGATCTTTGGATTCATCTTGGGACCGATATCCTCCAAGAAGAAACAAGCAATAATCGCCAGGCCACCAAAGCCAATCGAAGCAAGGGCAACGATCCTGTAACTTCTCGTTAGATATACGCAGCGTACGTTGTTAGAGTAGAGACTTACTTCACGCCATGAACGTAGCTCTGCACATAAGCAGCACCAGCCGCCTGAGCAATTGCAGTCGTTAAGCCCTGAACCTTCTCTAGAGTAGCGGTTCCTAAGGGAAGGGCCTCGAGGACTGCTTCGGCGACCTGAGGCGTAGCACCCGCTGCTTCTGCTGCAGGAATGACGTGGTTTACAGCATATTTCGTTTGAGTCGTGCTCAAAATCGTCGCAAAAGTCGTCACAGCGAAGGCTCCACCGGCGTATCGGGCAACGCCAGATAGGCCACCAGATATTCCAAGCTCTTCTTGATCTGCGCCGAATTGGATATAGGCGATGGACAGATACTGCCCATAGCCATAGCCAGCAGCGCTTAGAAACACGAACGCAATCGCCATTCCTTCCCTTTGGGGAGTAATGTAGGCTAGCAGACCACCGAAGAAGGTCATGATCGTAATTGGGACTCCCATCTGCCACTTCCAGTGCCCAAAGTAGTTGCCGCCGAAAGATAGTATCATTGCTCCGGTGAATATACCAAAGCCTTGGACAGTCGCGAGAAGATATACAATATGAGGGGGCGTCGTCGGTGTTGTGAAGTAGACCTCGACCATGGTGGGCCAACTAATGTTGCTACCGTAGTAAAACATAGTGACGACGAAGCCAACGATGAATGGCGCGGTAAGGGCTCGTCCTGTGTTCGCAGTGAACATGCGGGTTGGCGCTAACGGCTGCTTCAGCGGCATGAAAGTTTCCCATAGGCAAAAGAAGACCTATTAGCCGTCGGCCAGAAGTTAGCAAGTCTTTCCAAATGTACCAAGTATATATCCAAATCGAGAGTACTCACGAGGCATGCAAACCAGCTACCAGCAGGCCAATCACAATCGGATTGTCGGACGGCAAGAGCTGAACATAGACAATACCAGATAAGATCATTGCAGCAGCACCAGTGAAGGACACAATGCCGACGTAGTCGAGCTCTCTCATGGCCTGGCTCCAAGGAATTCCTCGTGGATGTTTGGGTGAGAAGTAGAGAGGGAGAAGCACCCCGAAGGAGATAACTTGAGCAATGAAGATACCCCAGTAGCCCCAGCGCCACTGCACAGAATCAGTATCTCGCTGGGTACGGTGGTGATAGAGCACTTACCGCAGCATAGCCCCCCGATTCGCTGGCTGCCCCAGCAATGCGAGCTGTGGGAGGACCTACAATAACGTCAAAGTAGACAAGAGCATCGGCAATCACGACTGCAAAGTGTCTCCATTTGTTCGGTAGCAGCTCAGGCAGCGCAAAAGCAGCCAGCTGACAGTTGCCACCACCGAAACCCAGTAACACATGTGCGGCGATAGTTTGTCCAATATGATGCGATGTTGCTCCTAAGATTGATCCGATAATCACAAGGACGTTGCCGAGCAGGATGAAGTACCGCCGACCAAAGAGATCGCTGTTGGCGCCACAGACCATAAATGCGATCGTACCAGCAATGCTGTATACGGATGTGACCCTGCTACGTCTCAGTGTTGTCCGAGTTGGACTTCGTGAGATAACGTTACCATGTTCCCATAGTCGGTTCCGAACCAAACGACGCGGACATCTGGTTCTGAATCTGACTGAAGAATGGCACAGGCCAGAACGAGATGCCGTATGATGGAGAGAGAACCTAAGACAACACCTCAAAATGTGATCGTTCTGAGATGAAGAAGGGAATCATACCACAACCACAAGCCATGTCTTCAGCGTCACAACAGGTTCTCCTTCCTGAGAGACACTATTGGAACGTTCAGCCCATTCTTTATGAGTAGCAGTGTTGTCACTCTTCTCGATATCAACCGCGCTGGCAGGGCTTGGTGACTCTCGATGCTGTTCAGCCATGGTGTCGTGAATAGTGCTTCGGAGAGGTAAAATCAATCATCAGTCTGAGACGAGGATAAGGTGGGTACAAGGGGGATCGGCATTTCTGCCATCAAATTCCTCTCCCATGGCGCAGCCGATCTCCCAGTGAGGGGGAAGCTTTTGCGATGCTCGAGAGCCGGCGGTCTGCCCTGATCTCCGGCAACGCCAAACGCGACGTGTGGAGCATGAGAGGGAGTGTCGAGAACCCCATGGGCGGCTACCCCATGGGCAGCTAATCTCGGAGCGACGATCACCCCGGACAAAAGGGCTTGGTTCGCAACAGTTGCAGCGATGGATCTGGTGGACGATCGGGCTTGATAGCCGCGGTTATGTGCACGCAAGGCTCCAATCCCACATGGATCGTGTGGGTGTGTGGGGAAGAGTCCTTCTCGGTTAACAAGAGAGCAGGAAGTTGTATGTCGTATCTGTCATCACAGTCTGTCGCCACGAAAGTAGAGCACACACTCGCACTTTAGCTGATTGTTGTCACCAGTCTCAAGTTGTCGAGATGGGGAGCACCGAAGAGTCAATCGAGTTCGATGTCTTGATTATTGGCGCCGGGTTGAGCGGTATCTTTGCCCTCCATCGCATGCGAGGCTTAAACTTGCGAGCACGAGTTCTAGAAGCTGGATCCGGAGAAGGCGGGACTTGGTACTGGTATGGAGTCGAGATGGTCGGAGAAACGACTGTCAGTCGCTAATCAATCGCAGGAACAAGTATCCTGGGTGTAAGGTGGCGGCAAGCACTGTCGAGTCAGTGTGTTGACATCGGTTTCATAGGCAGGTTCGACTCAGAAAGCTACACCTACCACTTCACTTTCTCCCAAGAAGTTTTAGATGAATGGGACTGGACGGAACACTTTGCCCCACAGCCAGAGACGTTGCGATATGCCCAATTTCTCACCGACAAGTTCAAGCTGCGAGATGGCATGCAATTTGATACCAAGATGAAGACCGCCCACTGGAATTCAGATCGTTGGGTCCTCACAGATTCGAACGGCAACACTTACAGCTCGAGGTTCCTCATCACGGCAATGGGGATCCTCAACGATCCCACGTTGCCAAACATTCCCGGAGTCGAAACGTTCCAGGGGGAAGCGTTCCACACGTCGAGATGGCCTGATCAGTGGAGCGTGGATGGCAAGCGAGTCGGCATCATTGGAACTGGTGCCACAGCAATCCAGATCATCCCCGAGCTACCAAAGTTGCCTTTGACAAGCCTGACTGTCTTCCAAAGAACTGCGAATTGGTAAGAATTCGTACTACCTAGGATCGAATCGTAGCCAGTGCTGAAGTATCGTAGGTCTGCGCCTCTTCGCAATGACAAGATCAGTGCAGAAGAAATGGTCGAGCTCCGAAAAGAGTACCCTGAAATACACCATGCTTGCCTGGACTCTGGGGCTGGGTTCCGCTTTTCACTCGACACGCGCAAAACGCTCGAAGTGCCTGAAGACGAACGCATCGCATTTTGGGAAGACATTTATACTCAAAGAGGTTTTGCTAAGTGGTCAGTAACTTGCAACAGAAGTGGCCTTTCACGCCGTATTCTGGAACTGACCTTGCAATTTCTTCAGGCTGGGTTCTTTTGCCGATCATCTGACAGACAAGGAGGCAAACAAAGCGTACAGTGATTTCCATGCCAACAAGATTCGGCAGCGAGTCAATGATCCTGCCGTCGCTGAGAGGCTGATACCCAAGAACCATGGCTTTGGGACGCGACGGTTGCCACTCGAGACACACTACTTTGAAGTTTACAACGACCCTCGAGTTCGACTCGTGGACTTCACTGCGGACAGTCCAATCGAGAAGATCACACCGAAAGGCGTGGTCCTTACATCCGGAGAAGAGATTGAACTAGACGTACTAGTGTACGCAACCGGATTCGACGCAATCACAGGGTCGCTGACGAGAGGAATCGACCTTCGAGGTAAAGATGGCGTTTCTCTAACCGAGGCCTGGGACGACGGTATCAAGACTTTTCTTGGACTGTTCGTGAAGGGGTTTCCCAACATGGCCATGATCATGAGTCCGCTCAGGCTTTCGGGAATATCCCTCGAAGTATCCAGTTCGCGGTTGAGTCGGTGGCGAGGTGGATCCAGTACTGCACGGAGAATGGATTTACGTATTCAGAAGCAACCGACGAAGGCGTCGAAAAATGGACAGTAAGTGCTCTCGCACTGTAGCTCTCATGGCGGCTGACGTTACTCCTCGCAGGATCATGTCATTGAGTGTTCGAAAGGACTGCTAGCGAACGAAGTCGATGGTTGGCTGACTGGCGTGAATAAGAACGTGGCGGGGAAGCAGAAGAGGAGCATCGTTAGGTATAGCGGTTCTGGTCCGCTGTATCGTAAGACGGTGAACGATGTTGCAGACCGCAACTGGGAGGACATGGAAATGAGACGGCTGTGAGCGAAGGCTGTTCGATGTCCTTGGCGATGGGAAACAGAGTATCAGGTTTTAGAGACCTGCAAAGGCCGAATTATCGAATGAAAATAGGGCGCGCAGAGCTCCATCTTATAGGCCCGAACAGTAGAAGCAGAACTTGACGCATATCTTCACGTGCAAAGTCTCTGCCGCTAATACGGCGCTAGTACACACTAACGAGGTTAGTGTGAGTACCGTGCGCGCAAAAGGTGACGCATATGGAGGTTGTTGTGCAGCGGACATAGCTGAGCTTGCATGAATGAACGATTATCTTGTCGAACTGGCTACAAGGGTGCAAGCTCGTGATGTATCATTTTTAGCACTAACGTGATGCGCAGCACAACAGCGCTCTCGTGGCTACCTGACTTCCAAGTCCTACGTCGCTCCTCATTTCAAAATCGATGCAAGCACATATACGTTCGATGATACTCTACTAAATCACTCTGCTGCAGACGACTGAACAACCGCCGCAACAGCAGCGTCATACACACTCTGCAACATCTCCCGCTCATCTTCATCCCTGACCTCTTCACGCACCGTCACCACACCGTTGTTCCGCACAGCCTCGTCGATCATCTCCCAACCGTTCTTTCCGGGCTCACATTCTGTCCCGACGTCGGGAAGTTCGCCGTTGCGGAAGTAGTCGCCTATGGCTCTTAGCGTGCAGAGGTTTGGGTGGTTGTTGCTGCCGTGCTATAAAAGGAAGGCGGGTAGTCAGTAAATGATGTCTTGAGAACAAGGGCAGATATACTCACCCCATGACCCTTATGAACCAGCACCCTCGACCCAGGAAACGCCGTCGCGGCCTCGAACGCACCACTCAGGGGCGTGATAGGATCAAAAGGACTATTCACAAGCAAAACTGGATGCCTTGTCCGGATATCCGCAAAACCCCCTTCGTATCGTTCCGCAGCCTCGAACTTCCACTGCGCGCAAGGCCATACTTGGCTGGAGAAGATATCCGCAAACGTGCCTCCGCTCCTCAGTTGTGCTTGCACGGAGTTATACAGGTCCTCGACCCGGCTCACCCGTAGCGAAGAGTCGAGGCATGCGACGCCGTGGAAGGCATTTATGCCTTGGCTCCATGGTTCTTCACTGGGGGCATTGGCGAGGGCGTCGGCGATGGTCAAGTCTGTGAAGCTGCTGAAGTTGCCGTGTAGAGTGTCGTTTATGTATTGGAAGACGAGCGGGTATTGATCTGGACGATAGAGATTGGCTAGAAGACCGTATTTCAACTCTCCCAGCAGCGGTAAGCCCTCGCCGGATTGCCACCACGCCAGAGAGGGATAGTCTGCTGTGAGTGTGAGGTTTTGAATTCGGACTTTGTCGAGAGCTGTGTACAATGCTTGCGTCAGGTCTTCCGGCGTCGCAGCACTACCGGTGAAGTTTGCCAGAGGGCAGCTGTTCGGTCCCGCTGCGATACATTCCTGGAAGAAGTGCGCCAGGCTTCGAGTTGTATCCCTGCTCGAACTGATCCATTGGCCGGAGTAGTAATCGCTCGCAAGCACCACACTGTCAAGCACCATCCGTTCCACGCGATCGGGAAACATTGCTGCGAAGGTCTGGCCGAGGATGGTACCATATGACCGTCCCCAGAATCGCAGTAGCCCATCGGGATTGATGGCTTTGGAGATAGCTAGGAGGTCTCGAGCAACGAATGCTGTGCTTAGGAAGCGGCCTGTGTCGTGATTGGCTGTATAGCACAGCTCGTTGAATGCAGAGCCTTCCTCCCAGGCTTTGTTCTTCAGGAGAGACCAGCTGTCGATTTGTGGGATCTCGATTGTCCTGTTGTTGACAGCGACACTGCGCTTTGTTGTGGCGTTGGTTGGCGCACATGAGAAGGGAATAGTTCGCCCTACACCACTTTGAGAAAGTCAGTAACGGGGTGTTGCGATTTGGCCTGACGTCGTCTGCTCACCGTGGATCAAAACCAACCACATCATACCGTCCACCGAGTATCCTACATTCCGGTCAGACCTCTATCATCCCAGAATGCCGAATTGCCCACCTTTGGTAAACACTCCCAAGCCTCGCAACCTCCTCAACACCCGAGTTTCCCGGTCCGCCAGGCGCAAAGACAACTCGGCCTTCAGATGGATGCTGCGTAGCGTTCACCTTGATCAGCTGGAGCTGTAATCGTCGAGTATCATTGTTGGTGTAGTCGAGGGGCACATCGAGTGTAGCACAATCGATCGGTCCTGGAATGCGTTGTTGGAGACTGGGTGGAAAGTCGAGCTGGCATGGTTGCCAGTCGAGGTCTTCTTTATATTGCGGCGGTGGGGTCGGGACTGCGAGAGCAACTGTAACCCCCGAGAGGGGGGTGGCAGCGTTTAATAGATGCATTTTTGTACTTCAATAAAATGTGATGATCGTAGGACTATGAGTTGGGAGGCATTCCGAAGGTGCAACCGCTCCCTATATACCAACGGCCCCAGAGTGAGGCAGTCGCCATGATCGTACGTATTCGCTCCCATATCGAACAATGACGCTTTTCAGCTCTGAGCAATGACCGTTACGTCAGGCCTACAGTCCATACATAGAAACAGCTAGGAGTGCCAATGCGGTTAGAGACCTATGCGGATTGCTTGGCTCTGCTCTCGGCATGCCGATCGTACTCAGGATCCCTGCAGTTTGCGAGTACGACAGCCACAGCCTCGCACGAACCGAGATCCTTCACGTGGCAGAGACGTATGTGCGTAGCCCACAGCCGGGCAGCGCTTGATGTAAGCAAAACTTGTTCTCTGCAAAGCTTCTGTCATGCAGGACAAGAGAGGAAGTGGCATAAAATTAGTGGTCCGCAATCGGCAAGAGCGAAATTGATCAGACAGCAATCCCGGTCACTGTTGCCATTGTACTGCGAGTTAGAGCACGCATCCGTACCTCGTGGAGACATCGAGAACGGCAAAGGCAGTGAAGCAAATGCAAGAGCAGGTATGCGACGCTGCTTTGAAAATCACATTTTGAGTTGGCTACGTCTTCAGATCGTGCAAACCCAGGACGCTAGGATTAAATCCAGCAGAACCTCATCGCCATCCACAAAAACCTCCAACAGCGCTGGCCTCGAGCCAAAAGTCCCCGGCAACTTCCCTCTCGCAAGCAAAGTCTTGCTCCCGTCCCTCAGCTCCTCGTACCCTCCATTTCCCGCACGCCATGTCAACCTCCCCGTGGGAGTCTCAACGTCTTTGCCGTATTGCATGCTTTCCCAGGTTTGTTTGACTTTGACTTGCTGGCCGTGGATGTGTATGGTGGTGCAGCTGGCTAAGTGGGAGCGGTTGAAAGTGCAGATTTGTTGGTGGTTTGAGCCAAGGGCGCGGGTCAGCGAGGTTTTGCTGGCGATAAAATGGGCGACTTCTTGGTTGTTGCTGTTGATGGCTCTGATGTGGCCTTGCTTGTCAGGGCCGTGGAATGAGAGGCAGGGCGGGTTATTGGCAGATGGGCCGTTGCTGAAGAGGGATGATAGAGATGGCATTGTGGCGTCAAGGCTGTTGTGGAGAACTCGTGAAGGAGTCGAGGGACCAGGAGAGTGTTTGAATATATCAGCATCGAGATGTTCCACCCGGTGCGCAAAGACACGAGAGCGTGTTGTACATTGTGTCATTACCAAGAAGATCTCCGTTCTTCGCGCCAGCTGAAAACAGAGGTGTGCTTTGGCTAAGACTCGTTTTCGTATCCAGGACTTGGCAGCGCAGCAACGTTCAGCCGCCTGTGACGAGGTCCATAATGGCTGTATTCAGCTTTCGTCGTCCTCTTCTTCATCCTCCGGATCAGTGTCCGGTTCCATGGTCAAGGGAGGCATTTCAAAGTCGCTGTCATCGCTCCCAATGTCCATTGCGCCTGCGGTAGCTGTGCCCGTGGTATTATTCGCAACGACCTCTGGCTGCACCACATTTACAACATCCTCACCAGATATAGTCGCGGTGACCACTGCTGGCACATTGTCTTGAGCAACGATAGGGCCGGGCCCTGGCAGCCTTGACGCTTTGTCAGGCAATAAGCTTTCGGCAACGGGAGAAGCACGAACACGCTTTGCAGATAGCGAAAGCTCTGGAGTTTCACCGGCAGGTCTTTTGCTGGATAGCGGAGCAGACGCATCTGGGTCGGCAGGATATCGCGGAATTGCTGCGTCTTCGTCCTGTGAAAGTGTCGTCGTATTGCTCGGGGGCTCATCTGCAGCAGTGCCAATATTTTCGGCGTCTGGTAGGTACTCGTTATGGACGTGGACGTCTTCCTGCTCATCGGCGTCGTCATTCTCTTCTGATATCGTCCCAGCCTTGCCACGCACTGGAGGCATCCTTGGTCTTAGAAGCGCTTCAACGTGAGGCTGTTGACCGAACTCTCGAGCAAGAATGGGCAGCAGGCTTGGCTGGATCCGAGCATCGTTCTGCTTCCTGTGCGGGTTCATGACGCTGGCGAAGAGCGTAGTCTCACTATGCGAAAGCACAGCAATGCGGTCGATTTGTGCACGAAGCTTGGGTGGCAGACAGGCTGCTTCTATGCGGTCCAGAACGGTGCAGAGAAGATGCTCAGCAGCTTGACGAATGTCTGTGCCGTCGGTTGGATGCGACTGTGTCGCCTTGGAACCGGCAAACCCAAGTTGTTGCTTGATGCAGCCGCCGTTTTGCATACCTGTAGAAGTTGTGGTGTTTTCGGCGGGCAATACATCTTCGCAGCACTGCTCAAGTATTGCGTTCAGCTCCACAACTTCTGCTTTAGCCATTGTTGGGCCAATGATGGTGATCGCGTCGCGCAACAAGCGATATGAGGCCATGCGAATTTCCGTTGTTTGTCGTTCGGCTTTGAAGACCCAGGAGATGTGCTCAACGAGCCAGTGCACCCACGCAATGACTTCGCCGCCGAAACGGTGGATGATGGTCTCGCAAAGTCGCATCGCCGCGACATGAACTCTCGGTAGGACAGCGAACAACGCTTCGCGCTCGTCCTTCGAGACCTGGTTGTTGATCTTGATGAACTCCTGATTACCACCATGAGGCTGTGTCACCGCGAAGAGCCTCGTAAGAAGGTCAGTGATACCGCCAATTCGCACTGACACAACGCCGGACGATGCTGTTGTGAAGTGAGATTCGATGACCTCGAGAAGGCTGACAAGTCTTTCGCCTCCAGCGTAGATACCCTTCCAAGGTCTCATTCCAGCACCATCATCTTTCTCAGATACAACGTCTCCATTGTAGGACGTAAGCGGGGCAGATCGCTCCACACCTGCTACAGACTGCCAGTCCTCGTCGACAGCGCGAAAGATACGGTCGCATGTCGCATGTGCCGCGGTAACTACACCCTTCAACGTTTCCGCCCACTTCTCGCTTGATCCTTGCTTTGGAGCGCAGGTGTGGAGCTGGGCCAAGAGATGGGATGCAGTACTTCGGCAAGATTCAGAGTAGAGCTGGCCAGACTCGAAACCACCGGAAGACGACGAGAGCACATTCGAAAGGTAAGCTCGCAGCTTGGCCTCGTTCGTTCGGAAGATAGTGGGATGACGTGGCAAAAGTACAGCGAATGCTTCCAAGACGGACTCCAATTCTCTAGCGGAGCAGCGCTTGTTCTCGATGTTGGACAGGCATGTTGGCACGAAAGCCGTCAGGGCAGGTGTTGTGATTTCCCGGACCAGATTTGAATAGTCCCATGTGAGCATGAAAATGCGAGTCAAGGTGAGAACAGTCAAGATGCGAGTGGTGGGAGGATCGGGTTTCTTCAGGATCCCCAGTAGACTCTTGACCCATGCATTGCATTTCGACAGAACTTCGATTCCGCCGGCTTCGATAGCCGATTTGACCAGTACCACAGCAGCCCATCGTCCTTCGATAGTCCGGTCTTGGAGAAGAGTTGAGAGGTGAGTCTTGAATCGGTGAACGAGGACTGAAGTTTCGCTGTTTTGCTTAGTTTCTGTGGGAGTTGAAAGCAGATCTCTGCAGTTCCAGATGAGTCCAGAGATTTGAGGTGTACTGCTTGGCAATTCCTTGGCTGGAGTTGATGAGATTCGAAGGGATGCAGCTCGAAGTGTCGCTACCGAATCCGAGTGCTTTGCGGCCATGTCGACTCTGATGGGTAAATGAAAGAACGGAAGGTGAAGTTCAAGAAGAAATGCGAAAACGGCATTAGACTTTTGAGATACGCGCTAGCGGCGGATCTACCCGACATTTGGAAATGCACGAGCTCATGACGACGAATGGGCTGTGTTCATTCACTCACGGGCCACGGCTCCTTCGACTGCCCAAGGCACAGCACCGCACCGCACATCTATACGTCCCACCCCGACTATAACAGGTTTTGGAGCGCAGCATATGAACACGATGCGGTTACGGTAGACCATCTCGGTGACGAACGATCCAAGCAGCGCCATGAGCGTGCACAAGACGCCGAACCCGGAGAAGGGCGCGCGGTATCTGGGTCTGCTCGATCAGGCGCTATGCAATGGCAGCTGGAGTGACATACCGGAGCTGGCGCGCAAGGTCGACAAACACGCACGGGAGAGGAAGTGTACGTTCAAATGAATAGCGACCAAGTTCAGGGATACCCGCTGAAGTGAATCAATTCCCAGGTCTCACACTCGCTGCCCGCGCCGAATCGCAAATCGCCTCCGCTTCCCATCGCCCAGCCTCAGCATCTTCCGCAACCTCTACGAGCTTACACGGACTGGGAGAGGTGGTTCCTCGGTTGACGGAAGCCATTGGGGCTGCGAGCAAAGACCACCAGGACGATGCTTTCGTGGCTAGCTCATGTCTGGCTGAAATACATTGGTTAAGAGAGGCGCCTACGGAAGCACTGAAAGTGCTGGACGAGATAGTGGGACCGTCAACATCCTCAAAGAGCTCGGCCGGTACACTTGGCTGGATAGAAGTCTGCGCGGTCAGAAATGCTTCCATTCGGGCTGCCTGCTTTGACTCCCTAGGACGGCAGAGTGAAGCGAGGGAATCATACCAAGCTGCTGTGGTCAAGACACCAGGGTATCGCACACCAGAACTGCGAAGATGGACATCAAAGCTCCTTGCCCGGGCGTGCATGTATAGCGTGAAAAAGATGCCATCTCCATCTCTGCAGGATTTCAACGAGACGTATGCTGCCTTCAGAGCTTGGGGTGACTTCTGGCAACGTGCGGGTCCTGTGAGTGAAAAGAGTTCGACGTCGCACTTCGACATTCCGCGCCGACAAGTCTGGAAGGCGTACTATGATCTGCTGTCTACTATTCTTCAACATGGACTCTTACATGCGCCTAGTCAGGACGCAGGAGCCTTCATCCTGCCTGATCCCTCCATAGCCGTTGAGCAGCGACAGTCATCCAGGCAACGACAGAGGGCGGAGCTGAAACGTGTAGAGGCGACATACGAGTCACTACTCCTCGAAGAGACAAAATTTCCCAAAGCAAGCCAGACGAATACGGAAGTCGAAGAATGGACCGAACAAGTCATCTCCAACTGGCGGGTCTTCTCTGGCTCGGCGTGGACGGATACTGATGTGGGAGAGGGCGGGAAAAGGGCAGTCTCACGTGGAACCCTGGACATCCTGTACCGCGCGGCGACCAAGACTTTCCATTCAACTCCGATCCTGCGAGAGCTGTTCACCGTACATGCTGCGCTAGGCGAGTTCGACCTGGCCATGCATGCTTTCGATAGCTATATCGAGATTGTTGACAAGGGCAAGGCACGTGCAGAGAAGACCGGCAAGCATGAGATCGGACTGGACAGTGATGATACGGCTATGACCACTGCCTCTGAAGCTATCCGACTTCTTTGTCGGTACGGTGACAGAGAGCAGGCCGAGAAAGCTGTGGAGATTTCTAAAGCTATGCAAAAGTGGCTTGAGCAACGACGGCCAGCAAGCCCTGAAGTCAGCCTTACAAATGGTGATTCCGCCCCGAATGGATCGCGACCGTGCAGTCAGCCAACCTCGTCAGTTCTTAAACCAGAGACGTTGGCCGCAGCATACAGAGCATTGGGTGTGAGCCGGGCACACTGGGCTCGATTGACCTACGAAGCTGAATCGCAGAGGCCAACGCTAGCCGAAGCGAACAACAACTTAAAACGCGCCCAGAAGTACGATACTGACAGCGTCGAAACTGGCCACGCTCTGGCGCTGGTGTTGGCAGATATGCGCGACGTATCAGGCGCTGTAGAGGCTGCACGGTCCGCCATTCAGGCTGCTGGACAAGCTCAACAAAGTAATGGAGCGAGTCCCGCATCTGCCATCGATCTCGAGAAACGGCTCATCCCGCTCTGGCACCTCCTTGCCTTGTGCTCCACGGCTGAAGACGAATACGAGACTGCGGGACACATTTGTGAAGCTGCCTACAGACAATTCGGAGGCTCCAAGGTCCTGTTCGGTGATTCAACAACTTCAAATTCGAGCGATCCGGAGAACTCTGTCGCAGCTCTGCGCGGCATCGTCGATCAAATGGAAGGCTTCGAGAAGGAGAGTCTGATTCAGATCAAGATGACACAGATTCTACTTTTTGAGCTGACAGAAGGCTCTGAAGAAGCGATCGACTTGACTGCTGAGCTGCTCAGCCTTTACTCGAGGTTGTTCGGCAAGCCGGAGGAGGTCGTGGCGGAAATTATTGCCAAGCCGCCGCAAACTGCAGCTTCACACGCTCCTTCAAGACTTGGGGGTACTCTAAAAAGCATTACTGGCAGCATCAGGCCACGCTCCTCCAGATCAGCCCGTAGCAGTGGCGAGAAGGACGCTACAAGACAAAGATCTCTCGTTTCGGTGGACGACAGCTTGGCCCCGCCATCAACTCAGAACGTGGCTACGTCGACAAATGGACAGATTGCAGGCCCGCCTATTGCCATCACTGTCACCAACGAGGATGGCGTTTCATCGGAGAAGCCACATCACCGCCACCACTTACCGCATCTACCATTCCAAGGACGAGGTCGTTCACGTAGCACAGAGAGGCGGATTTCGGAAGGTGACGAGAAGGCGGCGTCGGAAGAGAAGGCGATTCCAACGCCTCAAAATGCAGCGGTCAGTGAAGAAAAGCGTCCAGACCAGCCTCTAGGTGACATGGCGCATAATGCTCCTCACGATCAATGGCCTCCGCCTCCTGGTCACGATGACCAACCACCACAGCAGGACATGCGATTACCGGCACCCCATCCTGCTAACGCCAACACAATCCCGGAACCGCAGCTCCTACCCATTCACGAAAGGCGACATAGAGTCAGTGTCCTGGTCAAAGCGTGGCTCTTTAGCGCAGAGCTGTACATCAGAGCCGAGACCCTTGATGATGCTGAGAGCTTGGTCCACGACGCTTTGAAACTTACAGAGTCTCTCGAGCTCGAACTGGCGCAGTCAGAAGATGGGTCCAACGCTCGTCGACTCTTCGCCAAGGGATGGGGCAGTGGGAAAAGTATTGACGAACTGTTGGCGGACGTGTGGTCGACTGTGAGTATTGAACTGATTCCACGCCGATGAATTGTGTACTGACCAATCTACAGAAAGCGCTGTTGTTGTTGGGCCGAGAGCGGAAGCATGAGGCCATGGCTGCATACGAGCAGGCAATATCGTATCATCCGGACCATCCAGCCGGAATCATCGGGCTCTCCAACCTGCTAATGCACATCTACGAAGAGAAGCTATCCGCCGAGCAACCTCAAATCCCAGTCCAGCCACTACCCTCAGCCTCCGGCTCGCTCTCGCTCATCAACGAAGCCCGCCCAACTCTAACCCGACCAGGCTCCGCCGCGACCTTGACAACGCTGCCCTCTCGGCGCCCCTCCGTCGTCGTAGAACCCGAACCGCTGGAACTCAAAGAACGAAAGATCGACCCCTCACCGGCAGAACTTAACCGTCTGGCCGCCCGCGACAGAGCGTACATGCTCCTCTCCAACCTGACGAAACATGCCGGTTGGGACAACTCAGAAGCCTGGTTGAGTCTCGCTCGCGCGCACGAGCTGAGCAAGGAAATCGACAAGGCGAAGCAGGCGCTGTGGTGGGTCGTTGAGTTGGAGGAGACGCAGCCCATTAGGCCGTGGAGAGAGGTCACGCCTGGTGGGTATACTGTTTAAGTGGAAGAAGAAAGTAGGAAGAGTGTTTGGTTGGGGATCCCAATTCTTGCATATACGTAGCCGCGTTTGATACCCTCGGTGCGTGCTTGGTTTCGACGTTAGAACATGAGATGCTGCTTCATTACAGGTCCAACCCTCTTCAACTTCACCGAACCAATGAATCAATTCTTAACCAGCACCCGAAAGCATCGATCTTGAAGTCTTTAAACTACAAGAACACCCGAAATCACGTGTCGGCTTCCCCATTCTTTTTCACTGCTTCCCAAAGCAGACTTTACCGTCCACACTAATCGCCTTTCGGGGAACAGATCGATGCACCCCAACATCATGGTCGGAAGTATAGGCGCCATTGATCGACGAACGGCGAGTCGCACGTCTCGAAATGGGCTTGCGAAAGGAATGTGAAGACCTCGGATGGTAGTGGTCTTGACTGTGTTGCTGGTGCTTCTCTACCTAGACCTCGCTGCTCTTGTCGCCTGCTTACCACGACTCGGTATCGTCTGTGGTACTGTACAGCAAAATGGTGGCTCTCATCTATGCCCTCGCCTTCGCGGGTTTGGCAGCATCCCAGACCGTCAACGTGGTCAATGGCGACCCAGCGCGGTTCACTTACACCTACATGAAGACTCCACTTTCTGGCCCTTGCGATGTTTCTGAAGGACCGGATGGACTCGTCTATGTCCAAGAACTTCTAGCAAACAAGATTGTAAAGTACGGCACTTCGCTGAAGAGGTTTCCGTACGGTTTGCTAAACGTCTTCCATAGGTACAACCAAAACACAGGGCAACTGACAGAGTACGACATCCCGTTCACCACACCACTGCTCCCAAACCAGACTCTGCCTTTACCTGGCATCGCCAAAGCCGCCTTCCTGACCTGCGCACTCCGCAATGGCTTCGACGGACTGCTGTACCTCAGCAATGGCAATCGCAACCAACTCGTGCAGCACGACACCAAGACTGGCACAACGAAAGTCTTCACGCCTGACAATCTCTTGCAGCCAGTGGGTAACTTGGAGCCTCTGAACGATTTGACCACCGCACCGGATGGTGTCTACTTCTCCATGACGACGTCGAACCAACTCGCCAAGTTCGACTACAAGACGCACAAGTTTAGTTACTTTAACGTTCCTACGCCATTGGCGTCGCCGCTGGGGATGTACTATGCTCAGGATGGGGCGATCTGGTTCTTGGAGTTTCTCGGTAAGACGACCTCCCCTCACCACTCACATCGTACTCAAAGCTGAACAATCAATCACAGGCAACAAAGTCGGCCGCCTCGACCGCCAAACCGGCAAAATCACAGAATACCCCGTCCCGCTCAACGCAGCCAACCCGGTCGTCATGCGCGCCGAAACCAAAGACCCCAAGACGGGCGACTACCTCCTCTGGTTCGCGTGCGTGCTGGGCGGGGGCATCGCGTCCATCAACGAGCGCACCAAAGCCATCACCTTCTACTCCGAATTCCCCGTCACGACCGCCGTGGAAGTCGCGCAGGACTACCGCGACAATGTCTGGGTCTCGCACGTGTCGTCCAACACGCTGGGCGTGTATAACCCGCGGTATAATAATTTTACGGAGATTGTCATGCCGGGCACGCTGGTTCCGCTGCCCATCAGTGTGCCGCTGTTTGTGGGCAGTGGGATTTATTCGATGCCGGTGGGGAATCCGTTCACGAGGGGGACGGGGAATGCGATTTGGTTTACGCAGTTGACGGCGAATCGGTTGGTGAGGTATGATTTGGAGGGGTTGACGTACTGATTGAGGGAGGGCGAGGGCCAGGGCGAGGGCGTCGTATTATCGACATGCATGTGAAAGCTAGTTCTACTGCCAGCAGGAGTATCAATGAATGAATGAGGCCGCCACAACGCCGCCAGTATATACGCGCTCTCTTCCCCACGCTTATACGCGGCTCCAGCGTACCGGTACGTACACCACACACACGTACCCTCTGCGTCTCATCAGCCATCCTGCGATCCTTCGTGGCTGGTGCTACAGGGGTGTCGAGCTTGACTGCATCGTCATGGGGAGTGAGAAGTACCAATCATGAGGTGCGCTTTTTCTGCAAGCTAAGGAGTGTAGGTAGAGTCGACGTGCATGTTTGACGTATGGATCCTTCCTTCGGGTTTTGAGGTCTTGGCTGTGTGCGTCTGATGATGAGGTTCTTCTAATCACCGCGAAAAGAGTGGGCTCGGCCGAGGGTTGGCGGCCTCCCGATGGAGGAAGACTGTACTCAATGTGCCTAGTCATGATTGGGAAGAGGTGCTAGTGTGGTGAAAGTTGACTCACAAAAGCACTCGCCACAAAGGTGCCATCCTCAGGCAGCGGGATTTCTGCGGCTGCAAAGGCATTCTAGTGCATATGCAGACAAGCACGAGGTGGCGAAAAGAGGTGATTCGCTGCTTCCTGCTGCCTGTTTCTATGCACCTCTCGTGCACATGGGGAAAAGCTCGCCCTGGAGGTGTGGCGTTGGCTTCTGAATTACTTCACTTGCACATGCACATGCGACTTGCACACACACCGGTGGCCCTGCATTATTTTATGGGGATTCGGTCGGCCACGCAACGTCTCCCTGTTTAGGGCGTTGGAATTCTTTTGCGCGTGCTGCTTCTGAGGCTGGATATAAAAGCAGAAGACTCGCCGCCTGGAAATTGTTGCTCGACTTCATCAACACCTTGAAGTTGTAGAGACATTCCCTCTACACCTCACCGCTGTCGATACCACCACCCACCATGGACTTCCGCAGACTGGCAAAAGCCTTGCCAGCAACCACCAACCTTCCACAACCCAACGGCACCGAACCCCTCGCCCTCTCAGACCTCCCGCCGAACCTCCTCGAAGCCCTCATCCCCGGCTATGGAGTCATCTCGCGCTACTTGACCGCGATCCTTGGTGTCGACATCTCCATTTTCGTCTCCGTCGGCTTGATCGTCCTCGCTCTCACCAAAGCCGGGCAGTTTCTCGCCCAGCGAGGTGAGGAAGCGTTTCGAGCTGTGTTCATGTCGTCTGTCTTTATAGATGAACACGACGATCTCTTCGATATGGTCATGGGCTGGTTGTCCGAACACCAAGGCTCTGCATCGAGGCGGTCCGTCCGTGCGAAGACGCAGCATGGTTCCAAGGCCGATGGACAGCTGGAGGAATCTGGTGATGCGCTGGATGATCGTGGCATGTTCGATTACAACAAGTGGAGCGCGAGGACGCCGCCGCGATTTGAGCCGTACTACGGCAGGCACATGCTTTGGTACAAGGGTCGCTTCTTCCTCTTTCGCCGCTCGCAGAGACCCTCGATAGGCCAGCGGTTGCAAGTCCAGTTCGGCAGCCAGCAGGATGATGATGTTCTGCAGCTGGATTGCATCGGCCGCAGCACGGAGCCAATTCGAGATCTGCTGCGCACGATCAAAATCTGGTCGTTGAACAGGTTACGCAACACGACTACGATTCGCCACCCGACTCCAAAGGACCGGGCTCGTTTCGGTGGAGCGTGGAGCAAGACTTCGTCGAGGCCTTCCCGTCCGATGGAGACGGTCATTCTTGACACTGAGCAGAAAGCGGGTGTTATCAAGGATATGAACGAGTACCTTCATCCGTCTTCGCCGAAGTGGTATGCGACTCGTGGGATCCCGTATCGACGTGGATATCTTTTCCATGGACCACCTGGCACGGGCAAGACGAGTTTGAGCTTTGCGCTTGCTGGTATCTTTGGACTCGAGATCTTCGCTATTAGCTTGCAGGAGCCGACCTTGACAGAAGGTGACTTGATGCAGCTGTTCAACAGTCTTCCCAGACGCTGTATTGTTTTGCTGGAAGATGTGGATGCTGCTGGACTGGTTAGAGATGTTCAGAGTGGTAAGTCTGATAAGTTTAAGAGAGGCAAAGACGGGAAAGAAGCCAAGAAGGATGATGAGAAGGCGGATGAGAGCAAAGGCGCAAAGGAGAAGCCAAAGAAAGAGGAAGAGTACACTTTGAAGGATCTGGCGAAGGAGCTCAAGGCTCTCAATGCACCGACTTCCAACTCCTCCGACTCGAAACCGAAGAAGCGAACAAACAACAACAACTCAAACGACAACTCCGGATCCGGGATCTCGCTTTCTGGTCTTCTGAACGCCATCGACGGCGTTGCGACTCACGAAGGGCGTGTCCTCATCATGACAACGAATCATCCTGAAAAGCTCGACGCCGCCTTGGTACGACCAGGTCGAGTCGACCGTCGAGTCGGATTTAAGCTCGCGATGAAAGAGCAGATCAGCGAGCTCTTCATAAGAATGTACGCCGCATCAGACCAAATACCAGAGACCATCGACCCGAGTCTGAACCACACCCTCGCGAACGGTCATGCCAAAGCAAATGGTCACACCAACGGCAAGCCCGTCGCGAACGGTCACCCAGAAAACCAGCTCGCAGGCATGTCCGAGAAGAACCTCGAAGAACTGGCTCTCGAGTTCGCTGGCCATATTCCAGACGACACGTTCACGCCGGCGGAGATCCAGAACCATCTGATGAGGTACAAGAAGGAGCCTCGCACGGCTGTGGAGTTGGCGGAGAAGTGGGTGACGGAATTGTTGAAGGAAAAGGAAGATTCGGCGAGGGCGGAGGATCAGGCTGAGGGAGAGGATGAAGAGGAGTGATAAGCTTTATTGTGGCCTGGTTATAGGCAGTGCGATTCTTCGTCTAGAGCGTGATAGACTTGATGAGGATAACAAGAATGATGAACGATGGTTTTCTACGAAGAAGAGTTTCATTCAGGAGGAGTAGTCAGCCAGCCAGCCAGCCAGCCACCGCCGATGCCGTGTCTCGGCACCCGGATTGCCTCGCAAAAAACCCTACCGGTAGCTCAACCCCTATTCGAACCACCCCTCCCTGCGCGGGACAATACGTTCCTTCCTTCATCCTCCATACAATTCATCACATGCCAGTCAATGACCGCGAACCCAACGAGGAACTCGCTCGTCTAGCACGCGAGCGTCTCACCTCATCCTTTGCTTTGGCGAGTTCGTAACTTCTTACGGAAGTCGTCGCTTCCGCCCTTGCTTTTTGTCAGGTTTCAGGTGGGTGTCTGCGCGGGAGTGCGAGTGTCCGAGGTGGCCTAACATGGCACCAAAGCTTCGGTAGGTGGAACGATTGGTTAATTTCGGGACCACCTAAATTCGCAAAAGCACATATACACCTCTTCGTCGATGGGGTAAGCGCTGATCGCGAGACGTCTGGGGTAATGCTCCTCGGTTCGAAAGGCGATGACTGGGGACGAGTGGGAGTAGGTCGGTGGTTCTTTCCTGCGTCGGCTCTAGTTGACACAAGACCACCCCCAAACCCTTGTACACGGCTCCCTTCCTGGTCACTTCCTGCAAAATACGATACCGAATCGAAGGATCCTTACCACGACGTGACTGCTACTGTTTCGATCCTTGTCCTTGTCCTTGGCCCCCGTTTCCTGCACGCAGGCTATAAGCTGTCTGACTTCACCTGTTCTTCGAACAATTCTGTCCTTTCTCTTCTTTCCCTCTCGCAACAAAGCACCATGGCGCTCCTCAGCCTTGCACAGGGCACGACGTCCTTGACGCTGCCGGTTGTCTTCGGCTCTCTCCTTATCATCTCGAGTGTGGTGTACTACCTCTTCTACAAGCCCCCCTTCCCGCCAAATGCCCCAAAGCAGACGAGCGACCGATGGCCGTTGCTAGGGTCGATGAACTTCTTCTTCCGTCGCTGGGACTTCTACCAAAGAGCCTTCGCCGAGTCTTCCACGGGCAACTTCTCCTTCTACGCAGGACAATGGCCCGTCATCGCGCTGTCCGGCGAGCGCGAACGCAAGATCTTCTTCGAACACAAGGGACTTGCGTTCGCCGAGGGATACGCCGCGTTGCTGGGTGGGAGTCCGGAAGTGAAGCCTGACAATAATGTCTTCGCGGAGACGCACGGTGGCGACAGTGCGTTTAGTCGGTACTTCACCGGTCGACTGATCACCTTGCTCAAAGGCCCCATGCTGAAGAAGGGCCTGCCGCAATTGCTTCTAGACGCTCGGGCGAGCATGGAGCGCCTGCAAGCGAACTCGTCTGGCATCACAGACCCCTTCGAAAGCATCTACCGCATGGTCTTCCAATTCACCATGCGCACCGTCGCCGCCAACGAGATCGCCAACGACGCCAAGCAACTCGAGAAATGCCTCCAGCTCTTCGAAGCCATCGAAGGCGCCACCTCATCCTGGTCCATCGCCTACCCTTGGATGCCCGTCCCCTCCAAACTCCAACGCACCTACGGCGGTGCGCAGCTGTACATGATCTTCAAGAACATCATCGACGACCGCCGGAAAACCGCCCGTCGCGAGGAAGACGCCCTGCAGTACCTGATCGACAACGGCGATAGCATCACCGACATCCTCACCTTCGTGCTCGGCTCCCTCTTCGCAGGCCAACTCAACTCCGGCATCAACGCCGCCTGGATCCTCTGCTACCTCGCCAACAAACCCCACTGGCTCACCCGCGTCCGCGACGAAGTGCGCACCGTCGCCAACAAATACGTCCCAGACTCCAGCCTCCCGCTCCGCGAAAAACTCATGCACATCCCCATCGAAGCCTGGGAGTCCGAATTCCCCACCATCGACATCTGCCTCAAGGACTCGATTCGGCTGCAAACCGCCGGCACCGCCTTCCGCAAGAACATGTCCGGTCAGGATATCCCGCTCGCGAGTGGCGAGGTGATTCCCAACGGGGCGTATGTGACGCTGGCGGCGGGCGAGATGCATTTGAATGAGAGTATCTATGAGAATCCTGCCGAGTGGGATCCTGCGAGGTATCTGCCGGAGAGACAGGAGGATAAGAGGGAAACGTATGCGTGGATGGGTTGGGGTGAGTATTCGTATGCTCCTTTTCAGATCGGGGACTTCTGCTGACATTGTGGTTTCTTGATAGGTGTTGCGCGCCATCCCTGCCTGGGCATGCGCTTCGCGAAGCTCGAAAACAACATCATCGTAGCCTTTTTCACATCCTACTTCGACGAGGTGCAACTGTGCGACCAAGTCGGGAACGTAGTCGACAGAGTCCCCCGAGTGAACTTCAACAACCACACCGCGCACCAAACCGACACGAAAATCTACCTCAAATACCGCGCTGGCGAAAAACAATGAGCATGCATTTACTTCTGCAGCAGTTGGGACTTCCCATACATGTACTTAGCGCTTCAAGAAGACCGCGATTGCGATTGCGGCTGCCGAATCATGAACAAATTCCTATACCACGTCGCTTTCACCCGTGCATTATCGATAAACGTATCGATCTTATCCGCCTCCTCGAATTTGAATTTCTGATACAAGCGCACGGCCTCGGGTGATGCTTCGAGGTACGCCTCGACGTTCTGCTCGTCCGCTCGCTGCGTTCCCCAGCGCAGCATGGCGGAGCCGGCGCCTTTGCCTTGATAGGCTGGGGCTGTGGCGATGATTTCGAGATCTGTTCGCATTCATCAGTCATAAAACCCTGGTCGATCGCCCGGGGAAAAGAGCCAAGAAAGGAAGAAAGAAAGAAATTCTACTAACACCAAAACCCCCTCCTCCCCATCAACTCCCCCTTCCGCCTCGCCCACGCCCCAAACGTCTCCTCACACAACCTCTCATCCGCGCCCTCGGGCCAGCTCGGCAAACTCTCATCGACCTCCTTCCCGGGTTGTGGTTCCACCCATTTACAAAAACCCGCGATTTCCCCCGTCGTGGTGTCCTTCGCCGTGAGCCAGTTCGCGCCGGGCTCGTGCAGTTCGTCGCGCAGCATGGTTTCCCACCAGGCGCGGACGGCGGGGGTCCGTGGCCAGCAGCCGTGGGAGTGGGCGTTTTGGAAGGAGGTGAAGTAGATTGTTACGAAGTGGGGGATTTCGGGGAGGGTGAGGGGGTGGAGGGTGAATGTGGGGGCCGGGTGGGACATGCTTGGGTCTTTTTTCTTTTCTTATGAGTGTCGTTGGGATGGAGGTGTGGTGTGTCGGTGGGGTCTAGGCGAAAAGGTTGGCGACGTTCTTTGTGAGTATTCGATGCGTAGACCAGGCTATGTGTGATTTTTTCCGAGCGGGTGAAGGAATGCTGTTGAGTGTATAGACCTGCAGGACTTATTATAGGTCTATGGCGTGAGGGCGGTGGCTACAAGAGGCAGGAGCAAGAAGTGAGATTCGGAAAGAGCGGATGACTAACGGACCCGATGGCTGAAAAAACTTGCATGTGAAGCAATAGGCGGTAATTTCGTCCGAGACCAAGGAATTGATAGCATAGCTTTGAATTCAGCATTGACCACTGAGAGTTTATCTCGTGTGAAAAGCTGTGGTCTGCTATGCGTGATTACTTTTCGTAGAAGATTTTCAGTCAGGAAGGCTAGGCCTCTAAGAGGAACCCGGGCACTGAAAGCAATGCTGCTGGCGATCGCACGTAGGTGGAAAGAGGGAATGGGTGCTCTCACCTGTGACAGGTTATTACCAGCGCTGCTGCTTTGACCTTCTTCAGACAAAGCAATGCCACAAGGCAATGCCAGACGTCAAACTGCTCGCCGCATGGTCATCACGACAAGAAGCTGTCTCGTTCCTTACGAGGAAGTGCAATCTGCGCATGCTGGCAGGCCCTGGTGGTATCGGCTTGTCGACGCAATGAAAGTTTGTACGACTTTCAGCAGAACACGAACATCCCCAAGGCTACACTCATCTCCGTGGTCCACGCTGCGGGCAGTCCTTGCTCATGTGACCCTTCTCACTGCACCGATGGCAGATCATATTCTCGAGATAGGACGACTTCTTAGATGGACCTCCTCCAGAAACTCGGCCGCCGCCCGAAGAAATGGAATGCACCTTGTTAAGGTTAACATCCTTCTTCCGTCGCTGCTCGGCCAGTCGCAGCGACTCTGCGCTGTCGGCCGCCTTCTTGGCCTTGCGATCTGCTCGTGCCCGATCTGCAGCCTCTTTGCGTCCTTGTGCGATCAGCGCTTTGACGCCCGTTGGATCATCCTCAATCTCGCCCTCGTCTTCGTCGGATTCTGAGTCGTCTGATGAGTCCTCGTCTGCCTTCTGATCCTTCGCTTTGTTGAAGTTCCCGAAGCTCTTTCTGCCAGCCACCTGAGGTCGCACCGTCTCCTCGTCCTCCTCAGCAGTCCGTGCCTCATCGTCATGTCCAGCATCCAGCGCAGAGAATCCAGCTGACACAATGCGCAAAGGCGACTCGCTGGCCTGAACCTCTGGTTCTCTGAAGCTCAGATACCACTTTGTTTCACCTCGACGTGCGGCCTCCTTCTCAATGGCGTCAACGCGCCTCTGCTCGTCCACATCCACTGGCGTCGCCGGCGAGCGTATGCTGGAGCCGTTCGAAAGGCGTTGCTTCTTGGAGGGTGGCTCTGCGGGTGTGCTGGGCGTGCTCGGGGTGGATGCGGCTGCTCGTTGCATGAATTTCATGCCGGCCAGTCGGCTCGACATGGACTTTCCTTGCTTCGCTGGAGTCGCCATGATGGTCGCTCAGGGTCGTCGATTTGGATTGAGTGTTGGTGACGCGCTCCACGGCGAAGTCGTTGTTGTTGACGATCGACAGCCAGAAAGTCAAGAAGTCAAGGTAAGAAAGCGAGAAGTGTCAATTTGCTTTGTCGACGCTCGGACCAAGAGTCAATAGTCGTGGCCAGGAACTTCACCTGACTCCAACAGGTATCCTTTCTTGAACATCATGCCAGAAAAGTCACCTTTCTGCCTTTTCGTCTTCTGCAGGTGGCTTTTGAAAGATCAACTCAAGCTGTGGCCAGTTGATGGCGCCTATGATGGATCCAATTGAAGGCATACATTTGGCGCCTCTTATACAAAGGCTGTGATAGGCACGCGTTGGGCGCTTGGAAGACTGACCACACTCAAATCTCAAGTTCCAGCTGGAAAACTGCTCTTTGCTCCCTATACAGCCTAATCATGACAGCGAGAGGCAACGCCAATCCACCAGCGCGCTAGCTGTCGCCCATCGATCCCTCTCTTGAAAGCAACCCTGTACCGAGAGTGCTCGACCTTGCTACATCCTCAATTGGCTCTGGAGCGGCAACAGATGCTAGCTCGACCTTCACCTCGGCAGCAGAACTCGCACAAGCCCTTGGATCATCTCCTGAAGAACTCTTGCAACTTATCGATAAAGTAGATGAGCTCCAGGCCATCCTGTGTGAGCCGGGAAGGCCAGAGGATAATGAGCGCACAGCCGAGCAAGAACATGCCCTCGTGGAAGCGATTCGAGATCGGACCTGGGGATTCTATCTCTTTGTGACTGGCTACGAGGCCCAAGACCAGTCTTTGCTTCCAAGCGTCCTCGACAAGCTGGTGCGATGCGTGCATTTCAGTCTCCAGCGAGCTGCAGCAGATTCACCCAGCCATGCTGTTGCAGATGAAGCATGGCAGCGATTTCGATTAGACGTTGTTCAAGACTCAAATATCCTTTCGAACGCATCATTCGATCGACTCCGCGCCGCATTCGTTGCCTTCCTTCGGGCGAAGCGTCCAGATTTCGGAGAGCATGGCGTCAATCTACCAATGGGTCCCAGGAACAATGTATTCCTGGTTTTAGACTCCGAAGCTATACGAGCGATTTCGGGCTTCGAAGTGCCGGACGACTACACGGAAGACCAGGAGGAAACATACGAGAAAATGGATCTGCGAATACTCAAAGCAGTCAGTGGAGGATGGGAGCGTCCTGAGAGATCTCGCAGCTCGTACAGGGGTTGGCATGCCGTGTCGCCAATGGCCCTTCCTGATCTGTTCCTCGATCTCGGAGATGGTGATGTATTTGTGTTGGAAGATATCTTCAATGTCGAGCAAATCGCGCAGCGGTCCGAGTTACCTTTGTAGCCACTGAAATTGTACTTCTCGCGTGTGCAACAACAAGTTTTGTCGAATTTTTCTTCAAACGTGGATGCGCAATCAGTGCGAAAGCAAACAGAATATAAGAAAGGCAATGCTGTGAACTTGGCTCGATGCAACTTTTCATAGGACTAAAGTGCGTCAAACATTCTCTTATGTAGATATTTATAAATTCATGATAGATGTACATGAAGCCGCTCAATCACCAGTGTCCATCGGATCGCCGCCATCGTCCCCAGCATCCTCCTCATCAAGACCATCAAGATTGATTGTAATTTTGTTCATCTGCCTTCGAAGCTTAGCCAAAGACTGCAACATGAAAATTTTCTTGCTCGAGTTCGGTTGGGCCTTCCACAGAGCGAAGCAATCCGGGGAAGGGTTCTGCGGTCGCCCTCTCCGAAGCTCCAGTCAGCCGCGAATAATCGGAAACGCTTGTCGTTGCTCCGTTATGATCTCAGAAGCATCATACTACATACGCGCCACGTTGACGGCGCCAAAGACACGGCGCCAACACGAATCCTTCGACCATTATTCTATCATCCCCAATCAAACGATCGCACTTGGCGCTACTTGATTGGAAACCTTGTAGACAAGAGGTTGCTTTCAGCCTCAAGACTGGAGCATTTTTCTCGCAAGTTCCTCTTTCTCCGGTCCACAATTTTATCACAATTATGACAGGACGAGCTGGCAACAATCCGCCACCACGATCTGTATCACCGCTAGATCCCTCCCTCCAGAGTAATCCTGTACCACGGATCCAGGACCTTCCAACACGATTAGTGGGCCCTACAGCAGCTCCAGACGCTGAATCAACATTCACTACAGCACGAGAGCTTAGGTTGGCTCATCAGCCTCCTCATGACGACATCTTCCAATTTATTCTTGATCTCGACAAACACCAGGAAGATCTATGCGTACCAGGGAGGCCCGAGGACTACAATCGAACAGATGAGGAGGAGCTTGCGCTTGCGGACGCCATTCGTGATCAGTCGTGGGGATTCTACGTTTTCGTGACTGATTATGACCCTAACAGCCAGTCTCGTCTGCCAGGTGCATTGGACAAGCTCACGCAATGCGTACAACTTAGTATCCAACAATACACTTCTCAAGGAACGAGCTTGTTAGTCACAGACGAGGTCTGGAAGAGATTCCGGCTGGATGTCGTCGAAGATCCGGACAGACTTTCAGGTGCGTCGCTGGATCGAGTCCGTTCAATTTTCATCGCTCTGGTCAGAGCTAGACGACCAGACTTTGGTGACCGCGACATCCCTTTGCCAAAGGGCCCGAGAAACAGGTTATGTCTGGTGCTGGATGCCGAAACGATTCACAGCTTGGCGGATCTCAGTGTACCAGAGACCAGCAGCGAAGAGCTCGTCGAGGTCTACCAAAGTCTAGATCGTCCAATTTTGAAAGCATTGGACGCAGAATGGGGACGACCACAAGACTCAGACAGTCCGTACAGAGGCTGGTATTCGACATCGCCTGTCGAATTGCATTATCTGTTTCAGAGAGTGGGATGGAAAGGTATTCATCAACTGGAGCTACTTTTTGAGATGGAGAGCAGCCGACCTCATCTTCGGTAGCTTGGACACACCATTTGACTATCTGTCGCGAGCGCTTCGTGTACACTATTGTGCAGTATCAGTTCGCCTGACAGCAATGTCTGGCTCAAGTTCTTCACATGTTTCTGCTTCGAAAGTCTGGTGGAGTTCGACGTTTTACGCCCAGAGTCAGCGATACGTATGGCAACGAACACATGCACGCTCGAGTGGAATTCAGATTCGTTGTCTGTTTCTGTCTGCTCAAAACACGAAGCAGCGTTCTAGCTAATGTCTTGAATCGTTTAAATGCAACAAATGCGAAATTCCTTATCGACCTTAGCTCGTGAGTTTCTCGAGCAACCCTCAATCTAATGAAGTCCATTAGTTAAGACGGTGATCTTGTTGACCTGTCTCCGCAGCTTCGCCAGAGCCTGCAACATGAAAACTTTACGAGCTCCATTCTTCTGCCTCTTCCAAAGAGCGAAGCAGTCATTCAAGCTCTTCCTAACGATCCACCGCCCTTCGACGACCATGGCCTGGAAATGTGCTCGAATCCACTTGTCCCAGTATTCGACAATGTGGGATGACGGATGGCCGAGTTGTACCCAAGCCTCGTCGCCCAGTCGAAGCTGTTCACGTATGTTGTTGCAGGTGGTGATCATGTAGCCGTTTACCTGTTCATGGTTGAGATAGTTGTAGACATTGATGATCTGTGTCACTCATATCAGCATAAACCACTATCAGAAGGCCAGCAAAATGTGCGTACTGATCGCATGTGGACAAGTTGCTCCTGGTATCGCTCGGTGTCGCTGTTCAATGCGTTGAGCTTTTCGAGTGCTGTGGGCATGTGCCCTTGCCATATCTAGCGCACAGGTCAGGAGAGCACGAGATATGGTTGTGGGTCAAGCTCTTACATTCTGCTTGACCTGGTTAACGTTCTTCTCGAGCAGAACAAATCGTTGCCAGTTATGTTCGTCGCCAAGGGCAGACATGATCCGCTCCATGGGAACTTTGACGATATCATTCTGCGTCCACCCTTCCAGGGTTGGCGGATTGACAAGAACCTGGCCTTTGAGATGGTCCATGAAATCGGTGTAAATTTGATCAAAGCCGGAGTCCACCATTCCTCGCGTGGGCCGTGCGACATTCTCAGTCAGGTAGACTGGTATGCCATTGTCAGCTATGTCGTCAAAGAAGAGCTCCATTGTCTGCAGTTCGACAATATGCTCCACGTAAAAGGTATCGTCGTCAAGTCCCTCTTGTGGAAGCGAATGGGTGATGACTGCACCGTCAGTGCAATCGTCGGGGTCTATGGTACGGTAAACGTTGTCATAGCGGACGTCGTCGTGCTCCCAGTCACGGTTGCTAGCTGCCAATAATCTTAGCGTTTGAGTGACAAACAAGTCATGCTCTGCCTAGCACTTACGATGCGGAAAGCTGCTGTACTGTCTCCCTGGCCTCCTGCCGGTGCGTGACAAGGTGCTGAAGGTGTATTGCCGAGACTTTCCTCCAAACCTTGTTGGTGCTCGCTTAAACAGGTGATCGAGGGGACTGCGTTCCCATCGTTAGTCCGCAGTTACGAAATTCAGCGGTCCATACTCACACATCGTCGTCAACGGAGTCCACCTCACGATTTTGATCCCCAGCCGGTTGCAGGTCATTGTCAACTTTCAGGCTCAGCAAATCAACGCCGGAGTCCCTGCGAGACTTCGAAGTCCTTGGTGGACGACTGTTGACTCCAATTTCACTTGGGCAAGGAAAGAGGCCGGACTCGCACAAGTCAACGCGGCCGCATACCACCCCATCTTTATCATCGTCCTCTTCGGTCGCGCAGACCAGGACTTGATCTGCGTCGAAAAGAGTATACGGCCGATTGCCTAGAGACTGTGGAATCTTCCCATCACTTGGACCATCCCCGTCATTCTTGTAAACGTTGCTCGAGCCTGGGTCTGGACCGATTGGATTTGAGGGACTCTCGTCAGGTTTCCAGGTTGGTATCTCTTGATTACCCTGATTCATCATAGACCCTTTGACAGAGTCAATCTGGATGTCCAGACCGTCCTCATTCCATTGAAGTCGGGTCAGTGCCGAGAACCCAGCAGCGTACTGGATCAGGGGCATCGACGAGTCAAAGAGTTCATCTCTGGTGGAAATCCCAGTCTCATCGCGTCTTGTTGCGAGCTTCCCAGAATTATGATCGTCGAAGGTGATGTCGATAGAGAAGTCTGGAATCAGTGAGAGTTTCACCTCGCCCGAGTGAACTCTGAGGGCGCCGTCGAATTTGTTTTTCGAGACTTCTGTCGTGACACCGCCACGAGTGCCTCCTGCGGCGAAAGGAAACGTCTGCCGGACCCAGCCTTTGTTCTTCGTTGGATCAGTGTTACTCTTGACATGGACGTCAAAATCACTATAAAAGGTCAGCCACATACGTTAAAGAACTTGGCAGAACAGCTCAGGTAAGATGTTGCTTACGCTTTGAACGAGGCATTGGATGCTTCAAGGCCTATATTGATATCAAAGGATGGCTGAAAGCTAACGATTCCAGGATGAGCGAAGAGGTGTTCCTGCTGCGGCTGTAGATGCGCGGGCTTGACCTTGTAGTCGGTGGAAAGACCAGTCGTGCCGGATACGTGAATGTCGGCCTCAAAATCGTACGACCATTCCATGAAGCCGTAAGCTTGTTCGACCTTGAACGGCTGCAGGGTACCAATGAGACTGAATCCGAACTTGGCCTTTGTTTTAGCCGATCCATCTGTGACTAGTTGCAGCCAGGATTTGTTGTGCCCATTGCAATCATCAAGGACCCCGTCAATCACATGTTCCAGGGAGGGCTCGTCGAAGGTGGTGTACGAATCCTGAGTGGAGACCCGGTCAAATTCTGATGAGAGAAGTTAGCAGATGGCCAAAACATTCGAGATGGTGAAGGTACTGACTACGACCCCAGGACGCACTGTCCGGAGAGAAAAATCGCTTTTCGAGATCACGCTTCGCTGCATGTTCTCCAGGAGAGTCGACAAGCTCGTCCCAGTATCCCGGCATGTTCCTGTAAATCGGAAGCAGCAGCCGTTGATTTCTACTTGCAATTGCTTACGAGTAGTCTATGCGAAGCAGAACAGGACTGTTGGACCTTTTCATCTTCGCAAAATCGTAAGAGAACTCGAAATCCATCACAGGCTTGGAGCTTGCACGTCGCTTCTCCAGATCTGGGTGAAGCTGCTGGTCCACAGACTGTTTGATCGAGTGTGCAACAACATATTGGCCTGGTCCACAGTCGTCAGGCATTCGAACTACAGTGCCCTCTAGCCCTCCTTCCAGTACATCATTGCAGTTACTGTCCTCGTGATCATTGGTACACACTATTCTGACGGTTTGTGTGCCAATGGCGCCGACTGATGAGCAGTCCACGACTTGAATATGAGACCCGTCTCGTTTCTGGTGGAAGGACGATACGACATCCTTGGGGCCAGCAATGAGCACGAAGCCAAAGGCTTGTCAATTAGGATCGCCACCAGGTGCTAGAGTGTCCTTCAGTCGGTCCGAGCCAAGACGCTGCAAATCAAAGCGAACATTTGCGTCTGGTGGAGGCAGTTCAGGGAAGATGTTTTCGAGCGCCACCGGTGAGACAGGATCAACTCCGTCAGGTGGGTTACAGCAGAGACTCTTTTTTCTGCCAGGGCCACTGCACAGTGTTTGCGAGGGTCCAGTGCTGCTCAAAGCGATTTGCACATCATTACTGCGTGGCACGTCAGCTAATATGAACCCCCGATCGTCTACTATACGTACTTAGCACAGTTGCTGTCCCAGCAAGTCCTGCAAAGCCCGGTCAGCATAATACAATCTGTTGATTTGGCTACTCACCCCTTGCCAACCCAATGGCAATTCTAAATCGTAGGACATTAAATTTACCCAATCCATGCCGGCTTCCAAAAGACCTGGAACGTCGAAGTGCCGCAGATACCTTGCAGAACGTTAGCTCCTGATTTGAGTACACCAAGCCGACATACCAGTAAGAGGAAGGAATCGTGAACGTAAGGCCATATCCTCCTCGAGGGCTGCTTTCGAAAGTCTTCTTGAGGGTCTTCGTCGAAGGAAATTAGCTCGGAACATAGGCATAGGTGACTTTTCTAGAGAACTTACCAATCTATATCCACACCATCGAATCCATATCGAGTCATGAACTTGACAAGGTTATCAGCAAACATTTGGTGCTTATCTTCTGTGCCAGAGATCTCCGAAAGAAGGGACTGTGTAGCTGTGCCGTTGTTAAAGAAAGTCCAGCCACCGATAGCAATGAAGACCTCTAGAGCGGAGGCTCCAGATTTCATTGTCTTGATAGCGGTGACCTCTTGGAATAGCGATTCCGGTGTCAGACTGTCCATGGTCGTGATATCAAACGTCTTGGGCTCGATGTATGCAAAGGCAAAGTTGACATGCGTAAGGCTGGAGATCGGAATGCTTGAAGGAGTGAACTTGTTGCATGCTCGGCGTGCGCTCCATGCCTCGTAGTACGCTATCACTCTGTCTCGAACAGGCTTCAGGCTCATTCCAGAGGGGATTTTGGGCTGCCCGCAGTTGTTTTGGCATTTGCTGTTGCAGAAGTCGCTTGTTGTGCCGCAGAAGCCATACTCGCTGCAGCACACGTTCAAAGGGCACTTTTCGTGGCCTTCGGAGGCATATTTGCCGCATTCGGCTTTTGCGCTACAATTGGACTGACATCCATTGCCGCAGTAAGTAGGACCATATCCACAATAGCCACTCTTGCCACAGCACGCACCATTGCCACAGGGCTTTGCCTTGCTGCAGGAAAATTCATCGCGGATAGACAAAGTGGTTTGAACCAGTGGTAGTTGTCTCCGAGCGCGTCCCCAATGGAGCCAGAAGAGCATCAAAAGCAGTTGTAGAGCGATCGAATGTAGAGACAGCGAGTCCGGAACGAAAGTAAATGGAAGCCGGCACAGAAAGTAGCAAGAAGAAAAACAACGACAGAGAGTAATTGGAAGAGATCTTTGTAACGAAAGTCATAATGCTGCACGAAGGAGCGAATTGGTTGTCGAAGTGTGGCATTGAGCAGTTGGCGACTCGAGTTAAGTAGCGCTTTTTTGGAGCGGCGACACATCTTGTCGGCCAGGGGTAGCCGAGTTGGTCACTCACTTCAATCGAGTCCCTCTCAGGCTGCCCAGACCAAGTCGATTAAGCTGTAGAGAATCCTGTTGGTCTCCTGTCCTCCGTCAATGTCGCCCATGGCGAAACGCTGGCGGTCGGCTTGTGGGTTCGTGAAAGCAGGCGGCAATGCGACTGAGAGGCTTTCTGGTCCTGGTGGAAATGAGAACCAACATAGTAAAAGCGCCTCGCCTCGTAAGGTAAATTTGGGTGCGATGCTAGAAGTTGGAACGAAACTGGGAGACGAAATGTAGTTACGCGCTCGCGAAGAGGCTTCACTAGCGTGAACACGGATAAACTAAACTTCCGAGTTGGGAAGTCCAAGCCTAACGTCCTTTCTCGGTATCTCCTATCTCACCTACCCGTTCTCATGTCCTTGTCCAGCGCTTTTAGACTCACAGTGACCATGGCTCGACCGGCGGCTATCTGCGTCGACGTGAGATCTCAGCGTCAAGCAAGCGCCATTCGAACAAGACTGGGCCCAGAACTACCACATCCGGACCAGCTGTGCCGCACACCTGCGTGCTCGACACCGATATAGTCTCAATGTTCGTTAGCGGCGCTTCCAGGGCTTGATTCTCAAGAGACGTCGAGAGAGGTGCTGATGGAACTACTTCGAAAGTAAGAAAGACCTGCCATAAAGAACGATCTTGTTGCTTGGGTTTTGCGTCACTTTCAGCAACATGAGCAGTCTCTTTGCTTTCGCGGCGGCTATACTAATCCTCACCCACTGTACCGCTGCACAGCAATTCTTTGATGGGTCCGGAGGGGTCGACGTAACGACTGAGGGGATCACCGCTGCGTGCAGCTCCGCCCTGAATGAGACACTTCAGTGCAATGGACTGTGAGTATAGCCACCAGATTTATGATCTTGTAAAACTGCGTTCTGATGTATAGACGTGCTCACAGGCTTGGGGTTACTGCGTTTGAAGGCTCAGATCTCTCAGCAACCAATATTACAGATCTGTGTCAGCCGGACTGCGAGAAGTCTCTCAAAGATCTGAGGTCCGCTATCCAGGACGCCTGCCCGACAGAAGACAACAGATTGACGCTAGGCACGACCATATATCCTGCTACTGCGACGATTGACTTCTTTCTTTCCACATGGGACAGACTTTGTCTGAAAAAATCAACCTCGAACGAGTTTTGCTATAACGAGATGCGTCCGTGGCAGCAGCAGAACAACCTAACCCATGAGCAGCTCTGCTCTGATTGCTTTTTGGATACTCTTCGAATTGATTTGTCCTCTGAGTACACTCACAACGATGATGTCGCCGAGACCTTCTCTTCGCTGACGTCAAGTTGCCAAAAGACTGGATTCGGGTACACATCACCAACTCACATTGCTTTGAGCAGCAGCGTCATCTTGGAGACACCAAACCCCCAAACCTGTGATGACCCCGTCAAAATTGCGGCACAAGACACCTGCAACTCTATCTCTTTGGCACACAACGTGTCAACTTCTGCTTTGCTGATCAAGAACCGCTTGCCCGCATACTGTCGAGACTTTCCAAGACCTGGGACTTCGCTGTGTCTCCCCCCATCGTGTGATGTACACACCGTCCGGAGAAACGACACGTGCGAAGATGTTGTTCGACAATATTCCTACTCATTCACAACCACACAGCTGCTATCCTGGAATGCGAACTTGAATGCACTCTGCACAATTATGGCACAACAGCAAGGCATGCAGATATGTGTGAGGTACGACCTATCCAACCCTGTACGGCGTTCGAAAGTAGAGCTGACGTGTGAGAAATAGCCCACCTGGAGTCAGCTTACATCACTTTACCAAGTCAACCCAGACGAGTGGTTGTACCACAACTACCGGTCCGCCTCCGACAAATACCGCTTCTTTCGCGGAACCATCAAGATCGACAACAACCGCACAAACTACCAAGGAAGGCTCTGTTCCGATAGCACCTGGTACTCTGGACGGGGGCGATTGCCAATCCTACCCCATCTGGACTGACATCGCCCAGGACGACCAGTATGCCAACTCCTGTGAATATATTACCACTTTCCTTGGCAGCTCCTTACAGGAGTTTCTGCAATGGAACCCGAGCCTGAAAGGCATTACGCCATGCGAACTGCAAAAAGGGTACAGGTACTGCATCATTTCGTGGGACTGTAAGCAAAGACTGAATTATTTGCTGGGACAGCATTCAAGACTGACTATTTGATCCAGTCGCAAATGAATCTGGGAATGCCGAATCTGGCAATGTTGCGTCAGAAATGCCGTCGACTGGTGACTCACCTCATCAGACATCGTCTCTAGTCAGGGCCCAGGACAAGCCCAGTTGTCGAACGAGTCGACATTCAAGACAGTGGCAAAGCGCTTTGGTTTACGTTACTCTCACTTGACTGGCCGTCCTCAGCTTCGTACAATTGCACATTTGTTCTTGCCTGTTTGAGAAGCTCGTCTCAACAATGTCATCACTGTTCACTATTCTTTTCACGGCCACGCACAAGTGACCTCGACAAGCACAAAAGTACACCGAACTAAAGTTATATCGGGGGTTCCCGATGGACACCAAGACGAGCCTCAAAATCTTAGTTCTGTGACGGTAGAACGAAATTCGAGGATGGCGACTGACAGTACTGTCGGCAGGCAGCCCTACAGAGCGGCGTTATTCATCGTACAACTTGCTATTCTGGAGATCGGCTTGTGAAAAGTTGAATTGCAACCTTTCGCGTTGTCGATACAGACTCTCCTCCGGCATCCCTGCACAGAAGCCTCGAGTCTCGAGAACATCGTCCCGATCCGCGCCTGCATATCAAGCCTGTCGACATCATTTCAATCGGCCTCAGGCGAAATCGGAGATGTCAGATCGTATCAATGTCTAATGTGCTCCACATGTAAAATTTCATTTTTGCCAAAGATGTCCACCGTGGCGGTGTGACGCTGACGATCAGTTTTCGCAGACACGGGACAATGCAACGGTAACTTCGTGCATGGCCAGGTTTGCGCCCTTTGCAGGTTTCAAGACGGAGAGCTGTGTGGAGAGTACAGCCCGATTGTAGCAGTGGCGGAGTGTTGAGGGTTTGCTTTGGGTTTCGTATTCGTACCCGTCGGTATAGTAATGACAAACTTCACGGAGACAATGGGTCTATATAGAATGTCACTGCAATTTCCTGCCATGGAGACAGCTCTGAAGAACCAGAATCTTGGATGCGATACTCTACAGCCTTTCAATCAACATAAATTTGCACCTACAAACTCCAATATATGGGCGAAAATGTCTCAACAACCACAGCATCCTCCTGACCATTCGCAATATCCTCCCCAGTATGGACAAGCATCAGGCCCTCTGCCCCCTCCTACTGGATACAACTTCCAGCATGTCAAGATTATGGACGACTCGATCCGCATAGGTCCAACGAACGAGATTCTCTACGGGATCACACGCCCCGATACCAAATTCCACTTCTCCTCGTCCGAGGCACCTGCTATACAGATCGGAAACTCTCAAACAGGACTCCTCTTAGGCACGATTCGCACCCACAAGATGTCACAAGACGTGGAAGTCACCATCCACGATCGAGCGACTGTGATCAAAAGAGACCCTTGGGGCGAATCGAAGTGGTCGTACACGTCTGTCTTTAGTCCCAGTGGGACGAGTTGAAGAATGATGTCTTGACGTTTCAGATGTCGGGCCTGAGTCGGGTTATGATGGATGAGGTAATGGTGGTGGCGGTGGCTATGGGCGAGGCTATGAAGAGGAAGCATAAGCAGGAGAAGGTGGTTACGAAAGTGATTCTTAAGTCGGTGTTGGGAGTGTGAGAGGCTTGCTGCTACAAGACAATCGACAGGGAGTCTCTCAGACCTGGTCTTGATTTGCCTGCCTGCTGAAACTCGACGCGAATGATGGTACAGCAGGTGCAAAAATCCTCGGTCCTTGCTTGATTGTTCATTGATCAAAATTGCTTTCGTTAGACAGTCTCTATATATCGTTTGAACTCCCTAAAGAAACCCAGCTGTCAGTAGATTTCGGCGTACTTTAGACAATGATGTAGCCTTACCAGTCAGTGACCGCCTCCCTCCACATCCTCAATTCATGTCGTCGAGACCTCGTGTAGTAGTCAACGAACTCATCGCCAAGGAGCTCTCGTGGAACGCTGTCCGTCCTAGTGAAATTCCGAAGAGCCGATTCCAAGTCATTGGGCAGAAGTTCCGGTTTGTCCGTACGTGCAGAACTTGGAGGTATCGAAATAGGAGTCTTGTTCCTTACTCCACTCCAGCCCGCAGACAATAAAGCCGTCAGCGCATAGTGAGGATGAAGATCTGCCCCAGGCACTCGAATCTCCAGCCTCGTGGCACTGGGTTTGCATGTCGGCGGCGCAATGAGACGTACAGAAGACATCCGATCTTCTAGACCCCAGGAGACATTGGTCGGTGCCCAGTAGTTCTCTACGAGGCGTTTGTACGAGTTGATTGTGGGCGCGAGCAGAGGCATGATGTCTGGTAGGGCGTTCAAAATACCGGCTAGGAAGTGCCGACCAGTGTCGGATACGTGGGTGATGTCTTCCCACTCTGCGTCTTTGTCGGGGAGGTCACGGGTGAACAGGTTTTTGTCATCTTTGTCAACTAGAGAAATGTGTATGTGTCCTGAGTTTCCAGGTAGACCGCCTTTGGGCTTGGCCATGAAACACGGCGCGATGCCGTGCTGTGCACCAACAGATCTTGCGAGGAACCTTTGCGGAGTGATCAGCCTAGTCCCGCGCTTCATTTGTCGCGGTCTGATACTTGAAAAGTGTCACTCGGTCTGCGATATCTGTAATGTCGGCCACCTTCAAGGCCTGCAGACATCAGTAACGATACACAGGCTCCCAATAGAAATACTCACTGCTTCGAACACACCAGGGCCACTCTCGGTATGCCATCCCTCCACAGGACATTGGAATCTTTCTGCTTGATCAAAAATATTGTAGAAGTATCCCGAGTTCAAGCCCGGCCGACTGACACTGTAGCCGAACATCCCCTCCGTCAATGGACGTAGAGCATCTGGAGATTGCGTTTTAAGAAAAGCTGCAAGTTCGCTGCCGATTGAGCCCTCATGGTATCCGTCTGCACGAGGTACTTGGAAGTTCATGAACTCGAGTTCGACTGTGCGAGATCAGACTCTTTTTCAGACATCGAAAGAATTAAAAGCGCCTACTTACCTCCCGCTTTAGCTTGACATCCAGCCTCCATCAGTTTGTCTTGGAGGGATTGAATCATTCCGCGTCCATCAACCTGTAAAGACTGTCCATGGGACTCGAAACGTAGCATGAAGAAGGGCATATCGTCCTGCCAGGGCAGGCGGCGGAATGATTCGAGGTCAGGCACCGCAATGAAGTCCGCATATCCTTGATCTTTCGGACAGATCTTGTCGCCGTCGTCGTATAGAATATCATGCATGTCCCAGCCGAACAGAGCAGAGCTCATTCCGAAGCCTGATGGAACGTTCGCAAGGAACTTGTCTTTCGCCATGACTTTCCCACGCAAGATGCCATCACCGTCCACTCCAGCCACCATGATTCGGTTGTCATTCTTCAAGACCTCTGCCGCATCTTCTGAAGTGATCGTTGTTTGCATGACTCTTCTGTTCGCAGGAGGGCTCGGTTCGTGTCGCATGCTTGCGTCGTTGAGCGCACTTTTCGAACAGATTCCAATGGTTTTGTGAATCGCAAGTCACATTTTCGACCGACTTCAAAAAGGTAGCTGCGTGCTGCACAAGTCCGAGACCCTTCCAAGAACCCATGTGAGCGCGGTTACAATAGAGCGCGGTACAATACAGCGCGGTACAATACAGCGCGGTACAACAGAGCGCGGTACAGTAGAGCGCGGTACAATAGAGCGCGCTATTTGTTTTGATTGGCTGTTGAAGCTGACAGCCTGATTTGTGCCTTCGTTTTGGGCTTGGCCATCTTTTTCATGTGCTTTTCGTCTCCTCGACGACTTCCCTGATTTCAGTGCCACAATACAATGTCAAGAAACTTCTAGACTTATCGTGCATGAGGTCCGTGTTGCAGTCCTTGAGTGCGACACTCCAATCCCATCAGTCAAGGCCACCCATGGAACGTATGGCGATTGCTTTCGCAGGCTGATTGCGAAAGCGGGTCGTGATCTTCATCAAGGTTCCTCTACCATCAGCATCACCGCTTGGAACGTCGTGAATCAAAAGTCAAATCTGTCACTCGACAGCATCGACGCATTGCTGTTGACTGGTAGTAGTAAGTGTACCGCGACCATGCCACGACAGATCTTTCTTAATTGTCTGCAGAACACAACGCTTTCGACGACAGTCCATGGATCCTGGAGCTGTTACAATACGTTCGCAAGGCTCACGAACAACAGAAGATCTTGATCGGAATCTGCTTCGGACACCAAATCATTGCCCGTGCTCTAGGCGCCACCGTTGCGAGGAGTCCTGGTGGATGGGAAGTGTCTGCATGCGACATTCAACTGCGCTCCGAGATCTGGGCTCTATTCGGTGGAAGGCAGACTTTAGTAAGGCTAACGACTCGTGACCTTTGAGTTTACGGGCTGACAGTCCCTATAGACCTTACACCAGATGCACAAGGATGCAGTGCTTGACATCCCAAGAGGATGCACTGCGATCGGATCCAGCCCCAGATGTGCAATCCAAGGTCTCTACGTCCAAGGCCGTATACTGACGATGCAAGCGCACCCTGAGTTTGATGGTGAAATCGTCCAAAATATCGTTCGTGCAAGGAGCGAGCAAGGTGTATTCAGCGAGACGGAGGCCAGGGATGCATTATCTCGAGCAACAGCCAGACACGATGGTATTCTGGTTGGCCAAGCAATCGTTAGGTTACTTTCGCAATTAGAAAAACGTTGAGATGGGAAGAGCCTCTTTCTTTGCTTGATTCACGTGAACGTTCCGAAGGTCCTTACAGAGTGGCAATCGCGGTCAGTGGACTGATTGGCGTAGTTGCACGCAGCGCGAGCTTGGAAGTGTTGGCAAAGCAGGGGATCACCGCAGTAGCCTTGTCGACATGTACCAGATACGCGGTACGCCGCGCGAGGCAATCAAGCCAACCAGAGCATGATGCGCGCGGCAATTAGTGGCTGCGATCAGGTCGGGTGATACAAGGACATGTTAGAAGGGCCAAGCGCTGGATGACCGCGAACATCTGCCGAGAATGCTCTCTTGTACCGTACTCTTGACGTTCCAACATCTCTTGCTTGGGCCTCAAGCAAAGACTTGCTGCGATAGATCTCTGAAGAGTCCAAATCTGACACGGCCAGTCACTGTACACAGCTGGAGCCACCATGCCAACAATATCAACAATATCGCCAGCGACGAACAAGGTGGTCCTTGAGACGCCGGAGACTACACCAGAAGATGCTGCCGCTATCGCAGTCAACTCAGCCCAAGTATTCCAATCATGGAAGCTTGTTCCACTTCACGAACGGTAGTCCGTCATAACCAAGGCACTTACGCTTGTGCAAAAGCGGAAGGAAGAGCTTGGGCGTGAGTTGACGGCACAAATGGGACGACCGATCGCATACTCGAAGAAGAAAATCGAGACTATGCAGAAGCGTGCTGACTATCTCCTCCAAACGATCGATGCAGCTCTCGAGGCGGTTCCTGGAGTGAAAGAGGATGGCTTCGAGCGATGGGTGCAGAAGGAGCCGATCGGACCAACTCTGTTGATATTTGCTTGGAATGTAAGTGGTCTTTCGAATAGCAGATGAGAGAGGGGCGCTAAATGTAGATCGTGCAGTTTCCTTACCTGATTCTCGTCAATGCGCTTGTACCAGCATTGCTCGCTGGCAACACCGTCATCCTGAAACCATCGCCACAGACACCACTGGTCGCAACTCGATTCCAGGAAATCTTTGAAGAAGTCGGGCTGCCAAAAGGTGTCATACAGGTCGTACAGTCGGGCAGCAACCAGACTGTGGAAAGCCTAGCTTAACGACCTGAGATTCAGCTCGTCACTTTCACTGGATCGACGGCTGGTGGGCTTGCTCTCCGTGGTGCAACCGCAAAACGCTTTGTCCCGCTTAATCTCGAGCTTGGAGGCAACGATCCCGCATACGTACGGCCTGACGCTGACTTGCCATACGTGGCCGCACAACTAGTGAACGGCGCAGTCTTCAATGCTGGACAGAGCTGCTGCGCAGTCGAGAGGGTCTATGTCCATGCCGTCGTGTACGACGACTTCGTCGGTCGGGTCTGATGACGAGGCTGTCAGCCTCATGAACGACAGTGAATACGGCTTGACGGCAAGCGTGTGGACGAAAGATCTCGAGGCTGGCAGGGGCCTCATTCAGGGACTCGAGGCCGGGACTGTCTTTATCAACCGTGCTGACTATCCATCGCCGGTAAGCTGTGACACTAGACTCCAGCGCATAAGCTGCTAATGACCCTGCTCAACTTAGGATCTCGCTTGGACCGGATGAAAGAACTCCGGTCTGGGCTGCACATTGGGACCGCAGGCCTTCAACGATTTCGTGAAGCTGCGCAGCTTTCACGTCAAGCAGAATCAGGGGTGAGAATCTGTTGTGCAGGTAATCGGTAACGGACCGCTAGACTCCCTCTCAAGCGGTCAAGTGCATTTGGTGATCATAGCCAGCCGTGTAAGCTCGACACGAGTCTTGGTGTTATTTTTCGAATTATGTGCATCCAACATGCGTCCAATCTGCTCCGGCAGTCTGAAATGCTGTTTTTCCAGCGTGAGTATGCATATGCCATCTCGGTCGAGCGGTCGACTGCATTCGCGCCGGCCGCGACTGATGCAAAGTCGATGTCAGAGCTCTAGACGGTTTGCATGTGATTGCAGGCTTGACTTTGGGCTAGACCTTCAGGTGTCTGACCTAGCGCGGTCTTGTCGCTGATTGGTGGACGACCCACCCCTGGTGATCGCGGCTATCAACTGCTGTCTTCCATCTTCGCGGCTGTGGACAATGCGCGCGGCACACGATGTCGAGCTCGAGCTTGTACAGAAAACTTAGTCCTGGGGCGAGAACCAGCGCGACAGTGTGCAGATGAGGATCCGACTGCTCCTGCGCGTTTATGCCCCTCGTCGACGTAGATTCAAAGCCTGGAATATCCAACCAAGTGAAATCCACTGGTACAGTATCTCCATTGCTCCAACGTAACTCTACCGAAGAGCATTTCATTCATTATGGTTGGACGACTCCAAGGCAAGAACGCCATCATCACCGGCGCTGGAGGGTGAGTTTTCCATTACCAGTGCTTCGACCCGCTCACTGACGAGTCGACACAGTGGCATTGGTCTCCAAACTGCCATCCTCATGCTTCGTGAAGGAGCATCTGTCCTCATGACTGATGTAAAAGCATCGGCACTCGAAAAGGCATTCGAAACTGCTAAAACACACGCTCCCGATCGCACCGGGAAAGTCGATCGAAGAGTGCTCGATGTGACGAAAGAGTCTGACGTCGAAGAGGCAGTCCATGCTTTGGATGCCTGGGGCGGTATCGACGTAATATTCAACAATGCTGGTATCATGCACCCCAAAGACGGAGACGCTGAGGAGGTGGATGACGCAGTTTGGGATCTGACCCAGAACATCAACGTCAAGGGGGTGTGGTATGGGCCGAAACATGCAGTCAGGAGCTTGAGGAAGCACAAGAAGACTCGTGGAAGGATCATCAACACCGCCAGCATGGTTGCGCTAGTAGGTGCCGCCACACCTCAGTTGGCGTACACCGCTAGCAAAGGGGCGGTGCTGGCACTGACCCGCGAGCTTGCCATCGTCCACGCTCGGGAAGGTGTGCATGTCATTGCGATCTTGAGACCAGCTTTTGATTGACCAAATCTTGTAGGTTTCCGCTTTAACTCGTTGTGCCCAGCGCCCCTGAAGTAGGTAACAATCCAGCCCCACATAATGGCATGGTTGACTGACTTGATGCCTACAGCACCCCGATGTTGCAGGACTTCTTGGGAGACGACCAGGCGAAGCGCTTTAGGCGCGAGGTGCATTTCCCGACGGGCCGGTTTGGCGAAGCAATCGAGCAGGCGCAAGCCGTGATCTTCCTAGCAAGCGACGAGAGCAGCTTCGTTAATGCTACCGACTTTGTCGTAGATGGGGGCTTAACAAAAGCGTATGTGACGCCAGAAGGCCCGTCAACGCAGCCGCCTCAGAACATTGGATAGGATGCTGTTTGAGATAGACCAGCTCTCCATAGTAGAATCGACGAATCAAGCAAAGGATATCCAAATCTCGTTTTCTTGCATAATGCGACCGAGAGACCATGGCCCCTGGTGTAGCGATGGAGATGCCCAAGCATGTTCGAGAAGAACGAGAGTTTGCTTGATATTGCCAAGTTTGATCGTTTGTTTCATTACCAAGAGCCGAGACCTTATCAGCATCTTTTGAAATTCGTCCGTTGTACAGACACCAATAACTGCAAGAGGCCAACAAAGACTTGTGTTGACGCGGCCATCGAATGGTATTTGCTCGAGGCAGGCCATGGCGCCAGAGAGTACTTGCTTGATCATGCCAGAATATGGTCCTTCGGCAAGACTCCCAACATTTGAAAGGGTTGTCCAGAGATACAACAGCATTGCCTGTTGGTACACCCGGCTTGCAGCTGCGACATCCGTTCCAGCATCAGCAGGAGGGTGGAAACACTGGATCTTATGGTGTAGAAACCCGATTAGGGCAACATCGTCGGAAGATGGATACATCCCTTGGTGGGTGTGGGCCAAATGCCTTCCAACCCAGCTCACAGATGCGAGGTATCAAGAGCAGAAGCTCCAACCAGACGCCACAGAGATGACCAAGGTATCGCTTCTCAAGTAGCCGCCATGCCTGAACCTCCAGCTCAGGGTCGAGAAAGGTGAGGCTCCCAAATCGAGCGTCGACAGAGATCAAACTAAGAGTCGCCGTATAGACATAGTACTCAGCGATGAAATCTTTCAGGCCGCCTGACAACGCGCTGCTGCTCAAGACTTTCTGTATCAACGGCTTGGCGGCAAGCAAGTGATCGAAAATGGCACCATGAGTGTCACCGCGCGCGGTCTCCGTGAAACACATGATCAAAGCTGCCATAGCCATGCCAATGTTTTGAGTCTCGTCTACGCCTGTGAAACTGCTCAGAGCTTGGTGGAGTAGTCTCAGCGATCGTGAGTAGTGTCGGTGAGCGATTTCCAGACCCTGCGATCGATCATCGACTGTTCGGTGCGCTGCACTCTGTGTCAAGATAGCCTGCAAGATGAGGCCATTTCCAAAAGCCAGCGGAATAATCTCCACCACAAACGGGTTGTGGTCGGTGGAGCCGTTGCTCATGCTTGTAGCCGTCCTAGCAAGATAGAAACTGAGCAAGCCCTCGTTCTCAGTCGAATCTCCAGCGCTCATGAGTGCTGTTGAGATAGCCATTGCTGGACTTCGAGGGATTTGGATTTCAGTTGTGTCTCCAGTCAGATTGCCATAGAACGTGTACTCCACGTCCGAAATGAAGTGCTCGCTATCTGATGGGATGACTTGAGGAATATCTGAATGGTCTGCGTCCGTCTCATCGGGGAAGACGCCAGACATGTTCGCTCTGGAGTCATCCCTACTTTCCTCGTCAAGATCGAAAGCACCGTTGTCGTTGTCAGCAACAGCGTCACGACCACTGCTATTTCTCTTCTGCCGGCCGTTCTCTGTGGATGCCCATTCGCAGCACAGTCTGTTCCGGCGGCATCCATTGCAGGTGGGTTTATCCTCATTACATTTCTTCTTTCGCCGCCGACATGTCAGACAGCCTGTCCGGACTCGCAGGGTCGGTGGTGGCCTGCGTCGAGGTTGTGAAGACATGATGTCTCCACGATAATGAGGAGGTGGCGTGTCAGAATCGCCCCACTTGAGAGCGTCCATCTCAGACATCCCACCCTCGTCAAGTACGCTAGTCCCATATTGGATCCAAGCCTTGCCCCTTACTCTCTGTCAAACACACATGTACCTTTGACCACGCTTTACCGAATATTACGCTATCTTTGAAAGCGGAACTCTAGCGAATTGAGATGCTCGAGTCTGAAATATAACGTAGCGAAACAAGGTGCTACTCGCTCCAGGCTCCACAGATACTGCACGCATCTCTCTCTGAACAACGATTCCATACAGTCAAACCTGATTGCGGGGCCCACAGTAGATTCTAGTCAAAGCACATCGTGCAGCAAAACACCGACCCCGCTCACTCTTCGAGAAACCACTCCTGCAACCCAGTCGCTATCCACGAAACGTCTTTCTCGCATCAACATGCCACCACACGATGACGATCGACAAGCTCACAAAGTAGACAGCTGACACATAATTCATGTTTCCTGCCGTTACGGGGTAGATCGGTGGGAATGAGTACATCTGCTCCCGTCAGCATGTTCTGATTTCTGCAATTCAAACGAGTACTCACAACGAATGCAAAGACAAGCCACGCCAATAGGATATAGTTGCACATGTGGCCGATGCCTCCGAGCCAGAATGGACCGTGGCGGATATTTGACCGTCCCCGCAGAAGAAGACAGCCAACTGGGATAGCGTATGAGGCATAGAGGAGCACAACGCATGCCGTGACCATGCTGTTGAATGCTGTGTATGAGCCGAGGTACAGGCAGCCGAGTACAGATACGATGGCGGTGCTGAAAAAGTGAGCATTGATGGGTACTCGGAGCCGTGGATGGACTTTGGCAAGCTGTTTTGAGAATGGTAGACCAGAATCCCGTGAGAACGACCAGCATAGACGTGCCTGCCAGGTATGCGAGGCGATTAGACATCCGCATCCTGTGAAGATGATCATGGAGCAAAGTACGATGGACCCAACTGTGGAGGATAGTGCCTCGTTGAACAGCTCTAGAATCGGGACGCCTGTTGATGTACCGGCGACGTTGTCAAAGTCCCCTAATGCAAACATCATGGCGATGGCGAACAGCCAGGAAGTCGTGAAGCCAATCGCGACGGTGCCCATTATGGCAATGGGAATATCACGCTCCGGATTCAGAGTTTCTTCTGCCATGTGATTGGCACAGTCAAGACCGTTAAAGGCCCAATTGGGGTTGATCAAGCCCACAATGAAAGCTATCCCGTCACTCTTCCATCCTGTATTGTTGATGAACTCGGTGAACACGAACGATGCACTCTGGTGCGAGGAGGCTTTGGCTGGAACCGTAATGATGATGACCATGAACGATATGATGGAGATCCAAAGTGTCGAGAACGTCAACAGTGGAAGCGCTCTTCCCCAGCAGTTTGCGAGTGAACTAGCAATCTTGATGACTTGATAGGCGACAAAGACCATCCATGGTTTGATGTCACTAGTTGATCAGCCAATAGTGCATCTCCGGCTAGAAAGGCCACTCACAGGTCAGGATGGCTCAATTGAATACATCCAACGCACAAGGTCCCTACTCCAAGAGCAATACTCGCACACGTGAAAAGAGACCCGAGCCACGAGATGAACCCAGTCGTGTACGCGGCAAAGCGAGCGTACTTGGCAGGTGCCAACTGGGCCGCCCAGTGATATTGACCACCAGCATGAGGCATTGCTGATGCGAGCTCAGACAGAGATACGGCAATCGCAGTGCAGACAATTGTCACGATTATCGTCCCGTAGATCAAAAGAACCGGCCCACCAGAGTTGATCCCCGTAATGAGCGAGGTGGATATGCCGAACCAGGAGTTTGCGAGCGAGAAGCTGATACCCAAGAGAGCAAAGAGCGAAAAGTTCTTCTTCAGGTCATGGACCTCGCCGACTGCAAGTCTCTGTGTCAGGTGCTGTAACCTTGAGGCAGTTCATCTATTGCCTTCTTACCGTGCGACGCTGTTGCCCTCGTCTTCACTTGTTCAAGACTGGACATCTCCTTTGTATCTTCTGACAGCATGTTCGATAGTTTTGCTTTGGCGTTTGCTGCTAGATCCATATCGTCGGCAGTCGAGCCAATCTTTGAGGGCTTTGCAACGAAGCTGAATTGAGATTGGTGTCAAAGAAAGAATGATAGCATATCCTGCTATCAGTAAAACAGGCATCAAGGTATACCTCATGTATCAACAACAGGCTTATCGCAACTTCGTCACCTGCACAAGCCACTTGTGCCTCCGCATGCATGGAGGCAGCTCCCAAGGCTGTCTGGGGTCACGATACAGCCAATCATGTCGCTTTGCGCGCTGTCAAGATCAGCGCGAACCACCACCACACATTACCCGGGGTAAGATTATGTCTGTATCAGCGTGGTCGAGAATGCTTTGCATCTCATGTCGATGGGATCGAGACCGCAGAATGAACTTGAAAGTCATCAGTCGATCCCGTCTCTGATCTGGACCATGGACTACTCACTTCAACATCACAAGGCCCTCATTGGCCAACCCATCCACTCTCTCCTCACCCCCTCAATCACCATCAGTCACCCAGTGTTGAAGGCCAACATTCGCAGACTGCACGACGATGTATCAAGCATCGGCATTGCATTCAGACCGCATGTCAAGACACTCAAGGTTGTCCAACGATGCATTGACGCTCTACCGAAGCTGACGAATGTTGTCTTTTTCAAAGTGTCTCGAAGCCACCCGAATGATGCTAGGGAACGGTGATCACCGAAAAGTAGTTGCCTCTACTATCCCAGAGATCTTGGGTGTGTTGCCTCTGGCTCAAGAGGGGCTTCTAGACGAGGTGAGTGCACAAAAAGAAGTCTTGAAATTCGTCCGTGAAGCTTACGTCAAACAGTGCTTGTACGGGCTTCCAGTATATCCCTCCATACTGCCACGCCTTCAGGAGATCAGGCGCTCGCTCCCTATAACGCTTATGATCGATAGCCCACAGCACATCCAAGTCCTGGAAGATTTTGCAGATCGCTCCGAGTCTTTCGGTCCATGGCGTGTCTTCATCAAGGTTGACGTAGGCTCACATCGGGCAGGCGTCGTGCCAGAAACTGCTGCGCTGTCAGACCTCGTTCATGAGGCGCAAGCTTCCAAAGCGCTGCAAGTCATTGGCTTCTACTGTCACGCAGGACACTCATACAGCAGTCGCTCGGAGGTGGAAGTCATACAGGTTTTGGAAGCTGAGCTCGCTGGCGTGCTGTCCGGCGCAAAGTTGATCCCTCGGTCTCAGCCCTTGATCGTATCGATTGGCGCGACTCCAACAGCCCATGCAATAACGAAGCTTCGTCGTCTGTTGCCGCAGAATGCAACGCTGGAGCTGCATGCAGGTCATTCATTCCCACATCTCACCTCCTAATCCTTGCCACTGACATCGCAATAGGCAACTTTCTTGTCAATAACCTACAGCAAGTCTCCACAAGCCTCATAGGCTTGGAACAACAAGCAATTCGAATCTGCGCCGAGGTCTGCAGCGTATACCCGGAACGCAATGAAGCACTTCTCAACGCAGGCGTAATTGCGCTTTCTCGTGAGACAAGCGCATTTGAGGGATTCGGCCAGGTCGTGGACAAACAAGGCTGGGCTGTCGTTCGGCTCTCGCAAGAGCACGGTATCATTGGTAGGACAAAGTCCGCAGAACACAGAAACGTTTCTTTGGACTTCAAGGACGGAGACAGGGTGCTTCTGTTTTGCCAGCATGCGTGAATTACAGCAGCGGCATTCCGCGTGTTCTACGTTGTGGACGGGAATGACAAGGTGATCGATACCTGGATTCCATGGAAAGGCTGGTAGAGAGGAATATTACACCAGGTATATGCTCGAATTTCTCTTCAGTCAGCGCTTGCTGTGTAGTGTTCCTGCTCTTGATAGCCCAAATGCCTTCTGAACCAGGAATGCTTCGTAGGGCACCGAAACCTCAACATCTGGACATTAGTGCCACGTGGGCTCGGACTAAATCGTGCTGCCTCGTTGATGGGAAAAGTGATGCGAGAGCTGGGTCATTGCCTTCACACATTGATCTGGGTGCGGTGAGATTGATCATGTGGATGACGGAAGAGAGGACAGGATTCTCGGAGGAGTGAAGAAAGAGAACCGAGGAAGACTAGCGCCGTTTGCGGAAAATATTTGTTCCGGAAACGAATGACAACATCGCCGTTGGCATCAGAATCTTTCCCAGCGCACCTCACGCAGCCTAGCAAACTTGCAAACTTGCAGACATGTCTTGTCGGCTCAGAACAGTGATCCTCACAAATTCAGCAAGCACGCTCTATCGGCACTCGTTCCTATGCTTCAGCGCACAAGAAACGTCAATCGTTCGGACAACCAATCACAATCCTCCCCTCCGTCTTGCTAAGCTCTGATGGATTCGTATAGCCAGGAACACAGCCAGACACCTTGCACCAATACCAGCAAAGCCGAATGACGCGGCCGAGGGTCCAAGTCGCAGCGAATACTCGCCGACGAACGAAAGCAGTGCCACAACAGGATTTTGCGACACAGCCAGGCAACGACATCATCAGTACCTGGTCTTTTTCTCTCGTTTGAACTGAAAATGGTGTGTGCCTGGCTTGCTTGCGCCCAGTGCCCAGTCCTTGACAAGCTTTGGTTGCATGCTTGGTTCGTTCCCCTCGTACGAGGTACTTTTGTCCATCCAATCGCTCCTTGAGAAGGTGCAGGCGCATGCCTTGCTTTAAAGAGCGCAGAGGTGCTCGCGTGACCACTTTTCATCAGCTTTCTACTCCTCTCCTGCCAACTCATTGCAACAAGAGACACTGCAAACCAAGATGTTTATTCGATTCTTTCTCTTCTGCTATGCTATGAGGCTGAATGTCAAGACACGATTCCGGTCCAAGACTTGGGAATGAGCAGGCATCCACAAAGGACAAGCATTGGATGCAAGACAAATTGTGTACGGGTGCTGGAGGCCTGCGTAGCACACTTCTCCGCAACTACGATGCAACAGTCCCCATGTAGCCTGCAAATTCCTTCTGGTCTTCTTTGAGGATCTCTGGCAGCTCATCCTCAATGTAACTACGCTTCCAGTCCTTCTCGGTCGGCTGCCAGCCAAGCTCCCTCAACCTCACTGCTCGACTGCGACTATTCAGACCGAGTGTTGCACCAGTAAACTCGCCAAATGTATCGCCCCAATTCTCCTGCTTCAACTCTCTTGGCGTCGGGTCCTGGATCTTGCCGGCCTTATGCAACTGCTCGCCAATAAGGGTTGCCACATCTTTCCAAGAAGGCTCCTGGTCACCAGTGGTTTCGCAGAAGTAGTACGGGTTCTCGAGAGCCTTTGCCGGGGATGACGCCTCCAAGTGATGCAGCAGCACGACATACGCTCTGGCGAGATCGAGGACATGAATGTTGGACTCCACGCCGAGACCTTTACCAACGTGAGCAGCATAGCCACGTTTCAGAGCAAAGCGGGTCAAAGTCGGAATCTGGATAGACAGGCGTTTATGCTGGTGATTGAAGCCACAGATCAAAGGGGGGATCATGATGGCGAGCTTGGCCTTCTCTCCCAGGTCTCTCTGGGCTTTGGCGATGGCCAGATCGATCTCACGGTGTGGAGCACCATCGGGTAAAGCGTCGACTTCCTCACGCTTGTTGTCGTGATAGATCTTGTCGGACTTGGAATTGTTGCCCAATTCTTGAAAGTCGTCCGTGAGCGAAGTTCCGGAAGTGTGGATAAAGATTGTTGAGAGGCCTTTGCCGGCACGTTGCGCTATTCCATCGATGATGGCTTGGACGCTGGGGAGGTGGTCCGCAGTTGCTAGTATGGTATTAGTAGATTATTAAAGGAATCCCTCTCACGACATCGCACCTGTGTGCAGCACAATATCATGCTTCGTAGTCTGCTCTGCAATGACTTGTTTGTCATTCAAATCTCCGAACACCACTTGAGCCCCGGAGGCCTCGATCTGCTCGCCGTGCTCTTTTCTCCGCACGAAACCTGTGACATTGTATCCTTCGCCAATGAGCAAGTCAAGGACATTCCAGCCGATGAAGCCAGGTCCGACAATGAAGACGTTTTTTCCTGAATCAGGCATTTTCTCAAAGTATCACCGAATCCTTGTTGCTTGATGATATCTTCTTCAATGGATCGAGACCGAATATAAACCCATGCAGTGCTCTGTAATTCTTCAGTTCATCTTGCAACTCAACAACATGGTCGATAACGTTGTTTGGTGGGGTCTAGAGTGGATAACATCATAGCTGACCTGTTCTGGGTCGGACCCGAGGCAAAGACCTTCAGCTTTCGTCTTCTTCTTGCGAGCAGCGGAGGAGATTAAAGTCTTCTTATGGCTTGATGAGCAAGCATAACGCTATGGGCGTCGGAGTCGACGGAATAGGAAATCTTGTTCCGCCGTGATCGCCGTGCGGGATAAGATGTGTATCTCACTAAGCAAGAGTACGATATAGTGGCCTCAGGCATCAACAACGAGTCGGCGTGGCGATTGAACTTGTTGCTTTTCGTGGACATTTTTTACTCTTTGAGGATTGATACAAATTGACAGGTTGTTTTCGACTCTTTTTGGAGTCTATTAGTTGAAAAATACGCAATGTGAGAACTGCGACTGGGCTCAGCCTCGCCTACGTTTCATCGGATTCAGGACTTCGAGACCGCAAGGTATGACTGCAAGAGTACAATCTTTGAGATGATGGTTGAAAGACTGCAACGGCATAATCTTTAGACCAAGACTGCATAACACGAGTTGAGTCCCGAGCGTTTCGATGTTTATCAACTCTCCATTGAACCCTTCGAATGTCATACATCCTTCTGATGCTCAGACTGGTCATAGTAATCGTTCCCACATATGACATATGTTGAACAAAGGGCTGTATCATGAGATCCCTAATGCAGTGTCGTTCACATCCCCTTAAGCCTTCTTCAGCTTGAGCGAGTCACTCATTCGCCCATATACTCGAGCCTGTGCCGACCCCTATCCTCGTGACGCGGGTCAGATCGACGGTGAAGACTGAGTTCTCGTGCTGACGAAAGCCGTGGAGCAGAGATATATGAGACCTGGCTCAGTAAGGTATAATGATTGGATCCTCGTCCTGTCCTCCTGTCTTCAATTTCGTGACTCCTTGACCTGTTGTCACCTCCCGTTTACGGCGAGTGGAGGCTCATACTCGCCACTACTTAATGCACCAATCTTTGCCGACTGAGTCCCATCTACTGGTAAGCATTCAGGGTATATCACTCTCGCCCCCGTGGCTATCGTCTTCGTCTCATCTGCGTCCATCAAAATCATCTGCTGGCAATGCAGTGTGTGATTGTAATTGCCCAAGTGTGCATCGATCCATCCCCTTTCATACGCTCGATGCATCTGCCGCCACATGAAAGTGCAGTGGACAATATGATACTCCCACTTGACATATAGCTGTGTCTCGCCATGCATCGCGACGCGCTGGCCGACTGGTGCCGTGAGATGTACATCCGAGTAGAACGTCCAGTTGCCTTTCCAAGAGGTGAATTCGGACACTAGTTCGCCGTCGTAGCATTCTGGTGTCTGCCATGCGAATGAGATTAGATCGAAGGAGCAGCCACGAGAGCGTGCGGTGGAAGGGTCATTTCCGCAAGAAGTCCATGTAGCTATCGTCGTTTGCCGAGTCACCGGTGCTAAGTTGGCGATAAGAGATAGACCCAGCAGTACCGCTAAGAAAAGCCCGAGCAGAAGTGTGCCTTGACGAATGAGTAGTTTTCTTCTTGAATCGGATAGTGCTTTTCTGTTCGTCTGCCACTCTAGCTCTTGATCATCATCGCTCTCCAAGGATCTTTTGTACGGGTGTTTGTCAGTGAACATGATTCTTCTTTTCGGTGTCCAGCCTGACGATGCCGAGTTGAAAACCTCCCTTGATGGATCAATGTGGGGGATTGCCTCTTGTTCTCAGAATCGAAGGAGCCGTCCCACAAGAGACATCCGGAAACGACATATGGCGAGGTGGATATGTGAAAATATCCCGGGGGAACTCCTGGCGGAACATTCTAACGCTAAGGATGAAGCGACTGCGAGCTACGAGACGTGACGCATGTGACACTGCACAGGCCACGATGGCCTTCGCAACGTGAATTGATTGGACCTCGTACGTAGGATAAGTCCAAGCAACGGAATGCTCACGCCGCTCTCTTCCACAATAGGTAGTGGTCATGGTGCTGCTCCTGCACATCGCAAACCTTCGCAAAACTAGATCGTCTTACAGTCTGCAGCCGTGTGGCCGCTCCGTTGTGCATTTTGTACTGTAGGGTATACAATCGAAAGCAAAAAGAAAGATAAATATCATCCAATCTCGACAGTCCTGTGTTCGAGCATCGTTCGAGAATGAGATAACAATGTAGCCAACTTCAGAAATAGCTCCTTGCCCGGAATCAAAGCTGCAATTTTATGCATGGATGACAATACACAAGCACGATGACAGCGCAGTAAGAGTGTTGCCTGTCATCACACCGCGATGACTGCTCATCGGTTGATCGTTGACCTACTTGTCAAAGCGTCAACGAGCCTCTGGAGCTGATCGATAGCACTATACGTGGTATTCTCTCGGATGCATTCCTACTGCACTCCTACCGGTGACCGCATTCTGGTGTGGATCTTCAACGCAAAGTCAAGTGCCCTTAGGGATCCGACCGTAGCGGTTCTCCGTCCGCGAAGATCCTGACTTATAGAGACCTGGGCTTGCCCCAAGGACAGGAAGAAGTCTTATGTAGCAATATCAGTACCTTTGGACGGTGACGAAAATATCCCACAACGCCTTTGATCTCTTCAAGATGCAGACCAAATCCATTTTCCAAGCGCTATCGCTCCTGATGGTATTGGCCGCAGCCATGCCAACTGCGCGTAAGACATCGCACAAAGAAGCAAGGAAGCTAGATCCTCCGTTGACCAGCAGTGTAGCAATACCACGAGCTGAAGCCCACGGTGATGACGTCCTAGTCCTTCGCGAGGAAGATCATGGCGATGACGTTTTGCTTCTCAAGACAAAACGTGGCAGTGACGATGATGAAAGCGTCCCTTGGCTCAAACGTGAAGAGCAGGACGACGATAACGTCCTGCTCTTGAGAGGAGAGTCGGGAGATTACGTCGACAACGATGTCCCTTGGCTCAAGCGAGAAGAGCAAGATGACGATAATGTATTGCTCTTGAAGGGAAAGCGTGAAGAGAACGAAGAGAGTGATGTTCCTTGGCTCAAGAGGGAGGAAGATAACGATGACAAGGTCTTACTCCTCAAGTGAAGGCCACACTCTATTACAGAATGATTATCAGACATGGCTGAGAAGGAAAATATGGAACATGACAATACGCGTACGCTGATTTACGATTTTGAATCTCGAGAACGAGAAGTCACCCCTTTGTAACTCTGCTCTAGGAGATCGTGAAAAGGCTGCGCTCGAGGATAGACTCTTTGGTAGAGGCCACTTCTCGATTGAACATGAATACCAGCTGACACCCTTCGTTGAACGTGTCCAAACATTGATTCGAAGAGTATACAACAAGACCTTAACCAACCGAGAAGACACAGAATCCTACCTAAAACATCCGCAATACACCCGCTACAACTAGCCACCGAAGCTCGAGGATTTGTAACCCACCTCACCATCATTGGGATAAGGATTAGCTAGAACTATTCCCGGTGCCCCAGAAAGTACCTATGTCTTGTCGATTTTTAGGGCGTTATACGATTACGAGCAACCATCAGCAGAGAGACTTGTGGAGGCCGATTTCCCGGAACTCCGATCCTTGCCATGCAGCTATTGACTGGAAGCTCTGCTGCAATGACATGGCGGCGTTATATATGGCCTTTGAATGCATCGACACCTCAGGCCGGAATCTTCTTTCTGCCCATTCAACCCTCTTCGCGTACGCCTGTCGGCGATAGAAATTCCCATCCACCATGACCAACGTCCTCATAACAGGCGGCTCCGGCTACCTAGGCGGCTCCCTCCTCGCCTACCTCAAACAAAACCCCACCGTCCTCCCCCCAGGAACAACCCTCTACGGCCTCGTGCGCAACGAAGAACAAGCCCAAAAAACCAGATCCCACTACGGCATCGACCCCCTCATCCTCGACCTCGCCTCGCAACAGGCCATCACCAATACCTTCCTGGAGAAGAACATCACCGTCGTCGCTTTCCTGATTGATGCTAGAAGGAGTGAGGTCCAGGTAAGGATAATTAAGGCTCTGGCGAAAGTCCAGGCGAAGATGGGACGGCAGGCACATTTCATCCAGACGGCGGGCGCGAAGGGGTTTAGCAGCCATGCGGGGTTTCCTTTGGAGCCGCCTGTTGAGGATGTGGATGGGGGGCTTTATGAGATTCATAAGGAGGGGAGGGGGAAGGAGTCGGCGGCGAGGTCGGTAGGTGTGACATGGTCAGCGAAGTGGAAGTGGTTGCTTATTTTTTTTACCGGGTAGATGTGCGAAGCGGATGTGGCGATTGTGGAAGCGGCGGAGGAGTTTGGGGTTAGGGCGTATATCGTTGCGCCTTGTATCGTGTATGGCGAGGGGGAGGGGTTTGGGAATCGGATCTCGATCCAGACGGTCGCGATTGTGAAAGCTGCGAAGGCGACGAGGAGGGTGTATAATGTTAATCAGGGCAGAGCTGTAAGCCTTCGCTAGCTGCAGAACAACAAAACCCGCGACTGCTAATATTGGGTGTAGGTCTGGCCTGTCTGCCACGTCCGAGACCAGTCTGCTTTATATGCCCGCCTTTTGCACAATATCCTCTCGGGCGTCGAGGTCAACTACAATAAAAAAGGATTCTTCCTCGCGTCTCCCGGAGCCGTGGCCTGGAGAGACCTCTACGCTGCGATGGCTAAAGCGCTGCTCAGAAAAGGACTGATCGATGACGATGAAGTCCACGACGCAGATGAGAAGGCGGTGGCAGAAATGGCCCGGGGTCTGGGATGTGAGCCGAAAATGGTGGCTTTCAGTTTGGGGGGAGTGTGAGTTGAAACATTCTGCAGGACTCTGTCGATATGCTCGAAACTGATGTGATCTTGCAGATGTACCTGGGTCCCGAGACATGGGAAGAGCATCGGGTGGAAGCCGGAACATGCGCCTGAGCATATCCTGGAGGCTGCCGATGATGAAGTTGAGCTGATCTTGAAGAACATCTAAGATTGGCGACGTGGGCGTGAATGATATACTGGAGCCCGTTGTTTTATGCAGCCATGCCGTCACTGTTATGGCTGGATAGCGTTGGCACAAGTTGTTGCGTAGGTGAAGGCGTACCACCGAGGTCGTTAGTCAACAATCCATCCAATTTGCAGCCATGGTATTCATGGCGTGCAATGCTTGACATGGGACATTCCATATTGTGTCTCGCACACCCACTTTTCGAACTGCTCCCTGCATAGCATGATGTCTTCCTGGCCATCAAAAGTCACTCTTCGCAATGTAAAGATCCTATTCATCGATCGTGCTCGCTACATCACCATGCCTCCAAGGTCGTCGCCGTCCAGCTCAAAGCCAAGAACTTGCACAGTCTGCGGCGATCATCTCACAACGTCGCAAGTCAGTGTTATCGAAGACTCACTAGTCTGCACCGCCTGCGTCCAGGAACTCTTCGAACTCTCGCTTGCGAACGAAAACAACTTTCCACCCCACTGGGGTAAGGCTGTCCTCAATCCAAAGAATTTCAAGCAAATTCTCGATCCGGCATTCTTCAAGAAATACGCAGTGCGCCAAAGAGAATGGAGCTGTCCGCCAACAGATAGAGTCTACTGCCATGGCAAAATCAGTAAAGGCGAAGTCTGTCGGAGATTCTTGGGGCGGCGCACCGAAATGAGGACCAGGATGCATTATGTCTGTTGCAGGAAGTGTTGGTGGCTGACGTGCCTGAAGTGTCTGGAGAATTTCGATCTGGGCGAGGATACTGAAGGTGAGACGGAGGGCGGGCCTTTAGAGATTGACCATGTCTGTTCGAAAGAGCAGGGGAAGCTCGATCCGTTTGAGGGATTGAGGAGTGGGAAGGACTACCAGATCTGCCCGAACGAGGGCTGTCGACGGCCAGCGGAGTTGGCTGCTGGGTGTAAGTCGCCTCATCCTATCCTTGGTTGCAGCGAGCTGACTTGTTCGAAAGGCAACCACATCGCATGCCCATGCGGCACGAACTACTGTTTCATATGTGCCAAACCAGCGGAAGAGCTCTCCGACCACTGGAAACTCGGAGGATGTCCGCGGTATGGGCAGCCTGGCAGCTCCAGTGCGTTGTACAATGACGACATCCGCCTTGCCAACGATGATGACGAGTCGGATGTTGAGAATGAGGATCTTTGGCGCTGGCAGATGCAGACTTTGCTGGAGCAGCAGGGGCTCCAGGAGCCGGAGCCGGAGCAGGCGGGTAATCGCTCGAGGGATGATCGCGACAGCGAGCCTCATCGGACCTCAGCACGGAGGACGAACTCGAGATTGCGGGAACCTGGCGGGCATAGGAGGATCGACCATCGTGCACCCATGAGCGACCACGACTTGGGGAACCACACTGAGGTTACTGGTGGTTCCTCAGTCAGAGCTGCACCGCGCCCACCCGTTCAAACTCCTCAATCGGTCCACAGACCAAAGCGTGGACTACGACAAATAGTCCATGAGCGAGGTCGAGAACTTATCGAAAAATTTCGTTGAAGTCGCAATTCTCACACTCATTTCTTCAGTCCGACCACAACCAAATTTCTTGGGCTGAGCTTGTAGTCGAAGACAGGTTCTACCCACGCTTCTTGCACTTCGTCTTGCTCTTTCAACCAAAGCCATCGGTCGACGACGATGGTTGCCTCGATCACACCAGCGGAGAAAGCCATCAAGCTCCAGATCACGCTTAATTCTTTCTTCCGTGACTTGTATTCTTCATAGTACCGGTTTATCTCCTCGTCAGTGATGTCACCCATCTTCTCGGTGAAGAGATCGCCCTTGTCAGGATCGACGAGCAGCTTCGCCATAGCACCCCGGACATACGACACGAAGTTCTCGTAGCAGTCTTTTCTCAGACTGCCAATGACGATCGGGGTTCCTCCACTGGTATGACCGGCAGGACTCTTGCCGCCCACACAGTCAGGGGGAGGAGGGCCAACAACGCCACGGTCAAGGAAGATTCGCTGTAGCAGGGCGCGGTAGAAGTGCCGCGTGAAGAAGCTCTCGCTGTCTTCTGGCCCCCAATTTGACGGCGCTTGCACGGCCATCATGCGAGATGTGATATTGAGTCGGACGCCTTTGTCGGGGCCGGCGGGATCGCTGTCGTTGTAATAGTTGCAGAGTCTTGCAGACATGGGAAAGCCGTTGGGGTCGCAGGCTTCACTGGTCTTCTTCAGTCGAGGATGTGTGCGTGTTGTTGGTCGAAGCTCTGGAAGTTTGTACGTGGCTGGGCCGAGGCGCTCTGTGACGAGATTGTAACAGCAGCCAACCATTGCCACAGCCTTGACGTCTTCGTTCAGGATGAGGGATCGTAGTCCATGGTGAACGAGATTTCCACACGAGTGCAAAGACATTACCATCAAGTTCTTATTTCCTGAAGAGCCCGGGATTCGTTCGATAACATCTGATAGATGACCATCTTGAATGCGGTGATCGACGTATTGGATCTTGCCAGTACCTGTGGTAGGGGTCTCGACTTCGGGAGCTTCCTTGGTGCCGTCGGTAGACTCGTCGTCGGCACTCGACTCTGGTGGTGTAGGCAAATTGACAGGTACAACGGGCTTTGGTGTGACTCCTGTATCGGGTCCCTCCATTCCCTGTCGAAATGCTTTCTTGTTCCTCATCAGCTTGTCTTTCACAGCCAACTTGGCCATGACATCGAACTCTCTCGCTCGCTCAGCATTTGCCTGCTTGCTTTCAATGGCAACGATATTCTTATTGTACGGCTCGCTGGCGAGTGCGCGCCCGAGATAGTTCTGTCCCGAGCCAAAGTCCACCAAATGCGAAATGTCTTGTCCTTGGGTTGCAGCAAAGTCGGTGGTGAGTCTGTTGAGATAGGAAGCGAACAAGCCTACTTCGTGGACCTTCTTAACATTCATGCCAACTGAAACATGCCTAGCCAGCTTCTGGGTCGGCTTCATAGCTCTATTGCGAGAGCATTGCGATCCTCCAGGCGTTCTGATCAGAAGATGCCTCCTCACTGTTCGCAGATAGTCCAATAGAGTCGGAGGTGGAGGAGTCCCACCTTCCCAAGATGGTCCATCATCAGACTGGTTCGTCGTGGTATCGTCGAGGTCATCCCGCATGAAGAGATCCAGCAGATCCATGACTTCGTGGCCAGAGAAAAAGTCCCTCCAGTCCTGAGAAAGAATCTTGGAATATAGGCTTGGCTCACTCGTGAAGAAATCGAGGATATGTACGCCGCCGCATAGTGTCCTGAGGAGCTCGTCCGTTCTGACAAAGTTGAGAAGAGAGTCAACGTATTCTTCCGTGCTGGTAAAGTCGTCGGAGAATGGTAGGAGTTTCTCTGGGGCTATTCTTTGGCCCTTGGCCGAGTCTGTCTCAGCCACCATTGTCGCTTGTATATTGTTCCCTTCGCTTGCGACTTGGTAGCATGTAGAGTACCGCTGAGAGACTTTGCGTAGGGTGTAGATATACCGGTGTCTCAGACTCATTTTCACATGGACGTGTGGTCTCGCTAGCGTGCACCGCCACACCTCCGGTTCCTGAAGATCCGGGGTCAGATCCATGGGTAAGAAGACAACAATGCAACATCATCGCCTATAACAAGTAACGGAACACGGCTGTTCAGGAGACACCACCATCAGCGTGAAATATCTAGGTACCAAAGTGGTTCACCAGCTTGCAAAAGCAACAGCCCAGCGCCATGTCAAACGACCCCTTCGAGGAGGCCCAAGCCGACGTCCTTTCTCTCTTGCAACAAACCAGGCCTCTGCTCTCTTCCTACCTACGCATACGATCATCCGCATCCAGCTCAACATCTCCCGAGCTCGTCGAAGCGAGACAAGAACTACAGAGCAACCTCACCGATCTGAGCGCGGATCTCCAAGATCTCGTCGACAGCGTCAAAGCCGTAGAAGGCGACCCCTACAAATATGGACTCGATGTTGCAGAAGTGTCGCGGAGACGGAGACTGGTGGAAGATGTGGGCAAGGAGATTGAGGATATGCACCAGCAACTGAACGAGACGGTACACGCGGCGGATGCAAAGAAGGGCAAGGCACCATTGGCACACCCAGACAGCTTTGGGGATATGGATGAGGATGAGCAGGATGATGGATATGGCGCGTGGGAAGAGCAGCGGCAGATGGAGACGATGCATGAGCAAGACGAGGCTCTGGATGGCGTGTTCCAGACCGTGGGCAACCTTCGAGCTCAGGCGGATACGATGGGTAGAGAACTCGAAGAGCAGGCAGAGTTGTTGGAAGATACGGAGAACATTACGGACCGCGTAGGTGGAAAGCTACAGACGGGCATGAAGAAGATTCGCTATGTGATTGAGAAGAATGAGGGTGAGTTTTGGCGTAGGCGGACTGTGCTTGGATGCTGACGCTCTGAACAGACCGGTACTCCTCGTGCTGTATCGCCTTGCTCATCATCGTCCTGATCATACTGCTGATCCTAGTGATTGCTCTGTGAACGAGATCTATATCTATCCTCAAGCAACCCGGTCCACGACTTCTGGCCGGGATGTGGCGCAGCAGCTACCTCACATCTCCAGACGCTGTCGTTCACTCCAATACGACTCACTCGAGACCTTACACTGCGAGAACAATCTTCATACGATGAACGGCGACAGTGAGTGGCAGATTGGATCGGACTTTGAGCTACACTGACAACGTCCAGGAGCTCACCCACTGCTGCAGCAGACAGCCCTCAGTGTCAACCCTTTCGTTGACCTTCCCAAGGCGCCCACACTGCCACATAACTATGCATCGATACCTTCTACGCTACCGCCGTCGATCGTGAACTCACCACCTGTCCAATCGAATCCGGAACTTCCTGCCTACGTCACTTCGTCCTCTGGCTTCGCGGCACACCCCCGAACGATCATCAGCCAGAGCAAGTCACTCCTCGAGCAGATAGAGAAACAGCGGAAAGATGCGCAACGACAGGTCAACGAGTGGGAGCAGAGTATGAGAGATAGAGAATTGGCTGAGAAGAGGCGTAAAGCACCAGGATGGCTGGATACTGAAGACCGCATCTTGCAGCCGGAGAAGCCAAAGGCGGAGATGGCAGACCCAGGCATCAGTCTAATGGATGAGCCGGCCGAGGCTGGCGTCCCCGATGCTCCTCGCCGAGACAAGCAGGTGGATGATCTAGGCGCTGCGATGGATCGCGCTTTTGGAAGGAGTGAGTTGGGCTGAGGGTTCATTCACCTTCGACATCACGCCCTGCCAGGCTCGGTCGAAGAATCTAAACACGCCTTGCAAAGGCTCTGGCTGCTTGATCCCCCGCAAAGCGTGCGAGACGCCGACAGTCGCATCCAGAGGCGGGATTATTGCCCTCACGAATCTCCAGGACCGTCCATACCGAACTGCTTCTGCCGGTCTTTGCCTTAGGAACTTAACAGTGACGCTGGAAGTGAAGGCAATGACAGTCAGGACAGCTGACAGTGAAGATAGCTGCAGAATGGCTCATCACTGACGGCTACAGCTGGGTGGCGGGTCTGAAAGAAAGTCGCACCTACAATTCAGCTGACTAGTCGCTGGAATGACAAGTGAATGATACAACGAATTGAAATGCGTACGCTTCGCTCGTCCTCACTACATTCTTCATCTAATCTCTCAGCCAGAACTCATCAACATCGTAATCCGTCGTCATCTCATGGGACTCGTCACAATACAGCCTCACCATCTTCTCATCTGGGTCCAATGCACAAAGTACCCAGACTTTGATTCCCGTGAGGACTTTACTACACTTCACATCCTGCTTCTCTAACCACCCCTTCCAAACATCAAGATCACTTCTTTTCGATACAGCCCAGACGATCGGATTCGTGTATACTTGCTTCGCCGCTTGCTCTGGATTTCTACGAAGCTCCACGAGCATGGGAACTCCACGATGGTTCGACTCGAGAATGACGGCGAAGCGCTCGCCTTGCTTGTTGATGTGGTCGCACGCGGCGATATGCTTCAGCCCGAGGATGTCTTGGTAGAAGGGGAAGGTTTGCTCGATGGACGAGACCGGGAGTCTGATGTGGTGGATGCCGCTGAGAGTGGGTGGTGTCGACATGCTGTGTTAAGAATGGATGGTCTTGCTGTGGTTTCTGGTGGGATCCTTGCTGCCATGATGGCTCATTTATGTCGACGCTCTGGACACGATGTTCTTCGTCCGTCCGAATGCCGAACCGATCGTTGTTGCCACAGATCTGCAGAAGCAGATTTCGGCGCCGAACTGTGAAGCGCAGCCTTTGTCGCCCACGGCCTTGTTGGAATGACACAGTAGCCTGTCGACAGCTCCATCACTGAGTGGTTCACCCGCTGATCGTCGAGTGGCATCTATGCTGGGGCATAAGGTGTCATCTCCACCGCGGCATGAATGACCACGGCGAGCTTCCCAGTTTCGGCGAGCAGCGAAAGACAGACTGACTGAAGCGAAGTCATCTCCATTGACCAAGTAAACCGCACCCAGTGTGGGAAAATCCCTCCTGGACCCTTTGGCAAACACCGCACAAACGACGAAATAGTTGCCAGGCCACCCGGTGCATGACCACCTCACCTCATCCCGCCATCAACAAACTCCGCGCACGCCAACAAACATCACAAAATCCCCAGAACATGAAACCCAACCGCGCCAATGGCATCACCCCGTCCGCGCTGCAATCGGCGACTCTCAAGCGCATATAGCGCGCCAGACAAAGACCCCCACGACGCGGGCTACGCGCAAGAAGCGCGCGAGAACATCACCGACCTTCTCACGCGCCTGCAAGACCCCTACGGCGACATGATCCGCATCCACATCACAGACAACAAAGACGGCCGACCTATCCTCCTCCAGCGCGCGCTCATCGAGCGCGTGTCTCCCTGGCTCGAGAAGTGGGTCCAGCAGAACATGCAGCAGTTCGGCAGCAGGGACCTGTACATGGAGACGGGGAGCGAGACGACGAGGAAGATGTTCCTGTTCTGCGTGGTCAAGAGGCGGGTTCCGAGGATGGAGGAGCTCGAGCTCCGGGAAGACGGGGGACAGGAGTATCAAGGCAGTCTGATACGCGTGTGGACTTATGCGGCGGAGACGGGGATCGCAGAGGTGCAGGATGCGGTTATGAGGCGTTTTTGGTGGCTTGGGGGACGCGGAATGGGTCGCCGATGAGGAGGGCGTTGGTCGAGGCGCTGGTTTACTCTGCGAGGGGAGATGTGCCGGAGGGTTTGTTGAGAGCGTTGGAGGTTGGGAAGGTGTTTGGGTGGGAGGAGGATTATGCTGAGGAGAGGAGGAGATGGACGGAGAGGGGTGGCGTGAGAGCTGGATTGGAGGAGTTTCTGGTTGGAGGGCAGGAGCGTGTGGAGTCGAGAGAGGTTGGGGAGTCAAGTGAGATGGTTTTGGATTGAGTTGGTGCTGCACGACAGGAGGGCATGAGTTAGACAACGCTGTGATCCCCGACCTTGTCAACACATAATACCTCTACTCCAACTTCTCCAACCCCTCCTCCACATGCGTGACACTCTTCTTCCTCTGCACCGCTTCCGTCGCCTCCGCAAGACTCATCCCTCTCCCCTCCCCATCCCTCACATCCACCACCTCCCTAAAACTAACCTTTGGCCTAAACTTCTTACTCTCCCACGCCTTGCCACAAACCTCAAACAGCTCATCCACCTCCTCCAGCGACAACCCCTTCGTCTCGTAAATCATAAACCACACGAAGGCGATGCACACGAAGCAGAAGGACCCCCACAGAAAGAAGACTTTGGACTGCAGGTTGGCGTATTCCTCGTTGACCATGTAGGGCGTTGCGTAGGCGATGGCCCAGTTGAGGAGCCAGTTCGTGGCGGTGGTCATCGAGAGGCACTTGGCGCGGACGGTGAGGGGGAACATCTCGCCTGTTACGACCCAGGCGACTGTACAGTAATACATCAGCACAGGTCCTCCATAACATGTTTTTCGTAAGTGGTTTGGGATACACGTACCGGGACCCCAGCTGGAGGCAAAGAAGAAAATATAGATGCAGACGAAGGAGATGGCCGCGCGTTGCGCGGCGAGGTTCTCGACGCCTGCGACGGTACCCGTGATGGCGACGATGTACTGGCAGACGGCCATGCCGATGGCGCCCATCAGGAGGAGATTCCGCCGGCCCATCTTCTCTACGAGGTACAGCCCGGGGAGGGTCGACACGACGTTGACGCAGTTGGTGATGACCTGGATGGTGAAGCCTCCGCTTTGGAAACCGGCGTTCTGGAAGTACTGCGTCCCGTAGTTGTTGTTGCCTGAGACTCTTCTCACACCTTCTTTCACACGCTTTGTATGGTAGCAAACATGCTACGGGCTATATTATAGCCCATCTTGACAGAGTAGATAGATCATCCAAGCATTAGAGTTTCACACTCATAAGCAGTTTCAACAGTAGTAAAAAATAAAAATCTATTGTAGAACATTAGCATCTTTTATATCAGAAGGGTGGAAGAGGGAAGAGGGAAAAGGAAGTTTGGGGAGCTGGGGAGTTGGGG